CGATTGTAACCTAGTAATGAGACCAGTCAGTATAGAATCAATGGCGGCGAGGAAAAGAGCCAGGAAGGCAAAATGTACCACCGCGTCCTCGCTGCAGTAGTCTACACCCACCGGTCCATCATTCTTCAGTTCGACATCCATCATGGCCTGGAATACACCATTCTTGACCCGGTCTGGAGTGTAACCTTCCCCCATCTTGTCATAGAAGAAGTCATAGAGTTTGCGTGCAGTATCGGGACTGGCTGCATCATGAAAGTCTGGTTTGTTGCCTTTCTTCATTTTTGCGTAGAGGGTGAATTGAGAGACTAGATCCATCAGCATTGTTCAGCGATGTTCCAAGTAGCAAGATAGAAAATATGAAGAATCATACCACATAGTACTTCTCCCTCAATCTCCTTAACGTTCTTTTTCCACTGTAATAGTGTTAATTGCTGGTCTCACACCTAGAAGCTAGTTGCCTTACTTGTGCCCCATTCTCATCAGGCCAGAATTTGGCCTTCAACACCTTGTTCACGAGATTCTCGGCATCTTTCTCCGTATCTTCTTTGCCAATGCCAGCAAACACGAGAAGGCCCTTCCCAATAGAAGAAACCAACTCCGAATCGACTGTCACGGATGCTGATTTCACTCTTTGGATAACGACTGAACGATATTAGTTGATTTGGGCGTATAGTACAGAAGTAAATTCGGAGTCCTAACGTTTCATCTTTACGACCTATAGATCTTTCATATATTGTTAAAATAAGTATCAGCTGAGTGAAGCTGGGGTACATACCCGCGGCGTAGGCAAGATAAGGCCGGTGATAACGCTGGCACCAAGCGTTGCTTGGTATTGCCTAAATGAGCTCGTTTAACGTGATTTGACAGTGACTTGATCCTTCGGTGCAATAGTCTTTCTGAATTGAGAGATCAAATGACGTGTGTGACTTAGACGGTAAACCCGCGAAACCCCTCGCTCCCTCATGTTCGCCTCCGCCCGTGACCGCCTACCTATTAGAGCATCCACGAAGCTTTCCACTCAAACGCGGAGAGGCATTCCATGGACTTCCGAGTTTCCGCCCTTTTTGCTGTCAAACAAACGCTCTAACAATTCCGTCTACACCAACTACCTCGATTGTGCACTTGTGACCATTTCGGTCGAAAGCGCATCACCATACCTTTCCGACCGCATTAATCCCGACGCCAGTGGACGGCACAGTCCACCAACGAGTTCACAATGGCAGCCCGAAAAACGCAACAGGAAATTGAGAAAACCTTTAAGAAGGTCTCCGAAGGGATACAAACGTTTGAAGGCATTTACGAGAAGATTCGCCAGGCTACAAATCCCACGCAACGGGACAAGCTCGAAGATCACCTTAAGCGCGAGATCAAGAAGCTCCAAAGATTCCGTGATCAGATCAAATCATGGGCCGCCGGAAATGAGGTCAAGGATAAAGCTCCACTCATGGAGCAGCGGAAGGCCATTGAAGTGGTGCGTTTTGGTTTCCTGCCTTGGTCCACAGGGTTGATGGTTCTCTCAAGGGACAGCAAGCTAACACCGTCGGTAGTGCATGGAACAATTCAAGGCCGTCGAAAAAGAGATGAAAACGAAAGCATATTCAAAGGAAGGTCTTTCGGCAGCTTCGCGACTTGATCCAAAGGAGAAGGAGAGAGTCGAGTGTTGCGAGTTCCTCTCCACCATGGTTGACGAGCTTCAGCTGAAGATCGAGGCCCTAGAGGCAGAGGAGGAGACACTTCACGCACAAATGAAGAAAGGTAAGAAGGATACGAAGAAGGCGGATCGAATGGCCGACATCTCCCACATTACGGAACGACATAAATGGCACGTAAACAAGTTGGAGTTCCTCAATCGTTCACTACAGAATGGCAACTTGGATGTGAGTGCGGTGCAAGATCTCAAGGAAAGTATCAAATATTACGTCGAGGAAGGAGGTAGTCTCGACTACTCCGGCGAGGATGAAACACTCTACGATGATCTGAATATCGGTGATGAGGTCGAGGCACAATTCGGTATGGGCGGCGAAGGTGATCGTGTATCATCACAAGATGCTCAATCAATCCAAGATGATGAGCCAGAACCGAAGCCAAAGGCCAAGCAAGAAACACCAGCAGCCCGAAGACCATCAACGCAGATGAAATCGCCCCTGCCTGTTCTTGCTACCCTCCACCCTTCTGCTTCATCGAGTGCCACTCCTGGTATGAAGCCAGCTCCTCTCCCGACCCGCCCCCCTGGTGAAACCCTCAAGTATGCATCTGCCGCTGCCGCTGCCGCAGCGAGCGACAAAAGCGGTGTTGGCATTCTTCCTCTTCCCCCTCCACCAGGGTTCAGCCCGGCTCTATCCGTTGCATTACCTATCTCCAAGTCTTCTACTGCTTCGCCTAGTGTGTCCTCAGCACTTCCTGTTACGAAGTCAATAATTCCACCTACTGTAGCACCTGTTACAGAAGAGCTTGCTGGGCCTGTGCGACCGAAGATCCCTGCCACTGCTAGTGTCTCATCGCCGGCGCCCGCAAAGGTGGAAGCACCAACGAATGGCAAGCCAGAAACAGAAGGAACCGAGGGTGAATCGGTTTATCACCTGCCGCCGGGTCTCCAGGACCTGCTCCAGTCATTTGAGGTGACGAAGTCGCGTGCGTCAGCCAATCCATCGCCGTCTGTTCAGCGTCTTCTCGCTACCTCATTGACTACCTGCCCAGAGGCTGGCGACGCTGAAAAACCACGCCATTACAAACCGCAAAACCCCTATTCCACGGCGCTCTACTATCCGCAGGAACCTCTCTCAATATTCGATGACCCCCGGTTGTACGATACCGGGAGAATCGACACAGATACTCTATTCTACCTTTTCTACTACCGTCAAGGGACGTACCAGCAATACCTCGCCGCCAAGGCGCTCCGAAACCAGAGTTGGCGCTTCCATAAGCAGTATCAAACCTGGTTCCAGCGTCACGAGGAGCCGAAGAATATCACCGAGGAGTTCGAGCAAGGCACCTACCGTTTCTTCGACTACGAGAGCACATGGTCAGTTAAGATTCCGAGTGTTTGCGTTTTCCGCCCCAACTTTACGAGCTCACCAACTTATGAATAATGTTAACAGGATGAATCGGCGCAAGGCTGATTTCAAGTTTGTGTACAAATACCTCGAGGATGAGCTATGAGGCGTCCTTTTTCTTTTCTTTTTTTTCACCTATGAGCAACCCATCGGGGTCTTCAATAGCAGATTCTTGATCTTTACTGGATTTGTTCGCACCATCTGGTGACTCGACGCTATGATTCAACTGGATGTTTGAGACTATGGCGGGAACTCTGAAATCTGTCTCGGTGGGCTGTTCTTTTACTGTCGCAGGACTGGCATGAGTGCAATGAATGGGCCTCGGTGATACGGGAGTTTCTTGTTTGCAAGATTATTGTTTGAGCAATACAATCCTTAAGTTAGATAAATTGATATAATAGGGACGTCAAGCAGTCCCAAGTAAACCTTGAAAGTTGCAGTCTGCCTTGCCGGTACCTGGGCTTAGGCCCTGGAACAAAGTACCAAAAGTACTCCGTATCCGGGGTTGTACTTGGCGTACACGTAGCTCTGCATGTCTAACGTTTCCTCTATTGGGATAATGCAGAGGAATGGTGCAGGTTAGATGTAAGAAATTGAAATTATTTTTTTAATAAAAAAACGAAAAAAAAATAAAGGAAACTGGGGACGGCACAGCTTCAATTCACAAGTTTCGAATCCTAAGCCCTGGAGCCCGGAACAAATGCCAAATATCCCCGAATTAAAGGGAAAAAAGAAAACCCGCATGTGACGAATCGCACTTGTGCACGACGTGCGACGTCAGACGTTAACTCGCTAGGAATCCGGGTTACATTCTCTTTCAGCCGCTTGGCACTAATAGATAAAAGTGCGGGATTTTTGTTTTCTAGAACGGGAAGTAGTGCTACGTCAGGGGCTGTGCGCGACATCGGTCGATCTGTGACCCCGGATTGGAGAGATTTGAGAATGGAAAGGAGATGAGGTGGAGATATTCGGGTTCGCAAGGCTGGATCGTGCGGATCATTACAATATAGTCGGCACGATTGTGCCGTCGAAATACGTCAATATGTGGGTTTAGGGAAGGGAATGCCCGGGAATGATGTGCATCGAGTGATTCGAGTCTATGAACTTGACCTCGACCTTAACGACCTCAAATCTTGACCTTCCTCTTTCTCCTTCCCCTTAACCTAGACCTCGAAATGTTTGAAGGCTAGAAATTCCCGCATGAAATATGCAAGTACAAAAAGTACCTGTGACGAACACAAAAAAGGAAAACTGGGCCATGGGCCGACACGAGCTCTTGGCAGAACGCTAGAATGACACTAGAAGCCACACAGAATAGTCAACTTCCAATCATAAGACAATCATCGTGAGGGGGAAAACTCACTGGGCACCCGAAAGTCTGACCGCTGCTTATCGTTAGTCTGACCTCGAGACACACCTGATCAACCTCCAATCATCATCGTTAAAACTATCCAGGATGTGGAAGGCAGTGAGAGGAGGGGCACGCTAGAAGGACCGTGGAATATTCGCCGTCAGCAAAGATCCGCGAATTGCATACAAAACAAATTCCCGCATGCGAGGAGGCGGGGAGGCTGAGTGGTTTTATCCAGTCTGCTTCAAAGTAGTTTTCTAGTACTTTTCTAGAACTCTTTAGTGCATTTTCATAGCCATTCACAGTCTAGCCCGTGTGCCGTGTTGACCAATACCCTACTCGGGGGTCATGATGAGTTTCACGTTGGGCACATAAAAGGGCCGCATGCCTCCATTACTTGGGGAAATCATTTTGCATTTTGATCCCTGATTACCTGGCCAAATCAATTTGACAATTTCAATAGACCTCCCTCTCACAATGGTAAGTGACTTTAGCTTGTATGAGCGCATTCTAGGCTAACTCTCTCTCTCTTTTTTTATAAGACCCCAATTACAATTCCCCTGTCAGAGCAACGATACTCATCCGCGCCAATCGACATGCAATCTCCATTTCACTACTCAGACTCCTACTCTTCCTACTCCTCTTCACCAGGAAGCATGGACTTCTTCTTCTACGGCGGCCAGCCCGTCTACGATTCCCTCTGCGACATCGACACAACCAGTTCCTTCCCCATGCAAGAGGTCCCCCAAGATCTTTATGGCATCACCAGCTCGCCCTACACATACCAGAGAGCCCACGACTACCAAGTCTTTGACCAACCCGCCATGCCCCAGAGCGCACCCAGCAGCTGTGGTAGCAGCTACAGCAGTAGCTATAGCAACAGCTTCAACTTCCCCTCCGAAGACATCCACCTACCAAGCTACCCAATTGGCGAATATGAGTCCGGTGCTGAGTCTCCAGCCCCTACATTCAAGTAAGCTAGCTATCTCCGTCGCGATTGAATCAATCCTCTAACATCTCTCCTTAGGCCGGCTAAGCCCTTCGGTTGCGACCACTGCGGCAAGTCCTTCACCCGCTTCGCAGACTTGAAGCGCCACCAGTCTAGCGTTCACTACCCTGTCTTCCGTAACTGCCCTGTCGAGCACTGCTCGCGAAAGGGTGCCAATGGCTTCCCGCGTCAGGATCACCTCGTCGAGCACCTGCGGTCGTACCACCACATGGACGTGCCAAAGCGCGGTGCCTGCAAGCGCTCTGCGAAACAGATCTCATGATTGTGATGGTCTGTGTTGACTTGCGCTAATGTTCCGATTATTCTTCTCAGCTTCTTTACGATATTATGACTGTTTCTTTTCTGCGCTATTTCACATTTCTATTTTTCCTTTTTGTTTCATCTAGACCGCAGTCCGGTTATGGATCGGTCCTGTATAGAAGATCGCCTCTTCATTCTGTTTCAGGTTTTGAGCTCATCGCTCATCTATTTTTATGTGTTCTAGATTCTAGATCGAAGGGCTTAGACGGGTTATTGGTGCAATGTTTCAATGAATAGCAACGGATTATGATTATACACCACTTTCCTCAATTGGTTTAGACAGATTTTTTCCTATCTACCTCATTTCCCCTTTCTTCAGATGGATTTCCAAAATATGGCAGTAGTCACACAAGCTAACCAAACTAAGTAGGTCCTGTCCCTCCATATGTAGATAGCTGCAGCATCGAATCGTTCCTTTTACCCAGATATCCCTCATAAAATACAAAACTCGAATATCAAAAGCAAAGAAAACTCTAAACTTGAAAACTCTGACTTCTGGAGCCATTCCTTTGGTCCTTTGTACAACTGCCCGAGCCCCAAAAAAAGTTAGCCCTCACTTTGGCCCCCAAACTCTTTGATGTCCAAGTCCAGTATCCCGACAGATCATTTCTATTCCAAAATCATCCCTTCATGCAGGTACCAGCGATTCAATGCTTACAACGTACCCATCCGAAACAATCCCCCGTTCTTCCAAACCCGGGTTATTCCCCAGACTATACTGATCGCCAGCCCCTCGATATATTTCCCACTGTTCAGCAAACTGAAACGTATACCCCTGATGAAAACGCCACATTACTAAAAGTTTTACTGAGGTTGGAACACATAGGCCCGGACTGCAGTCGTTCCAGGTGTGTCCTGCTGGGAATTCAGGATTCAGACCAGTATCCTAGTCCCAGGGTGTAGAAGTAGACCTTTTTTTTACTCCGTATGATCCTTATCTCTGTGCGGCGAAGCGGAAGTCGTATCTGCGGGGTGGATCGGGTATGTTGTATCCATTGTTATTTCGATGATACACAGACCCAGGCATTTGCTTGGGAGATTGTTAGGATGTGCCTTGGCAAATACGTTGGGTATCTATGTTGTAGTAAGGCAATTGTTGAGGGTTCCAGACTGCGAGGAAGAGGTGGGTTGATATGGATTAGGTTTGAGGCGTTGTCTTTGCAGGTGTTTATTAGGTTGTGGGCTGACCTGATGTTGGGAGTGTTGGGAGTGAGGCTTGCTGGATATGTGTTGATGTCTTAGAAGAATTGTGTGACACACTCGTCTTCCATGTAGCCCTTGGTAGACCCATTGGAGATTATACCTCTATAGACCCCTCCCATGTTCGAGACCAGTACGGAGTACAGTTGCCTGGGCTGGGCTATTTTAAGCCACTAGTTCCGGGTGGCTCCGAATTGAGAGCTGTTTTGTGTACTCGGTGTAGAGATTGTGTTTGGCCATGACTGGTTTTGGGTGTGTTTCTGGATATTCAAGCCAAAACCATGTTGCAAGGCGTACACTTTACCCAGACTATGCACACCGTTATAATCAGCCACGACTCTTAGAGGCAAACGGAAATTAGCGAGTGGTTGTAAGAATTTAGAGCTGATCTGCTTCGTCTAGATCACAATTACCCAATAAAGAGTTGTTGGTGATGCTTCATTTGAGTCGGGCACACCATTCAGCATGGAAGCATCTATAGTCGGGGCTACCTAAATAAATTCGGATCAACAACACCATAATCAATTCCCGGATATAAGGACAGAAATCTCGAATCTCAAACCTCTACTCCAAATAAGAGAACCCTCCATAAAGTAAACCAAACTCATTTAGCCCCCAAATCCACAAAATCCTTAAAACAAACCCCCCTAACCTTCCCATCCAAAAATACAACCCCCTCCTCCTCAAGCCTAAGCCTCTTCTCCTCACAAAACCCACCACCACCCTTATGCCCATCAACCTTCCATTCCCCCTTATACCCACCCAACGACCCATCCGCCGCAAGCACCCGATGACATGGCACCTCCGGCGCAAAGGGATTACTGCGCATAGCGTTTCCGACCGCCCGCGCGCTGGAGCCCAGGTACGTCGCCATCGCCGAGTAAGTGGTCCACCGACCTGGCGGGACGGAGAGGAGCGTGCGATACACGCGCCGGCGGTAGGGGGTTAGCGTTGGGTGCAGGGATATGCGGTGGAGATATTTTTTAGTTTGTGCTGTGGGTGCGGGTTGTCGGGACTTTTGGGGTTGGTCTTGAATGTCCGGGGTTGGTGTTGGGGTCTGCAGATCTGCGGGCTGTGCCGTCGAAAGGGACATGACGTATGTATCGTGCCCTCTTAGGGGTTTGTAGATCTTTTATGTGATTTATTTCCTTTGGTTCTTGGGGAGGATATGGGCTTTATTTGGAATTCGGAATTAGCCAGGAACGATACGCGAGACGCGTCTGTTGAGGGCGGTACTTACCACGTGAGTAGATATTAATTTTAAAAGATGTGAGATGGACTTTTGTTCAAATCTGAATATTTGAAGAGGAACAAATGGGAAGGGAAAAAAAGAGGTTATGAAGCTCTGAGTTCTCGTGTTGATGGACGTTGTTCATAAAGTGGCCAATCAGAGCGGCTTTGGTCTACAGTATCTTTTTTAAATTTGGTTCATATGCATTTTGCTTCTGGGTATATATCTGCATACAAAGGCGATGCTGATTTTTGAATCGTATATTCATTCATCAGTTGGTCTTCATCAAAACGTCAGGGTGCCAAAATATAGCACATCAACTCCTCCCAACCCCAAATCTAAGCGCGATCTACATGCTCCGCTGCGACAGCATTGTCACCAGCCTTGGAAGCCGCAATAACCGCAGCAGCACTAACAGAAAGAGGCTTTCCAGTCTCCGGGTCCACCACACTGCCCTTGCGACCAAGAGTTTGGACCATACCTGGGTTCTCCGCCTTGAGGCGCGCAAAGGTCTCCTCTGCATCCCAGGTCCAGGGTGTCTTAGCCGCAAATAGGAGATCCATATCCTCTAGAGTGCGCTGGTTGCTTTCTGGGTATAGAGCCCACACCATGGGGATGGCAATGACATTACTGGCGGCAAAGACGTACAGCGTCTTTTCGCCAATGGCGTTGAACATCACAGGGCATAGCAGAGTCTTTCAATAAAACGTCAGTATTAAATTTTGTATTCATCAAAAAGTGTTCACTCACCAGCCATCCATTACCAATACTCCATCCGACGACACCAAAGGCATTTCCACGTGCGCGAACGGCCAGAGGGAAGATTTCAGCCGGATACACCCTAAGAAATCACGAATCAGCATTGAATAAAATGGTCAGGTGCAAGTTTCGTACCAAGGGACTGTGAGCCACGTAGCTCCGAATGTAGAGGTAAAGATGAAAATCATAGAAGCTGCGGCTGCACCATACGAGGATGCTTTGCCCATATCACCAGCTGCCTTATTGTCGATGGCGAGACGAGAGAATCCACCGGCAAGGAACATGGCAATACCTTGGACAACGGCGCCCCAATACAAAGTCCAGCGACGACCAATGCGGTCGAGGGTAAAGACACAAACCAGTGTAGCAAACTAGATATGCACATTAGCACAACTCGGTCTGTGTTTCAACGCCGAAACATACCATGTAGAAGATGTTGTTCAGTCCACTGATCCACTGACTCTTCATCGAATCAAAGCCAGCAATGCCAAAGATGGTCGGCGCATATACAGTGACTCCCGCAATGCCAACCCATTCCTGCATGATCTGTAGCCAGATGACCAACTGTACGCGGCGGCCGATGTGAAGATCGCCGGATTTGTAGCCAACCAGCATGGACAGATATGAGTCACCGTGATTCATGGTCCGCTCCATCTCGGCGATGCTCAAAATATCCTGGAACTCAGCTTCTGCTCGGAGAGCGTCTTCTCCGGTAGATCCACGTAGACGCTGTAGAACGTAGCGGGCCTCGTCTTCCCGGCCAACCTTGACCAGCCATCGAGGTGATTCTGGGAAGAACCAGACAACTGCAAAGAGGACGATGAGGAAGATGATCTGGAATGCGATGGGGAATCTCCAGCGGAAAGCAGACTCTCCGTTGTCGATGAAAGATAGACCACTGCCAAACATTAGATACCATATCGCAAAGGCTGAAAAGCTGTACGTACAACTCCAACCAGTAAGCCAAGACAACACCGAAAATATTCAGCGTGAACTCAATCGCAATGAATTGTCCTCGCGAAGTGTGTTCAGCCGTCTCGGTAGCCCAGACAGGGACGATAGCGTTCAAAATTCCAGTTCCAATACCGTTAACGAAACGTGCTACGAAAGTCAGTCCAAGTCTCCTTGTATTGAACCATATACCCCCTTACCGCAAATCATCCAATTGGAATTTTGTGCCGAACACTGCAGAGCTGCGCCCAGAATAGCCCACAAAGAGCCCGCTGCAATGGTCTTAATTCTTCCAGTCCGGTCTCCGAGCCAACCACCGAGCAATGCGCCGAAAAGTGTTCCCAGGTAGTAGACGGATACAATCCCACCTTGCAGCAAGGAATTCGTAACCACCGGAGTCAGCTCGCCGTCCACCATCTTAGTATGACCGAATTTCATGAGATCAATATAATCCTTTGCGTTGTTGACACCGGCCATCATTCCTTGATCGTATCCGAAGAACAAAATCGACAGACCAGCCACGCAGTTGATTCCGATGAGAAGCTGGCGCTTCTCCAGCTTGTGGACGACATTCCACGAGGGGATTTTGTCACTCATTTTGAGCGCGATCGAGAGTGAACGAGGACTGAGTATTCTTGAAGGGTTGTTGCATTAAAATTTTGGTTCTATAGACCGAAGTTGTAATGAAAGAGCAGGAAATACGACTAGATCCAAACCTGCCAGGTATAACCAGATCAAAACTGGACAGTGAAAAAAAGGATATAAAAGTGAGCCTACATCGTGGCAGCCGAGGCTTTTAAAGCTTTTCATGCAGTCTGGACCCGACCTTACGGCACAACTCCGAGTCACCGATAGACAATGAGGTACAAGAACTTCCCGAGAATCGACCGAGCGGCACTGTGAACGGCAAGGAGCGACAGTGCATACTCAGTTATAACCCGGCGGGATATTCCCACATGTGTGGGAGACATGGGATAGGAAGCCAGTCACAAGAGTGGACAGTATGGTTATGTACCCCAATGCCCCACCAGCGTGAAAAAACCCGGGGATGGGAGATAGAACCAGAACTCGGCCAGTAATCCTGCAAGCCCACACTTACATATCCGGTATCCCCACCGGATAACATATTGTCACCGGGAAGCAAATTGTGAAGATAAGTGTACGGAATACTTTATATGGTAAACCGTTGACAATTTGCTTTCCGGTGGGGGCCATCAACACCCGGTGCCGCTGTGCGTATGTTGTAGGCGTTGGCCGATTTACCACTATGACTTACCATGTGTGGTAGTGATCATAGCATGTGTGGTAGGGATCATAGCGGGGCAAGGTCTAAGCCTTTTACCCGATTCACCAAGTCGGCAATCCGAATGAAACCCCATTTTTGTTCTGCACGTCCGGGAAGTTTGTCATGGAATCGGCTTGGAACGGGTCCGGGAAGCAACAGCGAACCGACGAGTTCTGAAAAGCACTTATGGGGTCCGGAGTAGTGTAGTAATTTAACCGATGTCTTTCTTTGACCTCCGCATTTTCCCTTTGAGTGGGGGGAGGTTGGGGTATCTTGGCACGCCGCTTTTATGCGCTCTGGGTATTTCTCAGTCTGAGTGGGTATGTATTACCTAAGGTTGGTCGCGTGACAGTCTCCCATGTGATTGGCGGCCAAATGCCGAGGTGGATCCATCAGCCCCGGACTGACCTCGCCAGGTACGGAGTACTGCATCCCTAACGCTTTCCTTTATGTTCGCCATTGTGTTGAATTTTGAGATTTTTGTTCTAAAGAGCTCGAGTCAATCTATTAACACAACAAGGCCACATCATCAGCAACGAACTACAATTGAAATACAAAAACGGTGTCAGTCTAGATCCCACCCGTCCCTTGCGGGCGAGTTCCACCCATAGACTCAAGAAGCGGGGGATCTAGCCAACTAGATCGTGTTCCTTAATTGTATGACAACACTGCCAAGCCTCTTCATGCACCTATTTATCCTTTTCGCCGAAAAGGCACTGATAATTCATCGCTCATTTCCCTGCTCGACAAAGAGGCCTACTTGTCTGGGGATCCCTGCAGAACGTAGGCACATGCTTGTCGGTCGAGCGGCGTCTGGATGCGGCTTTTTCTGGGGTATGACTACAGAGTACGTTGTATATAGTTTGACCTGCTTCCGATCGGCTGTAACGTTAGCATATATATTTCTAAATCCTCATATATGAGTATAGTTCTATCTCAAAGTGGAGGATCGCGACATTACATATTTTTGGTACAATTGAGGATTGCACGCTGATATTGTTGGAATACAACTGTGTACTGTTTTGAACATAGCGTGGAGAAGGACCTACGTAGATATCGTGAGCTCGGGAGAGTCAGATATTGTCCCTTGACATGAGCTAACATCGCAAACTAATTTAAGTCTAAGTTTTAGCTACAGGCTACAACGGATGCAATCCAGCTGTAACCTTCCGGCACGAGAAAATGGTACTCTCTTATCGCAACTAAGCCTATCAAGCTTGATGCAAGCATAATGTCCAGATGCCATTTACCAAGAAACCGGGTCAGCCATAGGATCCGTCTTAAAAATGTGAAGTTCATATTAGCTACACTACAACATAGTATACTTCAATACGTATATAAGGATCATTGGCTAGCTCATTCACCTAATTCGGGTTTCCAGGTTCGGAGAACGTTAGTAGCTGCGATATTAATACACGTCAGTGTTAAATGAATAGTCCGTTGCGTAAAAGGCATGCCGGTCATTCAAGGGATCCTTTCTTACGTTCGATCACATGTCTGAATGCATGAGTACTCCGTAGACAACTTTCACTAAGGCATGGCGTTATCACATTTAATATAGATTGTGCCGCGCCTTTGGCCAGTAACATTTTGGCATGTAGAGAGGGGTAGGTAGGCTAGGGTGAGATTGTGCAGTAGCAAAGATTGCGTGCCTGAGATGTATTTTTCTGATACTGGGTCTTGCTTGTGTTTGATGTAATGCTGTAATCGAAAGAAACAGCGGGAAGATGAATATCCCGGCTTGTTCCCATGAGATAAAAGGGGTCTGAAAGATAAGCATACAATTGGTCCAGTTGAGGAGGGTGACCGCCAGTCCAGAGTGCGCAATATTATGTATTAATCGGGATTAGCGCATTTTTATAGTCAGGACAGGGTCCACTTATATAGATTGCTCTACGTAACTTGTACGTTGTAGGTCTTCACGAGGGTTAGAGTGAAAATGCGGAGAAATGCATCACGAAATATCCATATTTAAGAATTTTGCCTATCACTGTATGTTCAAATTAAATCCTGGGCATATCCCTTGAGTAAATACAAATTTCGCTATTTACATCAGAAAGTGGCGCGCGTTCAGTCCGGTATTCATATCCACTCTCAGCCTCATGTTTCCAGGCTTAGTTGTTTCGGGTGTAGACCTTGACTGAATTCACAAGCCAGTAAGCCTCGTTGAAGGCGGTTGGATTATTTGCAACCCACTCGTTGCAAGTGGGAGCCACACTAGTGCATTTCTCATCCTTCAAGTATTCTCGCGAAGCCCCTATAAGTTATAACAGTTAGAGTGTGTTTAACCACAATTTGGAAGGTACTTACAGCTACCGCAGAAGTTGGTGTTGAAGATGATGTAGTTCTCCTTGAATCTCTCGGCAATGTTGCAGGTATTTCCCGAGAAGCTAGCCAGTGCAGGGCCGAAACTTTTAACATCCAGGTCCGCAGTTCCGGCATTGATCACTGCGTTGGCCTTGGCGCTGCCACGAGGGAAGAACCACACACTGATGGAAGCGCTCGCCCATTCAGTGACATAAACACCGCCTCCGTTGGCGTTGAAAGGAGCGCCGTAGTTGTTGGCCGATGTTGTGCCCTGGGAACAACCGGCGTCGGAGTCCTCACAGTCAGCAGAAGTCTGGTCTGCTGTCGACTCGGACCCAGTGACATCCATGTTGCACCCCTTGGCCGTGTGCAGGGTGATAGCGTTGGACTTCTGGTTATCGACTCCCTCGATGATGTCGATCTCGCCAGAGTTGGGCCAGTCAGGGCCAGAGGTCCAGTAGGCAGGCCAGATACCGCAAGAGGCACCCTTTCCAGTGCCAGCTGGCATGTGAGCAATGTCGGCAACGAAGAGGCCGGTGGTGAAGACGTCCTTGGATCTCACTCGGGTGGAAGGACGGCCATTGGGACTCTTATCCTTGTAGTTGGCACCAAGGTAAACTGCGCCGTTGGTAATCTTGGCCATTCCAGAACTTTTGGCAGTTTCAGCATCCACATAATCCACAAAGCCACCAGATGGATCTGGGTCGCTGGTGAAATTGAACCCTTCGAAGAAGTTGGTGCTGTCGTATACTTTGGTCTGGGAGTACGAGGCAGCATAGACGGGGACCGCGGAGAGAAGCGCTCCAATGCTGATAGCTTTTGCCGAGAAAATCATGTTTGCTGCTGTGAGACTGGTGATCTGTGGCAAGAGAAAGTTGGTTGTTTTTGACTACTTTGTCGTGCAACATGCTGGAATATATAAGTCCTCGTTGCCATGCTTTGGAGAATGATCAACAAATCCAGGAGATAATGTTACAGCCGATCGGGAGGGCGTACAATTGCAACTTCATAAGAAGTTGCAACTAAAAGCTGTTTAGCCGACAGCGAGTCTGCAGGAGCGTATATTTCTATAGCCTACCAAGAACCTCTAGTGGGGGTAATAGATTAATAGATGGGTACCTTTTCGGGGAGAAGGGTCGGATTGTAACGGCATTGGGTAATTACGGAGTAGTTATATGTGGATGGAATCACGACATGCAGATCAATAGCGACATCAAGCTATCGGAGTTGACGAAGGAAAGGAGATGCTCTATTCCAAAATACCCAACTGGGGATGTGATTAGGAGCCTAAGCACTACTGAGTATGTAGAGCTCTCACATTCCATGTAACGACACATTTCTAACACAAGTTTCCCGGATCCTTCAAGGCTGTGCCTATTTTCCTCACATTATAATGTTCGCCCCTGTCAAGTCCCGGTTAATTTGAAGCATGATAATCTAATTAGATTTCACTAGCGCTCTGTAATGCAGTTAATTTATATTATCTGCTCCGTACTACTACCCAATATCTACAGAGTACAAGACCTTACTATAAAATTATATATAATTCATCGCCAATCAACCTTGGAACACCTGCACCAATTAAGCATTGATAAGGATTCAAGTTTTTTTATGAGTCCAAGATCACTTACTGCACTGGTATTATGACTGTTATTTTTCGGCCGATATGTATAATATATCAAATATAGTGTATGCGATTGGTCAGAGACAAGGTAAATTATGTACCGAGCGTGAAGATCGGCATGGTAGAGATCTGATCTGAGTGGATCACCTATGACTAGGAGCTAGATGACCACATGGCAACTCTCAGGGGTATACCCCTTACTCAGTTTTACTCGAATAGCGGCAAGGAATAAGCCCTGAAATGGGAAGGGAAAGTGAACCAAAAAAAAAAAAAAACTCTGGGATGATATACAACATACATATGAAGTTTGGAGGGATCGGCATGGGAAGGAAAAAATACAACATACAGAGAAGCCGAAAACCCTAGACTTCAGCTGTTTCTGCATCCTTAGAACCGATTGTGTTTCGATTTCCGATTTGATTGCTGTCCCACATATATCTCTGTCCTACCCACTTAGGATCTTAGGATATGGAAAGTTTGCAGAGTGTTTGCTATGCGGGGAATCACTTCTCCACAAATCTGGTTTGCCAAGGGATATCATATTTCTCCATAAATCTTGAAGGTCTGAGAAGTGAAATTTCTACTTCTAATACTCCCGGGGCATATTTGCCAGAAAACACATGCTGACCCGTATCTGAAGTGCGTATGACCATGAGCATAATCATACGTCATATTGTCTCTCTAAGGTACTTTCTGTGATGCATACAAGTACTTTTCTTAAGAGTAAATACTTTCTAAGACCACTCAAGTCTCCCGTCTACATAAGGGTGCTTGTTAAAGTGTATGGGGAACGTGTGTGTATCATATAAGGTCACATGAACGCAAAAAGAAGACTTGATGACAAGCAAATATTCCCTAGAATCTACGAACACATGGCTCACGGGTCGTACATTTATGGCAAGTACCTAGGTATGACCTTCCAACTGAGAGTGATAGGGCTGAGTTTGGGTCAATGCCGGTCCCGGGATTGACAACCCGTCGAATAACTTTAATTGGTCCCTGAACCGGACAAGGAAAACCATCGACATTTCATAAAACGCAGTCTCCATTTACCACATCGTCAAATCCCCGATCTTGATCCAAATGGAAAAAGACAACATGCAAGAGCGTGACAACGAGGTTGATACCAAAACACTGGACCCGCCAAGCCATGGAGACACGCTCCTAGAAGGATATTCCCAGTTCACGATAGCTCAGAAGCGGGCTATTGTTGCCATGGGATCCCTGGCTAGTTTCTTCTCGCCCTTATCTTCCAGCATCTATCTGCCTGCCTTGGCCACTATCGCGGATTCCTTGCGTATTACCATCTCCCAGGTGAACTTGACGGTCACTACTTATCTGGTAAGTGAACAATAACAACATTGCCAAAGCACACAACTGACCAAGTTTCATATTTCTAGATCATGCAGGGGGTGGCACCCATGCTAATCGCAGGCTTCTCAGACACTGCAGGCCGCCGTCCCGCTTACATCATTTGCTTCACAATTTACCTTGCAGCCAACCTGGGCCTAGGTCTCCAAAACAGCTATGCTGCCCTCCTAGTTCTCAGGTGTCTCCAGAGCGCAGGCAGTAGTGGGACGGTGGCCCTGGCAAATGGATTGGTCGGCGACATGATCACATCCGCGGAACGAGGCTCATACATTGCCTTCGCTTCAATCGGGAGCATGCTAGGTCCCTCTTTATCACCAATCATCGGCGGCCTTCTCAGTCAGTACACCAATTGGCACTGGATCTTTTGGTTTCTGCTCATCTTCGGCGGCGTGTTTTTCCTGGTCCTTGGTCTATTCCTGCCTGAGACATGTCGCAAAGTGGTCGGCGACGGTTCCATCCCACCACCTCCTTTGAATAACTCACTGGCTGATATTATCCGACATCGCACGCGCAAACGGAAGGGTCTAGTGCCTGACCCAGACAAGGAAGCTGAGGTACGGAAGAACTACTCACTCAGGTTCCCATCACCGGTCCCGACTATGAAGGTAGTCTTGGATATCGAGACCTCGGTCATCCTCATCACCACAGGACTACTGTTTGCTGGTTTCTATGCCGTAATGACTGGTGCGTCAACATCCTTCCACAAAATCTATCACTTCAACGACCTCCATGCTGCGTTGATGTACCTCCCCATCGGCGGAGGAGGGGTGCTGTCAGCCTTTACGACTGGCCGGCTGGTCGACTGGAACTACCGCCGTCACGCAAAACGTGCCGGTCTCGCTGTTATCAAGAATGTGCGTGCAGATATCCGCAACTTCAATATTGAGCGCGCAAGACTTGAAGTCGCGCTCCCACTTTACTACATTAGCAATCTGGCGATGTTGACCTACGGCTGGGTCCTGGGTCATAAAGTCAACCTTGCTGCTCCTGTCATTCTTTTGTTCATTATCGGATGGTCTATCATTGGTACATCGCAGGTATTGAATGCTCTGATGGTTGATCTCTGGCCGGGGAAATCGGCGACCGCGACTGCGGCAAACAATCTCTTCCGGTGTGAGCTCGGTGCTGCGGCGTCAGCCGCGATCAGCCCTATGAGGTCCGCTATGGGTGAGGGTTGGGCGTACACCACACTTGCTTTGATCTCTATTGGTGTTTCTCCTTGCTTGTGGTTAGTCGCGTGTAATGGAATCAAGTGGCGACAGAAGAGAACTCGAAGGGAGGAGGAGCAATCGTCTTGTGGACAGGACTAGATCTGGCTTTTTATGTATTGCACGAGCTCATGAACTCACGGGCGTTGTCTAGAGGGTACATCTGGGAAATGGCTTTCCAACTTCTCTTCGGAATTCCTCGCTTGTCTACTTACAAATGAATATTGCCTAGCTTTCTTCGTCCATGCTTTTAGCTTTGTGTCAGCCCGACTAGCTCGTGCCAGGGTTTTTATTGCCTTGTACAGGCACTCCTAGGCAATACTACGCCCGTATCCCGGAGAATCATCCTGCAGGAAGGCTGTTTTTCTTCCGGTATTGTTATCCGGTGTAGGAGTAGGTGAACAGTAACGATATTAAAGTATGCAATCAGTGGGAAAACCAAAAGCCATTTGAATAAGAGCACGAAGCAAGATACCTCCAAGGTTGAATATCATTTCTGTATCCGTGTCCAGCTCGCATGCGATCCACCACTCTTAGAGGGTGGATGCTCAAATAAAAGCCTGGGCTATCAAAGGCCAAACTCGAGTTCCAACCCGCTTATAACCGCAGCGGAGACCGCCGAGACCGAAAATCCTTGCCACTAAGAATGGTCCGCGGGTAGGCAAAATAATCTCTGGGGAACCGCCGCTAACATCGGCCCTTAGGGAGTGACCTAGCAAATTGTGTTCCCCGGAGTCCACGGGAAGTGTTAGGTAGATTGTGCAACAGTCAGACTGCCAGATCCTGGAGATGGGTATAAATTTGTGTCCTATAAAGAAAGCTTTACAACACACATATAGGTCCTATTAAAAGTTCCGAAGTCCTGTCTTCTAGCATCATATTGGACGTATTCAGTCAAAATATTCGGACGGTGTCCTATCTTCTGCCTGCAGAATTGTCGGAAACAGCTCCCGAAATTCTCCGGTAAATTACCGGCCCGTCTTCACCGCCTTATCCATAGGGGCCAGCTTTGCGGCCACGGTCCGTCGCGGGCGGTGAAACCCAGCAATACCGCAAAAGCTCAATCACTTCCCGTAGTCGAATCCACCCACCCTATTTGTGCACTCCCAACAACTTCAATCCACTCGCATTGAGGATTGCATTTATATCTTAAAGACCACTAGTCTTTTGTTTCTTCTTTCATTATGTTCCGCGCCGTCCTGCCCCGGGCTATGCCCCGGTCTGCCCTCCGCCATGCCGGCCCGAGGGCTGTTCCCAACAATTTCGCTACACCCATGATCTTGATTAACCAGTCAAAACGTGGTTTCGCTTCTGAATCAGGTAAGTCGATGTTTATATCGATGTCGCTGAGTTCCCGGAGAGGTTCTCTTTGCTTCCCGGATGCGATTGCTGATTTCCGCTTTCCCGGGAAATAGGTGATCACGACCTGGTCATCATTGGTGGTGGTGTCGCCGGTTACGTTGCCGCTATCAAGGCCGGTCAAGAGGGTCTCAAGGTATGAATTACTTCTTCTCCAAGCTTTCCGGCTTGGTTGAACCAGTCTTGCCGTTGCAATCCGTGTATTAACTGAACACTGCGAACAGACCGCGTGTATCGAGAAGCGCGGAACCCTCGGCGGTACCTGCTTGAACGTCGGCTGTATCCCTTCTAAGTCTCTCCTCAACAACTCCCATCTCTACCACCAGATTCTTCACGACACCAAGAAGCGCGGTATCGAGGTCGGCGATGTCAAGCTTAACCTTACCCAGATGATGAAGGCCAAGGACACATCTGTTGAAGGTCTGACCAAGGGTGTTGAGTTCCTGCTCAAGAAGAACGGCGTCGACTACCTCAAGGGTGCCGGTTCTTTTGTCGATGCCAACACCGTTAAGGTTGCCCTCAACGACGGTGGTGAGCAGACTCTGCGCGCTAAGAACATCATCATCGCCACTGGCTCTGAAGCCACCGGCTTCCCCGGCTTGAACATTGACGAGAAGCGCATCATCACAAGCACTGGTGCCCTTGCTCTCACTGAGGTCCCCAAGAAGATGGTCGTCATCGGTGGTGGTATCATCGGTCTCGAGATGGTATGTATCGAATACAGAATAAGCTTCGAATGTTGGATTGTGTTAACATTTTACCGTGATATTAGGCTTCCGTCTGGTCCCGTCTCGGTGCTGAGGTCACTGTTGTTGAGTTCCTTGGCCAGATCGGTGGCCCCGGCATGGATGCCGAGATCGCCAAGCAGGCCCAGAAGATCCTGGGCAAGCAGGGTATTAAGTTCAAGACCAACACCAAAGTTGTTTCCGGTGATGACAGCGGCTCTACCATTGCCCTGAACATTGAGGCTGCCAAGGGTGGCAAGGAGGAGTCTTTGGATGCCGACGTTGTCTTGGTCGCTATTGGCCGTCGCCCCTACACCGAAGGCCTGAACTTGGAGCAGGTTGGAATCGAGAAGGACGACCGTGGTCGTCTGGTCATTGACCAGGAGTACCGCACCAAGCTCCCCCACGTCCGTGTCATCGGTGACTGCACTTTCGGTCCCATGCTGGCCCACAAGGCCGAGGAGGAGGCCGTTGCCGCCATCGAATACATCAAGACTGGTTACGGCCACGTCAACTACGCCTGCATCCCCAGCGTTATGTACACTCACCCCGAGGTCGCTTGGGTTGGCCAGAACGAGGCTGAGATCAAGGCCTCCGGTGTCAAGTACCGTGTCGGCACCTTCCCCTTCAGCGCCAACTCCCGCGCCAAGACCAACCTCGACACCGAGGGTGTTGTTAAGTTCATCGCCGATGCCGAGACCGACCGCATTCTCGGTGTTCACATCATCGGCCCCGGCGCCGGTGAGATGATTGCTGAGGCCACCCTCGCCATCGAGTACGGTGCTTCCTCCGAAGACATTGCCCGCACTTGCCACGCTCACCCTACCCTCTCCGAGGCCTTCAAGGAGGCTGCCATGGCCACCTACTCGAAGCCTATTCACTTCTAAATCTCTTCAGATCTCATATATCCTCCACCATGTACCACTTTTAGCTAACCTAGACTAGCTCGGCTAGCAAAATACATCATTCATGTAATCATCTCCTTTATTTTCGTGAAATATACACGCTGCACAACTTGAACTGTTCTCACCGACTATAATAAAAGTGGTCTTAGATGGAAGAAATACAATGTATCTACTTACGTCTAGCGGGTTTCTTTTTTTTCCCCTAAGCCTAGTACTAGTCCTACTGCTTACATCTATGTCCCATTGTCTTTCTCCACACGTTCAAGCAACGGTAGCCTTCGAGAACACCTCTCGGATCTCCACAAGACCCTTCTTCTCAGCCAACAACAACCCAAGCAAGATCCTAGACTGCTGGGGATTGAACATTCCACTAGCAATCGGTGTCTGCGCATTCTTGGCAGTGATAGCAGCAGTAGGTACTTCGCCGTTTACAGTACGGTGCGATAACACAACAGGGATATTGTGCTTCGCAACGATATCATTGATAGCAGAAGCAAAATCCGTGGAAACACCACCTGCGCCCTGGCCAGCGATCTGTTATGAAATTAACACCGCACTCCTGACCATATTCTGATTTCATAAAAATGAAGTGAACAATTTACCACGACACCCTTCGCACCATTCTGCACAGCACTATAAATCGAATCGGTCTGCATATCCTCATAAGCATACAGGATATCTACACGAGGTATGGCATCCAGATCGGACACATCAACAACGTGCTTTGCATTTGCCTGCACAGCCGGGTAATAGAAGTAGGGCTTGTTCGACACAATGAATCCCAGGCTTCCTTGCTCATATGCCTGGAAGGTATCCATGGTATTCGCATGTGTCTTTGTTGCGAAGAAAGCCGAGACAATCCGATCGTTTAGAACAACCAATGCTCCACGGTCCTTAGCATTCTTATCTGCGGCAACATTTACTCCCTGCAAGAGATTCATGGGTCCATCCGCTGAGATAGCGGTAGAGGGCCGCATCGAGCCGACAAATACAATAGGCTTGCCGCAGTTTACCGTTGCGTCGATGAAGAAGGCGGACTCTTCGAGGGTGTCGGTTCCGTGAGTGATCACGGCTCCGGACATGGTGGGATCATCGCAGACTTCTGTCTGGAGCCTGTGAGTCAGGTTCAAGAGGAGGGATGAGGAGATGTCACCGCTGTTGACGTTATTTGCCTGGATGGCGGCGATGTTGGCGACGTTGAAGATATCTGGTATTTCGGAGAGGAGAGTGTTGATTCCTAGGGCGCCGGATTTGTAGCCTGCTGTTGCGGTTTTGTCCTTGCTTGTGCCGGCGATGGTGCCGCCTATTGTTAGGTTAGAGGATATCATGTTATGTAGATCTATCATTTCGTATGCTATCGATACTTACCGGTGGCTAGGATGGTTACATTAGGAAGGGAATTGTTGAAGTGGTTGAATGTCAGGCCATTGGAGTTGGTATAGGATGTGTTTGCTGTTCGGGGGGAAATCAAAGGAGATGCATAGGTTGTAATAGCCAGAGCTGAAACCGCGAGTGTCCGAAGAGAGAACCCCATTTTGATTAATTGCTCAATTAAAGTGTAGTAGAATGGATGTATAGACTGCGGAGGTCACAGTTTATATATCCCGGCGGAGGCTGATGCATTTTATGCATCATCCGATTCCTACTGCTTCGACTCCGAATTCGATGAACTTTGGATTAAGTTACTTGGCGAGCTGTTCATCACTAGTTTCGGTTTAGGTTCGAGTATGCAGTGTCATATATAGGTACAGAAAAAGTGGACGGAGAGTTGGAGAAGATCAAATGGAGTAATATCGCAGATCATTGCAAATCGTGCGTATGAAGTACTTCGTGCTATATGTCTAGATTTCCATTGGCGGTTGATATAGAGTATATTAGACAAGTTATAATGAGGTTTGTTTTGTTTCATAGGCCTTTTTACTTCTACTATAGTTCGGAGTTTGAACTAGATTGCTATATCAGCACTGGTCTTCTAAATATATTTACTTCATCTAGTCCTGCATAGCCCTCGTACATCAAGCTACATCCAAGGCAACCAAACACTAAAAAATCTATCTATCCTTGATAGAGGTCAAGGCCGTTATTTCTGATACCCCAACTTAAAAGTGTAGCTGAGTATGTTGTATATCTAAGTCCAACAGAATCAGTCTAGTACAGATAGATGGTAGCCTAGAACTTATTCAAACTTGTGACGTACATACTCCAACGATGATAGGAAAAACATATAAAGTACGTACGTAATTCACCGAGTCTGCCCCGATGTTTTTTGACTCTGTTTCCAAATGCGTATCTTGGCAGCTGCAAATTTTTATGGTGCAAACTCAATTGCAACATTTTCCCAACGTTCATACAATTTTACGAATTAAAATAAAAAGCAAAAAAAGATACTCCGATAGGGGGAATCGAACCCCCGGCTGTCGTGTGAGAGACGACGATGTTAGCCACTACACCATATCGGATGAGGACTGCGAATTACCCTCTTAATTTTAATCTTGACCCTTTTAGCTTAGTGCCCTTTGTCCATGTGCGTTCCCGTGCGTGGTTCTATAAAATCCCCTGTTCCCACCCAGTACCCAACAATCCAGGTCCTTTTTCTTTTCGCCCTCGTCTCCTGGTAATCTCTGGGTCCTGCAGGTGAGCCATTTTTTGCTATTGATCTGGATCACCGAGCTCCTGAACTCTGTTACTCCCTTTCCCGTGTGACTCGTCGACTCTTCTGTGATCCCGCAATTGCAATCTCCGCTGGCCTCCCTCGTCCGGCTCTGCTTTCCCTCTCAGCTCCGACGATTGCGCTCGAAACGACACCTTTTCCTCTAGTCTGCAGCACTTAATTTGCCCGTCCATCGTTGACCTTTGTGCATGTAGGCGTATTCTACCTACTATTTTAGGATAGTCGTCCCTGTGCAGCGGGTTCTACATATGGCCTGGGCCAGACTTGCCACGTCGGAGTCTTGTCAACCTTGGTTGAGGCTAGCCTCGTTTCGGAACCGAAGATGACCAGGATCAGATTCCTTGGCCTAATTGGTAGATCATATTGACTCGGCCGCGATTCGCGTCAGCTTATACTTGCTTCTCAGCGCAACTTTATGCGACTAATGTAGAGACAGTTTTCTTTATTAATTTTACAATGATCGTAATGGTGTACAGCGGTAATTTCGAGACCCTAAAATGACCTTCGGACCTATAAAGCCGTGAGATGATACCGTTGTCTGCGCGCAAGCATCTATCTCCTCGATCTAAACCTGTCTATCGTACGGTCGATTCCAGAGATCTATGCCCTCCCGGCTCGTATTAGTAAGGCGCTTTGTGGCTGAAATACTCGTTGGTTTCACGACCGGTTGGCATAGAAGAAGAGATAGAAGGATGAAAAACAGTTCAAGCGGACTGGAGAAGGAAGGGGCGTGTGCCTCTTTACTAGTCCAGCGCTTACCACCAATCCACCCCTATATTTACCACCCATAGCAGAGAGCTTCTTCTCTTCATCGAAACCTTCCTAACTTTCCGAGATCCGCACTTTCAGCGCACTGCTGGGTAGATCCCTAACACTACCGTATTCCCCAAATCTACTTTTGGAATACCCCTTAATCTCTATACTGAAGCTCCCCAAAACAGGTCTATCAGTAGGGGCTCGAGTTGCTCCATGGACGTTTACGGATAGGCTACAGTGGATCGTCTGCATTTTGGGATATTAGACCCACTGTCGGTGCCACCTGCACGGAGGATGTTCAGGCATTACATGCATAAAGACTCGGCAGCCGAGTAGTGAAGTAGGCTTCTCGTCCGCTCAGCTGTACTTTAGTCATAAAGGGGAACATCCGTGGACGTAATTACCGGGTAAAGATGGCCAAGGAAAATCCCAAGCAAGGTCACAGTAATACCCGAAAGACCGAGATCCTCAACAAAGCAAAAGGGAATATATAAGATAATACATAATCTTAGATAAACAAGAGCTACGAGTCGGTACCTATGGAAGTAAGGCGTAAGGAAACCAAAGCAGACACGACCAACAGTTATCCCTACCTAGTAGGTGAATATGACTACTCCCGCTATAGCTGTTGTTGTATAGCGAAGGTTGACAAGGAAAGTGAAGATCCATCCACCTAAAGTGACCTCGGCTCCGACGTAAACCAAGAGGAAGAAACTTATAATCCACGTTGAGGGCAATCCTAAGGACTCCAATCTCGGGTTTTTCTCGACGTCGGGAGTGCCTGGAGTTTCCGGCGGTTCATCGTTGTCTCCACGAGGGCCAGGATCTTGGGTGTTGGATATTGACCTTCTCGCTGTCCAGAATGCTGCAACCGAGGTTGACATATGCTTCACTGGTGCGGTGGATGAGTGGAACGGCGACCACCTTTTGCTTGCGCCACTACATTGTTGCCAAAAATCATGTGGAGGAGATAGTGAACCGACTGGTCAGGATTATTGACAGTGTTTTTGCGGATGTTATCAGAATAACAGAGCAATACCAGATAAACATTGACTCCTTCCAAATCTCGCAAAAACAAGGAAATACATGAGTTATCTCAACAGGAACTAGTTGACCCGTGGACCCGTGAACTAAGCTTTGGAACTTCAGCATCCATTGATGGGATCCATGGCTAGATGGGGTTGTCCAGCGACTCTTATTACCGTCTAATGTGTCATAGTTTAATTCTAGGCATCAGCCCCTCCAGCGTTTCCTGATATTCTTGCTTCTTTAATCAATCAACTGCTTCTCTTGAGCTCTTTAATTTTCGATAACCTCAAACAATATTTGTACACACCTCCAACTCAACCACTTATCTCAGTGTGTGATCTTCGCAGTCCCCCCTCTCGAGCAAGCTGCATATGCCAAGCACGATGGGCATGCTGCACCTCTTCTTTCACTCCTCTTTCTTGGTATCCCGATTCCTGGGCCCTGAACAAAATTCATTACCTGAACTTCCGGTCCAGGTCTTATTCCGAATAACGGAATTTCTCTCTCGTGACGATGTAACATGCACCTCACCCTGCAATCATCGACTATTTGCTCTTTTAAAAACCAGGGAACCACCTTCGTTACGAACAAGACGAGACAAGCTAGCCCTTTTGACTCGCCTGGGGCGAGATCTCCCAAAGTTCTTCGCTTGCTATGCCTGCCATGTTCTCCATAGGCACGATACTTCAATCGACTTTCTTCCTGGGCCACAACCCATGATTTTCTTGCGCTGTCCTAGAGAATCAGCACAACTTTACCTTCCTTTCCATCAGCTATGGTATTCCGGTCACCATTGCGCTTATTATTTTCACTTCACACACCTGCAACTTCTTATGATGAGGCTCTATCTTGGCCCAGAATATGGGATCGGCACCGAAGACATTTATTACACAGAAGTCCAACTCCACAGTCTCCAGCCTGGCACTCAGGTGTCCCTTATCTCTTCCGTTGACGCAGATATCTGTTCAATGAGTCCTAATCTCATTTTGAGAGTCCAACAGATTATTTCTGTTGATCGTAATAAGCGATACCTATTGTATCGATGTCCACGGCCATCAGCCAAAAGATCTCTGATTCCTCCGCACAGCATCACCATCTGCAGTCATGAGAAGAACCGGGACATTGATACCTGGGTTAATCAGGTTGTGAGCGCCCATCGTGCTGGAGAAAAAGCCCCGTCTGTCTCTTTTGCTTGTCGCCATTGTGGCACCGAGGCTCTTCTCGAAATGGTTGATTTCGAAAATCAATTGGCTCTGGTCATTACAAAGTGGATAGGCCTAGGTGCTGGTTTAACCCCGGAAGATCCTCAAGGGCGGAACCATCAAAAATTGGAGTTTTCACCCATGAGGTCCACAGAAGGGGAATACACTAAAAATCTCACGAAAGCAAGCGCTCGAGCCTGTTTCGAACGTGCGTCGACGGAAAGCTTATGGTCTCGCAACATGGCGTACCTCAAAGATCAGCGGTTCAAGAAATGCATGATCTATAATACCTTGCCATCGTTTGGGGATTATGATCCTAATGTATGGTATCTATGGGGTAAACATTCTAAAGCTGCAAGACCAGCCACCCACTGACCAGCTCTCTCCTCTTTCTACACCTACCGTGATAGATGATTATTTCTTTGCTATCTACTTTAATCGCGCTATATTAAGTACAATGGACTTGGCAGGCTTGAGCCGAATCAACTTAATCGTTCTTAAGCAGGAGCTGGGATACAGAGATTTCAGCATCAATAATTAAGGAGGTTTATGACTGCCAAGACTTGCTTTTATGTACATATTCATGGGATCCTCACGGTCCTAAACCCGGCAGTCGAAAGCCTAGGCCGGTACCTATCCTTAGAATATTAATATAAAGAGAGTGTGCTTAGAGTAAGATTCAAGTAGTATAGACTCTAGGTTATATATATAAGCCTCTTTTGTACTACTTCCCAAACAATAGCGCCGCTATACTATGAGTTGAGCCACTCGGAAAATATAGAAGGTCACTGTATAGTTATCTAGTTATACCATGTCGTTGAGGGTAGGTTAGACGGAAACCCCATGCTTTTTTCTTAATTATAGTCGATCATTCGGCACTTCCTGTTTTGTTGTTTTGCGTGCTTTTGACATAGCATCCTGTTGCCAATTCATGAATTGAACCACATCTTGGCTATGCGTAGTGGTAGAGCATAGTCCACATCCAGATAGTACCTCCATGGGCTTACATTGACATGCACCACATTACAGTCCCAGTGCAATACCACAGGGCCCACACGATCACGTCCGAAAGCCCCCAAAGCCTCCGCCACAGTCACCGCGCCAATAATCGCACTTCCACCAGATGCCATGCACACAGAACCGGAAAACCCAAAGTCATATTTTGAAGCCTTTTTCCTCCATTTAGCAACGGTTGCCCCTTTGAACATATATGCAATCAGTGGAAACATGCCGATAGTACATCCCCTCATGATAGCAACACCCGATAGGGCGGCGAAAAGTCCAATAAACGAAGTAAAGCCCTGGATAAATTGGTTTGGGAAATCAAAGCGAACTGAACCGAACATTGTCACCTTGGAGCAGATCTGATCTGCTGAGCACGTGGACACTCCAGGTGCCTCAGAAATTTGCGAGGCTAGACATTCGTAGGCGGGATAGTATGAGGATCTAGCTAGACCTGGCTTGGCGGTGTTTATCGCAATGTATACTCCACCTATCCACTGAAGAGTTGCTAGTGTGATGAGTGTCCACTTTGCGACTCGTAATCTGTTAGGAGAGTGGCGCAATATACAACCATATGGGTGGTATTGTATCATGTAACTATTCTTCCAGGTCGATACCCAGCCGAGCATGGAGGGCATTGGGTGTAGTGCTGGAGCCAGCGCAAATCTGCCAAGACCAACACACCACCAGATAAATGAAGCCACATCCCAAGCCAGAATTATCCAAGTATCCCACTCCATTTCCTTGCATGGTGTGTTCTCTTTTCTCCATCGAGCGCGATGTAGCTTGTGGAGTTGCCAAAAGGCCAGGAGGAAAGTAATACCAGACTTATTCCATACATCAAGAGTCGTAGGCCAGAAGGCCGATGAACGTGGCTTGGATGGTATGATCTTGAAACCATTCAAACAGCTCATTATGTCGCACCAGTCATATGCAGTTCGGTTGGTATCCAGATAGTTCGACTGTGACAGGTATGGCTTGCTGAAGAACCCATAATCACTTTTTGTTTCTTGTAGCCTAGCCATAATTGCGGAACAGTCATGTGTGATTGTGGGCAGAGCCCTGTTGTAGCAATCCTTGAAAATGGTGTTTTTGTATAGCGCATATTCTGGTTTGTTGGAATCGAATCCGTCGTTGTCCACTCTTACTGCAAGAAGAACTGTGATGACAACGTTGACTGCTAGAAGAGATCCCAAAAGTATTAAGCCAAACCAAATCACACCTGTTATTATATTTTGCGTGCGCTTCTGGGTGGCTGGCGGAGGAAAATCTGGAAACTTGCACTCTGGATGGTCGACTGTGAGATGTTAGTATTGGTGTCATTTAAAGCTACCCGAGGACAAAGGAAAGGTACATACGATGCCCTGGACTGCGGTCATCGTGTACAGCTCTATACTCGAATTCGTAGAACTGTGTTCTTGATCGAGGGATGTGCCCCCGCATATTGAATAAATTCTAATGTTCAAACCACCAAAATTGAAAGCAAACGTCCGTTAAATGTTAGTAGATGACTTCTGCTAGTGTTGATGTCGCAATAAGAGGGATGTGATCAGAAAGCTCAGAATATGACAAGATCTTATGCTAACACTTTAAACCTCCAGGGCTGAGTCCCACTTGTGTGGGAAGCTGTGCAAATCCTTCTTAGACTTGCGCCTCCACAAATTAGACCAAATGTCCTGGTCTTTGGCCAAATATAATTCAAGAGTAGAAACCTATTTTAGTACCAAGAGTGTATTTTAAAAGGGGTGAAATCTCGGCCCCTCTTTCCTAATGCGCAGCAAATTAATCCACCAACCCTTAGTCTATTGTTTTATTTTGTATTTTGCGTTCAATTATACTTAGACCTTGGCATATGCTGGCTGGGGTCTTGGCCCGTCCTGAATACGAGCACAACCATGTCGTGTGGCGCTCTCCACATGCAGTCAGCCAATTTTGGAGTAGGATTCTCGATAGATATCATTTGCAAATGGCCTCTGCGTTGGCGCTTTTTGACAAATGCAGTCTAGATGCGTCTTACACCTCTATTTTTCGAATCGTTTGTACTAAACGTACTCCGGAGTAATAATCTCATGATTAAGTGATCCCGGAGACTCACATGGCTTCCGATTGATTAAGGCGTGGTTATTGCTAAGAATCCCTGCACTTAGCCTGGAGGTTTAGTTTTTAGGGAGTCTTCAAGTAATTTGAGTAAGGTTTAAAACCAGATATCGGATCTTCGCCGGTCTTTGTGACTACAGAAAATGGGTTAAAACTCTTCCATGATATCTCCTAAATGGCCCCAAAATTGCCCTGCAGGATGGCTAAGTCCACGCTAAATTAGCTTGGGCAGAGCACCGGTATCACCCGGCATAATCTTAGCCCTCCCTGCAGCTGATTTCTTGTTTATTTCTCGTCCACCACATTTCGTCGCGTCTCGCGAAAATGTCACTACCCGTTATCTCCGTCGCGGGAAACGGGTTATTGAAAAGTGGACATCGGTTTCAGATCAAAGGTTTGATAATTCCAGGTCGTCCGCCGCTTGTACCAAATTAACTTGTCTGAACCAGGTGTCGCTTACATCGGAGATGCCTCCGGCTCAGAACGAATTGATGTGTTGGCCGACTCCCAGGCTAGCCAGTGCGCAATTGATATCCCTATGATCAAGGCCCTGGGGGCAAACACCATCAGCATCTATTATATTGACCCTACCCAGAATCACGACAAGTGCATGGAAATACTGCAGAAAAATGAAATATATGTTATCGCGAACATGGCATCTCAGAAAGATTGGACGCTCCTCGATATGACGGGAATGGATACTAGCTCAAACTTGGTGAATCATGCCGTATACCACATCTATTCGATAAATACTAACGTCTCCAACCCGAAGGCTAACTCAACATGGCAAATGGACGTTTTTAAAGAGTACGCGGCCGTTCTTGATTCAATGGCTGGATATCGTAACCTACTTGGGCTTTTGGTGGGTAGTGACATCGTTACCGGTGAATTTATTAAGGATTCAGGTAAGAGCCCGTCGCGCACCGTTATTTTCCATGCTAAATTGATATTATAGGCTCCACAGTCAGCTTAGCCCCGTATCTCAAGGCCGCGGTTCGAGACATGAAGGCTTACACTGCTGCTAGGCAGTATCGCTCTATACCAATTGGATACACTTCTGATTCAGATAGGTCTTTACTTGAAGATCTAGCACAGTACCTAGTGTGTGGCGGAAAGAGTGAAGAAGCTCTTGACTTCTTTGCAGTCAATGAATACGGTTGGTGTGGCAATTCATCTGTAGCACAATCTGGTTACGATACGTTGACCTCGAAACTAGAAGATCTGGGAGTACCCATGTTCTTCTCTGAGGATGGCTGTAATGCGGTCGCTCCGCGGACCTTCGGGGATCAGCCTACTGTGTTTGGGTCTAATATGTCAAGTGTGTGGAGTGGCGCAATTATCTACGAGTGGAGGGAAGGGTAAGTGAATCCCTGCTCTCAGCTTGGAAGGAGTTAACATCCTGTAGAAGAGGCAATTACGGACTTGTCTCATACACAACTTCTGGTGTTAGCACACCAAAGACACTTGCCGATTATGATGCTTTGAAAAGCCAGTGGTCATCCGTCACTGCAAACACCAACCCTCCGTCAACACTTCCCACCCCTGCCTGTCCTACTTCATCGAATTCTCGGTGGCCTATCAACCCTAGTGCCGCATTACCCACTATTGCGGGCCTCGACTTCGCTACAATCAAAGCGGCAGACGCTTCCCCTACAGCGACTAGCAGCAGTACGAGTACAAGTACGAACAACAGTACCGAATCTGGACTTTCAACCGGTGCAAAGGCTGGGATCGGGGTTGGTGTTGCGCTGGGCGTCATTCTCGCTGTGGGTGGCATTTTCTTTTACATCTGGTACCGCCGAAGAAAGAATATTCAAGCAGATGCATCGCCTTTGACGGCGCAGGCCTCACATGTGGCAACTACGAGTGACAATGCTCCACCGAGTGAATTGTCTCATAGTTCTGCAAGGGCTGAATTACCTCACAGTGCTCCATTGGCTGAGTTAGCGCACACCAACTCACCCAGTGAGCTGCCAGGCTCGGAGCCCAGGCCTCATGAGCTGGACTCTGGAAGTGTTAATAATTTCGGCAGAGTGTGATGTCGTCTGCTGGCCTTCCCGCTGTCGCCCTGGATTACACCATGTCGGATATTGGATAGTAATTACACCCTTAGGTTTAACCCTAAGCCCGCGCCGTCTTTGTCCTTATGCGTCACCGTGGCGGTATAGCCTCAATTCCCCTTTTTGTATTTGTTTTTGATGAGGCATTTTTTACTATTTGGATTAGTCCCGATTTTTTTTTGGCACCTCTTAATTTACGCTGTTTTACTAGCTCTGGCTCATTTTTCCTTTCTCCCCAGTGCGAATAATGAGACAATCTTGGTTGAATATCGTCAACCCCTCTTTTAACATGTATTATATCTAAAAGAATTGAATTGTTATGACCTAGTCCCCGTACATCCCATGCAGTGCTGTATATCTAGCTTCTTAGTCATCGTTGAACTTCCCCGGGGCCCCGCCGAGGTCGCTACCTGACTGGCCATTCTCGAGTTTACATTGCTCACAGCCTATGATGGGCCGGGGTTCGAACCTTTAGGCCCAAAGCTGAATCATTTAAGTAAAAATACGTGGCTCGACCCCAAAAAGACATCAACTCGGCTTTGCGTTGAAAAGGTTGGAGTCTTGGCATCATGGACAACAAGGATATTTCCTTCACAAGCTTTGGCTTGGTGGTGCTCGACGAAATTCGCCTCCCCAACCAGAAACCCTTAACCAATGTACTGGGTGGATCCGGAGCTTACGGTTGGTTTTGTCTGCAAGATTTATATTTAAACAACCGTATTCCTGGTTGACGTATCCTTCTAGCAACTCTAGGTGCTCGGTTGTTTCTGCCTACTCCACTGAACCGCTCGTTGGCCTGGCCGATCCATGTTGGAAATGACTTTCCGGACCGCATTGCAGAACTCTTACATGGCTGGGATACAAATTTGGTGATAACAAAAGAACCAGACCAGCCCTCGACTCGAGGCTTACTGGAGTATCAAGATACCACATTCGGACGTAAGAAAAGTCTTTCCATTTATCATTGTTCCGTCGCCCTTACTATATTAGACTGTACTAACTTGCCGATGATTCTGAATTCTAAATCCATGCTCGCCAAGCCAACAAATATGACATATAAACACAAGCTAACTTCAAGTTATATTCTAGCAAAGAATTTCAAGTACACCACGCCGATTCTTGAAATTCAAGAAAACGAGTTGTCGGGCACCGCTTTGCTAAATTCGAAAGTGTATCATTATCTTGCTAGTCCCCAAGATATGAGAACACGCGTTCTAAATATGCTCGCTCTTCGAGAGGAGGCGGGTATACAACATCGTCCTTTGATCATCTGGGAACCAGCTCCCCTTTCATGCAAGCCGGAGAACCTCCAAGACTGTCTAGCGGTTGCGGCTTTAGTCGACGTGTTTAGTCCAAACCACTTAGAGCTGGCTGCATTGTTTGAAGATATCCCGGGCACTCCTGACAGAACCGAGATTGAAAGGTTGGCTTTGAAGTTGCTAGCCAACGGAGTCGGCCCGGAAAGAAAGGGTTCGGTGATTATCCGAGCTGGTGAAAATGGCTGCTTCATTCGATCAGGCAACCTCATCTCCAAATGGCTACCTCCATTTCATATAGCAGAGACTGGAGAAGAGCAGGCAACCAAAGTGGTTGATCCGACTGGAGCCGGAAACGCATTTCTGGGAGGCTACTCTATTGGGTATCTCCAAACGGGTGGTGATATAGTCCAGGCGGCTTGTTATGGGTCTGTTGCAGCATCATTTGCATTAGAGCAAGTAGGAATGCCGGAGAAGAGAAATGAAGGTGATGAAGAGTTATGGAATGGGGCGAGTGTTCTTGGAAGATTGCATGATTATAGAGCTATGCAGTTGACTACCTTGACAGAATAAATTAATGTGCGAAGAGAGCAGTCAAAAGCGGCACAAGAGAGGTTTTCCGGCTCCAAATAGTTCTTACTTCACACTCGGAACAGTCCACGATTACTCACACATTAACCTTGCCCGAAAACTATATCTCACACAGTGCTGTGTAGATCCCTGGATATTACAAGGGAACAGCAAGCAGTTTAGATATGTTCATCTCCTACGAGCCATATTTTGAATCTGCATCAAAAGAATAAGCTTGCTGTTTGGCACAATAGTAGGAGGGCGCTCATAGAAGAAACGCCACAAGTCCTCTACCGATCCGCTCCAGCCTGCGTAGAAATGTGTGTCCATGAAAAATGCCATGTCCATTCTCATCCAGCCAACATCCGCACAGTCTCGAGTAGGCTTCGCTTGATTCTGCGACTGTTCACTCGACCAAAAGCCATCGACGAAGTTGGCATGGCCTGAACCATTGGGGCCACAGCTGCGCAAAGCATCCTCGTCAATTTCGAAGAAGAAGCGATATCTTGGAACGGGCTCATTGTCATGTAAGAGCTTCTAATCAGCGCGTGGGTTCTCAGCGGAGAAGCTATTAGCCACCCATTGCTGGAAGTGGGCGCGTAGCTCCTCCTTGGAAGCTCCATCAAATTTTGCCTTGTCTTCGATGAAGACGAATTCGAGTTGATCAAACATGGCTTCATTGAGTTCTGGTCGGGGGTCAAGGCTAATGATTGAGCGCACTGAAAGGTTGATGGTCCGCTTAAACATATCCCACGCTTCGTCGTCTTCATATGTGGTCCGGTAGAAAACCCAGCCCCATTTTTCTATTTTTCGATCCTTGAGCTCGTAGAGTATAATTTCAGATGAAATCCATTTCTGTCTGAGAGCAGTTGATAACTGGAAGCTTCGTCGTGATGAAGGCAGAGGAAATTTGGAGAGTGGTCTGCTTTGGAACGAAGCAGCGGGTGGATTAGGGCGCACAGAAAGACATAGCCGAGAGGGAAGCAGAGCAGGCGAATGCCTGGGAAGGAGTGCCCTCATTAACATTTTATGTCCTTTGATCAAGTTTTGGGATGAAGATGAAAATATAGGGGATAGAATACGTGTCGACACGTCGACTCCTGGGGCCGACTTTGTATCCACTAGTCCAGATGCGCTCTAGGAAAAGCTTCATCGGAACAAGCTATTTTAGGAATACAACTAGATTGAAATTAGATATTATTTCCAAATGGCACTTAACTCGTGTTCAATGCTGTCTGCCAATACAACTTCAATTTTACTACAGGGTTGAAATACCTGGTGCCACGTTTGCCAGGCCGAACCTTGAGGCTTTCTCAACATGAAAGACATTCTCACGTATCTTACATTCAAAAAATACTTCCAGTCATCCCGAAATGAAATAATAAGGCGGCGGCCCGCACCCTTATCAAGATTATGTTTTGCTTCCTTCGCATACCATCCGATAAATGCATCCAACTCAGAACCATTCGTGACCAAAGCCGACTTTCCAGGGTGCCACGAAAGGGCTATACACTGGCCCAATGTATTATCCTCATGTGGCCTCAGAACAAGCCCCGACTCATGAGCAAGAAGGTTACCTTCCCCTTGGGCCACAACATGCACGCTATCGTTCAAAATATCTGACTTGAACACGCAGCGGCCAACGAGGTAAGTCAATACTAACATAGTCTCCGCAATTGAAAGCCAACAGAATTTCCTGTTGGTGTGGATTCCTCCTGTATAGCAGTCATGGCAATAACACAAGGCCCGGAGATTCTTTGCAGCGCGCTCATACTCGCTGGATATATCGGTCAAAGTGCGTGTGCTACTGTGGGCCAGGTCTTGCTTTGATATAATATAGAAAGGGCGCAGTTCTGATAACATGTCAGTCATAGAGAGGATAGATGCTGGAATCGATTCCAAGCGGCCTATCTCAGCCAGATGAGCCGATTATAGCAAAATTTCTAAGCCGCAAAGCCTCCCAAATGGCGCTAGGTAGTCTCCATCCGGGGTATTGGCATGTAGAGAATCCAGCTGGTTAAGCAATTCAGTGGCATCCTGCCCAGAGCAATCGCTAGGGCGGCCCAGTCTACTGAACCTTGCTGAGCAAAAGATAGCGACATTGCTGCACGCCCAGATGGTTATATTCAATGTCAAGAGACCGGTTTGCAAGGAGTTGGAGCGGCTTTCGACAAGTGATAGACGAAGAATGCAATGGTAAAATGATGGCCAAGGAAATGATGGCAAGGTATATAATCTGAGATGGATATTTCTCCTCTGAAAGAAAGCGCACTGTAGCGAGTGATAGAGACAAAATGAGGGTGTGGCATGAGGGGTATCAATATGCGGACGAAGCTGCCTAAATATAGACTGACAGTTGCCCGAAGGTAAACTGCAGATCTAACCCTTTTCGGGTATCTCTTGGGACTAAGCGGAATATCTACTGAGCTATACATATGAACTAGAGCCCATTACTACCTTTAATATTTGCAGTAAAGCAGAATTTTCCCTGAGACGATGATGGGATATAACTTGAAACAATAATCAGAAAGCTATATTTCAAAGAACGTATCGAAAGTTTGGGTTCTGTCAACTGGTCAGTTAAGATATCACAGAAATAAATGATATACAATTACTGACCTCAAAGTCAGTTAGATCTGCCCCAGCACTCTCATCATCAGATGACCTGACCTGGCCAACAGTAGTAACTGCGGCGTCTCGCTGCTTATTTCGGCGAGCTAGCATAAAACGTAACAAGACAGCCAAAGCTGCTTGCGCAGACGAACATGCCAGGATAAGCTTGACTCCAGTCTGATATATGGGCGCTTCCTCTGCCAGAAACGCGTGGGGTCCAATGATATTGCCGGCACAGTACGCCAAAAACACCAAGGCAACACTGGTTGTACGCTTTGTATAGCCACCAAGATTCGTTGCCGGCATCTGCAAAGCCAGTACCAAAGAGCAGACATATGCACCAATAATATAATAACCAAATAAAACGCCAACCTTGTACGTCTTATGGTCCAACTTCCATAGGAGGCAAGCGCCGATGATAGTCGGTATCAAGTAAACGAACATGACGACAGTTCGGAAATTCTTGATTCGAGATGCAAGATATGTTCCCCCGAGGACATAAAAGATCTGGAATCCGCCAAAAGGAATACCCAAAGCGACAGCAGTGGCTGAATTATCGGTCAATCCCTTTATAATCAGCTTGCCGAACCCTGCGATCCCACCATTTACAACCTCGTTTAGAAGTGTGAACAAGAACAAGATCCAGACCTGTGGATCTATCAAAGCTTCGCGAATCTGATACCACTTGATTTGGTGGTTGATGATACCAGTCTGACCAAGTCGACCACGGCCAATGAGGAGTGCCTTTTCGTCCAGAGTGAAACGCTTGGATGAGACAACGTCATCTGGGAGGAACAGAAGCATCACAATGCCCCAGACAAGGGTAATGCCACCCAGGATGAGATAGATAGCCCTCCATACGGCGATGGTATCGATTTGTCCAATTCCGTACGTGAGAATGCCTCCCACCATAGCTCCTAGTCCGTTGCAGCTATAGAAGACACCGGCACGGAAAGGTTGCTGAGCACGTGTGTACCACATTCCGATCATCATCATAAAGCAAGGGGTAACTGGGGCTTCGAATACCCCCAGAAGAAAGCGGCAAATAGCCATTCCGGTGAAGGAGGAGGAGGCGGCAGTAATCATGAGCATCGCTCCCCAGGCAATAATGTTCCCAGAAACGACTTTGGCAAGCTTGGTTTTCTGTGCGAGCATGCTCCATGGGTATTCAGCTACAAGATATGCAAAATAAAAAATACTGGCAAGCCAGCTGTATTGGTCGCTTGACATATGTGTGGAAGAGAGAAGGTCGAACACGGCAGAGTAGGCGAGTGCTGATTTGTCAATATACTGGAGCATATATGTCCCAGCAAGTAAAGGCAACAACACCAGATCTACTTTGCGGACCAATGCCTTGTTGCGTGTCTCGTCATCCAGGAGTGCTTGGATGGCGTCGTGATTGAATCCATGTTGACGGAGGAAGACCTCCCCTTCATCGAGGTCGGTTATTGTGCCAATTTGCACATCTTTCTTGTTGATGATATCGTCCACTGTTGCTTTCTTATCGATCTCCATATTCGCAATTCAATGAGCAATAGACAAAAGAACGAGAATTTCTCTTATATAGGGACTTCAGATACCCCTCAAAGTCTATTAAGCCGGCCATTTCCCCTTTATCTCTAGACTTTACTGACTCTGCCAAGTTGATCCACCAAGATAGTCCCGCAAGATAGACCCCCAAGATAGGCTCCCCCCCCCCAACAGAGATAAGTCCCCCGCAGCCCCCGCACGGTCTAACTTCGGCACTACTTTTGAACACCGGAGAGATAGCGGAGAGATAGCGACCCCCCACGGTGCTATATCTTACTCCCGACCCCCAACTCTTATCCGAATTGTCGCCCTTGATTTCCCTTGATTTCCCTTGATTTGACATTAATCCTTAATAAACAATGACTATTGATACCAAGCCACCTTCCGTCACCCTGGTGCAAGGTCATGTGGTGGGGACCCAGCTCAACGACTCTTTTCCCCAACCTGTAGACGCCTTCTTGGGAGTCCCATATGCCCTTCCTCCTGTAGGAGATCTACGCTTCAGACCAGCAGTCAAGGTTTCGAGCTCACTAGATACTTTTGATGCGTCCAAGTATGGCCCTGCGGCTCCTGGAAAGGCACTTCTCTCTGGAGGACCGAAGCTTGTTCAAAGTGAAGACTGCTTGACAGCGAACATCTTTCGACCGACTGGGAGCAAGGATACTGGCAAGCTCCCTGTCGCAGTCTATTTCCACGGTGGTGCTTTCAATCGGGGATCGGCAGCCATGCACAATACCGCGTCCATGGTGGCTTGGTCAGAACGCCCTTTCGTTGCCGTGAGCTTTGGTTATCGCATTGGAGCTCTTGGGTTTCTGCCTTCGAGTCTTTCGCAGAAGGAGGGGTTGCTAAATCTCGGATTGCGTGATCAGGTGCATCTACTGCAGTGGGTTCAAGAGAATATCGCCAATTTCGGCGGTGACCCTGCCAACGTCACTTTGTTTGGCCTTTCTGCGGGGGCACATTCAGTGAGTTTCCCAGTTTCTGATTTCTCTGATCTTCAATATTGACCAAGATCCAGATTGGTCACCACCTCCTCAATTACGACGAACACAAATTGCCATTGTTCCATCGTGTCATCATCGAGTCTGGAGCACCGACTTCCCGTGCTGTTCGCCCATATAACGCCAAGGTTCATGAGGACCAATTTGCAGGCTTCCTACGAGAGGTCGGTTGCCCAGAAGATCTAGCCGAAGAGGAAATATTCCCCTTTCTACGTTCGCTTCCCAGCTTGACTGTCACAAATGCTCAAACGGCTGTTTTTGACAAGTACAACCCCTCCCTTCGGTGGGCATTCCAGCCCGTTATTGATGGAGATATTATCCCGCGCAAGCCCCTCGAGGCATGGCAATCAGAAGTCTGGAATAAAGTACCCATCATGACCGGGTTCAACAGCAATGAGGGAACAATGTACGTGGACAAGAAAATGTCCAATTCCACCCAGTTCCGCGACTTCTGGAACAATCTTCTGCCTGAGCTCTCGTCGTCTGATCTAGATACAATTGAAAAGCTCTATCCCGACCCAGCCGTTGATTCCACATCACCCTATGTTGAAAGAAGACAGGGCGAGGGCCTCGGACCTCAATATAAGCGCATTGAAGCTGCCTACGGACACTATGCATACGTGGCACCGGTCCGCCAGACAGCAGAATTCGCATCATCCCAAGGTGCTCCTGTGTACCTTTATCACTGGGCGCTACCTAGAACTGTTGTCGGTCGAGCGAACCATGCCGATAATATGTATTATGAGACCTATAATAGTGACATTACGGGGATTTCAGAATCACAAAAAGAGCTGTCTGGCACACTTCATGCCTATTTGACTAGTTTCATTACAACTGGTGATCCAAATGCTGTGTCTGGTCGATATGGGAAAAGACCAGAATGGAAGTCATTCCAGCCGGCTGATAAAAGGGTGATGATCTTTGGAGAGGGTAATGATGAATTGATCGGAGGTGACGTTGCTCCTCCTGCGAAATGTGTTGCGGATGATTGGGCAAGAGAAGAGACTGAATTTTGGTGGTCGAAAGTTCCGATTTCCCAGCTTGCCTGATGTATATACAACAGAGACATTCCATGTATGAACTGAACCCTCGGGGATTGGCGGGGTTTCCATTATGTGCGAAAAGAAGACGCTAAAAATACTCCGTGTTGGTGCAAATACGAGGTCGCCAAGGACAGCCTCATAACCTAAACGAGTGCTATGTCCCGCAGCGGGGCTGTATGTCACGAGAATAAATAGTCCGGCTCCTCCGAATTTCACTCCATACCCTCTCCTCTCTATCGAAAGATATCCGCAATGGACCCCCTTTCTGTCGCCGCTTCTTTGGCTGGTCTCATCACCATATCAACCCAGATCGTCAGTATCATTCACACCATAAAATCGAAGAACAATAAAGACTTGGAATCGCTCTCTAGAGAGGTCCACGCTGTGAGGGGAATCCTATCACAAATCCAACAAATTGTTCAATTCCAGTCCACCAAAGCTTCCAAGAATTCAGAATGGCTTGACGCACTCAGCGCAACTTTGGATGACTGTGGTGATACGTATCTACAGTTGCAAAAGTCCTTGCAAGGACTGGTGTCAAGCTCGAGGCTTGAGGCGCTCAAGAAGAAAGTCAAGTGGACGCTCAAGGAGAAAGATATCCAGGACTCATTGAGAAAGGTCGAGAGCTATAAGCTTTCACTGGACTTGTTATTGTCGGTTCAAACGAGGTACATGTTCTTAATGACCAATATGACATTTAATAATAATACTTGAAAGTACTGCCACCACCAAAATTGAAGATGTGCTGGCTCAAATCCAAAAGAAGTTACTAGTTACACCCGCTGCTCCCACGACTCGGACACCCTTGTCGTGGAGAAAGAAGCTAGCGGGCTTTGAGGCAGATCCTTTACCCTCACAAACAAGCGATCAAGAAGATGCGCAGTCAGATGCAGGGAGCTCCACAGCCAGTGTTTCATACGTTATTCCAGGGCCAAATACTTCCGACTGGACTGATCCAGGAATTTTCGGAATAAACCAGGACGAAGGCAAAGATGCCCCTGACCTCAATGACCCAGGGCTTGCTTGTATCTGTGAAATGTGAGACTCCGTCAGTTGTTCTATCTACTTATGCCTAACTTACCACTTTTCAGACCTGTCGGCGCGAAAAAAATCAGCCTCTTCTGTAGCTGGGATACATATCCAGCGAACGAGATATTCACGCCTATTCGGGCACATATTTTGTTTAAAGGGCCCACACCTGGAGACTTATATTTTATTCAGCTGGAAGAATGTAAGTCTTTGCCCGCCTATTATGTTTATCGCTGACATTATGAAGCTTTCACAATACAACCCATCGAGCGCTTTGTTGTCCCAGTAGGGAAATGCAGTCTCATCATTGCGCAATGCAACACCAAGGGTGGCGTGCGCTCTCTGAGCGAGCTTGACGAACGTGATGATAACGAGGGGTTCAATCTCGCCCTTGATGAATTTGCATTGAAGTCCACCTCAGGTTCTCAGCAGGTACTTGTAAATTTTGACAGTGTCCAAGGTAGGAGCAATGTTCAATTTTCAAGATCTAGAAGAGAAACTTATCTTGGTTAGATCGAGAGAAATTCTTAGACCATCTCTATGGTATCCGATATCTGCAGCGCATGGACTTCGCATTTGGCTTGTCGAACCAGTTCTATCATCATTCGCCCTACCAAAAAAGGTACATCCGAAATACCTCGCCGTGGTATGTAAGTTTTGCTGACCCCAATAGGATCCAAAACGTACAAATAGGGTATGCGGATGGGACTGAAAAATCATACATCTATCCTTATCTATACCTCGATTATCCTATAGAGGGTCGATCTCTCATGCTTGCATGTGGAACCAAGCCGAATAGCGAAGAGGCGGTAGTATTCAAGGAAAACAGTAAGCTGGTCACCAAAAATTGGATATGAGAGGATGAAGTCTCACAGTTACAGTCCTCGAACTCGATTTCGAGATCGTAGGATCTGAATCCATTGTATTCACAAACCAGGATGGGAAAGCTATACATACTATATCGGCAACGGTCGGCTCCATCGATGGTAGGATAATCGGGCGTCATTCCATCTTGCTTTACTAACTGGATGATAGAGCTTCTTTGTTTGTACCACCGCCTGCAAGATGCCACCAGAGAGTGGAAATCAATCGAAGCAAGAGGGGTGGACGATTTCGAAACCAAAGCCGAATGGTAAGTAGGGCTTCTTGGACACGGCTTTTTCTGCAAGATATTAATTCTCTTCAATGATCCAGGCAAGTTGGGACTCTGGAATTTCTCAAGGATTCTATAGCTACTACAAGTTCCTTTGACAATGCTCACGTTGCTGTTCAAGTCGATCGTTTCTCGAGGCGAATGAAAATGGAAATCTCGACAAAAGACTCACAGAAGATATTGGCTTCCTGTCACGGTACTTTCATTACATTCTCACTGGTTATTTCTATAATGCTAACCTTTTGTCTATCTAGTCATGACTTCATCTATTCTGTTCTACAAAGAGCACTTCAGAAAGGATGCACCAGACTTCTTTACTGATCCCTCCGTACAAGCCGGCTTTTGGGACTTGAAGAACGGCGCTCCTACTCCTGACAACTTTCATGCAGGACAGGTAAGGATCCATGGCCCCAAGGCAAAGAGAATTTGTGACGAGCTGGAAGAAATTGCGGAGAATTGCAAAAGAGATACCAAGGATGCACAGAAGAGATTCTTAAAGATGGTCGGTTAAGCATGAGATTTTGTTTGGGCACGCTCTCTTCCTGGCCCTGTTTGTCCTATAACTGCAAAGTGTTGAAATTTATAGCTTGAACCTAGTACAGAGTATGTATGGTGAGATATTGATTCTTGCAAACATGGTTTTTTTTCACTATGGGAGTATGAATGGTATGCTATCTCATCTCTCATTGCCTGGCCAGATGTCCATATCTATGGACTTCTTACCTCTGTAGATATAGAAATCCCCCAAAGTGAAATAAATGGAGCACTGTATTCAGTGAGGGGAAGCAGTTACCTGCAGTCCGAATTGTGATGCCATCCTTCGATATGAACTAGATGCAGGTTGTATGTAGGAATGGGTGATCAGACTATCAACTCTACATCAACCCCGCTAATCTTGAAGTGTGAGTTTCGGATCCCTCCAAGGTTGGCCTCCAGGGCTGCAATAATGACGAATGGCTAATATCTTATTAACTAGAATTCTCAACACAGAACAGTCAATCGCAGTCTGTCTTTAACTTTGAATTTGAATTATAGGTACGCAGTGGTATATGTCTTTTGTAAAAATGAAGCCTTTTCCGCCTTTGTTTTGCCGTCGACCTATCTAAGCAGAATGATATCTGAGAAGACTACTGAAAGACATTACAAGGCCGTTTACATATGTGGCCAATTATTCTTGTGTATTGTAAATCGTTAAGTACCAAAAGGAAGCTTTTCACACTATACAAATCCACGTATCTCCACTTTTTGAGGTGATTAAATGTATAATGGCAAAAAGCTCATTTGCATGTTGATAAACCAACTCAAAAAGCGGAAATGTATGGATTTGTATAGTGCTCAAAGAGGTTCTACCTACCTAGGTACCTTGATTATAATCTGTAGTACAGGAGTACCTATAGCCTTGGATTGGAAGGAACGGTGGCGAAGGGTGCACATCACGTGGGTCTTTCCAACCTTCCTAAATAAGCAAGCCGTAAGGTGCGAGTGGTTATATTCAACTTTAAGGATGTCTTTTCGCCCTTCGGGGCATGGTATGAAGTAGCCTGGCGCCTGCACTGAAGGTCAATCAAAGAGAAGATACCCATTTCTTTTTTTACTTATGTTGTACACGTCCATTTCTGAGGGTTGTACGGAAGTGAGTCCATTTACAGTGTTTAATTGGTTATCACGCTTTAGGGTTTTCACGTGACGGTATCCACTCGTGGACGTCGCTGGTTCGAATCGGCCAATAGAAGAACATTGTCATTACCCACTATGTTTCCCCAGTTGGTTTAGGCCTTCAACAATCTTCGGTACCTACCATGCAATATTTGACCTTAGTAATTCAAGTATATTGTTCGATCTTAATTCAAACATCCAAGAAATAATCAGGCATATAGCCATCAATTTTGGCTAAAAAGGGGACTTTGTCACATGGCCCCTAGACCGCTGCGTATATAGGGCATAGTTAAATCCTGACATACAGGCGCCTATTTAGGTCAGTCAACTTAAGTAGTTGTAAGTGAGGATGACTTGAAGCAAAATTGTCCTCAATCATTAACTTATGTACCTTCTTGCACCCCATGTTTTCATCAATATCTTTATCACTTTCAGTACCAATTCATAGAGTTCATCAAAATCAGCCTCAATATTGAATGTGATAATGATCAGGATGTCCAAAACATGATTCTCTTACTGCTTCTTCTACGGAAGGCAAAAGTGGTTCGCCTTTTACCCAATACGCCTGAACTCCCAATCAACCTCAGCTTTTCGGAGATTGCGAATCTACATTTCACACTGGCATATGCAATACAAAGAGCCAGAAAGCATGAATGAAGAACGGTAAATAACGGTTAAACCGCAAGTGCTTGGATATGAGCGGTTGGATTACTAGAGGACTGCGGAGTAACTACGACCAAAATGACCCCCCTCCCATCCCCCGCACCACTTCTGTGATAGCCGAATATATGGACAATATGTATCAACCTAAGATCAATATCATGACTCGGGACACTTTCTAGTCAGGGCAGGAAGGTATCTTGTCATACTTTGAACTCAGCTAAAGTATGACCGATTCTGATAGAAGGACTTCATATGGTCCACATATATTTAGCCCTCTACTTATATTATATTCTATGCAGATATATACAACGGCGCCACAAGTCACCTCCCAAATACATAGCACAAAATTTACTGAACAATCTTCGTCAAAAGCTTGCCCGTATTGGCCCCCTCAAACAATTTCATCCATACAGCCGGCACCTCCTCAAACTTGGCCTCGACAACCGTCTGCATTGAGTCATCGATAATGATCTTTCCTTCCATCCAGGCCTGACAGAGCTCCGCAACGACATCACCGAGCTTGTGGATGTAGTCGGTCACGATGAATCCGGTAATGTTGATGCGCATGGAGACGACCTCGAAGAAGTTCTTGATGCCGGTAGGGTTAGGGGTGTTGTAGTTGGAGATTGTGCCGCTAAACAGTATTATTAGTACCTAGGTGTCGGTGTTGCGAGATGGAACAGGACGTACCAGACAGCGATGCGGCCGTGGCGCTTCATGCGCGTGAGCATAAGGTCGAGGATTGAACCGCCGACGTTGTCTGTAGTATATCAGTCACCTATTGGACTTGATATGTGGTGAGTGAGTGGCGTACCATAGTAAACCTCGACAAAGCCCTCGGTGGCCTTGATGAGATCCTGCTCAAAGGTGTCCTTCTTGTAGTTGATACAGATGTCCGCACCGAGCTTCTCAACCCAGCGGCACTTCTCGTCTGTGCCGGCAATACCGATCACCTACATACATATTAGCATTCTCTTCTACAACCCAGATACCCCTTGAAGGTAGAAGTTACGTACCCGCTTGCACCCGATGATCTTCTTCGCAATCTGCACAACCATACTTCCGGTCGCGCCTGCAGCGCCAGAGACAACAATCGTATCATCCTTGGTCGCCTTTGCAACCTCCTTAATGCCATAGTATCCAGTCAACGCGGTAAATCCCAACGCACCAAGGAAGTGTCCTAAATCAAGACCCTCAATCGGCTTGATTACCTGAAGCCCTTTGATCTCATGCACCGAGTACTCACTCCAGCTCGTAGGAACCACAGCAAGGTTACCGACAGCGAGCTCGTTGGGCGAGCCAGACTCCACGACCTCGGCGAGGGCAAAGCAGCTCATGGGGGCGCCCTGGGGGACGGGCGGCAAGTACATGCGCTCTGGGTCGAGGCCGGGGGTGATCCAGGTTCTTTGAGCGGGGTCGTTGGAGAATAGGACGTTCTTGAGGACGGCTTGAGTGGCGGTGGGCTTAGGGAGGGAGGTGGATTCGAGCTTGAAGGTTGCAGAGGGGCCCGAGAGGACAGGGTGACCGGTGGGCTGGTTGGCCAGGATCCATTGTTGAGTCGTGGATGGCATTTTTGGGTTGTTTTGGACGGTGCCTTTGACGGGATATCGTTATGGGCTGTATAGGGTAGCGAGGAGGTCGTATGAAGCCTTATATGGAAGGTCAATAAGTGACGTTGAGCTATGGGTCAACGATCGGGAGCTGTTCTACTTACGTGTACCTGGATTTTACCTGCTGTTAATGGGTAAAGAAGTAATAAATAAGGGGGTTCAGGAATTCGGGAGTCATTCGTCTATTGCCGACTATCGGGCCTTGGGCCGGCCCCACCACCGGCATACCACTTGATAAAACTGTGACATCTATAATGGATACATGTCCACGGGTGCTCCCGAGCATTATAATTCATTATTGATTGTGATAAAATCCGGGAGCCCGCCATTTGGGACCTTTATAATCATATGTACGATGTATCGACGCTCATGAGATCCTGCGAAATTCCACGTGCCCCAAAATATACCGTATCTCCGGAGCCGCAACCTAGGCTTGGACCTCGGGAATTCGTCAGCCCACGTGCAGCTGTCATATGTACCCCACACATATACCATGCGGAACCTTAAAGTTAAAAGTTTATGTGCATAAAACTTTCACCAAAGTACTTTATACCAACTCCTTGCATCTCTTACTTGTAGTACTGTGGTCTTGAACAATTTTACCGTGTCATGCAATGAAGATGGCTATATCTTGATGCCGAACTTCGCTCTCTGTGGCTTCTCGACTCTAGCATTCAGAGTGTCTGCTCAAATCCCATCCAAACACACACGATTCTCTTACGGTAGCGCTACTGTTGCTATCTAACTGCATCGTATGTTATTCAATAAATCCGGTTTTTGTCCTCTAGTTTGTACTCTTATGCGAGTTGATCGAGGCTCGAATGACACTATAAGATCGACATCCATGGATCATTTATAGTCAATTATCATTGAAGAAAGCCTCAAATGCATTGCTGTTGATATTATATCCAGAGATATGGTAATGCGATTCGAAACATTTAGGTGTCTAACCCCACTTAGTCTCAATATCAATATCAGTTATTTCCTTCTCTTTCTCATCCATCTACTGGGCCGTTTGGTCTATGCTTTGTTGCTGTAACATCTCCGCCTCCAGTCTGTCTTCTTGCTGCCGTTCTAGCCTTGCTTCGTGTTCCTTTATCGCTTGCTCTTTTAGCCTCTGGCGCTCTCGATCATCCACCCTCGCTTTTGCTTGGTCTATGGTTTCACCTTCACGGACAACCCATCTTCCATAACCAGACCATGCCTTCCCGTCGTGTAACAATTTCGTGGCCATGAATTCCTTGAGGTACATCCAAAACGGGATGATTGTATCTTCGATGAGGTCCGCTGGGCTCTTGATAATAAACCACAATTCCTCAAATAGATCGGGTTTGGCAATAGCTCGGGGATCATCCTTATGTAGTCCACAGAATATCGCAAATTCTGGCTGGAGCCCTGGCTGGAGCCCTAGCTGGATTCCCTTCTCTATATAAGCCTCTATTTCTATTTGATTAGCTGAGAGCCGCATATCGCACCAAGTGGAAAGACTCACTATGAGTATGTTCAACCGCTTCTTTGTCATTGTACGTTTCTTGAATGAACAAATCCACCATTTTTTCAATCAGAGGGAAGGTAATGTGACTGATGCCCTTGCAAGAAACATCATTGTCATATCCACACCTTGGTGCTTGAAAGTCTGGATACAGTTCATTGAACTTTTGTTCCAGCTCAATAACTTTTTTATCAGCTAGTCCAACCCATCTAAGACACTCTTGCGTATCAGAAGGGTCTGGTAGGGTCATGCCAGGTCGGTAATTGCAATCTGCAAAGCCGTTGGGGTGGGGGATAGGACCAATCGACGGGTGTATCGTGCCACGGGATGTTCCAATCTTCACAAGTTCAGGGGTCCATTCGAAGTTGATATGTTGGGTCTCCTCGGTGTCACGTTCAGAGTGACCCTGATGCTCGGTGTGATCCTCGCGTTCAGGGTGATCCTCTGTATCACTCATCTTGCAACACGATCAACTAAGGGAGTGAGGAATGGGAGTCTGAAGGAATAAATGGAATAAATTAGACTGAGAGTAAAGGGAAGGTGTTGCGTGGTATTTGTGGTGCGGGGTACTGCGATGATGTTCTAAGCTTAAAAGGTTCTAACCGGCCCCATAATCTTTTTACAAAATGGGGTACGACCGTTCGTGTCAATAGGGCACGAGAGCGTACTCCCTGACAACCTGCTGCTGTTGCTGAATCTCGGCAAAGAGATGTTGTTATAGGGCCAACTGCGCACGTGCAAACAGGAGATCTACTACGTAGGACATACAATCGTTCCTCTGGTCCCGCATATGAGTCTGCATTCAGCCCCGCGATGGAGCGGTCATCATCTGAAGACTCCGAAATTGATGATCACCGAAGAGGACCGATGTCCAGCAGCTTCGGTTCGAAGGCAGGGCACTAGACGAAGTCGTCAGGCTGCCGAGACATGCGAGGCCTGCACGCGATCAAAGGCGGCGTTGAGGAAAATGCTACATAACCTAGTGGCCATGTCAATACTATTGAGAACAGCCTTTGTTCAATTTCTAACCTTTTTACCATATGGATCCAAACCGCCGCTCTCCTTGGGTGATATGACAGAAGCTCTCTCGTTGTGAGATCAAATGGTTGGATAGCCAAAATTCAGGGCTTGTCAGTTTTTATGTTATATCAGTGGAGTAACTGTCAATCTTTAAATGTCAATCTTTGTTACTGTTGTTATTATTCTTCTTGTTAGTGATGTTGCTCTTGTTGTTGTTACTGTTCTTGTATTTTCATGCTTTTCATCAATCAATATCTCTTATCACGTTTGCTCCTACGCTTGGATATATACTTCTTTCAGGTTTGCTCTTCTTAGGCTGTTCTGATCACAGATGTGGTTGATGGATACTTGCAGATCGGGAGGAAAACAAAAGGAAGGTCAATGATCTATTATACACAGTAAATGATCTGGGACGTCTAGGAATAATCCCAGCAAGTTGTCAGAACAATATAACACGCACAACAAGGGTCTTCGCACCGTCAAACCAGTGTTTAACCCTGTCGGATCTTCTTGAAGGGTCAGCTATCCACGAAATTATGAGCGAACTTTTATTATTGGTCTTTAAGGTATACATCGGGCTTGTTGCCCTTATGCGTTCCCCTGTATAGTCCTACGCAGTTCTCAGACCGCCACCTCTCCCAAGCCAGTAATTTATAGGTAGCCCATTTATCTTATTACGCCTTCCATGTATCACAGTGGACAGCGACCACAAATTCATGATCATATTGTAGGCTTATATGCCACACTTGTTGTCCATTCAGACAATTCCTAGCATTCTGGGATGGTATAAAATAGATAGTTTTACGTTGGTTACCATGTATAGGTAGCGGCTTTATAAGAGTAAGTGCCACAATGAAGCGAGCCGAAAGATTACCGACTTTTTGATCGAATAAATTTGTAGAACCTGGTTACTTGCTTCATATTCATTGGCCAATTCTATAATATCTCTCAGTTTTCCTCCATATAATAGCTCTTTCCACGTCGGGAGACCACCGCGGGCAACGGAGGGCCCCAAACCCACCTATAAGTTTTTGATTCTTGACATTGGGGTTGGTGATGGGAATTGCGATGCGAATGACATCCGTTCCCCATAAGGGGCGTATGATGTATAGGACAATTGGAACGCCGGGTTTCGGCATATTCTAGTATCCTGTCATCCCCCTCGAATCTAACGGCTTTTATGTTGCTGCCGCACCCGTCCTCATGTGACTTACACACAGTAACACGAGCAGAGATACCTTGTGCCGTTGGTGCATCATGTTGGTGGACACGGTGAAACGAGTCATTTGGGCTTCTTGAGTGGAAGTGTTTCCCTCGGGGTGGGTCATGCTGTCGGTCATTGGAGTGGATCTGAGCACGGCAATGGCCATTGTGGTAGTGGTGCTCTTCGTCTTCACTCGAGTCTGGAGATCGAATTCGTGGATGGAGGCGAGTAAATTGGGCTTCATGCTGATCATGGCAGCAGCTCTTGTGGTGTTTGTGTTCAACACGGGGGTTGGATTCGACGTTGTTCCTGTAGTTTGTTTAGTGGCGAGGGAATACACATGCAACCCAAGTACAAGTCAACTCTTACATTGTGAGGCAGGGACCCTGGCCTCGAAAGTGAGGACAGAAATAACAATGAACCATTTCTTTGGTACTTGCGCCTTGACGCAGGTGATATGGCTGGGGTTCGATGGTATCGCCCTCACTGCCGTTTACATGGAGGTGATGGTTGTCTCTTGAGTAGGGCGTGGCTTGCTGGGTGTGACACTGGTAAGGGTGGTCATAAACGTCTCTCTTTTGTCGCATCTCTGTTCGACGGTATTGTTGAGGAGGAATATCCCTTCTCAATTTTCTCTGCCGATACATATGAGGATGATGCATGTGTGAATCAAGAGACGGGACATATCCAAGGTCGAGAGATATATTCGGCCACAAAGGCGGACTCCCGATTTGGATGTCCTTCCTGATTCCCCTCACAAGGCCTGAGTGACGAGGAAGTGCAAACAGCCCGTGAAATACTTTCAATTACAACTAGGTAGTTACCCGCTTCATCTTGTGATTCTTCAACCCCTCGGATCCCCCAAGTGACCTGTCTAAGCCGAGCTTGCTTTTTTCTCCTCTTCTTGCTTGATACGCGGCCCCCTTCAAAATGTACGTTCTCGAATTTTCCGAAGATTTTGGAGGTCCCGAAGATGACTTCGCGTTCCAAAAGACCACCATAGTCTACGAAATGTCCGGCTCAATCTACAGAGCATTCTCTAGAAAGCGATATGCATCCAAAGAAGAGATCCAGTTCGGCGACATGTACAGCACCAACAAAATCCAAGGGGCCCTCATTTTCCCAGAGTTCTCGGACGAATTCACAAAGGCAGAAAGGCCTTCGGATTGTTCCGCCTGGTATCTGAAAAAGCCGAGCCTCTCACCCTACAGTCCCCAATATCCCGCTTTGATCAGAGAAACTTGGATAGAAGAAGTGAAAACCTGCGAACTTCTGAAGAACAACCCGCACCCGAATATTGCCCAATACCACGGCTGTGCCGTTGTCAGCGATGGGTCAATCAGGGGTATTTATTTCACAAAGTATGATGAAACGCTCATGGCCAGAGTAAACCCTACCAGAAGCAATAAGGTAGACTTTGCAAACCAGAGACGCGGTGCTGACCGAGAGGAGGTCGATCGTTGGGTGGAGGGAATTGCACGGGGCCTGAGACACCTCCATGGGTTGGGGATTGTCCATAATGATATCAACCCGTGCAACATCATGTTTCAAGGCGATACTCCTGTCATTATTGATTTTGACTCCACTCGGCCTCATGGTCATGATTTGAGCTTGGTTAAGCGCACACAGGGGTGGCATAGTGAGAAACCCAAAGTCGCTTTGCCAATCAATGATATCGCTGCGTTACTGGAGATACAGTTATGGCTCTTGGGGGAAGTGGATCAGTTTCAATTTTGAAGTCTGAACTTTGAAGTTGTTTGCTTCAAATGCAGTTTGATGGTTTTACTTGACGTCGTGGCCCGGTTGTGGGGTATGGGGGAATTGAAGGTCAACAATTGGCCGATATTATCGGACTATCTGCAGCATACGGCCTTGAATCACAGTGTTTGCTACATGCGGTTGTCTCGGAAACGCCCATCTAGACAAATGAGACTATTAATCTTCACGTTGGGTCATGCAATACGCCCCCAGCAGGATGGAGACACGGGGAGTGGCTTCATCACACCTCGATATACTTGGTTTGCTAGATAACAGAGATGCCCAGAGCACAATTCTTCAATCGGTCTGATATGAGAAGTTTCAAAGATAACCCGAGGGGTTGACAACAAGCGTTTATTGAATTTAAGGTTACCGATTTCTTTTTTCTTTTTCTTTAATACACTCAGAGCTTCTCGCTGCTGTAGCCAGAATAATGAAAAAGATTTGCCCCAACTGCAGTATACCATGAAAGACACAATCCCTACAAGGCGTCTTTGCCAAATATAATATGTGACGTTTCAATAACAGGTGGTGGAGCTACTTTAGACACAGGTTTCTTCCTCGCCCCAATGAAGGTCTTCATTCAACGTTCAGAATGTTACCAGACGAAGTGGAAAGCTGCTTGCTGTATGTCATCGAAGGCGTAAAGCGCTGTACCCATTCTTCCCGAATAGCGAGGAATGTATCGCAGACTGCTTTGACGGCGTCTTCGCGAGAGTCTCCGCAACTCTCGATATAAACTATATCCATCTGTCAGTGACCTGTTTGCTTGAGATGGACTGGAAAATGTACATTTAACCTTGGGCTCTGTTCCCGAACCTCGGAATGTGAAGCGAACCCCACCATCCAACCACAGTGTAAGCATCTGACTTGTTGGATCTTCGGGTAGGTCAGGCTTGTTATCAGGAGTGCTGGAGTCATAGCCCTCAGTCAAGTCCCTCCATCGCAAAATCTTGAATCGACCAAACTGCATATTCGCGAGGCCTGAGCTGCCCCGAATGCCCTGGAACAGTGTAGAGGTGAGCTGTGGATTGGGCGATCGGAAGTAGTTATTAAGGGTTTCATGATGGCCGAATTCGCTGAACAGTTGCTGCAGCTTGGCATAGGCAGTCAAGCCCTGGGCTCTCCATTTGGCCTCCGCTGCAAGGAAGACTGCAGCTGCCGTAATACCGTCTTTATCATAGCACACAGATGGGAACATGTATCCCAGTGCTTCCTCGTATGCAAAAGAGACCGTCTTTCCTTCTTTCTCCAAGTCCCGGGCAACATTAGCCATCCACTTGAACCCTGTCAATGTCTCCGCGAAGTAAACTCCTTTTGCAGCTGCCATCTTTCCAAGCATCCCGCTCGATACGGTTGTGGTTAACACCGCGACGTGGGACCAATCTTTTCTCGCATCATACAAATCCAAAATATGGGACGCCAGAAGGACACCGACGTGGTTTCCAGTCAATGTATGCCATTTTCCACTGAAGAACACGTTAGTCAAGTTCAAGTCACGGCTGTCGGAAGGAAAATAATAAGTCTCACTCCACTTTCTCCGCTACAGCAAAGCGGTCAGCATCGGGATCATTTGCGATGATCAAGGTCTTTCCTTCTCGATCGGCGGTCTCGATAGCAAGATCTAGAGCACCAGCCTCTTCCGGGTTAGGAAACTTCACGGTGGGGAAGTTAGGATCAGGCTTTTCCTGGGCAGCAACAGATACGAAGTCCTTGATTCCAAGTGAGCGGCATAGGGTTGGAAGAACTAACCCTCCCACGCCGTGCAAAGGTGTATAAGCGAACGGTCTTGGGGGTTGCCAATCTGCCACTGTAGTTTTCTAAGATAATATCGTTAAATAGATCCCTTTGAGGAGGAATATCCCACAACGTACCATGAACTCTACGACTTGCCTACTATAGTGAGGAAGCAATTTCTGGTACGAGTCGGCACGTAGGAATTCGGAGGGCTGTAGTTCCGCCCACGCAGTCGGCCATGGCTCAAGATTCTCTTGGATCGACTGCGCTATTTCACCGTCCTCGGGTCGGTTGATTTGGGCACCATTGCTCGAGTAGCTAAGAGGCAGATATTGTCAGCAGTCCCCATGATATACAACCAGGGTTCTTACACTTTATATCCTATCATAAGGTTAGCAATTATTTTGGAACATGTAAAATTAGTAACGTACCATTGTCCTGAGGTGGATTCTTCGAGCCGATTAGCCAATATATCTGTAAAAGTAGTTTCTGGGTAGACCTACGTGGCTCGCCGTCACCATGATACCTGCAGCAGCACCAAAATGAATTACACCAAACGCTACCATCGGTGTTGGTCCTTCCTCATTGAAGAACCAAACTGGGATACGTTGCGCGATGAAAGCGTTAGCAGCGAGTGCGGCAAATTTCGCAGAATTGTGACGCGCATCGTGTCCAATAACCACACCATTCGAAGCAATGTCAGAACGTTTGTCTCGAATGAACTTGGCCAGCCCCTGTGAGGCTTGTATGACTATCAAAGAGTTCATGCAGGAGAACCCTGCGGCCATGCATCCTCGCAGACCAGCTGTTCCAAACTCAATACCTAGAGTGTAGTATACACAGATTAGATACACACTGAGAAATGCATGAAAAAAGGACGTACGATTCCGAAGCCGCTTTTCCAGCTCCTCGGTGGCGTTGGAGTCCCGCAGTTGCTCTATCTCCGAACGAGTTGTAGGATCCTATATATCCAAGTCAGCGGGGTCATGACACAAGATAAAACATGAATTGTATTGACCTGGTCCCATTGGAGCCATTGCTCAGTCAGGGAAGAAATTGATTGCTATAAAATAGTTAGAACAATGTAATATGACGCATTTGAAATTACTTACTGCCATTTCAAATGTACAAGTGTAGAAGGTTATGGTGGTGTGAAAGGTGGACAATCACATGGGCTGATCGGTCCCGCTGTTATCCACTTCCGCCCCGTAGCCCTTGAAACGTTTCTGCCTTTTGATTTCATTCTTTCTTTTGTTTGCATTGTCCACACTTCTTGCATTTGAATTGCTCTGTCTTTCAGCAATGTCATTGTAAACTCGCGTTCCAAGGTTGTTACCGGACCCTGATCCTCTCACCGCACCTACCATGGATAAGACCGCGCTCCGGCCGTCCCGGAAGGACACCCTCCTGACTCGACGATACATTGAAGGCCTCATTGCGGAGGGCAAGCATGTCATAATCTACGAGGACCGTGTCCTAAAGGTAGACCCATTCATTAAATATCACCCCGGAGGAGAGAAGCCAATCAAACACATGGTGGGCAGGGATGCGACAGATGAGATCAACGCGTATGTTCCAGAACGGCAAACATCATAACATCTGATCAGTCTCATTGAAACTCGTCTACAGTTTACACTCCCAAGAAGCCCGCCAACGCATGCCCTCGTATCAGATCGGACGAATTGAAGGAACATGGATCAACTTCCTACCCCCAATCCAGGGCGGCAAGTTCCGCACCTATACCGAAAACGCGTTCTTGAGTGATGAGGATTCCACAACGCAAGAAAGCTCCGGTGGCTCCAGTCAAGAAGGATCAATTCCTCCCTCGCCGATCTTCGATGCGGTCGACTCCAAATCTACAGTTCGTCAACGGAAATCAACCGGAACCGCTTTGACCGACCAACCCCAGGCCAAGCCCGCCTTTTTGGATGCAAGGACACGGGAGGAAATCATCTTTGACACTGCCAAGTACCCCTCACTAGATACCGCAACTCAGGAAGAGATCAAACGAAAATATCGCGAACTGCACGAGCGTATCAAAGCCGAGGGACTTTACGACTGCGACTACTATTGTTACTTCATCGAATGCTGTCGATATACAATGTTGGCAGGTCTTTCCTATATGTTCCTCCGCATGGGATGGTGGGCTACCTCAGCATTCTTCCTCGGCTGTTTCTGGCATCAGCTTGTTTTCACCGCCCATGATGCTGGTCATATGGGCATTACACACAACTTCCATGTGGATACTGTCATTGGAATGCTCATCGCAGATTATCTCGGAGGATTAAGTCTCGGGTGGTGGAAACGAAGCCATAACGTTCACCACATCGTGACCAATGAGCCAGAGCATGACCCAGATATCGAGCATATACCATTTTTCGCTATCTCGCATCGCTTCCTCACGAGTCTCCGGAGTACCTATTACGATCGAATCATGACCTTCGACGCCCCCGCTCGATTTTTACTCAAATTTCAGAATTACTCTTACTACCCTATCATGATGCTCGCTCGGTTCAATCTCTACGCCTTAAGTTGGGAGTATCTGCTGAAGGGCCAAGCCCCGAAAAGGGGCGCCGCTTGGTGGCATGTTTGGTTTGAGCTTGTCGGACAGGTCTTCTTTTGGACCTGGTTTGGCTACGGTGTTATGTACAAGACGATTCCTGATGCAAGTAGCCGCATCATCTTCCTCCTCGTCTCACACGTTGTCTCCTCCCCACTACACGTCCAAATCACATTGTCCCACTTCGCTATGTCAACCGCCGACCTAGGTGTTGGTGAGTCCTTTGCGCAGAAGATGCTGCGTACCACTATGGATATCGACTGCCCGACCTGGTTGGATTTCTTCCACGGTGGCTTGCAATTCCAAGCCATTCACCATCTCTACCCACGAATCCCGCGCCACAACCTGCGTCGTGCGCAGAAGTTCGTCATAGAGTTCTGCCGCGATACTGGCATCCCTTATGCCATTTTCACCTTCTACGATGGTAACAAGGAAGTTATCAGCCACCTTGGTGAAGTCGCAAAGCAGGTCCGCCTCATGGAGGAGTGCCGCAAGTCCATTTCCGAAGGCGGAGTCTTCTCGGATCACCACTGATACGAATTCAAGTTGTCAGACCCTTGCTGGCCAAGTACGAGTTCCCCGTATGAACATGTTATCATGACTGCCTATACCGCATTTTGTATGTGCAGAGGTATATTAACGAATCAATTGAATGTTTTCTGTTTCGATGCGTCGCTCCTGTTATACAGGCCGAACAATCTTTTTATGTAAATTACATCAATGGTCATTACCAGATATCAAAAACAGAGTGACAAACGCTCTATGCCGCATTGCATCCATATGTAACCATCTCAATCCCTTCGTAAGCTTAGCCAGGCAACCCACCGCCACGCGCCATCTTCTTCGCGCGCTGCTGTCGACGGTTGTGATTTGCCTGACTACTCTTGTTCTCTTCCTTCCTCTGTCTCGATGCCGCGGTGTCCGGCTGCCCCTGGCCGCCAGACGGAGGTCCACCACCACGTCCACGGCCTCGGCCGCCGCTACCCCGTCCTCGTCCACGTCCACCACCCCCTCTACCACCACGTGAGCCAGCATGGCCAGAAGACTCGCCCTCATCAGAATCATCTCCATCCTCACGGGGCTGCGGCCTCCTGTAAGATGTAGGACGCAACTCAGGCTGGTTTAATGACCCAGCACCAGCCAACCCACCAGCGTCCATAGCTAGCCGGTCTTCTAGTTTAGCGAGACGCTTGGGATCACGCGTTAGCATGACAGCCCAGCCCTCAATGGCCTCGTCAGTCATTTCAGTCTCGCGCTTCAACGACGCGCGTGGCTGTGAGCGGCGGGTCGCTGAGTCGCGGGCGAAAAGTCCTGGATTAGACTTGTAGGTTCGGAAGAGGACTGTTTCCATATCTGCTGCCCGGCGTTCGCGCTGGACTGCTTCGGCTTCGCCGTCTGCGCCACCTGCGGCTCCGTCAATGGCACCGCCTACATCGGCTGTATCGTAGGTGTCGTCGCGTTCGTCGTCATCTGAGTCAAAAGTTGCTAGGGCGGAGAGAATCGCTGCTTTGTTTGCGGCGTGTTTGCTGTGATCTGAGAGGAGGGTGTCGGCTGTTTGGTCTGCGCCGGCGCGGCCGAAGTGTAGTTTGCCCTTCGCTTCGCCGGAGCGGCTTAGTTCGGCGATGTCAACGTCTTCATCGAAGATATTCTTGCGAACTGGGAGTGGTGCGAATTTAGGTGATGGCATGACGGGTGGTGTTGGTTGCAGTGGGAGATGGCTATGGTGAGGTTCTGCTGGGGCAGGCAGTTGCTCAGATCGATCTAGAGACTGGAGCTCCAGGGGAAGTGAGTCGTCGAGAAGGTGGGCGACGATAGTTTCAGGGTTGTCGTTGTAGAAATCCAGTAGCCGTACGACAAAAGCTGAGCCAAGATCGGGGAAGAGATCTTGTACTTGAGTAACAAGTGACATCTTGTGTGCGTGAAGCTCTCCTGAAACAATCGGGTCCGAGGACACCTCTTTTCCCTTGTCCAACTTCTTACGTCTTTGATACCGATGGTGTAGTGACTTCGATTCCATCTGGTAGGTGCGCAAACTGGCAAGGAGGTCTTGCCCCCGTTTCTGGGGGTGAATGCTCAGATACTTGTCCAGCCGAAGAAGTATGTCCGAGCTGCAGATGAGATCAGATAGTAGAGTTGGCTCTTTCTTCATTTTCGGTGCTCCCACCCGAGCAGTAGCTTTGAGGCTGAAGAGCTGATCCAATAACGAGGACAAATTGACAGGCTCCTTCAGTAAGGAGACGAGCCCGACATAGATGTTAGCAACCAAAATCTTTCGGAACTCCTCCCGGTAACCTTTCGATTGGTAGGCTTCCGCTATCGCATCCAGGAAGTCGGAGCCCGCTATGAGCTCCTGGCCACATGCTGGCAGCACCGAAGCAAGGATGGTCAGACGCCGGATGTCAGAAATGACTTCAGGGTTTGAAGAAGAGTTGGCTGAAGAGATGTTCTTGATCACAACAGCTTTTGCTCTCTCGATACTAGAAGTGATCTTGTCACCATGTAGGTCCCAGGCACTTGATAATGACGTCTTCAAGGTTGCGCTTGAAGGGTAACAGCAAGATAGATTTCCGAGAAGTTTCCAGTCCATAATTCCGTCTGGTGGGTTAGAGAGATCCAGTATATATCTTCTTGTCGCCAGGAAGCAGAGCTTCCTAAGTTGTCGAGCTTTAGGTCCACTTTGTAGACTAGAATCCCCCGCAGCCGTGTATTGATAATAAGATCCTAGGAATGGGGGTATTGATGCATCTTCGGGTGCTGCAACCTTAAACTGTTGATCTGATGCATTCAGGCGGATCCCCAACAGGGCCATCCATGCATCTAGACAGGCTTCCCAGTCATTTGATGGGATTGTCCTCCGCACTGCGGGGGAGGGCACCGGAGCCAGCGGCGGAAACTCCGCCATTGAGGCGAACTGGGCTAATTGTAAATGAGAATATGGAAGAATATCAAAGAAGAAAGAAGCAAGAACAAAAGGAAAAACACGCAACCACCTGTCAGCTCATGATTATCATCTCGAATGCCATTACTTGGCGGTCTCATGTCCTCTTTGAGTGATGACATAAGCAAGTACTGAAAGGGGACCTAAAAGGGTTTAGCGTCTGATAACCGAAGCGCCAAGAATTTCGCACTGAACTTTTTGGATATGGAATTCTCGATCCACATCACTTCAACAGCCATCATCACTTTACCGAGCCTAGTAGTTCAGGTCTTGACGGCAATCGCCTTTTAAATTGTGCGCGCTCCCCTTTTTCTACTCTTGAAATTCCCGACCTGAATTACTAACCCGTTTCAGTCTATTCAAATTCAAGATGTCTTTCCAGAAGCCCGAGAAGGAGTTCGGCGAGGGCCCTGTACGTTGTCCCTGACCCAATGGTCACTGTCGCACATTGCTATTGCACCTCGCTGTCGCTGTCCTGTGTACAATGAGTCAATTGGACCTCACCAATTCATACTAAGTACTAATTGCTTGTCTGCTCTACAGAAGGTCCACAAGATCCGCATCACCCTCACCTCCCGCAAGGTTGCCTCCCTCGAGAAGGTCTGCCAGGAGCTGATCGACCGTGCTCGCTCCAAGTCCCTCCAGGTCAAGGGCCCCGTCCGTCTTCCCACCAAGACCCTCCAGATCTCCACCCGCAAGACCCCCAACGGTGAGGGTTCCAAGACCTGGGACAAGTTCGAGATGCGCATCCACAAGCGTCTCATCGAGTAAGTTTTCCCCTGCCCTATTGTGGCACTATCGCTCCGACACCTAGCAGATGCAGTTGCTGACCTTCCACCTTAGTCTCCTCGCCCCCACCGAGACCGTCAAGCAGATCATCATCAACATCGAGGCTGGTGTTGAGGTTGAGGTCACCATTGCCGCATAAATGTGCTAGGCTGGGCTTGACTCAGGGAGGGATCGTGGATTGGCCGATTTGGAGTGCACAGCACGACTTTGGAGCTGGTCCTGGCCCGCATGTCTTGTTTCTCGCTGCGGGGGATCCCATTTGGACCTGAAATATACAAAATAAAAAAATGGAAACATCTTGAAAAACTAAAGACAATCAGTAGTGGTCTCAGACCGTAATCTTTCATACTAACAGTGGAAATAAAGCATTTGCAATTGCTATATTCATAAATGTGTATTATTGAGCCCCATGCGCCATTCCCCATATTCGCAAGCCCAGAAAATTTTGCTCGTGATAGAATGAAAACGAGATGCACATCATCTCATCCCATGAAACATGCGATAAAGTAACAAACAAGAGGTAGAAGACAAAGAAAGACAACGACAGATAAACACTATCTCTGGCCTTTGAGGTTCAAAAGTCGAAACTGAGCCACTCCTGCTTAGGAGGTACTGCAGGAATGTTGCCATCCTTGAAGTAGCCATTCTGAAGGAAAAATTGATATGCCTCAGCGACTTCTGGGGTGTACTCCTCAGGCTTGCCGTGTGCATCCTTCAAACTAGCTGGATCAGGTGGCCCGTTAGGGAAGTTGACTCGGACAAAGGTTTTGTTGTCTTGTGGGTGAAGATAGCATGGGTGTTCGTTGATATACTTAACGGGCCGGCCCTTCCACATCACTAGTTGTTTAGTTGATGGGTTATGTCGAGTCTCCCCGTCCAGTTGTGGAAGCGGGTTGAGGTCTTGAGGATTATCGATTTTGATGTATGCACGCGGGCCGGCGTTAACATTTTGCACCGGCACACCTTGGACTGCCGGTTGACCGAAGGGAGACGGAGCAGGTTGTACAGCACTCTGGCCAAACCCACCAGTAGTAGGTTGGTTCTGAGATACCTGAGTGAAGGGAGAAGCGGTCGACGGTGCACCGAATGGGGCGGCGCCTGCCGGGGCTGAAGGTTGGCCGAATGGAGCGGCACCGGCCGGAGCTGAGGGCTGGCCGAATGGAGCGGCGCCTGCTGGGGCTGAGGGCTGGCCGAATGGACTTGGATTGACAGCTGCTTGGCCGAATGGCGACGGGGCAGGTTGTCCTGCAGTCTGGCCGAAAGGTGACGGGGCAGGTTGTCCTGCGATTTGGCCAAACCCACCAGCGGCAGGCTGGTTCTGGGCCACTTGTGTGAAGGGAGAGACGACAGATGGAGCACCGAACGGGCTCGGATTAACTCCTGGCTGAGAAAGAGCTGGCTGGCCGAAAGGTGTTTTGTTGAAGGCAGACTGCCCTCCTAGGGTGGAGGTTTGACCGAAGGCCGAACCACCCAAGGCAGAAGTCTGTCCGAAGGCCGTGGATTGGCCCATACCAGCCGGCTGCGCTGGTGCTGAAGCCCTACCGAATCCCCCTGACTGACCGAGTCCTGAAGTCTGGCCAAAGGTCGAGGAAGGGGCGCCGAAGGCTCCAGGCGCAGTCGGTGTAGGGGCGACATTTTGCTGGCCAAATGGTGAGGGTTGGCCAAATGTAGAAGGTTGGCCAAATGGTGCTGGAGCTTGGCTCACACTAGTCTGGGTCTTTCCTTGGATGATGTCGATTCGGTTGGGGTGTTCATTCCTGCCATCATTGACATATTTGACGGCACCATTCAGGTCGTTCAGCGAGATCTCCATCTGCTGCACACATTCTTGCCACAGAGCTGAGGCTTCTTGGACTGCCTGGTTCAGGTTGCCGGCTGCTGCTAATTCATAATGACGGAGGCGCATCTCTTCCATACTCCGCTCACGGTGAGCACCACCGAACAGCTGACGCGCAACATCTTTGTGGGGCGCGTATGCAGAGAAAATCCATTCAGGGCGACCCTGGCCTGCGGTCAAGTCTGACTTGATATCGCTTGCCTTAACTGCTGGGCTGCCTTATTGTCAGTTCCGAGTCCACTTGAGGCGATGGGGGTGTAACTTACTCGGGCGCTTGTTGAGTCTGGCTTTGACCTGTCGTAAACCTACTGTTAGATTTTGAAAGAACGGTAGCCTGAGAGGGCGCGTGGTGCATAGGATTGATCATATTTTTGCGCAAGGGAATATCTGTTGCACGTCGAGACTCGAAGTAGCTTGGGGTAAAACCAGGATGGGTAGGAGTATGGGTAGAAAGCAGGAGAAAAATATTGGGGGGGGTGGACAATTAACTTAGAGATCGAATATTTTATCTCATACAATAGATTTTCAATAGATGTGCCAGGCAGAATAGCGCTGAATCAAAACAAGTCAATTGACGTACCTCCAAACCCTCCGGATATAGCACCGAATCGATTCCCTGATGCACCAGTAGATTTGCCAGGGTGCTCAAACTTGCAGCGATCTATAAATATATTAGCGACATGATTCTTTATACTCGATATTATTCATACCTCCGAACTTGCAGCGGCCCTGCTGGAAAAAGGTGCATACCACCATCTTTGCGGTGTTTGTTCAACTGCCTTCAAAGCAACTTTGAAAGGCCTGGATCACAACTCTAATTGAATATGTCCTTCGATATATCAAGCAACTTGAGAGAAAAGCAATTAGGTTGGTTGTCGCCAGGAGAGAAACTCCTGTGGTTGGGACTTTTCAGCGGAATTGGTCGGTATCTTATCGGAACACCTGCAAAGGGCAACCTCTGCTGTAGCACTCTTGTATAGCACGCTTCTTTAATGATTGTGAGTATGAGTTTAGATTTTTATCACTTTGCCTTTGGTATCGAGATGAGATTAAAAGGATTTGGGATATAGGAGTTCATTTATCCAGTCCAGCCTACATAGTGGAGACATTTCCACCTACAAAGAGGTTATATATATCAGCACCGGAAACTGACAGAGTAATTCAATTAGATATAATACTTTCTAGAAAGCCGTCTGAAACTGTAAAAACCATTAAAACCATTAACTCTGATTTAAGCTATTTCAATTTTTTTTAATCAATAAACAATGAATCCAGTATGGATCACTAGTTGGGTATATCATCTACGTGTGTCGTATGCTCCCCCGAAGGTCATCCCAGTTCAACCCATCGACCTTTTTACCACCCAAAGATTCAAGCTCCGGGGCAAGGTCCCCAGTTCGCCCAGTTGCAAGGCGTCGCATCATCACAGTGTCCTTAGCTCCAGGAAGGGTACTGGCATTGCCATGCAGTAAGACATGCTCAAACCACTGTTCCTCATCCTCGTCAAGCGGAAGACCGACCAGTTCCATTGCACGTTTGCTTCTGGTTTGGCCAGGGGTGGCCTTGTGGACAAATTCCACCAACTGCTCAAAAAAGCTCTGACGAAGAGTGTCATCATACTTGCGCGTGAAGTAGAATGCCTCGGTGACGTTGGATCGGGCTAGTGTATCGAAGAATGCTTTGCGGATCTTTGCGCTCGCAAGAGGAGGAGCCGCAGTGAGGTAGTATGCGATTGCGAGGCTGTCATCATGTTTCGGAAGTTTTGTGAGAGTAAGAACATAGAGGATCTCATCTGGGAAGGTAGGAATGAGTGAGGGTTCAGCAAGAAACTCCACTGCTCGCTATTATACCATGTAATTGTTAGAGAATGGCTGACTTGAAAACATCGTTCATAACTCACCCTAAAATCGAGTCGATCCAAATGCCAAAGTCCTTCAATGAAGAAACGGTACTTTTCTGGGAGGTGGCATTGTTGCGCAAACTGAGATGAGGCTTCTGGCGCCGTGCGACAGTCCTTGAGGATGTAATATATCAAGGACTGTTTGTGATGGATGTCGAGTTCCGAAGAAACGATGTGGTTGAACAGTGTCTGGAGTTCTGGATTGGACTTCGGCGGGTAGATCTTGGTTACTAACAGAAAAGTGATTGATTAACATGAGACATCAAGTGCACAGCTTCAAATCGTAATACCTCCTTGGATGCCGAGGAGTCCCAAGAGTCGATCAGCAAAGAGCTGATCCAGCGACTGCCGGTTGGATAGAATCTGGTCAAAGACCTTAGGTTCATATGAATATTTCTTATTAAATGAGAAGACTTGGTCGAAACTCTCCCATGGAGCCATGCTGGGCATAATGAGAGAAGTGATAGGTTGTGTGAACAATTCCCAAGCTGATCTCCATGAAGCTCCGCGGAGGAGTAATTACCGTACGGTAAATTACAGCGGGACATGGCGGTGAAGGGCTTGTTATGGCAGAACAGCGGCCACTTTACCCGTTTGGGCACGAGGTAAACAACCCACTTTCAAGCGACAAAACCTCCGACAAAACCTCTCGCCCCTCTCCATGCAGCAGACATCCCACTGATCTGCACAACATGGCTTCAGTTGTAAAGGGCAGGGCTTCGCGCCGCTCTGTTGCCCGCCGGAGTTACGTCGTTGAAGATACATCTGAATCGGAGGACCTCGGAAATGTGACACCCACACCCGATGCGCATGATGACGATGACGAAGTTGAGGAGGACTACACACCAGTTCCAAAGAAGGCGAAGAGAGCATCGAGCAAAAGGTTGACACTAGACCCTGTGACACCTTCCACTGTGCGCCCTGTCAGCAAGACCCAAGAAGCGACAACAGATGATTCCGATGCGATGGACACCGATACCGACGCGATGGACGTTGATGCAATGGACATCGACGAAGAAAATGATGAGAACGACGAGGGCGTTAGTATGGCGTCAATCGAGGCAGACCTAGAATCTCCTTCCGGTAAAGCGGCGTTGAAAAGAAAAAGTATGGCTCACCCCCGCAAGAGTCACGGCTCAATCACACCCAAGCCGGCACAGGGCTCACTTCCAACTCCAGAGCCATCCCAATCGCCAGAGCCTCAAGAAAGAGCGCACCGAGCCAGCTTGCCACCTTTGTCCGACATTACCGAATCCGCCGTGAATCAGTCACCATCAAAGCCATTGGAAGAGCCCAAATCCCAGATTTCTATTATAAACCCGAACTCGACAGTCTTGGAGAGGCCTATGGACATTGTGGCCAAGTCCAGAACGCAGGCCCCTCAAGTGCCCGAGGAGCCTGCGGCGCCCAAGCCCCGAATGATTATTGAGAACCTTATTCTGACAAACTTCAAGAGTTATGCTGGCCAACAGATTGTTGGTCCGTTCCACGCCTCCTTTTCGTCTGTTGTTGGACCGAACGGCTCCGGGAAATCCAACGTCATTGACTCGCTTCTATTTGTGTTTGGTTTCCGCGCCAGCAAAATGCGCCAGGGCAAAATCTCCGCGCTGATCCATAACTCTGCTCAGTACCCCAACCTTGGCTTTTGTGAAGTCGAGGTTCATTTCTCAGAAGTCCTCGACTTACCCGACGGTGGCCAGGAAGTGGTCCCAGATTCCCAACTAATTGTTTCGCGACGAGCGTTCAAGAATAACACTAGCAAATACTATATGAACAAAAAAGAGACCAACTTCACCGCTGTGACAACTTTCCTCCGTGATCGTGGAATTGACCTCGATCACAAGCGGTTCCTGATTCTGCAGGGTGAGGTCGAATCGATCGCTCAGATGAAGCCCAAAGCCTCCAACGAACACGACGAAGGCCTCTTGGAATACCTGGAAGATATCATTGGAACTTCGAAGTACAAAACCCCCATCGATGAAGCCGCAACCGAGCTCGAGGCTCTCAACGATGTATGCGTGGAGAAGAACAATCGTGTCCAGCATGTGGAGAAGGAGAAGATGGCCTTGGAGGATAAGAAAGACAAGGCTCTGGCTTACATCCGCGAGGAAAACGAATTGGCCCAGAAACAATCAGCGCTCTATCAGATCTACATTGATGAGTGTGCTGATAACGTTCGTGTTACGGAAGAAGCCATTCTCCAAATGCAGGAGCTACTCAACATGGAACTCGAGAAACATGAGGGCAATGAATCCGGCATCAAAGAGCTCGAAAAGGCCTACAAAAAGGGTGTTCGTCATTACGAGACAATAGAGAAAGACACCCAAACCTTGCTCAAGGAGATGGCCAAGTACGACAAGGAGTCAGTCAAGTTTGAGGAGAAGAAGAAATTCTTGCTCAACAAACAGAAGAAGCTGGAGAAAGCCATGCAGACCAGCCGGCTTGCTGCCTCTGAATGCCAGAGCTTGGTCGAGAAGTTTACCTACGACATTGAGAAGAAGACTGCCGAAACCACTCAATTAGAGAAGGAGATGGTTACGGAAGAGAAGGAACTGAACTCGATTCGCGAGGGGCTGAAAGGCAAGACCCAAGGCCTATCTGATCAGATTGCCGAGAAGCAGAAGTCATTGGAGCCATGGAATGCGAAAATCAACGAGAAACAGTCCGCAGTCGCAGTAGCTCAAAGTGAGCTGGATATTCTGCGCGAGCGTGGCAATGCTGGCGCTGTTCTCCTTGAAGAGGCACAGGCCAAGGTTGTTACAATCGAAGAGAGTCTACAAACCAAGCAAACTGATCTCGAAGAGCGACAAGCGCAGAAAGAGACATTGGAATATGAAGTGGAGAAACTCAAACACGACTTAAAGAAATACGCGGGCCGTGAGCCCGAGGTTCGCTCACATGTCTCAAGTGCTCGTCAAAAAGCAGATGAGGCACGAGTCAGTCTGGCAAGCACGCAAAACCGCGGAAGTGTCTTGACTGGGTTGATGCGTCTGAAGGAATCTGGTCGTATCGATGGTTTCCATGGCCGACTTGGTAACCTGGGCACAATTGACGAGAAGTATGATGTCGCTATCTCTACAGCTTGTCCTGCTCTCGATAACATGGTGGTGGAAACCGTTGAAGTCGGCCAGCAGTGCATTGACTATTTACGCAAGAACAACCTTGGTCGAGCAAATTTCATTCTTCTTGACCGTCTTCCTCGCCGTGACATGGCATCAATCTACTCACCCGAAAGCGTTCCTCGTCTCTTTGATCTTGTCAAGCCAAAGGATCCAAAGTTCGCACCAGCCTTCTACAGCGTGATGCAGAACACGTTGGTTGCTAAGGACTTGGAGCAGGCAAACCGTATTGCCTATGGTGCTCGCCGGTGGCGAGTTGTGACAGAAGACGGCCAGTTGATTGATGTGTCCGGAACAATGAGTGGTGGTGGCACCCGTGTCGCCCGAGGCGGTATGTCATCAAAGCAAGTCGCAGACACCACAAAGGAGCAGGTCTCTCGCTTGGAATCAGATCTCGAAGAGCTCGAAAGGAAATTCCAAGCTTTCCAGGAGAAGCAACGACATGTGGAGGCTCAGATGAAGGAAAGATCAGAGGAGATCCCACGCGTGGAGACTAAGATCCAAAAAATTATGATCGAGATCGAGAGCACCAAGCGCAGTCTTGCAGATGCCCAGCGACGCGTAAAGGAGCTGGGCGCGCAGCATCAGCCATCTGATTCAGATGAAGTCCAGATTGCTGCCCTCGAGAAACAGATTGCCAAAGCCCAAAAGGAGATAGCTAAACTCAATGACGAGAAGAGTGGCATCGAGGAAGAGATCCAGGACTTGCAAAGTACGATCATGGAGGTTGGTGGTGTTCGCCTTCGTGGTCAAAAAGCGAAGGTGGATGGCCTGAAAGAGCAGATTGGCATGCTTGCCGAGGAGATTTCAAACGCGGAAGGACAACAGTCCAAGAACGAAAAACTCATTAAGAAGCACTCCAAAGCCCGCGATGTTTCAGAGAAGGAGATTGGTCAAATCACAGATGAGTTGGAGAAACTAGAAGAAGATGTCGCCAACCAGGCCAATGAATCTGCCGACTGGAGGCAGAAGGCTGATGAAGCCCAGGAGGTAACCTATCCAAGATACACGAGTATACTGGAATTTGCTGCTGACCATTCTTAGGCTTTGGAATCGAAGAAGGGCGAACTGAAGGCCATGAAGGACGAACTCGACGCAAAGGTGGCTGAGCTCAATGAGACGAGAGCTGCCGAGATCGAGATGCGCAATAAATTGGAAGAGAACCAGAAGGCCTTGGCTGAGAACCAAAAGCGCAGTCGTTACTGGGAGGAGAAGCTTTCAAAGCTGACTGTCCAGAACATCAGCGATATTGGTGAAGAGCAGGAGCCCACGGAACTTCAGATGTACACCAAGGATGAGCTAGAAGCTATGAATAAGGATTCTCTGAAAGCTGTCATCGCTGCTTTGGAGGAGAAGGTTCAAAATGCCTCTATCGATCTGTCAGTCATTGAGGAATACCGTCGCCGAGCCGCTGAGCACGAATCGCGCTCAGCAGATCTGACCACTGCTTTGACATCACGAGACAGTGCTAAGGCACGCCTTGACGGGCTTCGATCTTCTCGCTTGAATGGATTCATGGAAGGATTTGGCATTATCTCTTTGCGCCTCAAAGAAATGTACCAAATGATCACCATGGGTGGTAACGCCGAGTTGGAGCTCGTTGACTCGTTGGATCCCTTCTCGGAAGGCATCTTGTTCTCGGTTATGCCTCCTAAGAAGAGCTGGAAGAACATTGGTAACCTGTCTGGTGGTGAGAAGACTCTGTCTAGTTTGGCGCTGGTCTTCGCTCTTCATCACTACAAGCCTACTCCGCTCTATGTAATGGACGAGATCGATGCCGCCCTGGACTTCCGAAACGTGAGTTGGTCTTTGAATAATTAAGATGGACAAATGTGCTGACTTTCTCTTTAAGGTTTCCATTGTCGCCTCGTACATCAAGGAGCGAACGAAGAATGCGCAATTCATTGTCATTTCATTGAGAAACAACATGGTAGGTGCCGTTGGTTCCCACTTCCAAGTTGACATAGCTAACATGTTCTCTAGTTTGAGCTTGCTGCCCGACTCGTCGGTGTCTACAAGGTTAACCACATGACCAAGAGTGTGACGATTGAGAACCGGGATTATATCACGGGTCGATAATGACTGAAGATGAAATACCGCGTTGTGGTTGCCTTTCAGCCTCTTGCCTGGTTGAATAGGATTGTTTGCTGTTTTCGATGATATCATGGGTCGGGGAGTTTTGGACATTTTTGCTTTCACAATCATGCTACACTCTAGAAATGAGAACTTGAGTACATCTTTACATGGATATCTCTTCCCTCATGTTATAGCACTGGATTACTCACGTGGTATTCACACAAGCCAATGAATCTACATATATCTACCTCCGGTACATCAATACAAGTCACTGTGACATAGAATGACATCGGACTAGCCAAAAATAACATAACATTGGCCGCATCGTCGACAGTACCTGGCCGTCCGAGAGGGATATCCGACGTATCTCTAAACTTCCGCGCGTTCTCAGGGATATCCGTGACGATATTCTGCCCAGCAAGCATGACCTTCTCCTCTGTGGGTGGCTTGGTCAACTGCGTATCCATCCAGCCGTATGCGACCGCATTGCAGCGGACATTATATCTTCACCTCGTTAGCGATATCAACCTAACCTAGAGGCGAAGCTACACATACCTAGCCCACTCCGCCGCAACGGTCTTGGTAAGTCCCAAAATCCCCGACTTCGCGGTCGAGTAGTTAACCTGGCTCATTTGGCCGTGCAGCCCGGACGTGGATGATACATTTATGACCGTCTTGGGCATATCGGGAGTCTGAGTATCCATCCAGTGAGCAGACAAAGCGCGGATCATTCGAAAAGGAACATAGTTGTGGATTTTCATGATCTTATCCCATTTTTCGTCGCTCATCTTGTGAATGGCGCTGTCGTAACAGAATCCTAGAACGATTAGCATTATGTATGTGGTAATATAGTGCTGTTGTGTACCGGATTTATTGATTAGACAGTTGACCTTTCCGAATGCCTGAACGCTGCCGCAACTGCTTTTGCTGGGAACGCTTCGTCCAAAGCGTCTCCCACAACGCATATTGCCTCATATCCTGCGAGTCGCAGTTCTTTGACAGCGTCATTGGCTTTCGTCTCGTCTACATCCGCCAGTACTATTTTGGCCCCTTTCGATGCGAGAAGTGTTGCTGCCGCCCGCCCAATTCCTGTAGAAGGTCAGTGAGGAATGCGAGGTAGTTTATAGTGTAACAGACCTTGGGCGCCTCCGGTAATCAAAATGACATGTCCATAAACCCTAAACAATCTATCAAGTTGGAATCCCGAAAGATCGAAATGCATTTACCTGGATGGGTCACCTGGATGGGCATGATGAGCCAACTGGTGAGAGATTTGTTGCAGTCGTTGAGCCATTCTGATAGTTCTATTTTCTTTTCTACCCTCTTTAGAGTTTAGTATAAATCCTCTACTATAGTAATTTGGAGCGCTTTTTCTGTATGGTGACTTTGTCGCTCTCGACACTGGCATCAAATTCCGCGGAATTATTGAACGCCTCGGAATTTACTTCGGAATAGTCAGTCTAGAATACTATCACAGTTCATGCGCTTGGCTCCCTCATTCTCTCGGAAATAAAGAGATCTCCGTTAGTGAAAACAATGGAGAAGGACATGCGGCATGATACTCGTTCGTTAGAGTCGATTGAATACTTGAATATCATAATTCGCTATTAACGATTTCTTTAATACCTTGTTAACGTCGTTAGAATCAAATATATCCACGCCATGACTTCATCCGCTCTGACTTCCAACATTCCCTTTGCTGATCCGTCCTGGCACAAGGACTCAGCCCACCCATACTATAAGGATTCCCACCGACGGCTGCAGCGCTTTATCCGAGAGTACGTCGATGGTGAGATCACACCTAATGCAGGCGAGTGGGAGGCACAAGGATATGTACCTGAAGAAGCCTTTCAACGCCACGCTCAGCTGGGCTTCTTGGCTGCCGCAGTGTTTCCACTCCCGAAAGATTGCATTGAAGGGTTGTCAAGAACGTAACTCCCCCGGGGACCCATCTCCCACAAATGAAAGCTCCTTTGTCCTCTACCATTCGGGGGAGACCGTATGGGACAGGAGGGTACATCCAGAGACCTTCATTCAAAAGCGCGAGGGTGTACTTTAGCTGATTAACAGCAGACCAAGTGATCTGGTCCTCGGTAGTGAACGCACCCCGGATTTCTGCTTTGAGTTTGTCTAGAACACTAGGAACAGTGAGTATATAATAGGTCACACCTGACAATAGAGTAGCAGTAGACTCCGAGACTGCAATGATGAGTACGTAAGAGTTGCTGACAAGCTCGTCTTCGGTCATTCTCTTCTCAATAGGTTGCTTCAGCACGTTGCTGAGGAAGTCCGGGCGCCTGTTGTCTCCATTCTCCATGCGCGCTTGTTGTACCTTCTCCTTTGTCATATTATTCTAATGCCTTTTCTGCTCTCGTACCTTCTTTGGAACGATCCATTTCATGAGGAAGTTCCCAGCCGGGACCCGTCGTAGAACATTCGCCCATGCGGCCGTCCGGAAATGGCTGAAGATGACCGAAACCCAAAAATGGTACTGGGAATTTTGCAGGCATCCGAATGATTCCCCAAATGCGAGGTCACCGATGATATCGAATGTGGTATAGTTTTACCAGTATGTCATGTCGACAGTGGCACTGCCAGCCTCAGCGAGTCCATGCAGTCGCTGAACCAACAGATCAACATAGCCCTTGACAATGACTTCCTGGCGCTGAAGACTGCCTTCTGAGAACCCAGGAGACAGAGCACGTCTATATAAGGCGTGGGTTTGATCATCGGTTCGATGGATGCTGGGTATGTGGTTTGGGCCAACGGATACATGACGTTGATCCTTCGGACGGTGAGGTTTTCCAGGGCGAATGGCATATATTTCTTTCCAAGCTTCAGGATTCGTGAATGTTACTTCATTTGGAGCGATGCGAACTACATCGCCGTACTTTTTATGTAATTCTTGCGCGTCCATCGGCAGGCTACCGGCCAGTACAGATCGAAAGAAAGGGAGCGATGTGGCTGCATTGGCTTTGGGACCTGGAAAGGATGCTAGAGGATGAAAGAACAGGTTGTAAACGGTCCATCCGGTCAAATAACTAATTGCCTAAGGTCATCAGTGTTATGGAATCATAGTTGTACGTTAGAACTGACAAGTAGTACCAGAAGTATAAACCAGCTAACCACTGGGTTGACGTTCACAAACGTTGAAGGGACTAGCCTCAATAATAACTTCATTTTGGTTGCTGTCCACGGTATTCTCCCAATGTTGTCAAAAAGGCGATGGACAGTTCCAACGTGCGAATAAATACAACCCTGCCCCGTCTTTGCATTAGGAATTACATCATGGGATATGCACCACAATATCGAGAGGAACTCTCATATGACCATTGGAGCATATTCGGTATTCAAGTCGGAATATTTATCCGGAAATTAATTCGGAATTAGAGAGCACGCTCTCGATTGGGTTCCGGCTGTGATTCTTGATGGTTGCACTACGGCGGCTGCACCAATATGGTTACTCATTGTCAATTAATACACCCACATCTTCGCCATTTTCCTGCGAGACTGTAGGCAAATGTCCAGCTTGAAATGCTACTATAACCTATCACTATGTGATATCCCGGCTCACAGAACCATGTGAAAGGATATCAATAGTATAAACCGAAGCAATTTCGACTCAAGCTACATGAGATAGCCATTAGCCCACACAAGCAAAATTAAAAAAAAAAAAAAAAAAATAACAAAACAAAACAAAAGAGGAAATCTCTGGGTATATTTTATGTAGGCCATGTGAAGTTGCGGGGTACCAAGAGATTTAAGAGATTGCTACTGCTGTGATCAATATATTATTCTATATATTCTACAGTAATGGGCCTTTTGTATTCAGGAAATGCTATAGTAAATCTCAATCTAATATCTTAAGATATATGATATTTATACATATCTGCTATTATGATACACGGGTCAGGGGGCCGTGGCCTAGAACCAAGGGTTCAGACATGCATAAAAGGGGGATAGACCATGCAAGGCTTGGTTCCCAAAAGGTCGAGCTACAGGGCAGCTTTCCTTTTATCTAGTATCCCATGCACTGTCATCCAAGATGTTAGTGATTTTCTTAATGTGATTTCGGCATCTCAATGTACGACTAAATCTAGACTCTCCTATTATTCCATCGAATATAACATTTACACCCATCCTTGCCGATCAAATATGCTGCAGCCGACTCTATTCATCCAATAAATTGATGCGGAGTATGCTGTTGGTACCGGGACCTGGTATAACATTTGATGAGCTAATAGATGTCACGTTCACGATGTACGGGCTGCGTGATGATCAAATATATCTTACGCATTTTATATAAGAACCAAAAGTTCATGGTGCAAGCATCGCTATTTCCGGGGATTTAGTAAGCGGTATCCTATCAGTAAGTAATCTGTCAATTATCAGGTTGACTTATAGCCAGGCTCAGTAGAGATTTGAGATTACTGGGCCCTCCTATGAATTCGGCAAGTGTATCCACGTTGTTTTACTCATGCTGTAAGGAATGACGCAAGAGTATCCTAATAGACCCAATATTAGCTATGTTTGAAAGTAAACAGAATATGCCATTAAGTCTAGCCCCATGGACTACCCTCGTATATATATAATCGTGCCACTCGCACCCATATAAATAGAGCGGATTATAACCGCTATGAAAGACAAATTATAGAACCAAGGTGCTGTAAATCCAGCAAAGTCTAAGCTCTTCACATCGGGATTCAAATATTGCGCGATTCAGCGGATCAATCAAGATACCTTTCATGGTCACTTAGCACTTACCCACCAGCAACCTAGCTCACTAAAAGGTCATTGAGGCTGTTACTTTGCTGAATGTGTTTCAATGTTGGCTCGCTCATACGACTATTGACCATATTTGTTTGCGCGGCATGTAATCTGTTCCCTGCTCAAGTATGTCTATGAATTATCTAGGGACTTGCAGACTTCTCCATAGAAATATATCTTCTCTTATTACCGTGGTTCCCGGATCTCAACATAACGATTAGTGAAGATAAGACATTGCGCATCTTTGCAGCCAATCTAGAGAAAGTTTGTTGTATAGAGTGTCAAGGTAAAGGGCACGCAGCAGACAAAGAACTGATTCGAGTACAATGACGTATGGCGAATGATGGCACGAATTTGAGCTGGGGCAGAATACGAAGGCATGAAAGACTAGAGAACTTCCGCCTTCTCCCGGATACGTTGGCCAGACAAGGATTAGGTCTTCGGGTGGGTTAGAATAGACTGGATAATGTTTCACATCTGAACCTGTTTTCGCTGAGCCGCAAATTTATTATCTGCGACAGATTACTCCGTACAGCATCCAAATATGCTATAATGGTAACTCATTTAGTGTTTTGGGTTATCTCTGGGCATTTCTCCACCACATGGCCTGGACCGCCCGTTGAATTCCTTCTCTGCGTGTCAACTAGACAAGACTTTTCATTGTGTGACATGCGTGTTAAGTGCATGTGGCCTTCCTGCAAGGCTAAGTATGCCGCACAGCTGGGTACAATATCCTCAATTGACAGAATTTAACCTGGAATTACGAGGACAATCAAAGTAAGCAGCCAATAATGGCACTAGACAGGGATTATATGAACCAAATTCCAAGTTTGTACTGTGTGAAAGGGAAGATCGCTGCTCTTTCAAGCCGCCAAGACCGACGTCCCCTTGACGTCAGAAGCGGGAGAGGAGGTTGGGGTGAGCAATCAAGAGGGGCATGGTGAAGTTGGTGATTCCGGTTTTAATAAGACGTGAGGCTCTGACTCTGACTATTTTTCTTTTCCTCTTTTCCACCTACTGTGTGGGTGATTTCGTCTCAATTCATACCCACGCTTCTTTTTGGGTGCTGGAGTCAAGATCGCATCGAGACCCACTGTTCTGCATTCTGCATATACTTGCCAGCCACCAGGGACTGAAATTTCGAATTCTCCGATATCAGAACGCATTGTTTAATAGATAGTCCACACGCAAATTATGGTAAGTGCATATCCATGGATATTGCCAAAGCCCTCTTCCGTGGCTCACCAGCCAATACCGGCGCGGGCCGAACGGAGAACCACAGATCGCATACTCTGGAACTTATTAGGTAGAGCTAACCATTTTCCTTCTCCAGGCTCCTATACATTCCATGCTCGAGCCCCGGCAATCAAGTGAAAATAACTGCCCAAGCACAATTACCAGCGGCGGGATTGCAGGTATTGTGATCGGTTCGATCGCGGGGACGCTCCTTATTCTCTGGCTGTGGCGAATATTCCGACTTCCCGGTGCGTGGAGCGGCGGCGACTCAGCCGATGCCGGCTACCAGCCTCCAATTACTCGCAGCAGCACGAGTAGCCGCGGACGGAGAAAGCGCCGTCGCCCGTCTGTGGCGTACGGTGATTATATCGAGAAGCCAACTACTGTACGCAGTGTACGCCGGTATAGTAATCGAGATGATTTGCGACGGCCGGCTAGGGTTTACATGACGGAAGTGTGAATCATGGCCGGTGGGGATTATACCCAAGATATGTGGAATGGCTGGAGTTGGTTTATTGGTATCTGCCATTGATCTTGAACATATCAATTGGCAACTGGAACCAAGTAATTATGAGACATGACATGACTGCGAGCTTTAACGAATTGATGAGAGATTATTTTGGAAATGGATTGCCTGGTCTGTGCATTTTATGATCCCTTTGTTTCTGAATTTGTAATCTGATCTGGGCACCAACCCCCCCTGAGTTTGAATCCCAGTGCATTTCAAGATCAATAATCTGGCTTATCCCTTTTAATGCATGCTGCACATGTGGCCGGATGATCCAGTCGGGCAACTTGGTGGCGGGTACCTGAGTGCTGAGGGACTGTTCTCCGTATGCCTTGATCTGGTCCAGTGGGACTTGGCTGTGTGTCACTACCGAGCAGTGGCGCTCGATCGATCAGAATTCTCGAAGTCTCCCCTGATACGGAGTAGAGCTTCAAGTTTGGAGAGTTGAGTATATTCAAGGGTCGTCGCACAATATATACTGCACCAGTTATCGTTTTTCTGGCGAATAAGAGGGTGGAAGCATGTCACTGGTGGTTCATGAAGCTAGTATCGTTCGATAGGAAAGTGCACTACGGAGTACGGACGGAGTACATAATGGATGCGCAGGCAGGGAAGACAGGGGAAAGACCCACAGGGGAAATGAGAAAAAAAAAGAAAAAACGCATTAAAAGAAAAACTTGGGTTAGACATATCCACTTGACTGGGGGGTTGCGGACTTGGCTTCTTGGGGTGGCTTTGTTATTGGACCTCCTGAGCGGAGCATTTCTAAAATTTAGTTTGGTACAGCATAGGTCTGGAGGAACTGTACTCCGTATGTTAGCATTGTTATGATTTGATATGTTCAAGGGGCATATGTATGATGATCTGTATGGAGTCCAATTTTGGAGTTATTACCCCGTGGCGATTGTTATCAGTTGAGTTTGTGATCTTCATTGCAGATAAGACTTTCCCTCGAATGGCCTAGACTTAGGGTATGCAACTAGTCTATTAGTCTATTGCATTTAAGCCAAGGGTTGTACAGATAAAACAAAGAATAACCTATTGAATCTCATAATATGCAATTACAGAGTCTTAAGTTTTTGTACCTGTGTTCAATCCTTATCGGGGTTCTTTGCGATCAGCCAATCGGTGGGTAAATGAGCGTCCAATCAGAATCGCCTGCCGAGAAATAGTTTTTGTGAAGGATACTGGGCAAACCCAAAAGGGTTTAGCATCAGGCACAGGGCCCCTGGGGATTAACCCAATATAGTTAGTGTACTGCACCAAAATGGAACCTCCTAACCTAGACTGGCTAGCTAGTAAACTTGACCAGAATCTCTGCAGCTTTCCCCTTACGCCCCTACAACGGTGCACACAAAAATAATCAGGCCCAAAACACCACTAGCCCATAATGTCCCCAGTCCACTCTGCGCCTAAATTGGTGGCTGACTTTCCCCTTCTCTTGATGTTCCCTTTCTCACACTCTTAGGATCTTGCTGCTGGCAGACTTGCCTTACACTCATTATCGTGCACTCGCACATCCACTCTTTATCGAATCTCGAGTAGTCTCGAGTCCACTCCCTTATTTTTGGACGATCCCTGAGTTGATATATAGCCATGTTTTTCTCTCGCATTGCCCTTTTGGCGGCTTTGGCTAGCTTTGCTACCGCTCAAACCTCGACTGAATGTGATCCAACGAAGGAGGATTGTCCTGCGGATCCCGCCCTGGGCACCGAATACACATGGAACTTCAACACGACCTTGGACGAAAAGATCTGGAAAATGACCACCGGAACCTATGATCATGATGAAAATGGAGCTAAATTCACTCTTTCCAAGGATGGAGAGTCTACCCTCCTGCAGTCCAACTTCTATATCTTCTTCGGCGTCGTCGAAGCCCACGTCAAGATGGCCAAGGGCGCGGGCCTGATCAGCAGTGTGGTCTTGGAGTCTGACGATCTGGATGAGATTGATTGGGAGTGGGTAGGATACAACACTAGCCAAGTGCAGTCCAACTTCTTTGGCAAGGGTAACGATACCTCCTTCGATCGCGGCGGATACCACGAGGTGTCCAACGCAGACACCGAGTTCCACAACTACACCACATACTGGGACCAGGATAAACTCCAATGGTGGATTGATGGCGAAATGGTTCGCGAACTCCTGTATTCCGATCCGAAAGCCTTGTACGGCAAGAACTACCCGCAAACTCCCTGCCGTGTCCAATTCAGTCTCTGGCCCGCCGGTCAGCCAAATGCGCGAAAGGGTACGATCGAGTGGGCTGGTGGTCTTGTCGAATGGAAGGACGCCCCTTTCACTATGACCCTTGGCAAGCTGCGTGTGAAGGATTTCCACTCTGGTAAGGAGTACAGCTATGGGGACCGCACAGGTTCCTGGGAGAGCATCAAGGTGGCGGGGTAAGTGTTCCCAGGTTAGAATCACCCAGGATTTCACTAATGAAATGTAATAGTGGAAACTCGACCGCACTAGAGGAGCTGAACAAACCAGAACCTCTCAGTCTGTCAGAGAAATGGGATAAGCTCGGCGAGGGCGCCCACATTGGAGTCTATATTGGCGCCGCTGCTGCCTGTGTGATTGCTATCGCCGGTTTCATATTGTTTTGCCTGCGCCAGCGCCGCAAGGGCCGCCTCGAGAACGCGCTCGGCAACAATCCGACTCCTCTTAACCGTGAAGAGATGCAGAATTTCCAGAAAGACTGGAGGCAGAGCGAGTGGAAGACGAACGGTGGTTACCAGCAGGTTAACAACTAGCCGGCTTGTCAAGTACAGAGACCAGTAAACCCATGAACTGGCTTTGGTCCTCTATAACGAACAGTTCTGTGATTTCTTTTTCCTTTCGTTTCGCACCGTGTCCGGTCTTACAGAGTGCTGCCATGACCACATCAAGAGCACCTGTGGAGGCCGACGGAGTCGGAATAATGACCCTTTTCCTTTCGTCCCGGCTCCATATTTTCTGTACTGTCCTCTGTCTCGCGTATATGCCGAGGCACACGCTCTGATCCCCCTTACCGTTGATATCCCCCTTTTTGATCCTTGGATCACACTTCCCTTCGTTGGCGCTGTTCAGGCCGCCTTTTGCTTTGCAATCTGCTTCCTCATACACATGTAAATATTTTGCCATATCAAACACCTTTCGTTTTAATTCGTGATTCTAGTGGGAAATTGGTATATCGTGCCTGCTGAGGACGCGATCCCTGAGGATGTGATTAGCCATTCAATATTTGGCGTTACCAGGGTATTGGGTTTGAAGCCACTCGATGACAGCTCACCTTGAAGGTGCAGCCCGTGTAACGAGTGTATCATACTTATCTCATGCGTTGATGTCTCATGCAGGATGGTCTCACAAACCTGCACACAACCTCGAGGTATGAACACATCTTCCAAGTGATCGGAGTCGGCGTGACTATGGTCCGATCAGGGTCTTCCGAAAGAGGATATCGGTGGGACTTGTGGATATAGTGGACTTTTACCAAGACATTCTAAAATTTCTCTCGGGAGGTCAACCCGACCGGGTTAAAAATCGTGGCTGAAGATCTCGGCGTGCCCGATTGACCCTCAGCGATCGTATGATTGGACCTCGATACCAACCTTGAAAGTTCCACAGGCATTCTAGGCTGAAATGAGCCAAATGAATTACTTGAATTTGTGCAAGTTTCCACTTATGAAAGCTGTTATGTATGGATATTAAATCCCGTGTATAGTAATCGTTTTCTGCATTGAAAATGAACCGAGGCATAACGACGAGGTCACGACTTTTCATATAAATTCTGTTGGGACCATCCCCACCATCCGTTTCATCTTTCTATTCTTCTTTTTCATCTAATTCTACCTCTTCCAGGTACATTTTAATCTAATCATACAGTTGGTCCTGAGATCAACTACCTGGATTGCCACGTTAGATACAAACTTTTACCCCGCCATCACTACTTTACGTCAGTTTGTCACCTCAGTGAAAGGCGAACATCCATACGCCATGGCCTCCAAAGAGGTCCCAATTCCGGGCCCCAAGGGCGTCCCATTCTTGGGAAATATCTACGACATCGAACCTGAGCTACCTTTAAATAGCTTCGAGCTAATGGCCGATAACTATGGTATGGATATTTACCGGGAATGTCCACGGGTACCTACCTAGGTAGGTACCCAGGTAGACCTCTTGTGGATTGATGAGCTAATATTTCTGTATCTTTCAGGCGAAATCTATCGATTGACCACTTTTGGCAGATCACGAGTATTCATCAGTTCTCACGAGCTAGTAGACGAAGTCTGTGACGAGGAACGCTTCACTAAAGTGGTTTCCGCTGGTCTACATGAGATCCGCAATGGCATTAATGACGGTCTATTCACTGCGAACTACCCCGGTGAAGAGAACTGGGCTATTGCGCACCGCATTCTTGTTCCTGCGTTCGGTCCACTGATGATTCGCGGCATGTTTGATGGTGAGTTTCCGTTTCCTGTCGGGGTTGAGACTTATGCGCCAGATAAGGAAAGGATCAGGTTTGACTAATATTTCATATTTCCATTCAGAGATGTATGATATTGCCACTCAACTGGTTATGAAATGGGCTCGCATTGGTCCTACAGCTCCCATCCAGGTTGCGGATGACTTCACGCGCTTGACGCTAGATACCATTGCTCTTTGTGCTATGGGCACTCGCTTCAACTCATTCTATCACGATGAAATGCACCCATTCGTCGAGGCAATGGTTGGCTTGCTGGCCGGTTCTGGAAATCGAGCTCTTCGGCCTGCTTTGTTTAACAACCTACCCACTGCGGAAAATAACAAGTACTGGACTGATATCGAGTACCTGCGGAATCTAGCCCAGGAATTAGTCGATTCACGAAAGGAGAACCCTGTGGAGAAGAAGGATCTTCTCAATGCGCTTATTCTTGGCCGGGACCCGCAGAGTGGCCGGGGTATGACAGATGACTCAATTGTAGACAACATGATCACATTCCTCATCGCTGGTAAGTGAAAAGGTCCTGCAACGAGCGCATTAACTTTGGACCTGACATGGAACTCGATAGGACATGAGACCACCTCCGGCATGTTGTCGTTCCTGTTTTACTATCTTCTCAAAAGCCCGAGCGCATACAAGAAGGCTCAAGAGGAAGTCGACCGTGTGATTGGCAAGCGTAAGATCACCGTTGATGACATGTCCAAGCTGCCATACATCACCGCTGTGATGCGCGAGACGCTGCGTCTGAGGCCAACAGCCCCCATGATTGCCCTTCACGCTCACCCCATCAAGAACAAGGAGGACCCTGTTAAAATCGGAGGCGGTAAATACGTGCTTCAGGAGGATGAGACGATCGCACTCATGCTTGGAAAAATGCAGCGTGACCCGAAGGTCTATGGTCCTGATGCCGATGAGTTCAAGCCAGAGCGCATGCTCGATGAAAACTTCGACAAGCTGCCTAAGAACGCATGGAAACCATTCGGAAATGGCATGCGAGGCTGTATCGGACGGCCGTTCGCATGGCAGGAGGCTCTTCTTGTGGTTGCGATTTTGCTTCAGAACTTCAATTTCCAGATGGACAACCCCAGCTACGATCTCCGCATTAAGCAGACACTTACCATCAAGCCTAAGGACTTCCAAATGAAGGCTACCCTGAGAGATGGACTCGACCCTACGCAGCTCAACACTACACTCAGTGGCTCTAACGCTCCACCCACAGAGTCTGGTGCCGGCAGCCGGGATCGCAAGCCCAAGGTCACACCCGTGGATGGCAAGCTGAAGCCAATGCACGTGTTCTACGGTAGCAACACAGGAACTTGTGAGGCATTCGCGCGCAGGCTGGCTGATGATGCCACTGCATACGGCTATGCCGCGCAGATAGGTTCTTTGGATTCGGCCATGCAGAATATCCCCAAGAACGATCCTGTGGTGTTTATCTCAGCTTCGTACGAAGGACAGCCTCCGGATAACGCGGCTCACTTCTTCCAGTGGCTTAGTGGGCTAAAGGACAACGAGTTGGAAGGCGTCAACTACGCAGTGTTCGGCTGTGGCCATCATGATTGGTCGTCCACCTTCTACCGTGTACCTAAGGCCATTGACCAACTAGCCAAGGACAATGGAGCTAACCAGCTCTGTGATATTGGTCTTGCTGACGCAGCGCACTCAGACATGTTCACCGATTTCGATGGCTGGGGTGAGACCTCATTCTGGCCCGCCGTGATGGCTAAATTCGGTGGAGCTAGCCCTGAGCCTGCTGCTAGGTCGAAGTCTTCATTGCAGGTCGAAGTGACCTCGGGTATGCGCGCATCCACCCTGGGACTCCAGCTCGAAGAAGGCTTTGTCATCGAAAACCAGCTCCTTACACCACCCGGAGCTCCAGCCAAACGAGTGGTCAAGTTCAAGCTGCCATCGGACATGACCTACCAGTGCGGCGATTACCTCGCAGTGCTACCCGTGAACCCAAGCTCAACCGTCCGTCGCGCAATTCGCCGCTTCGACCTCCCATGGGATGCCGTCATCAAAGTTCAGAAGCCCTCAGGCTCAACAGCTTCCCCCTCTATCCCTATCGACACGCCGATCTCGGCCTTCGAGCTTCTATCCACCTACATCGAGCTATCGCAACCCGCATCGAAGCGCGATCTCAATGTCCTAGCGGATGCCGCCATTTCAGACGCGGAGGTCCAAGCAGAGCTACGCTACATCGCCTCCAGCCCCAGCCGCTTCACCGAAGAAATCGTCAAGAAGCGCGTCAGCCCTCTGGATCTGCTTATGCGCTATCCCGCAATCAAGCTCCCCATCGGCGATTTCCTCGCAATGCTCCCCCCGATGCGCGTGCGACAATACTCCATCTCCTCGTCACCACTAGCCGACCCATCTGAGTGCACAATTACCTTCACTGTGCTCAGCGCTCCCGCGCTCGCCAGCACCGCCCCAGAAGGCAGCGAAAGCATCGAGCAATACCTGGGCGTCGCATCCAACTATCTCTCCGAGCTCCAAGCCGGCGAGCGCGCACACATCACCGTCCGCCCCTCTCACTCAGGCTTCAAGCCACCAATGGACCTCGAAACACCGATGATCATGGCGTGCGCAGGCAGCGGACTCGCCCCCTTCCGCGGATTCGTCATGGACCGTGCGGAAAAGATCCGTGGTCGCCGCAGCTCTCCTGACTCAGATGAGCTGCATGACAACGCGGCTGTCAAGCCTGCCAAGGCGGTGCTATACATTGGCTGTCGCACAAAGGGCCAGGATGATATCCACTCTGCTGAACTTGCAGAATGGGCTGAGCTTGGCGCTGTCGATGTCCGCTGGGCGTATAGTCGACCCGCTGATGGAAGCAAGGGAAAGCACGTTCAGGATCTCATGCTTGAAGATCGTCAAGAGCTGGTGAAGCTCTTTGACGAAGGTGCAAATATTTATGTTTGCGGTAGTACTGGCGTTGGTGCCGGTATTCGCGAGGCTTGCAAGGAGATGTATCTTGAGAAGCGTCGCGAGGTGCTCGCCGAGCGTAAGGAGAAGGGAGAGACTCTGCCTGGTGATGAGCTTGAGGAGGATGAGGCTGCTGAGAAGTTCTTTGATAATCTGAGGACGAAGGAGCGGTATGCTACCGATGTGTTTACTTAGTTTAGCGGAATTTCGGTTTTGGATTTGGATTTGGTTGTATTATCATCATTCGTCACACAAATTGCATAATATCTTGTTACTTCACTGAACTATGCTGCCTCTCCTTGTTATTGGCCTGGATACCAAGGCATAAACCTGCAGCCAATCAGAATGCAGTTCCTGGCGAACCACCGGCTCACCTTCACGTGACCATAAAACTTCAATGCCGACAGCCAATCAGATCAACGGCTGAGATGCCAGGCCGATGGGAGGAAGAGGGAAACTTTTGAGTTTTCAGTGTCTCGGCATGTAGAATTCTGTATTAATGTATTAAATGGAAAGCATTTCTCCTTTATATATCTTATACCGTGACTCCGACTCCGGCTATACACTTTACCCGGGGCTGTCATTGGACACAAATATCAAATTTGCGCTAAAATAGAGTCGGATGGCGTGATAGAGTCAAATCCACCCCAGATATTCGCATTTTTAAGCTCGGCCGAGACATATTTGAACGTTAAAGGACGGGTTCATACCCAAACTCCCAACCAACATTCATAATATCATACCATGCCGCAGACAAAGAGCATAGCCATCATCGGAGCTGGCCCAGCTGGCGCCATTGCAGTCGATGCACTAGCACAAGAGAATGCATTCGATGTTATCCGTGTATTTGAAAGACAAGAGAAAGCCGGCGGATGCTGGTAGGTTACTCTAATATCTTGACCAATTCCTAAGTTAACAAACAAAAGGGTATCAAGAGATGATGAACCGCCTCAGCAATTCGACATTGACGGTCTATCTGCGCGAACAGCAGATGCACCTCTTAAAATTCCCGAGCACCTCCCGTGCCGGACACCCGTAGTCTCGCAGGACCGGTTCATGGACTCGCCCGTGTACCCGGCGCTGGAGACCAATGTGAACGCGGGAGCGATGTCATTCTCTCAAGAGGAGATTCCTGAAGTTCGATCGCAATGGTCGATTGAACGTCATGGTTCTGACACGCCTTTCCGACACCATTCCGTTATTCAGAAGTATATTGAAGACCTGTTTAGCCGGAATGGGTATCAGGATCTTGTTCAGTATAATACTACTGTTGAACGCGCGATCAAAGATCCCAGGACCCAGAAATGGGTGCTTACACTCCGCAGGACGGAAGTTCTCAATGGTGCTAAGTCGGATTACTGGTGGTTTGAGGAATATGATGCAGTTGTGGTGGCTTCGGGACATTATGCGGTGCCATTTATTCCTGTGATTCCCGGGTTGAAGGAGTTTGCTGCGAGATATCCCGGTAGCGTCCAACATACAAAGCATTACCGGGGCTCTGAGAAATATCAGGGAAAGGTAAATGAAAATCCCACCATTTCGTTCTATCACCTGCTTACACATCGCAGAAAGTCATCACCGTCGGGGCGTCTGTTTCTGCCGCTGATACTGCAGTAAGTCTGATAGATAGTGCCCAGACACCAGTCATTGCTGTGGTTCGTGGTCGTTACAACGCCTATTTCGGAGATCTCGCTTTCCAGCACCCTAAGATCCAGCGGCGTCCGCCTATCTCACACATTACAAGTAATGATCAAGGCGAACGGGCTGTGCACTTTGAAGATGGTACATCCGAAACCGGTGTCGACCATCTGATTTTTGGAACTGGCTTCAGCTGGACTCTGCCATTCTTGCCTGAGGTCGCCACGCGGAACAATCGTGTGCCAGATCTCTACCAACACGTCTTTTATAGACATGATCCATCTCTAGTTTTTGTAGGCGCTGTGAGTCGATCAAGCCGATTGCTTTCTTTTTTTGCCTGCCGGATCGAAAGCTAACAAAATACTCTCAGGTTGGTGCTGGATTGACATTCAAGGTCTTCGAATGGCAGGCTGTCGCTGCCGCACGCGTTCTAGCAGGCAAAGCAAATCTCCCCTCGATCGCTGAGCAGGAAAAATGGGAAACCGACCGTATTGCACAGAAAAGCGATGGGCCCGGGTTCACAGTACTCAACCCCGAATTTGAGCCCTACTTTGAGAGCCTCCGTCATCTTGCGGGGGAACCTCGTGGTTCCGGACGACGCCTACCTCGGTTTGAGCAAAAATGGCTGGCGGATTTCAACGAAGGCCACGAGCGCAGAAAGAAAATGTGGCGACGAGCCAATCAAACGGCTCGATTGTAAATTTGACTGTAAGGGTTAATGGTGAAGCAGTACTTCGTACCTCCATATTCTGTAGATAGAAAGACATCGATGAAAATAAGCAAGGAGAATTTGATGCCATTTTCCTTCCAGGGCTTTTTGTCTCAGTTTGTCACAGCTCTAACAAAACTAAACAATGTCACCGGGGCGAAATCAGACCAAAAGGGGCCAAAACGAAGCCACAGACGAGTCCCAAGTCATTTTTCCTCCCGTAGATGTTTTTTCCAGCTCCACTTCTCACATCTCCAACCCATAGCGCCTTGGCATTTATTCCCCGACCCTATTCAGGAGGCTAAAAAAGAAAGCCTGAGGATGGCTATTAAAATCCTTTCGATCCCTTCCCGCGAATGTCGAAAATCCATCTAAAAAACCCCCCATCTCCCTCCACCGATCGACCGCACATCCACGCCCTAAACAGCTAAATTCCTGTTTCGCGTCGCGTCGCATCGCAATATCCCGGCTCGGACCATCCCGGCAAACACAGCCATGACATCCTCCATAAATTCCAACGGCACACAATTCACACAACCGGCCGAATGTTACAAATCGCGCGATGCAATGCCGGCCCTACCATCGAATATCCAATATTATAACCAGGTACCGCTGTACCAGGAACAAACTCCACACAAAGATATGAAGGCTATTTTGCAGGATTGTTGTTCGAATGGGGTGTGGATTTTTGAGGATCCGGATCCTTGTACGGCTATTTGTGATTCGACTACGGCGGCTGAGGCCAAAAGGGTCATGTACTGCTTGAATGCTCAAAATATTGTACATGGAAGCAAAACGGAGAAAAGTTTGGCGGTGAGGAGTACGCCAGGCTGGGTTTCTTTACTAGTTGGGGGAATGCTTTTGTCGGGGATGTTTATTTGAATGTTGGTTTTGATTTTTGAGATACCTATTTGCCATTTATGGAGTTTCGATGTGGATATATTGCTGTGTTGGAGATTTATTTAATATGACTCAGGTTAGGGCTCTGGCCAATCCATCGGCCTTGGATCTGAGAGTTGTCTGCTTGTTACATCACTACCATTTACTAATTTAAGGACTTCCCTTAAGAAGTATGCACTTCTTGGCAACTACAAGATGCATTGGCGTGTTAACTCAAGAAGTGTTTTTATCCCATAATACAAGCCACTTCATATCGGCGCCACAGATGGGATGAACCTGCATATAGCGGCAGCCTGCATGATGTTGGATACCAGAGACCTAGTTGCATTTGCATTACTCCAGTGATGAGAAGGCATTCCAATACAAAGAACACCCTATCAATCGTTAAACTGCAAATCTGGCAAACTTTGGTCTTCCAGCCATCCTGGCTCAAGTCCACACGATAGTCCTCAACTCGACCCAAAAGGGTAGGGCAGCTTCACAATATACCATACTGTGAATGAGTTTCAATCCACAAATGCAGGGGCAAACAGATACTCAATGACACCCTAAACACATTTAGCCGATGTAATGCAACTCGAAAAAACCCGAACATCTTGACACATTGGCTACGGAGCATCTCCGACCCCACGTTATCCCCACGTTCAATCCCCGCCATTATCCAAAGTAACCGTCACATCCCACATGTACATACAAAACAAAAGCTACTCTAAAACTACTCTCTAAATTCATATATCCTTCCCCGCAAACCAACTTCATACTCAACAAAACACATAGAAAAATGGACTCCGTCAAAGGAAGAGTGTACGCCGTAACCGGCCTCGGTGGAATCGGACTCGCCGTGGCACGCCAGCTACACTCCCAAGGAGCCCTCCTCTCCCTCGCAGATCTAAGCGAAAAAGTCCTCACCACAGCGCGGGAGACAATCGAAGCCGAATTCGGTTCCTCAACAGCCTCGACAATCACAACAACTGCACTAGATATCAGCAATGCGAGCGCCGTACAAGACTGGATCGCCAGCACTGTCTCACACTTCGGACGACTGGATGGAGCTGCCAATATGGCCGGTACGATTGGCAAGAAACATGGCACTGGCAAATTCATCGATCAGGATGAAGCCGAGTGGGACATGTTGATGCGGGTCAATGTCACCGGCCTGATGTACTGTCTGCGAGCGCAGTTAAAGGCGATTATGGCGACTGCCCCTGGGGGAAAGGGGAGTATTGTTAATGCGTCGAGTATTCAGGGGCTCAAGGGGTTTGCGTTGCATGCTGGGTATTCGACTACGAAGCATGCTGTTTCGGGGTTAACGAAGTCTGTTTCGAAGGAGGTTGGGCCGGAGATTAGGGTTAATGCTGTTGCACCGTGAGTATTTGTGTTTGGCTTTTTCATGGATTTGACTGATTGGGTGTGGTAGTGGTTCTATTCAGACACCTTTGCTGGAGATGGCGAAGGAGATTCAGGGTGGGATGAGTATTCCTCCGCTCAGTATCCCGCGCATTGGGACGAGCGAGGAGGTTGCTCAGACGGTTGTTTTCTTGCTCAGTGATGCTTCGTCTTATACCACTGGACAGATTCTTAGTGTCGATGGTGGGTGGGAATAAGTTTGTGGTTTTAAGATTCGTTGGGTTTATAGCGCCATGGCTTGATATGCCAATGACATGCATTGATGACAAACGGAATGAAATGCTCGCTAGATGATAGACATAATACCAGGAATCCAAAACGCCACCGCATATGCAATCGCTGAAAAACACAAAGAGAGAATATCGCACGAGGGGATTGATGCAAGAAGCAGGGCAAGGACACTGCTATAACCATTTGCATATACACAGCCATAAGCCTATACACATTTCAGCATATCAGCATATAACACACATAAGGATGGAGATTTGCATACCGAAAATCATTGCTAGATAACCCCAGCCAGGAGGTCTATAAGCGAAGGCCAGACTAGTTGCATCTTGGCCTCCAACAGGAACCGGCCAACCATCCTCATACTTCAAATAGTTCCAGCCTAGCTGAGCTTGCTGCAAGAATAGTCAGTTCGAACCCCCAATTATAAAAGACAGACAAAAACTCACTCCGTGGTCAAACCCAATCGACGTATTCAAATAATGATAATAGAGAATATCCGGCACAGAGTCATTCCCATCCAAAACACCCAAACCACCAGGTGCATAGACAATCCCGTGATTCGATCCATAAACCACCGTCCCACCACCATCAACCAACGACCTCCCCTTCTTATCCTCAAAAGGTCCACGCACACTCCTCGACCTCCCAACCCGGATATTATACTCCTTCCCAGCCACAGGGAACCCCTTCTGGAAGTTACAACACTTCCCATGACTAAACCAAACGTAATAGTATCCCTCCCGAAAACTCATCCAGACGCCTTCCTCAGGCTTAATCTTAGCACGCGGCATAAACGCCAACTGCACAGCATCCGGCCCAGCCGCATCCTTAACAGAAAGCAAATCATCCGCCAATGGCACCTGCCATAAATCATGCCAAAAGCTTCCGTAGTTGAGATATGTCTGCCCGGCCTGGTCGACGATCACAGACGCATCAATGGCATTCGTGATAGTGTACGGCCATACATCTGATCCAGGACCTTTGCCTGTGTTAATGACGACGCCATGGTCTGTCCAGGGACTGCCGTCGAGGGCTGTTGTGGTTGCGACACCGATTGCGCTATTGCGGGATCCCTTCGCGCTGAGCGTGTAGTAGCAGTAAAATGTGCCGTTTTTTTCGATTGTTGTCGGCGCCCAGGGTCGGGACCGGTTGCCTTTATCGATTATGCTGTCGCCGGCTAAGACTGTGCCGAGCTTTTCCCATGGTCCGGATATGTTGGCGGATTTAAGGATTGGGATGCTGATCCCGCCTTTGAAGAGGTAGTAATGCTCGTTGTGGAGGATGATGTTTGGGTCGTGGGCTGGGACGTTTCCCGGGTTTGCGAGTGGGAATTCATCCGTTGTCTGGTATACTTGTGTTAAGTCTTTTTGGGCTGGGATCGCCCCGGTCAGTGGGGCGATCGCGATAATTATTGATAGGAGGAGTGAGAGGTGATGCATCATCATGGTTATGTACATTGGGGTTATATTGGGGATTGGCCTAATTGGCCGGGGTTTGGGGTTATCAGATCAAGATACACATGACTGTTCTTTTTAATGCTCAGAGTGGCTAATGTATGTTGTAGAGAAATTTGGAAGAGAATAGCAAAGTAGAAGTGGATAGGAAATTTGAAGGGACAGACAATTATAAGGGAGAAAATAAAAATCAAGAAAGAAGCACAGCCTTCAAGCCTGATGGGAGCCGCAAAGCCAAGTGTCTTAGAAGTTTTTATTTTATTTTTTATTTCCCCTTGGACAGATCGGGGGTCAAAATCCACTTTTCCCAAAGGTTGCTATATTTGGACGGGTACCTAAGGATACCTAGTTTCACAGCCATTTTTTTACCCAGTAAGATGTACCCTCAAGTACTAAACCCATCCTGTTGCCTGCCTCTATGATTTCATTGATACTAGTTATATCTCTCGTTCGTATTATTGTTCTTTATTTGACCGAATCTCATCTCCACAATAGTTAGCATATCAATAGCCAATAATACTTCACGCTATATGAGGCTGTTTAAAAAGCAAGGCTCTACTATCAAAGCGAAAAGATAGGTATAACACTCTGCACGTGCAAGGTACAAAACGGGATTGCTAAGTGTTGCGTTGTTATTTTCCTTGTCACTCCCTTGCATGCCGTCAATGCTGATCTCTCCAATCATGATCTCATGGTGGACCCGACCAAATGACAACATTCATGATTACGCAACGAAATATGACCGATAACTAGATTTATATTTACTATGGGTATAAAGTGAATCTATAAAAACGGTAGGGGTATACCAAATCCAGAAAGAAAAGGCGTGTGTATCGTACAATATAGGGCAAAACCTCCTTAACAGGGAAAAGTCATACTTGTAAGATCCTCCCAATCGAAGATCTCCAAAAAAGGATCGAACTCGTCAGGCCGCTAGGAATTCATAGTTAGCGAGAAGACGGGAACCAAGGAGTATATGCAACTCACTGTTGCGCCGGGTTGCAGCGGCGGGAGCATCCCATTAGGATCAAATTCGGGCTGCATCACAGGCACCATTGTTGGAGCCGCGAGAAATGCTGCTAGTTGGTTGTTCTTGAAATTTCCAACCCCTTTGTCGCCGAGGTGGTCGCAATTCATGTGACGAGAGAAGAGAATCTGCGCAAATGACAGGACCCGTTCGACAACCTGCTGCTTGTACACTGTTGCTTGTGCCGGCCAGAGACGGGCTTTGACTAGTGCGACGATTGTTGAGAGAAAATAATAATCTTTTGCTCCCTTGGTCACCAAAAGAGAGCGCTCTTCCAATGCGATCAAGGCCGTTTCTACAAGTGATAGGAGTGACTCGGGGACACCGGGTATATTGTGGAGAATAAAGGTTGATGAGATGGGATAGGAGGGGGAAGCTGTAGAGTATGAGTTTGGGTTCTCGTGGTGAAGTACTGAATCACAGGAAACACTTACAGGTGTCGGATTCGGTTGTGTGTAGCAATTGGCAGATGGAAATGTAGGCGTGGATAGTCCATTCGCCAAGCACACATAGCGATAGCGTTCGAGAGATCTCGTGTAATCGGCGTTGGGTTGTCAATATTCTGGTTGCGGCATCCATGCGAGTACGCGCGGAGGGAGCGAAGAGTGATTCTCGTCGTGCTTCAATGGCGAAAGGGGTGTGGACAGACAGCAGAGTCTGGGAAAGTTTGGTCTCAATCAACCCTTTCCATAGTATTACCTTGCGTTGGGTACCAATATCGTTGGGGTCTACTGTCGCCCACGAAGGGATCCGAGAAAGATGCCGGTTAAGCTCAGCGTCCAGGCGCTGGATATCCTCATAGCGACAGCTGATTCGTGGGGAGTGCATGAGTGAACATGCTTGAAGACGGAGCGGTAGCGAGCAACTCAGAATAGACTGGAAAGATGAGTCTGTAACTTCACTTGGCGGCCGACTTTGGGGAGCTTCAGTGCTATTCTCGTGGATCTCGGTGTCGTAAATGTTCAACCCTGGAGCTGCATCATAGTCATAGCTCTGTACAGACGGTGGCATTCCCCGATCAAAAGCAATTTGCAAGTCCAGTTCCACAATGGTTGTCCAAATTCGCCGTCGCATCTCTTTGTTGAACGGAGATATCCGTGTGTACCGGCTGGGGTCGCGATGGTATCCTGCCATCATGGCTTGCTTGACTAAAGTACTTGTTGCAAGCCAGGCCTGGCTGCGTTTCATTCCGTGGGAGTTGCGCGCCAAAATTAATAAAATTGAGAGCCGCATTGATGTGATCTCCGGACGTTTGGTGTGAAGATTCTCGATCCATTTTTCTGCGTGCAGCGTCCACTCCAAAGCGGACTGGCACTTGAGCTCGCCCACACTTTTTGACTGCAGACTAGAAAGATCTGCAAGGTTCCATGCGCAGGCAAGAACCAGTAGTAGTTGAACTGTAAATGCAGCAGATATTGAGTCTGGGCTGTCTAACATGGCCCAGAATTGGTCAAGCTCTCGTAAGAAGGATGGAACATGAAGAATGCGATGAGTAGACTCGATATAAGTGATATACAACCCAATCAGTTCATCGACCACGCCACGCGAGGGCAGCAGGTTAATTAGCGAAGACGTCGTAGGGTCGACAACGGGCTGATGGAGCACCATCATTTTGAATAGCCCACGCTTAACCCTTCTCAGGTCCGGCTGAAGTTGCGCGAAAATTGGAGTAGAAAGCCGGATCTCTTCTGCAAATGATCTTATATCCGGAAACTACGAATATGTCAGCCTCTGCATTTTGATTGCCATTGTTGAGAATTGGAATTTAAAAAGCAGACGAGGGGAGGGGGAATGCGGACCTGTGCAACTAGACTGGCAAAGATGCCTGATCCGGTAAATCTGGTTTTAGTTTCACGGCCTCTCATCATCATGCGAGGAGCGAGGTCCAGCTGGTCCGTAGATGACAACGGGTCGTCTTCTTCGTCAACATGCGCATGGTCAACCCGCGACGGCGCTTGCATATCTTGTTCTGCTGCAGGCACTTGGCGCTTGGGACGCTGTAAAAGACCCATATTCACGTAAGGTTCCTGGTTGACTGCAGCCTTAGGAGCTCCGAGGACAGTCTCCAAAAAGCAGTCCTTTCGCTCTCTATCATGTGGTCGACTTCTGTAAGGTGGCGCAAGAGCATTTCCCGTGAGACCATGATAATCGTGATGCATTGGACCGCCGGCCATAGCCATGCGAGGAGGTTCACTAGCTGGGAAACGCTCCGTCTGAGTTGACACTGTCGGTCCTGAATCCGGAGGTGTGTCAATCGGGGTATCCCTGGGCGCAGACACTGTAGACCTTTGGTCCGAGGCAAATGCTGTCGCTACAGTAGTTGGCTGCTGCCACAAAAATCCATCTTCATATGTGCATATGTTCGGAGTTCTGCTCTTTAAACAGCGACTGCAGGTAGGATACTCTCGATCACATCGTAACTTGCGCGTACGACACTGCGTGCACGCCATTGTACGGCGGCGACGCTTGCGCACGCGCTCGGGGGCATTCCCTTGGACATCCATACTAGAGTTGAGAGTTATGTCCGAGGGTGGGAAGTTCTGCCTAGGGAAAGTGCGGCTTACGTGGTCCCGCTCTGCGACCCGTGGAACACCCAAATGCGGAAAGTCTGACCGACGTCGCGTGGCTTTTTGGTTTTCTTTTCTTTTTTATTTTTATTTTTATTTTTTATTTTTTGGCAGTTTCTGTCCCCTTTCTTATGGAATCCCTACATAATTTAGGCTAATACCATTTTCCCAATAATGCTACCGCCTCTTTCTTATGGCGTTTAAGGTCTTACTCAATAAGTGCATGGTCTAGTGGAGTCAGAAGGACCTTGATTCGCAAAATTCGCAAATATAAAAGCCGGTTTTTTGCTATCTAGAGAGAGATCCACAAGTCAATTATTGTGGTCCCTAATCTAAAGGAACCGATTGGTTACAACACTGTGTGCAGTAAGGGGAGCTCCATATAAGCCAAAAGACGGTACATATCCGTTAGGTCTTACTTATCTCGCTATATTCACAATAATAGTCGGCTATATCAGCAACCTTTCGATGATTTCCAGTGGTCTTTACAGTAGTCTTCTTAGTAGTCTTAGATATCATTTCTACCATGTCAGTTTTACAGGTCGACGGCAAAAGAAGACGGGAATAGGCTGTGTAAATAGACTTTTCTATGTACATACTTACCGAGGATCACCTATATAATTATCATAGGATATTAAAAGCGACCGGAAGCCAGATAGATATATTAGTGTAACGTACACGATTTAGGAACGAAGAGGTAGAACGCCTCACACTTGGAATCGGGGGTTAATTGCCACGATCTACAGTTAACAGGACGTGACGTCCATGTGGTAGGTGCAAATCAAATTAATGTTAAGGGGCTGTCAGTCTCCACGTTAGACTCAAAAACTAAGCCCTACAACATAAGCTAAGGCTAAGGCTCTCGAAATAAATCATCTCCACTTAACCTCAGCCCTGGAGAGATCCGAGCATGGAGATAACGCCATCAGCTCGGAGTTCGGGCTTTTCAACCGGACTCGGCGCATAGCTCGGAGATACTGGGGTTTACATCTGTATTCAAATCTCCAGGCAACCTCGAACTTCAAAAATGCTCATCTGAACTTGGCTTTGAACTTTCAACCTCGCCTTCACAACTTGAACACGCCTTCCACCATGCTGCGTTCCTTGCTTTCCTTAGGCCGAATAGGCAGCGCCAACGACTACCTCTTTCCGAAAGTGGATCCCAAGGAGGACGGTCCCGAATGTTTAAAAGACTGCGCCGACTGCACAGTGCAATTTCCATCAAAAGTGAAAGTCGAGACCTCCAGACCTCTCTATGGCCAAGTCAAAGAATTTCACGCCCATGTGCTCGTGGCAACGGGGCAATCGGACTGGAAGGAAAAGAATGTCGAAAATGTGACAGGAAGTTTGATGGAGGCATTCGATGGGGCAAAGTCAGACCATGGTGTAAGATTCAAAATTCAAAATTAGCCTACCTCCACTAACACCCGGTCCAGCCGATTAAAGTCTCAGCATCAAATCTCACTCCTCCAGAACAACCGACCACAGACGGAAGTTCCAAGCAAGGCACGACAGTACTAATTCTACCATCATTCACATACATCGACTCCGTCGCACCATTAGATGTTCCAAACCTGATTGCCAGATTCATTGACCACCCCATCGATCAGCAAACTGGAAACGGCACTATCTCTCCCGCAAATGGGATGAGTTCTCGACCCTGTGAACTTGACTACGTGATACTACTATGTTCGCACGGACGTCGAGATGCACGCTGTGGTATCACAGCGCCACTGATCAAGCGCGAGCTTGAGCGACATCTCCGCCCGCTGGGGCTAGACCGCGATGCAGACGACTCTCGGGCTGGCGGGGCGGGAATCTTCTTCGTCTCGCATGTCGGTGGGCATAAGTTCTCTGCAAATGTTTTGATCTATCGCAAGAAGGACCAGCAGATGATTTGGCTTGCGCGTGTACGGCCTGAGCATTGTGAAGGCATTGTTAAGTACACTGTTCTACAGGGCAAGGTTGTACATCCAGAGTCACAGTTGAGGGGTGGCTTTGATCGGGTGAAAGGGTTGACGAGTTGGTAATTGGGCGATAGCTTTGATTCCAATGGTAATCTTTAATACATTCACAGCGAGGGAAATGGGGAAGGTCAAGGTCTTTGGGATAGAATTGAATAATCCTCATCGAACGAGGATTTCTCGGAAGACATGGTCATCGTCAAAGAATAACAGCTAGGCAGAGCCATTCTGAATGGGTTCACCTTCGCACGTCTAAGTCTCTGGAATAGAGGGTGGAACTCCGAGGTTATTCGAATTGAGACTCTCTCTCTGGGCTATATTGGTGTTTTCGACAAGCCCAATTTCCAAAGAAAATGGCAGCCTAAAAGGTGAAAAAGATGTCATTAATGCATGATATTCGCTTCAACGCTCATAGTAATTACAGCTCTAGTTAGATCACAAGTACATGTTCACCTAAAGATCCGAACATATCCCACCAATCTCCATTATGCCGTGGTGACTTCCATAAATCTTCCAGCGCTGCGCGAACCAGCAACACGCAGTTGAAGCGCAAATAGTTGTATATAAAATCGAGTCTCTCTAAGACGAAGGCCTGCTGGTCTGGTAGGAAAGTGTGGGCGCCCATAACGTATAATGGGAATATTATACAGTTATGAGCCTTGGAAAGAGGCGAGATACTTCTGATGCACTCCACGCATGACTGAACATGCTGTTGTACCAAACAATGCTTCGGTGGGAGGCCACAGATTGCTCGATAGAGGTAGACAAGCGCACTATGTTGAAAAGCACGTGTGAAAGAATCAGCTTGCATCCTTGATTCAATCCTCGACTCATGTATAGTGTAGGTATTGGGGTGTTTCATTTGGTCAAAGTTGAGAGTCTGGAATGACGGTTGTAGACACTGCTCAAAATCTTGCACCATTTCCATTGAAAGTGTCTCCAGGTCTCCTCCTTTGATCTGCTGGCGATATAATGACATTTCTGCCATTATCCTAAATACCGATGCTAGTGTTGTGCCGTTGTATGTTTCTTGGTCCCACCACACCGTCCCATGCTCTATCTGTGTCCAGATTTCAGCGGGAAAGCAAGGTGCTCGGTCATCCAGCAAAGCCTTTGTCAAGTCTGTGGATGCGAACTCTGATAGTAGCATAGTGATGTCCTTTTGGCCCATTTCGATAAGTGCTGTGAAGCCTCCAAGATGATCAACGATCGCTTGGACGCCCACGTGGTGACTTGCTGTCGAGGCAGATGGATGACCACATTCAATATAGCCGTCCAGAAAATAGAGTAGAAAGACTGCAATCAACAAGGGAGAAAGTGATGCATGATTGGAATTATTGGTTCGAAGCTGCTCCCTGACTGAAGCCAGGCAGCTCGTTCTTTTATCAAACGGTGCGTTCACCGTGCTAGTCCCAGCCTCCTCCCGCAGTGTGCGATGCGCCTCAGCCAATTCACATACAACCAGAAGAACCGGCTGACATTCCATAGCGAGATGTATGGGTGGTGGGCAAGGATGAGCTGCAGTGGTGAAAAGAGGCCATACAGCGGATTGAAAGTATTCAAGGGCCTTGAGGTCTCCAGCGGCCAAGGTATTGTCTTTTAAGTGCACATTGAGGGTCATAAATGGGGACTGATACATAGTTAGATCTCTTGTTGTTTGCGTGGTCTTTTTCCATCTGATCAAAAGTTTGTCATAACAGCACTCTGCTCCGGACGAGACACATCTCTGACACATGGGCTTCCCAAGATCACACTTCACGCGCCGGTGTTTGCAAGGCCAACACGAGCCTTGAACTGTACGCTCACGTTTTGGGGGCATAATTGTGCAACTGTCATTGTACAATATGAATAAAAAAGCAAAAAATGGGAGTAAGTGTTGGGAAGGAAGATCGGATAACCGAGAAAGCGGAGACGCGAACCTGGAACTGATAAGCCCTGGGGATTGCGGGGGGTAGTCACATGACAAGTCACATTCAACACTTATAGTAATGACTAGCTATTTTATACTGTTGCTGGTTATATTTCTATATTATGTCTGAAAACGCGAAAATGAGGTTGATTTGGATAGTTTAAAAGTTATAGAGGTTCAATGTGGTAGTATGTACTCCTCTACAAATCCTAAATATATATCATCTAATCTCAATTCATAATATCAACTTTTATATTTCCACAGTATCTCGACTTCCGCCCATTTATGGGCTTTGCGGAGCTCTAATTCAAATTGACAACACTCAAATACCATAGGACATTCCCTGAGAGCGACAATAATGAAATTTAGGCTTTGCAAGCCTTAACAATGTCTTGCACAATCTTGTCATTGGCCTGGAACTCTTTGCTGAAAGATTTCAGGGAGCCGTCAGACATCGCATGCCGAAAAGCAGCGGCTTTGGTGAAGGTAGTCCTGGCAGACTTGCCAACGATCGAGGCATCAGCGCCCATAAGTAGACCAAGTATGGCGAAAGGAGCTGAGGATGGGTCCTTGACAATATCGTAGACAGAAAGAGCCGCGTTACCAGCCTCGCCCATGACCAAAGCAGCGCGGGCAACGTTTGCCACCCCACCAATTGCCTCGACTGCTTCTCCAGCGAACGGAATGATCATAAGAATAATGCTGACAATGTCCAAGATGAAGCTGACTTTCGCTTTCGTATCGGCCTTTTTCTGCTCCTTGCCGATTTCCGTCATTTCCTTCATTTGCTTGGTCGTGTCTGCAATCATGAAAACGGGCATGCTGTACGCGGTGGCGATGTCTGCGTCGGAGGCATCCATGGACCCCATACGCATCTCCATGAAACTTCCGATCATGACAGTTTGAAGTGCGGTGATGTTGGGGACTGCAGTGTCGATCACTGACTTGAGGTTAGGAACCTTGATAGCATCATCGGCAGCCTTCTTTGGCCAGTTGTGGTACACTTCGCCGTGGGGCTTGTTGCATTGATTACAGTGGCCTGGTACTGGACAGGGACAAGGAGCGTTTTCCGGATCTCCCGATGTCTTCTCCCACACAATCCAGTCTTTGAGGATACCATAATCGTTCTGAAGCGCGTTGTAAAACCCATCTTCATCGCGTACCGTATATGTGATAGTGACAACGCCTTGACCGGGTTGTCCCTGTTTGACGGTCATCTTTGTACAAGCATCATTGCCACTGCCACCATCTGCTCCGCTCGCTGTCCATTTACAGTCCATGTATTTCCTTCCATTGCCCCACATAAACTTCTCAAGGGAATCGTCGATGTTGTCCCTGACCCACTCGGAATAATAACTGAACTAGAAGCAGATTAACTTGATTGCACCAGCATCAGAAGGGGTTGGAACTAACATATTCATCATAGCTTTCAGATGCATCTTTGTAGTTTTGCAGAACTGTGGGGAGTGTTTTAAGCAAAACCCAAACAACAGCCTGAGACCGACATTCTATATCGATTGAATCGATGCTAGCCTGGAGCTTATCGAGACTGTCCGGCCAATTGTCGGAAGGACACCCCTGAGGAAGATCGGCTAGTTGAAGGTCCTTGGCCTCTTCAGAGTTGGGGTCCACGCCCAGGTTCCACTGTTGGAGGTCAACAGCCCAGTCAGTGACTCCGCCAAAGTTGAGCCCTTTGACCCAGTCAATGCGTTCATTCTTGGTGTCATCGGCCATGTACGCCACCCAACTAGTGATGTTGCCATTGGTACCGTAAACCATCATATCCGAAGCGGATTCCTTATCATACCACACGCGGCCCTTGTAGCCTTCTTGGCCTGCGTTCACATTCGCCATGATATCATTTAATTCAGCATTTGAGATGTATCCAGAGGTGTTGGTACACTGTCCGGCCTCGGCTGTAGAAACATCAAAGGAACCGCCGTATTTGCACATGGGGCCAGTGCAACTTGAGTCGATCATACCAAAGCTGCGGCCGTAGCTTGAAATCCCGACAAGGACTTTGTTTGCGGGTACACCGGCCTTCGTAATCATCACAAGAGAGTTCTCAGTCTCGGTCTTGTTAACATGCGACCGAAGGCAATCTCCGCCGGGACAGCCGATATCTGAGTGGGCATTACCATAGTCTATATATGATTAGTAAAGTCCATCGATTGTGAAGACAGGTGGTAAACTCACCCCACTGTCCATGAAGGTCGTAAGTCATATAGATGAAGTATGACAGATACTCGGCCATTTTGTCAATCGGGAATGCTTTCAGATACCAGTAGGAAGCAGGCAGAGCGATTGAAAGGGACTTATCACCAATCTTGCTCTTCATCAGCTTCAAGAAAGCAAGGTAATTGTTCGTCTCATCACCAGTGCCTGGAGGGACACCAGGGATATCGGTAGCCCCAGGATACTCCCAATCAAAGTCGATACCGTCTAAACCCTCATACTTTTTGAAGAATGCGACCATGTTTGTCGCAAACTTGTCCCGATTTCCCGGCTTGACGACATCACGGTATCTCTGAAAGGTCGCGGCTCCAGTCGACTCAGCCCATCCTCCAAACGAAAGGACCTTTTTGAAAGGTGTGCTTTTCTTGACAAACTTTTCAAACTGCGCTTTGTAATCATCATTGTCAAAGGCAATGTCAAAGTCGGCAGTCAGTCCAGCAAAAGCGAAGTGCACATGAGTCAAGGATGTACCGTTGATCTCATTCACATCCATATTTAGACACTCGCGTTTGATGTTGAAGACTTCATAATAAGCAACATGAAGGAACTTGTCTGGAGCATGCTCATTGTTGACGATCTCTGTGCCGCAGTTGGAGATACATCCGTTTTTCCCAGCCGAAAAGGCTCCTGGAGCATTTGTTTTGGCGGGTGATTTGGTACAGAAGTCATCTGTAGTACCGCAGAAGCCCCACCCTGAGCAGCATGCATTCAAAGGGCAGGGGTTAAGCTCAGTGAGGTTCCAGCCATTATATTGCCCAGATGGAGGCTTGGTACCAGGCTTTTGAGGACCACACACCGCATTACTGAGCGGAGCTGGCATAGGCGTGTTACCTTTGCTCAAACATATGATTTGGTCTTGCTTTAGATCATTCGTGCCACAGCCAGCCCATGCCCAAGTGTTCTTGTTGAAGGTATAGATATCATCTTGGGTAAGAGCAAAACCAGCTGCAATGTCAGCACAATTGTCATTGGGTTGGATGGTGTAAGTGAAACAGGTGCCATCTGCTTGAGGCTTAGGGGTGTAATCGGGAAGAGTGCCCGCTGAGCAGCAAACATGCTGGTGAGCCCTCAAATTCGAGCAAAATTTAGCACCGGGGTTGTACTTGGTGAAGTCGGCTCCCGATATACCACAGCGGCTTGCCAATGAGCCACAGCCATCTCCCAGATTGACTTGTATAGTCCTACAGATATCCCGGGGGGCGATGAGATCCTCGACAGATGAAAAGACGCCTGACCGCTTGCTGGCTCCAGAGGATACCAACGTGGTGATTTTTGTTTTCATCGAATTTTGACCGTTTGCTCCAAGGCAATTGCCTTTAGACCACGTCTTGAAGGCGCGTTGGATATCCCCAAGCTCATCCAATGAATTCACGATATAGATTCCAATAGTCGTGTCTTGCTTTGAGTTCGAATCGCATGATTGGATTGTCTGAGACCCGCCCTCAAGGCTTTTGGTAAAGCTGTCAAGGTATGGACCAACGCTGCTAGGATAGACATCCGCTCCGGCATAAAGCGCAGCGACGGCTTCTCCAACCTTTGACAGAACAACAGTGGAGCCACACGAGGCAGCATTGGTCATGAAGGATGCTATGTTCTTGACCGCAGCATTGGCGTCATTGGTAGCCTTGATAGCACCGGCAGGGCCTACTTGAACGGTCACATCTGAAATCTGCTGAGATGCTGCACAAGAATTCGATACCACCAACGACTGCATTACAGCATCCGAATCAGTGACGTCGATATTGGCCCATTTTTCCTTTTTGACATTCGAGCTTGGGGATTGCTCGGGGAAAGGCTGAAGAACAGCACAGGAGCGTACTGCCGAATTGGAAGTCCACTCATCTCCGAAATGGAAGTCAAATAGCATTGGCTGGTCACAGATGCTCAAATCACTTTGCCGAACGATCCAGGTCCAGTTGCTCGGGTTTGAGCCGACAACCGAGCAGCTCTCTGGGCAACCTGGCGCAGGCAAGACGTTCAAGTTTGCTGACGTGGTGGTGGAGGCACAGGTAACAGAAGCAAAAGAGAGAACATTAAAGAAAAAAAAAGGAACGAAAGCCCCAAGGGCAGTATTCATCGTGAAAGAATGAAGGCGAATACTACCCCAGGCGATAACCTGGAATGAAAGTGTGCTTGAAGAGAACTTGAAAGTGCTGAGGTGGTGCTTTTCACTGCTACCCAGTAGGCTTGGAATATTTATATCAACCTTAGAAAAGAGCAAATCCAACACGACCGATCAATTTAGAATGATACGCCGTAGGAGTTCAAGGCTTTCCGGTGGGTCAACCAACATGAAGCTAATGTCAATCAAATTACCACTCATCAAGCCATACAGCTTCTGAGGAAGGTACCGCGATGCACTTCGGAAGAAAGCAGGAACGTGCGCCCCAATCCAGAACTTTTCAGCTAAATCCCCGACGAGAAAGAGTAAAATTTCCTATCCAAACTAGTACATTGGTATATGCTAGTACGCAGAGTCCAATGCCAAGAACACTACGGAGTACTATCGGATGTTTCATACGGAGACCCGCCGGCCCGAGCCTCAAATGCAGGGTTCCGAGCCTCCAGTGGGTTCGAGTATCAAGCTAGTTCGAATATACCACCTGCATTAGCGTGTGTGATTAAAACTGAACTAGGCCGGGATGTATATGCCAGCCTTGGATGTCGCCCCCAAGTTGCATTTCCTCCACCCCCTGCATCCAATGATGAGGTCGTTCCCACCAGCAGACCGCGTAATCACTACGGAGTACTTTTATAATAATATCTCATTAAACATGAAAATAGCCAAGCTTGATATGAGCACAATATCAAAAGCTTGATTAGTGGATACGTTACTACATATTTCGTATCCTGGATCGTATTGGTTACTTTCCTATTTGGGCAAACCGAATAACACTGCTACTAAAATACTATATTTATTGAATATACGTAGTAGCGTCTAATTGAACGACAGAGATTTTCCGAGCCCTGTGGGCTCCAGGTTATGGATCTAGTTAATCTAACCTGCATATCGAGTTTCAGCCATGAAACAGTTCTTCCCATGTACTCTACCTGTGCTAACGACCACTTTAGGGATTACCTCCTCTTTCCAGTTGATTTCAAGCTTTCTTAGTATTTTTGTTACTAGTATAGGCCCTAGTCAGGGATTCGAAGTGAAATTAGCTTGGCCCCGATGCGCGTCACTGGTGCTAGTATGAATTCATCAAGCCGAAAGTCGGACAATATCGCGCCGTACGAGTAGAGGCCATTACCATGGAAGCTCTTGATAGGGAGAGGGACTAATAGGGTATTCCATAAAAGGAATGGGTGTTCTCTTCTGTCCCCGTTTTTTGAGTCACCTTCCAGTCAGTCCTCGTCAATTTTGCTCTCAAAAAGCACTTGTCTACCTTTTGCGAGCACTATCAAGATGCTCTTCCGAGTGTCCCAGTTCTCTATTCTGGGCCTTGTTCTAGTATGGCTTGCTGCTCTTACGGGCCTAAGCTCTTCAGCCCATTCTCATCCCAATCATAATTTACACACCCACCATCGAAGAGTCGGCGCCGATGATCTTACAAATTATAAAAGCACCGACTTCAATCTTCATGCACATATTTACGAGAAACTCTTCTTGTGGGAGGCTTATCAAATTTTCACGTACGTTATCGCTAAGGAACTTGTGCCATCCTAATAATATTTAAGGCGGCCTTCAGGCTGTCATGGCTAACTGTGCAACGTTTCGATATAGCCAAATTCAAACCCCCGAAAGACAACAGCTCATATTTCCTTTCCGAGACAGAAAGGGGCCAGCGGGATCAAGCAACCGACATATAGAGAACGGCCGGAAGACAGACAAGGCTATGAATTATGTGGAATTCATGCTAAGAACACTCGATAAAGCTGCTGATCTGCCTCTTCCTCCTGACATAACTGAACCAACATCTAAAGATGATCTCCAAAGAGCGGAAAAGGAATTGTCAGTTTATAGAAAGTATAAGTACAACTTCCAGGGAACAGTTGAACTATCGCTTATCAGTCCTAATTTGGCGCTCTTGGAAAACAATGCCGCCTTGTTCAACTCAGGTCGAGCTCCCCCGGGAGGGGGCGGAGACAGTGGAGATGGAGACGCAGGCTCGGGGTCATCAGACTCGAATGATGCCAAAAAAGAAGACGATAAACATATCCGATATATTAGGGCGGTCAGTGAGAAGGTGGCCGCAGTCAAGGACGATGCGCATCTAGTCAATATTGGGGATGTTTCTGATCGTCTTGGCCGCGCCGAGGAGATTTCTTTCCGAATTGCGGCCCTTAGGAAGGGCCAGACAAGCAATTGGATAGTCAAGGAGCTATCTAGCGATCAGGGTTGGAACCTCCAAGAGCCTGATCCCGACAATGCAGGCAAATATCGCAGCACCGTTGTGATGGCCGAAGCAGATACCCAAGTTCCAGGCATGAAAACATACCAAGTAGTCGACTTCCCAAGAACACTTGCTGTGACCGCGAACATTGCAAAAATTCAGGGCAAGGGACTTAACAACTGGGACAAGTTTATGACTTGGGTAAGTTGTTCTCTCTCTAAGACTATCCCGAAGGGCACTAACTTCATGGCTACATAGGGCCAGGAACTTGGGAACCGCAATGCCATTACCGATGGTCCAGCAAGCACCAAAAGGAATGTTGATCACTGGGAAGAGATCAAACCCTGGGAAAGTTTTTGGGACAAATGTGCCGTTCCGCCCATATAGGAGTTCTATAGAACAGAGTTCCTGGGTGGTTTGACCTGTGACGTCGACTGTTTCATTAGACAGCTATATCTCCGAATTGATTGACAAACACCTTTGCAAAGAGTATAAGAATGTCAAAATTGCAACTTCAAGTGGTATTATTTTAGGTCCTATCCTATATCTGTGGCCAGTAACTTATAGGCGGTACTTACCAACCTTTTATCTATCCTTTTCCTATATTAAATAAGCCCCAGAATCAAAGCACTACATCAAACGTGGATTTCCAACTATCCCTGGATACTTCCCTCTTGTATTGGCCGGGAAGAGGCAAAGGCACATCCAAGAGGGACCTTCCGGGGCCGACTTTCTAGTTAACCTTGGAAAGCTTAGTGGGATTAAATAAGGATTATCGCACTAAAGGAAAACCCCTTAATCAAGCAACGCCACAATCTAACATGAAACTGAACACAGTCTGAGTCGGCAAATCACATACTGTACAGCCCACTTCAGGTACTTTGTAAGTTTACGGTACAGCGTATGGTATGTGGCAATGAAACCAATCTGATTTACGTGACAAATTCAAGACTTAGAATTTAATACGAAGAAGTTAGTGAGATAAGTCTAATAAAGCGCTACAAATACCAATTTTACTGCCTTGCCTATAAATTCCTGGACACTTTCCGATTGTTCAAGAATCTGTTTTTCCCTCTCTTTCTTTCAAACCCCTTCCAACAATTATCAGCCTCGCCCTCCGGCGCTATTTACTTTTATGGCAACTACCCAGGTTGCAGGGGAAAGCTCTGTCATTTCCCCCACCGACGTACCAGTCCCCATGGGCAAGAAACAACCGGCTGAATACGACCGCCGTCAATGCATCGCGGCAATAAAGGGGGAAAAAGTCCCGTCCGATCTGACCTCTTTTTGGCATCGTAGAGCAGTCATTCGCGGGATCCGTGATTCACTCCAATTTGCAACAAGCCCGGCAATCATTGAGTTATGCTCCGGCGACGATAGCCAGGCTCATCAGTTTTCTCGCGCCCGCAATGCTCGTCTGATAATGAGTAACATCATCCCCGATATGCAGGATCCTGCCACGGAGCCATATTGCATTTGGTATCCAGAACCTGCATCGGAAGAAACCTACCGTGAGCTTGCCCGTCGATATCCATCGATGCGCTACCAAGTCGGCCGCGCATGTGCTGCTGCTTGGTATACGGATCTTTACAAAGAACTGGATCTTCTGCCAGACGTATCTATTGCCGAAGAAGCCTACAATGCTGCCAAAGACGCCGATATCTACAAAATCATCATATCGGCTCCTCAAAGATGGGCTGTTATGGATGATTTCACTCGATCGGTTAATCTTGAAAGCCCACAGACACCCGCGTTCCTAAATGGAAATATGAAGCCTCGACAGGCTTTGGGCAGGCGTGTTCTTCCTCCCAAGAACTTGCCAGATACAACTGCAGATGATATTGACATTGAGGAAGATGGGTTCATTGGGTTGAAACAAATATTCACCCAAGTAGATCTCGATGCGGTACTTGGCCCAGGTGCGAAACTGGGCCCAGGGGACTCTGAGCATTTGTGGATGCCTCTTCCGCCTGATCTTCCGGTTATTGACAGACGTCTTCCAACGCAAATGGCTGCATGGGAGGGTAATGTGGATAGATACGCTCGATTGATGCACCCACGGAGGCTCAGAACGGAAATTGAATACAATTGTATTCTTCGTGGGATTTATCACCATACAAGTTTTGCCCGATGGTGGGCCTATCAGCTGGAAACCAACCCTGGGCGAATCATTCTCCCAGGTAAATTGCACAGCGAAGGCAATGAGCGCGAGTGTCGCGAGATTCGCACTGCGATAAATGCTCGAAAAATCATGAACAATGATATCTCTGACCTTGACGATGACTCAGACAGCCTCCCTTGGCTTATCTGGTGGCCGGTAAGGCCTAAAGAGAACACTTTGCGTGAGCTGGCTAGCAAGTGTCCGTCCATGAGACACCAAATTGCGATCGCTGCCATACTTTGTGACTACTACTTGCTTTTCAGAGAGTTGAAGCCCCCTCCACGCGAGTCCTACTTTGAGGCTGCCAAACAGAGCAGAAACCCGATCTACCTCAAATATCTAGAGGAATTTGTCAAGGAGCGTTCCATTGGAAGCAGAGAGATCTCACAGTTCGGCCCTTACGATACCACCGTGGAAGCAAGTTTACAGCCTGATTTGGAGCCTAGACACTCTTATGCTCATTCTTCTATCCATTTTTCTGATATGGTTGTTCCTCCGGGGCAGTTTCCCAGAGGCGACTGGGACTCTCCTGGTATCTATGGTGGTCTGCCCGCTGACCCAGGAGCAGTGGAGAGATACATGTGGCTGTCAACCGAAACTGCGCAGAAGATTGAAGACGAATACAACGGAATCTACAACGATAGCGCGGATACTGGCTACGCGTATCTTGAAGATGATGATTCGGATAACAAACTTTGGCTAAAGCTTTCACGTCCTCTAAAGCGTATGACATCCTTCGAAATGAAAGACTGGGAGGCATATTGAATGAATTGATTCTCTCAACCCTTTGTTTATTTCAAATATTGCGGGCCTATCATAGCTCTTTGAATTACATCTCCATAGCAAGACTGGGAGGAAAGTCTCCGGCCACATGGACACTTGGCCGCTCCATTCGGAGATATCGATATAGAAAGGATAGCTAAACGTAAATTACTATATAAGATTAGATAATGAACTTGCCCCTTGGTATAAGTCTCTAGATTTTGGTAAATTATATCCTAGCTAGATCTACTCGATCGAGCGTACATCCTATGTATACTTAGAGGTAGGACTTAGGCTAGACGTTACGGATAAATTGGTACGAATCGATAGATCTAGAACTCTAGACTAATTTATTGCGGTCGTAGTTAGGGTTGATAACTATATTAACGGGTGACGATACGAACATCGAGAAATGGTAAATCTTGTTCCCCTGAATCCCTGAAGTTGTACCCATCCACTTGTAGATGGCACTCGCCCTTCCCTAAAAAAAGAACCTAGCATATCAGAGCGGAGTAAAATGACTGCTATCAATTGCACTATAATGGAGCTCATATTCGGCAGCCTAATTAATGTCACTATTCTATGCTCGATGCTCCTAGGGGTGGGTGTTTTGTCGACTTAGTCCCACGGTTTCCTGATTACGCTTGGACAAGTACCCGGGTTTATGATATTGGATTAGTCTACATCGAAACCCCTAACATTTCCTAGTACAACGGATAACAGATCCTAAAGTGTGGACATGAACGCTTCTTTGCCAATAAGCGCATGTATCTAAACTTGCATGTATACTCTTATTTCCTTCGTGAAACTCTAGGACAATCTTGAAAGCTTGATAACATTGCCCTCATTACTCGCGCGAGTCAGGTTATGCTAATGTGGGTTATGACATTCTGTTCTGTTGTCTCATGCTCTGATGTTTCAAGATTGAAGTCTCCAAATTCTCCAACCACCAGACGAGCCTGTGTCAGACAGTCGCCTGCAGCACGAACACAGGCAATGGCGACGTTAATCAAGCGTGTATACTCATCATGTAAATTTTCTGAGCGAGATGCGTCTTGAGCGGCGTGCGCCAGCTCTGAAATCTTCTCGCGCATCAAATGATGCGCCTGTTTGAGAAACATATCATGCTGATCGTGATGCTCATATACTGACTGTACCACATTTAGCAAAAGCTGGCATGATTGCACAGCCTGCTTTGCAGTGTCGATAATGATAAACTTTATAGATGAAGAAGGCTGCAAGTGCAAGCCAATCAAAGACCTCAGTACGTCGAGGAACCCATCATACGTGCTTCCTAGACGGTTATACGCAGATCTCTGGCCACAGGTAGCGATTGAAGGGCCAGAGCAAGGTATCCAGTGGGAGATCGAGATGTCTTCCGCCCTGGTAGCAGTAGGCTGATCCTGGTGGTGCTCAAGACTAGCAGCAGAAGGATCGGAGACAGATTCGTCGATGGAAGTCACAATCATGTCAATGTCATACAATGAATGAAAGAGATCAAAGAAGCGGGCGCCGCGAGTGACGAGCTCGAAGGCCCTGTCAATCATCTCATCCAGAAGAATTTGGATTACATCGTTCGAAGGGTCTCCGTTAACGACATTCTGGAAATTCTTGATGATTATTGACAGACATAGAAGGTTTGATAGTAGGTCCTTGCGAAGTGCTCGAAGTTCATCGTACCTCTTTACTAGCGGGGCTTCCGAAATGAGACATTCAGACTGTTCCTATAGAATGATCAGCCATGCCGTGAGACTTTGTTCGCTTTCGGGGATCGTACCAGAAGAAACCGGACTCCAGCGTTAGCGCCTCGCAAGAAATCTTGGTTTGCGAAGTCTTTCATTGGTGGGCCGAATGTGTCTGGAACGCTATCGAAAATATCGGCCGCAGCCTTGAGGAGAGAGTACATGGGCGGACAATCATATACCACGCAATAATTAGTAGGCAACCAGCCCCTCTGTTTGGAATCTAGTTTTGTACCATCAGCCCAGCCACTAGTATGCAAGGTGTGGACCAGAATGATGTCTCCCGGGTCCAGCGAGAGAATAACAGATGATAGGAAGCCCCCGGCCGGACAATATGGGTAAAAGGCACGCAGGTATTTGCGGGAACCCGCTCGCGGAGTCTCGGTTTGACCCACGGTGGATTCAATTGCTTGCAGCGCTAACGGCAAAGTCGTTTTGGTCTGGCCATGTGCCGAATCAAAACAGCTGGGTATCAAACTCGAGGGATCGGCAGATATGCTCGAAAAACCTCGTTCTCTTCCGTTGATCACATCCTCAATGGTCGGGATATCAGCTTTATGACATAAAAGAATAGTCATGAGCCTGTCCCCACAGTTCTCATTCTCTGTCGCGGCTTTCCTCACGTCCTCTGTGATCAGCACATCGGCTCCGCGCTTGTCGAGGAGCACTTTCATCACCGTGTCTGCGCTCCAATAATTGCCTGCCGCTGCCTTGACCACATCCTCTGTGATCGGGATATCAACTTCGCATTTGTCAAGAAGCATGCTCATTATTTCTTTCCCACTCGCATAATTCTCTGCTGCTGCCTTGAGTATATGCTCTGTGATTGGGATCCTGGCACCACTTTTGTCGAAGAGGACCCCCATCACCTTGTCCGCGATCCAAGGATTTATTGCCGCTGCCTCGACCACATCCTCTGTGATATGGATATCAGTTCGTTCGAGGAGAATCATCATCATTTTGTCCCCGCTCTTAGTATTCCCTGCGGCTGCCTTGAGCACATCCACTGTGATAGGGATGTCGTCTCCGCATTTCTTGAGAAGGATCATCATCACGCTTTCGCCGAAGTTCTTCGCAATTCTAGCAATAAGAACCTCTGTGATTGGGATATCAGTTCCGCGTCTCTCGAGGAGAGTGGCCATGATCTTGTCTCCGCTCTTACTATTCCCGGCCGCCGCCTCGAGGACATCCTCCGTAATAGGAATATCGGGCCCGCGTTGCGCGAGAAGTATCGAGATCACCCTTTCACTAAAGCTCTCGGCAATTCGAGCAACAAGACCCTCTGTGATAGAAATGTTGGCTGCGCGCTTTTCCAGTAGAGTGGCCATGACCTCTTCTCTGTTGGAATAATTCCCTGCCACTGCTCCAACCACATCCTCTGTGATCGTGATTTCCGACCCCCGTTTATTGAGAAGAATCGCTATTACTCTTTCGTTTAGACTTCCAACAATTCGGGCGACAACACTCTCTGTGATGGGGATATCGGCTCCGCGTTCCTCTAGGAGGATAGTCATGATTTCTCCCCCCGAAGAATTGGTTACTGCTTCTTTCACCACATCCTCCGTGATAGGGATCTCAGCTCTATGGCGAAGTAGAGTCATTAGAAGCCTACCCCCGCAGTTCTTATTCCCTACTGCCGCCTTCACCACTGCCTCTGTGATAGGAACATCGGTTCCACGTTCCTGGAGGAGAATGGTTATAACCCTATCGCCAATCTCAGTGTTCCCTGCTGCGGTCTTGACGACATCAGCTGTGATAGGCATACTTGCTCCCCATTTACTAAGAAGAATTGTCATGACCTTGTCCCCCTTTCTCAGGTTCTTTGCCGCAGCAGTGAGTACATCTTCCTTTATTATTCTTTCTCTCCAATTCTGTGTTGAGTTGTGCACTTCTTCTTCATGATCCAGGGTCCGCGAATCCAGTAAGACCATCATGGTCTCTTTCAGGTCTCCGTCGATCTTCTCTATAATGTAACACACATCCTCTGGCTGAATAGTCTGCGAAGACTGAGCACATAGCAGCTGTCGTAATACCCCTGGGTGGCAATGAACGGCTGATGCGACGATAGGGCTCCTGAGGTTGGCTTCTCGAGTCACTTCCGTATCTTCTCTCAGCATATTTTCCACAATGAACTCAAACCCGAATCGCGACGCGTAATATAATCTACCGGGGAAGCCTTCCTTAACGGGCTGGAAAGACCTTGCTGGTGGCTCCTTGTCGAAATCATCCTCGTCACAATCGTGGATGCATAGCCAATTTGAAAATGCCAGAGAGAACTCTTTGCTGAACATCATGCTAATGTAGCCCTTCAAGCCCTTCGAGACCTCAAGCTTATAGGACTTCCTGGCATGGAGATGCCAGAACCTTGCCGCATATGTCAATGACGTTCTCTCAGCAAGATTCTCATTTGTTATTTCGAAAGCATTGTTCTCAAGTAGGCATTGGATGGTCACTGTTGCTATTCCACGATGAGAGGTAGCAGATTTGTTGGCATGGTAATGGTGCTGTTCCAAATATTCCTGTACAGACAAATGCGAGAAGCGGCAGAGTTCAGAGTCTTTGTCGACTTCCAAAAGGTTGCAGCAGGCGTCAAGCACATCATGTATATCCAAGTCGACATGCTCAATCCTTCCATGATCCATTTCTCGACTTACAAACGCAACTAATGCATCTGAAGGTAGGGGTTCGAAAGAAAAAAGGACCCACTGGAATGCTCGACTTGCAATCTCTGGCATGCTGCCCGCGGAGCTTTTGATTCTTTTTTTGAAGATCTCAGCATACGCTGCCTGTAAGCCCTTTGGCAGCCGTCCCAGTCGCTTTTGGATATCTTTCTCAAGTTGAAGTTCTAGAATTTCCTTGATCTGTAGGGCAGCCCATTGAAACCTAGATAGTTCCAATAGACGTTAGCGGAAATTGCGAGATTCAAGGATCAATGAAAACCTACATCCCCTCGCTCTTTTCTAGAAGGGTTGTAACAATTTCATCTCGTAACCCTTCAGATATTGGCCTGCTCCGGTGTCGGCTTTGCTGCGCATGCTGGATTCTCTCATGGACGAACTTGCTGATGTCATCTTGATTATCAGTTGCCTCAATACCAAGATTGATTTCCAGTTGAAGCCGTCGCTTAATATTGTTATCGCGTCGGCTGGAAATCAAAACTTTGAGATTGGCAGATTGCGATACCAAGCGATCCAATGCCTCCATGAGGTCTTCTCGATCTTCCATATAGGTTTCATCCATGGCATCTAGAATCAGTATTGTCTCTGCATATGCCTTCGTCAATTCAAGAACAAGTCTTTCGCTTTCTTCAAGGCTCAGATTTGCTGATGCTCCACCTTTGCGTTGGTTCTCTTTATAGATATCAATGACGACCTGCTGAATGGCGCCGTTCGATGGAGACTTGGATAGTTGCTTGACATAACTCTGCAAGACGTGTGTGGGGTTACGGCGTGAGGTCTCGTAGCGGTTGCAATAGAAGTAAGCTATAGTAGTATCTGGCTGATGATCGACAAGATGGTCAATGACTCGGGAAATAAGCCTGGTCTTACCAGCGCCGGCTTTTCAGCATATGTTAGTTGTATTACTCACGATTCAATGGTTCTGGATAAACTCACGAATACCGTGTATCCATAATATTGTGGACTTCTCCGAAAGTCGCCACTTCTGATATTGTGCATGTTCAAAGAGCCATCCACCAGTGTTGGCTGTGCGGCCTTTACAGACAGATCTGTGATGATCCTCATATGGGATTCTAGAAATCCACTTAAGGATATCCCCGGCCTCTTTTTCCTGTAGGTTTGCCGAAATGGCAGTAATTGTGGTAGACATTGAGTCCGTTAGATCCTTGACCACCGGCAAATTGAGTAAAAGTTTTCGTGCTTCCGACGACTCGGATCTATCACAGTTCTGCGCTTCAATTTCTGCGCGAGCTTCAAGCTCTTGGCATTTATTTTCTAGATCTTGAATGTCGTCGGATGACCAGAAGGCAGCAAAGGCTCTTTGTAGGGAGGTTCTCTCGTAAGCATATGCTGCTTGAACTAAGAACCTTAGGATTACGGTATAGAATTCTATCAGGACTGAGTGAAGGTTCTGGCATGCTTGAGGCGAGCTTTGACATGACTGGAGGAGACCCTCGTAGAGCCGGCATCGGTAGAGAATATAACAGATCCTATTAAGGCCGCAGAAAAGAGCTTCCATTTGGGTTTTCTCTGATTGAACCACCTGAGGTTGATTAGAGATTGAAAATCTCACGAAGAGGCGTAAATACCTGGATTAGAAACCTGATCCCAGCCCAGGGCACTCCAGCATGGAGTGGATCGACATTCGACACAATGTCCCCAACTGCCTTGAATTTGTCCAACCAATTCAGAACTTTGTCTGCCGTGTCCCTCAACTGAATGTTGTGGCCACCGCGTCTGAAGGTCCATCTATTCTTGTCACAGATTTCTCGCTTCGCTTGTACATCTCGCAGAAGGACCTCCGGTGTCCAGTCTGCGACATTTTTTTCGGCCACCAGTAAACCAGCCATGGTTTCTTGTTCTTTGTTGGAAAGACAGCTGTGGGCTTCTGCCCATAACTTACCATTCATCCGCTGAGAAGATTCATTGGCTACATCACCAGGTGGCTGTGTGCCTTGTGCAAAAGTATTTTCTTCCACTTGCCCCTGTGATAGCAATGCAGCTCGTGAGGCTTTTTCTAGCGTCAGAGAGCTAATACCTACGGAGGAACTGAATGATGGTTCTCTTGACTGTGACGCTGAATCCCCATTTGATGTCCTGCTTCGTGGGCGGAAGAAGGTTTTTAGCTTATCAACTTTGAGAGTCATGGCTTAATTAGAATCTATTTCTTGGAAGATTACTGAAGAAAATTGATCGGGTCCCAGATACATCGTGTTATTATCAGATACCCCCCTTTGGTAAGATCAGCCAATGACCAACGAACACGTTGAGCACGAATCTATAAGCTAGAAATACCGGTCTGTTCTGTTCAGACCAAGATAAATGGGGCTTATTGGCCCCCCAGTAAAACTCGCTCTGCGAAGCAGTCTTTGTCGGCCTGTTAGGACGACGGATTCATACCTTCTTGTAGTGTACTCCGTACATCGGCCGGTGTTAATCCCCGTCCAGAAGATCAAAAGGGATTCGCCGTGGTTATGAGGGTATCTGCTCTTTGATTAATCGTGTCATGCTTCCAATACTTTTAATCTTCTCTGTATATTTTCAGTTGACAATATATTCCGAAGCCTGAAAGACCCATCCTTACCCAAAGTTCAATATGACATCACTAATACTTTGTCGCACGGACATACCGCCTCCCTATCTTGGTAGTCTGCAATAAAAGGACTGGCAGAGTCAGACCGCCTACTAGTTTCGTCTGATTTTAGTTTAATTAGGTCGCGTCGCGTGGACGCGAATCGATCAAGGACCAATTTACGGCCATTCCGTAGACTGCCCTTCTTCCAGGTCGTCGTAACACGTACAATGCAACAATGGCCGACAATGTTCTTACTTCCAGTGCTGATGTTGGTGCCCAAGCCATCAATGTTCGCGCAGAATTAAAAACATGGGAGAAAGCTTTCGCGTCGGCCAACGGGGGCCGCAAAGCCGGACGCGATGATATCAAACAAAATGCGGATATCGGTTAGTCGAGATTCTCGTGCCGCATGATATTTAAGATGGCATAAATTACTAATTCCAAAACTTCTTCGATGCACTAGCGGCTAAATACAAGGAATACAGTCGTCTCAAGGCCCTCGAGGCATCATTAAGGCGACGCGAAAACAGTCGACAGGAGCCATATGAATGTCACTCGAAAAAACGGAAATATGCATCTCCCCCCGGTCAGGATAGTGCGTATCTTCAAATCACACCCCGCAAGTCGTCCCGAGGACTGTTTGCGACGCCATCCAACAATCGCACCAAGCACCATCCCGCACAACTCGATCCGTATGACTCGCCGTCAACTCTTCGCAGACTCTTTAGTCCAAGCACGCATCGACAAGGACTGCCAGCACCGTCACCGTTTAAGGTTGCAATTGGGCCTACGCCTCAGCGTGATGGAAAGACATTGGGCCTGTTCGACATGCTATCTGAATCTGGTGGGAGTGGGGGAACCCCCTCTGTCACAAGACAAACGAATAACCTAACAGCCGCGTTTCAAACACCTTCCAAACGCAGGCCTGTAACGATGCCCGAGGTCCCGGAAGAAGAGGCCCAGCAGGAGACGCCCAGACTTGCGCGAACTCCTGCGTCTGAAACTAAGCAATTCTATCTTGCAAATTTATTCGCAACACCGACGACGATGCGTTATGCTGCCATGGTGGAAGCAGAGGATGATACAGATGCGCAGAAGACGAGTGTGCTAAACACAGCGCCTGAAATTTCACCCCAAGAAGTGCAGTCTGGGACACCGTCTTTCCTCCGTCGGTCCAACTCTGGTCGATATCCTCCACCTAGCACAAAGCATGATGGGCCAGGACTCAGTCCCATTGTTTCGCGCAAGCCGCAAAGATTTGCAAGCAAGGGACTAACGCACTTAGTCCAAGGACTGCGGGACATGGAGGAGGATCGTATGGAGGACGATTGGGATGTGATGCGCGAGATGGAGGAAGAGGCAGAGGCGGAAGAGGCTGCCAAAAACCAGGTGGAGGAAAGTCAAGAGCCAGATATCAACCGGAAATACAAGAAGAAGGGCCAGAAGCGGACGACACGAAGAGTGATCATGAGACCGGTTTTCCATCAACCGAAGCCCAAATCAAACCCAGCTCCTACAGCAAATGAGGACTGGGAAGAGGAAGATGATGTTGTAGCAGTTGCGGAAACGCAACAGCCACCTGCTGCTCATGACGGCTGGGACGATGTGCCGAGTGATATCGAGCAAGCGGACGAGACCGCTTCCCTTCATACTATATCTGAGCCTGAGCTCGATAGCGGGGCCGAGTTTGATCCCGACTCAGACGATGATCCTGAATTTGGAGAACAGCCGAAACCTGTTGCCAAACCGAAGTCTTTTTCGGAGAGAATCAAGGAAGCTGTTTCATCTGCTGCAAAGCCAGAGGAACAAGAACCCCTGGGTAAACCCCCGAAGAAGTCTTCTGAGACTACGGAAGCAAAGAAACCTCGTGCCCGGAAGATCAAACCCGAAGCTCATGCGAACTATCGATCAGTAAATATCAACAGAGGTTCCTCGCGGGGCAGAGGGCGTTTCCGCAGGAAGTAAAAGCTGCACAACCCTGCTTGTTTTTCATGAAGTGACGACTGCATTCATACATTCATATTTAGCATATATACATAGTAGCATCTTCCGTTTTGGAAATTCAAAGCGTATTATCAACTAGCTCCGAGTATGTATGCACTACACACTGAAACTATCCCGAGCATATCCAATGACGAAAAATATTACTGGTGTCCCAATAGCTCTAGAGCCCGTTCTTGCAGGAAGATGACCCTCTCGGTCTTCATATGGGGGCTATTGCAATGTCTGAGACCCCAGGTAGCCATAGCGGAAACCGCAGTGGAAGTCGTCGGTTCGGTTCCATTGAGTCCATAATTTTGGACGGATGCCCTGGTAGTTTAGGCTTCCGAGTGATGAGAACCAGCATATCTCGAACAGCACGATCTTCTCCGGGAGAAATATATACAGGAGTGACACTGTGTTTGTAGCTGTTGTCGGCAAACATCAAGGTATCCAAAAAATGGCGGTGCTGCACTCTGTCGATGATGAATCCAGGCTTGGCCTCACACCCCGAGATCCCCGTGGTCTCATTGCTATCATGAACAGAAGTGATTCCGCTGTCTTTACGAAGATTTTCCGAGTGCAGGAAAACGGTCATCGTGTGATCGCCACCATCTTGATGGACACCTTCCAGAGCGGGATGCCCCTGTATGTCCTTATCAGTGAAGGTGCGGACATTAAATACATTACAGATCCAGCTATCACTGGCATAGTCAAGACCCCGGCGCTGGTCCAATGGAAATTCTTCCATCATGATCGATTTGAACACCATCAACGCTTGGATAACGGTGTTATGCTGGAATTCAGAGCCCAATGGTGGGAAATCCCGAGGAACTCCCGAATCATGGCGCTTGTAGTTTTCCTCTTCTGTAAGAGCAAAGAGCTGGTCTTCCAGTCGCATTGCCTGACATTTCTCACGATCGAGAGCAAACCGGGCTAGCCCAATTTTCCTATAGTCTACCGTGGGATCTTTGCCAAGATGGTCACTGACGAGTCTAATGTGTTCAAAGCTATCCTGTGTTGCGCCGAGTCCCCGCAGTACTGGGATGAGTGCTTCGCCTTCAAGGAAGATTCGCTTCTCTTGCAAGTAGGTGGTTCGAAACTCTAGAATCTTGGCCACAGCTGCGTGAAAGTCGGCCGATTGCAATTGGTCAAGTACATTGAGATCATTCTGCGAATGAGGATGCTTTTGGCATGCCTGATACATGCTGTCATTCTGTTTTGGAGCGGGGAATCGATTGGAAATGGGACAAGGAGGACTCATGGTTGATTCGGAAAATGATACTCAACTTGGGACTATACTGACTTTGATGAGCGTTCGCACCAGTCTTGGAGCCTCGGAAAGAATAGGCATTCTGTCGATAAATATATGTTATTTCGCATCCGTATAGTTCCCTCGCCATAGTAGCAAATATATGATCAACAGATGGGGAAGCACAACGTCTACGGGAAATAGGATCAGCTGAAAGCAGATGCATCATATGATTGGAGGTTATTACTCTCGTGGCCAGCTATAGATCTCTAGGGGTCTCAGATGGTACGTTATTGATACATAATCGGGGAACTGGGTGGATCATTCAAATGATTCCAGTGATATGTATGAACATCCAAGTAAGGAAATAGATAGGCCTCTATAAACTAGAGGTGCATCGTGTAACCTCGAAGCAAACTACTACCCAAGAGGTACGTGTATGTTTATGACGGCACTACACTGAATTCATTGAGTCTGCACTTTTAGAGCCCTATGAATGGATATTCCCCTACGTCGACTATATATCAAAGTCTTGTAGTCACTGTCTACCCATGGAAATCATTCTGGCTGACAGGAGATGTTAGATAAAGTAACACTCAATGTCTAAGCCCGAAGGGCTTCTTGTGTAACATCCGGAAAATAAGTCCACCACAGTCCAGAAGTACAGAATAAGTTGACTGGTGGCGTAAGATCAAGAGATCGACATCAACATCCCATGGCTTCATATGATGTGGAGACTGGATGGCTGAGAAAAGGGTAAGCTGACACAAGGCAAAGGCTTCATGAGGCGAGTCGGAACAGAGTATTGGGAGTGATATCCAGCTGAGACAGCATGTACATGTTTATGGCGATGCCTACTGTCTACAGTGGCAATAGGAAAGTGAATGGAGGGTTGTAATTGACCATGGTGGAAGTTGACTGCTCTGGACTTCAGAGTATTTCACACATCCTCCTACCTTTTCTCGTCCCCCTCCCACAATCCCATTGGTCTCTGTTTCTGCGGGGTTTGCTGTTCTGCTTCTCTTAATCTTTTTTAAGAGAAGGGGTCGGAGGTACTTGGAATAGGGAATGACACATCGAACGGCAGAAGGCAGAACGAGGACGTCACGCACCGGGACGGGCCCTATGTTAGATTATTATAGACGAAGAAAAACCGTTCTTACATGTTGGCTTATTTCCCTAGACAACTATTGGATTTGTAGTATAACATCCTCAATCCAAGCTGTATATTTAATATGGATTATATCGCTGTTGGGCCATCTGCAGCCGTCTGGAGCGATCAATCACCTCTTGAGACCTAGATCTGTATGGTCTCCGGGACCTCTGTGGCCTACTCCGATAATTCACAGGAGTCGATCTACGACCCGAGCCATCAGAGTCCCTATGCCCTCCGTCAGACGTACTCCGCGGAGTATTCGCGTACTGAACATGACGATCCCAGTCCTCTAAAGAATTATACGGACTCCTTAGCCATGCCTGTAATTCATGGAGAAACAGACGGGCATTCTCACGTCCAATGAAATCTCTCAATAGCTCCTCCGCCTGTCCAGCACTGCCTTTGAGATCGACCGTGCGTAAGATAGCAACGACGTATTCCAGCAGAAACTCGGCATTGTTCGCCCTGCGACTCTCCAGCCGTTGAGGTCCAGGGCGCGGGAGTTGGTGAGATGTCCGCTCTACGTCCTCCGGTTCCGGGTTCAAGAAAGAGAAGACTCGTAGTTCGCGGCGGATCCATTTCCGAGCGCGCGAGACGAGCTGCTCGTCGCGACTGAAGATCTCGGGCGTCAGTTCTCGATACTGAGACAACCGATTGGATCCAACCCGCATGGAGTATGTTTGGTTGCGATATACATTGCGCCGACGTTCGAGGGGGTCATCTGGCGGTAGTCGTGGCGGGGGTGGGGGACGTCGCCCTCGTGGGCCATATCGATTACCAGGACGTGATCGAACAGCTGCTGGGGCTGCTGGGATAGCTGCGCTTGGGGGCGGAACCTTGTATAGCTTCGGACCGTGTGTGGCGTTGACTTCGTATTGCACGGCTGTCAACTCGATTTTACCTGTCATTGTCAGTCAGGTCAAGTGAGCAGTATGTGTATCCACGGGTATTCTTACATAGTGGACATTTGGGTTGCTGCTCGATCCAACTGACAAGGCAGAGGAAGTCGAAGTTGGCATGGTGGCATGGCTGTGCCACACAGGGCTCAGTGATGGTGTCTAGGCAAATAACACAAGGATTTGCTGCCTCTTTCTCCTCATCAGCTACCTCTTTAAGAGTCCGCTGGAGAATTTCCTGTCGCAAATCGACATCATCCATACAGGCGACATGCCAGGGGTTAGTTGTAAGGTTTAGTTCCTGGGGGTCACGTTTGTCACTCTGGGCGGCAAAACCATTTTCTCGGGAGCTCCGTCACCGCGCTTGCTATTTTGCGACTTTCAACTTCCTCGCTATGTGCTAACACCCTTGTCTCTTTTCCTTGACAGAATGCGGTCTGCCAAAGCAGTTGTTTCAGAAAGACTTGCTCGCTTTGGTTCTACTGCCAATATGTCTTACACAAGTGGGACTCATCGGCCGCATACCATCACCTCACTACGGCGCTGGTCTATTGTGAACAAGGAGCTTCCAGGTTAGATATTATTACGATCCATTGCCTTGCCATATTTCTAACAAGTGTCTTTTCTTTTTTAGCTGTGTCTCAAATTCGCGCAATACACGTCTACGATTTCGACAACACCTGTGAGCATATGCAAACCTAAGATGTTCCGACACTTGACCACTAACATACACATCTCCAGTATTCCTAAGTCCTCTACCAAACCCACAATTATGGCATGGCTCCTCAATCGGTTTCCTTCAGACGAGTGATAGTTTCGCGACTGGAGGATGGTGGCATGACCCCAACATTCTCAGCGCTACAGGAAAGGGCATGGAGATAGAAGAGCCTCGCAAATGGGAAGGCTGGTGGAATGAACAAATTGTGAGCCTTCTTATCCTATAATATTCAGGGCGTTCAACTGACTTTTTCAAGCTGAGTTTGGTTAGGAATAGCATGGAGCAGAAAGATGCGCTCACGGTGTTACTGACCGGTCGAAGTGAGGCCGGCTTTTCAGATATCATCAAGCGCATGGTCGCTAGTCAGAACCTTGACTTCGACCTTATTGGTCTCAAGCCCGAAGTTGGTCCAAGTGGTCAACGGTTTGCGACGACAATGAAGTTTAAACAGGACTTTCTTGAGGATCTGGTTTTCACTTACGAGCAGGCTGCCGAAATCCGTGTCTACGAGGATCGTGTCAAGCAGTAAGTCCTACTGAGTTGGGTAATCCGAGTATATCAAGATACTAACATTCTGCTAGTGTGAAAGGATTCAGAGACTTCTTTGAGGGTCTAAACAGAGAACTTCAAAGTGGGCCCGTCACAGCACGGATGCCCATCCTTGCTGAAGTCATCCAGGTAACCGAGGGGTGCACATATCTTGACCCCGTAACTGAGACTGCCGAGGTGCAGCGCATGGTCAATGCCCACAACCTCACACTGCGCAACCCCGCTTTGAACGTAACCAAGAGCCGCTGTGGACGGATGTATATCAAACGAGTCGTCTTCTACACGGGGTATCTGGTCACTCCAGATGTTTCAAACAGCATGACGCAGAATTTGCTGGCTCCGCTGCTCCCCCCAGGGCTTGTCGAATCAAATGACCTGAAGTACATGGCTAACAGCATCCTAATCACCCCACGCCCAGCGCCCCGTTCGATCCTGGACAAGGTCGGAGGCTTGGGCAAGAAACTAAAGTGGCAGGTTACCGGAACCGGAAACCTAGACAATAAGATTTGGGCGGCCCGGGTGGCGCCTATCCCAGAGACGGAATCGTATTACACGGAGAACCCACTGCCAATTGTAGTACTGGCTGTTCGCAAAGGTGCTCGTCTCATCGATGCAGGCAAGATCCAGAACTGGCATCCCATTCCGGCTGACAGGGCCATGACCATTGATACTGTGGTCGGCGAGAAGGTTGTCCTACGGGTTGAAGACAGCGGAGATCATCGTCAAGGAGAGCAGCCAATGAACAGGAGTCAAAAGAGACGCTTCATAGAAGATGACAACGTGAGCTGGCCCAATCAAAACTTTGGCGTTGATAGCCCATCCCATGGCCGCGGCAACTACTCCTCTCAGCGCGGCGGAGGTGATGGACGTCCCCAATACGATGATGGTCCGCGAGGAAGAGGCTCTCATCGTGGTCGTGGCCGAGGTGTTGGACGCGGGCGCGGTAACAACGCCCGTGGCCGTGGCCGAGGTCGTGGTCGAGGTGAATACTACCAGTACAGGTCGCTAGATGACCATGGCAATGGACACGATGGGGCGCATGACGGGAAGAATGGATACGGTAGTGGAGGTACAGGAAAAGGAGGTTACTCCATGGACTATTGATTTCAACGTGTATTCGGAAACCCCAAAGCCGCAGTTTTGGGACGGTGATCCGCTGGTGCCCAACATTATCTGTATGTTTACGAGTTCTCATCATCTCCGGTTTCAGCTTGCATCAGTAATGGATTGGCGTACGGAGTCTCACTTTTCTTATCCACCCTTTATGGTTATATAAGATCCTAGAAGAATGATTTACGGTCGATATTCGTAACTTCAGCGTATATTATATAAATTACATATGTCCTCTACAGACAATAATATTCTAATGTTTGCTTTTTGTGGTCACCTTATATGTCAGCCGTCCTTTCAAACCATTTCACTTCCTTCCATCAACCTCCAGCCTTCATGTCACTATCTACAAACCACGTTATGGGACACCTGTTCTAGTATTTGACAATATATCTACACTTCCCAGTATTGGCTTTCATCTATATCATCGTAGATGCCACGAGCGCCTCATAGATGACATGAAAGACCTTGACACCCCGATATCTCAACTTTCACTCATGAACGTATCCTCAGGACGTTCTACCTGATATTCCAGATGGATCCCAAGGATGATGACAGCAGCGGGTCCTCGTTCTGGTTGGGCTTTTGTTCTCAGTTGTATGCGACTCTATTGGATTGATAAGCCATGGATCGCAGAGCTGACGAGAACAGCCGTCAGTGATATGTTAAGCCCCACCGTCGTGTCATGTACGACTATGATCTGAGGCGAAACCGGTCACTTTAACCTTTATCATCTTCGTAATCTTCGATTCCTTACCCCCAAATACCCATCGTCAATGTTGACGAGCCGGAGAATCTTGATCTCGACAGATGGCAACAAAGAATGGAACATATATCAATACTCCTGGGGAGAAAAGCAAACGAAACTAATACGTCGGTACACAATACTCGTGGGTTTCCACAGCCTATGTGAAGATATTAGCTCGAAGAGGTGCTCAAGATCTTCGCAGAGCTCATCCGGAAACAAGAAAAGCAATGGTTGGGTGTACCACTCTTGCACATGAGATATCATGAGCCGACCATCTGGACCAGCATTTCAACGGTCCGAAAACATTTCCCATGCCCGCTCGCAATGGAGCAGGGTTGCAAGAGGACATTTTTATCGAGAAAAAAAAAGTACAAACAGCCATTCGAAGCTGAAGCGCGGTCAAATCAAATGGGAGATCAAACATACGCTCGACACTATTGAGTTAATCATGTATCCTCAGACATGCCTCTTTATGTTCCTTGTGGAGGAATAATTTCCCCTCACAGCCTCGTTCCTCTGCATGCAAACATGTAAACACCTTGCTGTGTCTATATGTTAATGGAAGTGACTGCGCCGTGATGACTCATGCGTAAGAGGTGGACGCCGATATATAATCACTTCGACAAGGGATACAAACGAACATGTCACGAAGGGGAATGCGTGGCAGAGGAAAATGTCGCTGCCCTACCAAAAGTTGACCTTCGCTATCTTGTTCAGACATATATCTAATATCTTCCATGCAACCGAACAATCACGGCTTCAAGTGCAGAGTGAATGGTTCCTCTCCGACAACTGAACAGCAGCATAAGGTTCTCAGCGGACTTTATGTGGGATCAAGGATCAAAAATGTTGCTAGGCGCTGTGTCGACCATAGTGTCCAGCGACGAGTAATAGCAGGAACATATACACAGCAGAAAGGACAGTGTAGGATCAATTGGAATGGAGCCGGAGAGATTTATACACGATGAATAGAATACGAGACAGGAATTCAGGGGAAAATTGGATGGCTGTCAAAAGAAGTTGCATCCGGTACACCCTGGAGTATTCATGGCGGTCTACATATCCAGGTCGTTTTGACATGGGCTGATGGTAGTGCGCGGTATCGTTTCATGTGGGATTTCGTATCTTGATGTGGAATTCAAGCAAACTGACAATGAATTAGGAGAAGGCCGATATTATGAAGTCCACGATATTGACCTACCTTTACGCAATCTTCGAAATCAATGAATTTGGCCTAGACTGTGTGCTGCAGTTAGCAGTTGATGACACACTGTATTCGGTCGTGGGCGTCCTTTTCGTGTCTCAGGGTCTAGAAGATCGTGTAGAGGTCACGTCTCTTACTGCCTCGCCTTTCAGATACCCACAAGTGTCATCCGGACATTGGCATGTTCTTGTTAAACGACCTAATCTCACACAGCCACAATTCACATGCCTTGGCAAGGGATATGCCAATCTATTGCATGGAATGCCACTCAATGGTGCAAGAGGACCGCTTCTTGGGCCCTATTAGCACGGTGCTGTTCTCTACCTCGACTAAGCTCACTTCACTATTGATCGTTCCATGATCATCATCATCGTCATCATTAGCTAGGTCCTAATTTAGGGAACAAGTCATCATTCTTATTGTCAAGGATGAACTACATTGTGTAGCACTAGATCAGATATTTGATATCTTCTTGATTACGTAGATGAATATATAATGTGGAGATGAAGTCTAGTCCTACAGTTCAGTAGGTGTGTAAGAACTCTTGATTTTACGGTTGCTACTTGAGAGACTGGGTTATGAAGAGTTGACTTTGGTATCATTTTTGATATTGTGTCAAAGGACTAACTAACATTTGCATTTCTGCGTGAGAAGCAAGAGGCGAACACAGCGGGGAATAAACAAGAGGCTGTGGTATACATGACCAAATAAAACAAACGCCGAGTGCTCAAACATGAAACAAAAGTCCACACAAAAAAAGTCCAACACCAGCAAAAAAGTCTGTACAAAATGTGACTCGATGACATTGCATTCATTCTATTCTGGCAGAGCAGCGGAGTTGCCAAATAAGATTTCCAAGATGAAATGACCAAGATGTCCCTTGCCAAATTCCAAGAATAGAAAGGATGTGAGGATTCATATCCCCAGATATGTTCATAAGATTCAACGTCCATGTCCCAAGTGTTGTGTTCCGTTCCCATCCATTCCGTGAATTGTGGGCCAGTGTCATGTGCTCGTAGATATTATTCATTTCCCATTTGTGTCGTCCCATTATAAGGGTAAGGTAGGTCGTAGGTGAAGAAGAGGTGAAAGCAAGTCGCGAAAAGAGAAAAAAGAAATCCAAAGAGAGCAAGTGCTCGTCGCTTTGACGTTGATGAATCAATTTGATTATTCATCATCAGTCAGTTTGTGAAGCAGACTTATACTCAAGATCATGATCAGCAAACCAACAGTTACTATAACCAGTAGGACAAATCCAAACCAGCCAAGTACCATTGCAGAAGAGCCAACACCGCTTCTTACACTTCCATTGCCCATGTCTTGGGCTATCGTACTGGCAGCGACAGATGCTGTGTGCTGCCATAATACGGACACAAGAACGAACACAGAGGAGACGAAGATGAGGGCTAGCGCAACCTGGGAGACGGGGCGGGAGGGAATGGGTCTGACTTCACGTTCGGAGCCAGTTTCGTCAATCTCCTCATGCCAGCCAGGGAATGTCGCCAGAAGGATGAAACAGAAGAATGCGAGAATGACAGCAACGATCCTGCACGAGTGTTAGTGTTGTTCCAGCGATAAGAAAGTGCAGGCTACCCACAGGAGATACGGGAACACAACGGCATCTTTAAATGTTGAGGCAACCCAGATCAGGTTCAATGGATCTTGATCCACGGTGACAATCTCAGCCAGTGCTGTCGCATTGGCATTACAAATGAAAGAACCCTTATCAGGTTGAACACAGATACCAAAGTATCCCACTCGGACTTCCATCTCTGCGCCGCCGACGATGTTGGAGATGGCAGTCACAACATTTGGGGAGACTTGTGCGAGATCCCGAATGGGGTTGTACTTTTCATAGTATAGGGAGATAAGGAAAATGCTAGGCATTTGCGGGGATGACGAAGAGCAGCCGGCCAACAGAAGTGCTGCAATTTGTTAGCTGCATTCCAGTAGAGAGAAAGCAATTGATGATTAAGGCAAGCACTCACATAATAGGATAATAGCAAGCGCGATGATTATCATCAACACGTGGTGGTACCCGATCATTGGAACGAACCCTGAATAAAGAATTAGTAACAATGCCATTGTATACTCTTGGTATGTCGTCACTTACGGGACCATTTTTGAGCAAAGGCGCCAGCCATTGTGTTCAACTATGACCACCTTGGGGTCAAACTCCTTCACGTTTTTTTGAACTCGCTTCTCGGGTCTCCGAGAAGGAGATGCCTGAACTGAATGTGATCGCAGAACTCAATTGTACACCAAGTTGTGCACTTGCTGATGTGTGCGATTTGGATGTGCCAAGTGAATGGATATCGAGATCGTTGGAATGGAATGTAGATGAAGAATGTGAAGCGTAGGATAAAGATCGGATCCTTCAGAAGGTATTCAATGCTGAAAATACTTTGAATAATAACCAAAATATTTGAATAATATTGTGGAATCCGGATCGCACCTAGAGTGGATTATGCAGATGGGTCAGATATGTGACTAGACGCCTGTCTGTAGTACAGGTGGGAAGTATATGAAAGAGACAGAATGTGTAGAAAGAATGGAAGGGGGAAAAGGGATCGTAGCAGGCACGAAAACTCAACGTCAGGCTATTGACAGATTCTCCGAATCTCTCTGGAGGCTGGGGATGAGGCAAGAGTATAGTAAATGTAGGAGGCTGGGCCAACCGCACTTGTTTACTCTCCCGCTTCCCCGGTAACCAGATCAGACCGCTTTCTTATGTGGGTAATTCTGCCCACCAACACGGGAAAGTCTGGGTCTTACTAGTCCCGATATGTACTAGTGCAGATCCTGATAACCTTGGAATCTTCGCCCCACTTTCATAAGCCACGCGATTCACCCAGCCTCTTAGATATTGGGCCTACGGAGTACTTCGATGTTACAATTGGGCATATCTCAATGTTTCAGACTTTCCAGTACTCCGTATGCTGTGATTCTCAAACCCTAACCAACGCTATGTCAAACAATAACCCCAATTTAAAAAAAGAAAAGTATTAACACAGGTTAAGCGCCAAAGTGGAACCAACCAAACCAGTGATCCAATGCTACCCCGGATACCAAGATCCAATGATCCAGCCCTAATGCTCCGTACCCAGATAGAGATGCAGCCTAGTTTGCGGCAAAAGAAAAACGTTTGACATCAAGAGTGGTCGAGTGCCCTGTGTTGGGTTCATCATCGTCCTCTTCATCTTCAGTGTCTGGGACAATCAGATCTTCGCTACCTTGGGTTCCCGTGAAGGAGGACCCCTTTATGACAGAAGGAGAATCGTTACTCCGAGTTTCAGCAGCTACGGCAACCCGGAGTTTAGTGGGAGTGTTGATGCTGTGAGACCGACTGAAAGCGGACTGTCCTATCCGCTGGAGCGGCGTCAGGCGTCGTTGAGAAACGTTGCTCCTTCCACTCGCGGCGGGACTTCTGGGAGTTGAAGGCGCTGAAGGTCTATGAGAAGTCTGAACCGCAGGAATCTTAGTCATGATAGAGCTAGCTGCGGTTGTTTCGGGCTTTTGCCCCGCTTGGAAAGTAAACTTGGAAAGTAAATTCGAGTTTTGCCGGTCAACATGATAGTCAAGAGCCTGAGTGAAACCGGGTGAGTTGGGTGTGGTATCCTCAAGAGTATTTTGAGATACTTCGAGGTCCCTAGCTATCAGGGCTTTGTGGCTGAGAGGAGTTTCAACTTCACTGGGCTTGCTAGATATCTCAAGGTTACTCTCGGGTCTAGACTCACTAGGCCCAGGAGTGGTACTAGGATCGGGAATGCTGGACATGATATCTTCCGCCAATTCGTCAGAGAAGACACCAATCACTGATTTCCGTGACCGTTTTGACCGAAAGAGCTTTTGGCCACTAGGGCTAGTTTGTTCGGAAGTAGGAGCAAAGAACCGACTGCGAGCAGGGGAACAAGCAGGCAGCGAATCTCCTTCAGCCTCAGAGCAGAGCCTCTGCCTCTTTGTGGACTGCAAGGTTGACGATCTTGCAGTCTGGGCCAGAAAAGATGAGCGTTCCACGCTCCGAACCATAGGGCTAACGCCTCGCTCAGAAAAGGCCCTGAGAGGCGTGGATCTGGCGGAGCTAGAGCGGAAGGGGGCTGCATTAACGCTCCAGCTGTTGTTTGCATTGCGCTCCAGGAGTAATTGCTGGCTCGGGGACGGAGTTAGGCTGTTAGGGTCTAGCTCAGCCAGTGGTGTCCTCTTCGGGGTGAAGAACGAATGAATAGATTTCTTTGGCTTCAGCTCGGAGGAAGTGCCCAGTGTCTGGCGGCGATTGATGCCAAGAGTCCATCTATTTGCGGTTAGTGGCTTCAGGATGATCGGTTCCTTAGTGGTTGGATCCAGATCGCCACAAGAAACTCCGACGGCAATTTCCGGCTCCATATCGGAGCCGATGAATGGCAGCGCGGCCAAATTGACATCCTTGTCAGGTGGTGTCAATGTCACTAGTTTTTCAGCTTTGCGACAGAAGACTCGCTGGTAGAGGAAGGTTAACTCGGCCTGTTTGAAGTTGGCAAGGTAGTCAGCTGGGACTCGAAGATTGCCTTCAAATTGCAGCATGCGCAGGGCTTTTTCAACATTGCGATGTTTGCGAATCATCCGGTAGGCAGTCTTCAGCCCCAGCTTAGGAATATTCGCCAAGTAATCACAACCGCTCAAAATGCACATGTTTCTGAAGTCCTGATCACTGAATCCAACCAAGCTGACCTCGCGGCAAGCAGTAAAATCAGCGCGGTTTATCTCAATGCATTCCCCGTGCTGGTCCAATTTCGAAAGCAACCGCCTTGCTCCAAAGACAAGCAAATCAGAGTCCTCTGATATGATTCCCTGGATGTCGCCTTGTTGCTCCAGGTACACCAACTGGGCATCTGCCTCATACGGAGCCACCATATATTGCACATTCATTTGCTTCAGTTCCTCGATCAACTGGCGGGCCATGTAGGGTGTGACATCGACGGCCTTTTGGAACTCCTGGTAAGCTTCTGGGGTCCTCCCTTTCCGTTGTAGCTCCAGTCCTAGGGCCTTGCTTTCCTGACGGCGTTTGTAGCGATCCTGTTCGGTGCCTGCCTTGCTGGGCAGATTGTCTCCATCGAAAACGAGGTACGGTTTCACCCCAAAGAAAAGAAGCATGCGGACTCGGTTGAGGACAAAATCAATGTGTCTACAATGAGATAGTATCGTTAGTTAAGATTGCATGGGGGAAGAAAAGGAAAGACATACTTCCTAGTGGGATTGTTCAGCACCAAATCTACTGAACAAGCAACAGTTCCTCGGTGCAGCCATCCATATGCATCGACTCCAAGTGTTTGCCCACTGAAATTCTTAACATGACATGGTTTTTGAATGGACTTGAGAAGCCCGTGAAGTCCTGTTTCTTTGCGTTAAAATCACCATTCATTTCTGTCCTAGACAGTCACAAAGCGACATACCTTTAATGCCCATGGTGGACGCCGTTCAAGGGACAGGCGGGTCCTCGTATTCAAGCAATAAATGATGACATAAGTTGAGATTTTCACAACCAAAAGACTAATGAATATGGAATACAATGCAAAGTCCAAATCAATTGACAGTTAAAAAATTCAGGGAGTAAATAACTCCAGGAATGTCCCTATATCGACGCGCAGACGCGCTTTCCTCGAGTGGGGAAGGCGGTGATTTGGGAGTTACCGCCTAATTATGCCGATGTATCCAAGAAAATTATCATCGAAATCTACGGCGGAGTGTTTGGAGTAATTCTTGTCATCAGCCCGCAACCATGCCTGTTACTTTGGAAAAAGTGCACAAGCAGATTTCTAAGAAGCGCAATTCTACTAATGTGCTTCATGAGAACAGTCGCGATGCCCACCGACTCCGCAAGGCTGGTGCTCGCGATGATCGACTGTCCCGCCATAACGCCACTGTGAATCGTGCAAGACAGCCATACAGTAAGACCGCTGCCCATTTCAATTGAACGCCGCCCGGCTGACTCAAAAAGTTGACCGAATTGATTACATCCACGAGGCTATACAAGAGCTCACTGAGGCCCTCACGACCGAAGAGATTTCCGAGTTCGTCGCCAAGTATGTAAAATTAACGATCAGCCACCAAGCACAAGATTAACCCAAACTAGGTACATTGACCGTGATACCGAGGAGATTAAGCAGCTTGAGTCAGAGCGCCGGAAAGGGCGTCCTCCTAGCAAGCGCGAAGAGGCCTTGAAACAGCGAGTGCAAACTGAGGATCGGGAGTACACGACCGGACTGTGGATGCCTGATCTAAGCGATCAATATGTAATGACCGCAATGAAGAACTGGAATGGACACTGGTCGGGTCTCAGCGCGATCAAGTTCATGCGGTTCACAAAAGCCGGAGAGAAACTCAAGTCTACTTTCCCACCCAAGAGCATGTCATGATCACGATTACCTTCTTTTCCTATACTTTTTTTTTTGTCTGGTGTCCAAAAAGACTGGGTTGGCGCATTATGGGTACATTGATTCTTCTCTAGATTCTGTACAGCCGAATATTCTCGAATATACCATTTCAATTCAATGCTGTTTGTTGTATCGTTCATCTGCATAGTTTCATGCAGGGCCACCATACAGCTGTTGCGCATATAGTAGAGCGAGTCTTGATATGAATCCCAATCAACTATCTAATTACTTACCATATTCAATTAGAATCAATTAAGTCTATACTAGTCTATAATATGTAGTTATGTACATTTGGCCTGATATAAATCGAATTGCGTGCAAAGTCGGCCAAAACAGAAGGGCCGGTCTTGGCACTCGTAATAACTTAAGCTCATTTACTTTTTCCGAAGCTCCTCAACTTCATCAACTTTAACACCTTCCACATTCACAATGCTTTCTCTTCGCACTATCACCCGCTCTATCCCGCGCACTTTCTCGCGCTCCATTGCCACTTCGGCTCTGCGCCCAGCGTTTCCCAAGCCCGCTCTCCAGTCCTGGAATCAGGCCACCAAGCCCGCCTACGCTGCCTTCTCTACCTCTAGCATTTTCAAGGCTCCTTCATCCGAAGGTAAGATGCATTGACTTATATTTGAAAAGAGTCCGCCGAAATCCGATCCTGGTCCTGGTGGCGGACTCTGTATGTGGCCTTGCGCTGATTTTGGATTTTCCTTTTTACAGTTGACATCGACCTTCTCGCCAAGCTCGAGGATGAGCTGAGACACGAGAAGTCTTCCGAGATCCCCGAATTTGAGGAGCAACAGGAAGCCATTGATGATGTTGTTAAGCATGGCGAGTGGCAGGTGAAGGATGTTGCAGGCGAGCAGGAGGTTATCCTCACCAAGAAGTTCGGCACTGAGAAGTACGTTCCGGTTTTTCTTCTGATTCAATGTCGGTGATGAATGCTAATAAACATGATTGCGCAGCATCCGCGTTAGCTTTACCGTCGCCGATATCCAGAACATCAGCGAACAGGAGGACTTTGACGACGCCTCCCTGGCTGACGAGATGGACTTCCAGAACCAGTCCCGCGGCCAGGACGCCGAGGCCTCCGCCGAGGACATTGAGCACCCGGAGCCCAGCTTCCCTGCCCGTGTTACTATCACCGTTGAGAAGCCCAACAACGGTGCCCTTTTGATCCAGACCGTTGTCCAGGACGGCGTCTTCCAGATCGAGGAGGTCTCCCACTTCGCTAAGGCTGAGCTCGCTCAGTCCTTGACTGCTGAGAAGGACTGGACTCGCCAGAGCCTCTACGCCGGTCCCCCCTTCGAGAACCTTGATGAGGACCTTCAGGGTCTCTGGGACCGCTACCTCGAGGACCGTGGCCTCAACGCCGAGTTCGCTAATATGGTTCCTGACTACATCTCCGTCAAGGAGCAGAAGGAGTACTTGCGCTGGTTGGAAAGTATGTTTCCCTTCCTATATGAACAATTTCTGTGACTCGTGCTAACAATACCTTTCCTCTTTAGCCGTCAAGAACTTCATTGGTGCTTAAATTAACTACCCCATAACTTTTGGATCATTTCCTCTTAATCCTGTCGGAGACGCCTTTTGATAATGAGAAGTTTGCCTGATACGGAGATACCATACTTGTGCCTCCCTGTCATGGGTAGCTTCAACGCAACTATCTGTGTGACTCTATTTGTACCAATATTTTCAATATACAATCACTTCACTTACTAAATCGCTATATCCCTACCTAGTTTACCGAACATCTTGCAAGTTACTAAGTTTCACAGCAGACTGATTATCTTTATTTCAATAGATTTGAATGAGAACAATGTGATATATGTAGAACCAGGCTGATTAATAACAACTGACTCGGTTCCATGCACAATAAACCCCAACTCCTGGAAAGCGCAATCCCTTGATGTAAGTTCAAAATGTGGGAGGGAGTCAACAAAACATAAAGTCATAATCCTATCAGGTAAAGGGCAAAGGAAACGAGTATGAACAGGGCGCAGTTAAAATTCCATAGGATCGGCTTTTACAGCCGGGCCACTGTCGTCGCGTTCGCGCTTGCCAGCACGCTCTTCCTTTATGAGGCCAGCAATGAAGGAACGGAAGAAATCGATATAAGGTTTCAGGCTGGTCTTTTCATAGTCTTGCACCTTACGAGCACCCTTCATATCGGAGCCATTCATCGCACTGCCTTCAACATCAGGGATATCTGCCTCCGCTGTGCCAGCAGGGTGCTTCGCATCGTATTCATCAATCTCAGCGAGCAGGTTCATTACTGTCGGAACTGAGAGAGGGTCGAAGTTTTCCGCATTGCGAGGATCGATGGGAACACAGATACGGCCAGTGCCAGGGTGAATGACGAAAGGACTCTTTAGCAAATGAATCATCTTCTTGCTGACCTCGGCATCCAGCCGTGGGTAGGTATATTCCAAGACGATATCTTGCTTCGCATCTCGGAGCGTCGCTGGGTTGAGAGTGCTGCTCTTACCAGTCTTTGCGAGTGAGTCAATATCAGCCCATTTACTGGTGCTAGCACGAGCTGGAGAGGAGTCCCATTTCCTCCGTAGGGATTCATTCAATGTCTTGTCCGGCAACAAGGAGAGAAGGCGTTCTGCCTGCTCGGCGGATTCAAATGTGTCTTGGTCACCGAGTGTGGTCCGGGCAAAGTCGTGTTTGAGCAACTCAAGACTGCGTACAATATGGGGGTGTAGTGGCCGTTTGATGTTCACTTTCTTCCCGCTTTGTGACCCTCCGCGGATCACCTCAAGGTAGCCAGCAATGGCTCGGCGTCGGTCATCCGGTAGATTGCGTGCGTGGGGATCGCACACCCAGGCGTGAGCACCACGACGACCCGAGTAAACCCAGAGGATGTGTTCAAATCCAAAATCCTCCCGTAGTGCGGTGTCAATGACCTTGATTGCCATTGTTACAAATGACCAGCACTTAGCACAGATATTTGCTTTGACGCAACATGTACGAATATCATCGTAATCAGTCAAATCGATATCGAAAACCAATTCCTTAGAGACCGGCTTCATTTGGCCGCCTCGTAACGTTTTGCGATCGCGTGGGTTGGTGCTGTAGACAGGTCCGATTTCGAAACGCGAAGGATTCATTTTAAGTATGTCTTTCCGGAACCTGAGCATATGTGTTAGCTCAAAGTGGATTCGACAAGAAAAGTTGCATCGGGTCTTACAGGTCAGCAGTTGGATATGATTGGTATCGGAGATAGGCATCATTTTGCAGTGTCAGTGCAAATTCACGGTTGCCAAAGTCTTTCGTTGGTACAATTCCATGATTCAGCCATTGAAAAAGGTATCGGAAGGGGAAAAGTCGTTGATAGAAGGCGAGCATTATATCTGGGTCCACGCCCGAGGGAGTGGGTGCTGGAGGCCTGTTACGAGCTTTCAGTCAGCAGTCAAGTCCAATTTTACTGTACGAGAGCTTAGAACCCACTCTTCCTTTGCAGGAGAGTCCATCTTCACATCTCCAGATGCCGGGAACTCGTCATCATCGTCATCATCGTTGAACATGTCCTCGAGTTTGACATTCGTTTCAGTCGATGTCTCGACCGGAGGGGCATCCGGCATCGCATCATCGTTCTGCGCAGAGCTCGATGATATAGAGTGAGGCATTGTGGGCAAGTCTGGTGATGGACAAAGCAAATGCGCTTTCCAAGATTCTCCCGGCTTAATTGAACCCAAACAGGAAGGCGCGACGCGCGACGCGCGACCTCCCGTGCGCGCGTCTGCCCTAAGCCCTACGTCACGTGCCATCCCAAATGGGACTGCTATCTATGACCGAAACCAGATGGGTTGCCCTGACACTGTTTCTCAATTTTCCTAGGGAGAGCCTTGAGCCTTGACTAGTGGCGAACTAATTCTCAAGGTGCCGAGGTACTATGCTCATCCCCTTGCCGCTTGCGGTCAAAATCTCTGAAGTACCTTACTGCTGTACCTCTCGTTCACCAGGATCCGCGGATGACATCTAGACTGCCCTGCTGTTCCAAAGAATATGAGCTTGCAGGCTGCACAGATTGGTTAGAGCCTTCTCTAATTTTTCACGAAAGCCCCATTGTTATTTTGCGGCAATGCCCCATCTTCGCACAGTGGGGGTTTGGCCTAATGCAGGACTGGATTGAGATGTCCCCGTCATTGATTACAGTTGCCAATGTTACGATGGGGCCACATCTATGTTAATCCCTCAAAAAAGGCACGCCTTGCGAGCATACTGGAACCGTTTTTCTACGGAAATACTCCGAATTCACGTGTACATTCCTGAAGTGACACCTACCAATGGAACGCCCCTACGCTCAATTGGATATCATTTCCACATTCCAGAGAGCCAAATAAACACTCCTACCCGTACTTTGGCTTTCTGGCTGCTTTTGGTCGACTGGTCTAATCTTCTCACTGTAAAGCCATGCGACTCTGTGGGTTTCCATTCCCAATCAGAGAAGCCTTGTCATATCGCATATCAATTGTGGTCCTGTTCGACCTCAGGGACATGGTTGCCGCATCACACTATCGGCTATCTCCGCGTCCGGAGGTCTTATAGCTAATGCCCTGCTAGCCCTAGTCCGGATGGTCTTTTTGATGGCCAAATAGTCTAAAATACACGTATTCTTGAACAACGATCAAGCGACCCTCTCCATCGAAATGATGCAGTATGCAGCCATGCCATTAATTCTCACTACTTTCGTGGATTACAAGATATTCGAGGGATTACCAAGACCTTCTTATGTTTCCGCATTCGGTAACCCCAGTGGATGAGGATGGAGACCTCCTGCACACACTACTTATCCCAATGATACTACGGGCTGTAACGTTTGCATCTGAGTTGCCAGATGGATGTATCACTGCACCACTTCTTGTCCAATGGCCTTGCAGCTGTGCCTTCTTCATCAATCGGTAAGCTAACCTAGTATCCGCATTCGGCGTTATATGGTAACATTGTGAATCAGGTCTACCTTTCTGTCCTGGACACGACCGTGGCACCCATGTCCGTCATGACTTGGAACCAGTCTTCCCCAAAAGGGCATATAAGATCCTTCGTGTCTGTCCATCTTTCACCCTTTTTATTATCAACCCTTCACTCGTTTTCTCAAGCATATTTGTTAAGACTTTGATCTCTCGAAATGATCAACTCCGTTGCTATTCTGGCTCTTGCCAGCCCGGCTTTCGCCGGTATCATGCAGGCTCGTGGCGAGCAGTTCATTCGTCCTGGCTCTCAGACCGCTGCTTCCGTTGCAGCCCCTGCCCATACTCAGGGCTGGGGCGACCACGATGAGGGCTGGGGCGAGAGCTGGTCCAAGCCCGCCCACCACGTCTCGACCCACGACTCCTGGGGCAAGACCACCGAGTCGTGGACCACCCCGTGCACCACCTCAACCACCCCGGTGCCTGAGCACACCACCACCACTCCATGCACCACCTCGACTACCCCGGTGCACGAGCACACCACCACCCCAGTGTCTAACACCACCACCCCATGCACTACCTCGACCACCCCGGTGCACGAGCACACCACTACCCCAGTGGCCAATACCACCACTCCATGCACCACCTCGACCACCCCGGTGCACGAGCACACCACTACCCCAGTGGCCAATACCACCACTCCATGCACCACCTCGACCACCCCGGTGCACGAGCACACCACCAAGCCCCACGTCCCCGTGAAGCCTGGTACCACCAAGACGCTCACTTATGTGACCACCAGCTGCCCTGGTAAGCCCTAGAATCTCATCAAATAGTGCCACTTGGAACATACATTCTAACAATACATCCAGTCACCTCGTCTACCATCACCTCTGGATCTAAGACCTGGACCGTTCCTGTCACCGAGACTAACACCATCACTATCACCAAGACCACTGTTTGCACCATGTGCGATGAGAAGCCTGTGACCTTCCACAATGCTACTCAGCCTGCCACCGGAGGTCCTACCGCCCCTATTCTGAAGCCCACCGGAGATGTCGTGATTCCCAGTCACTCCAAGCCCGTTGAGACCAAGCCCGTTGAGACCAAGCCTGTCGAGACCAAGCCTGTCGAGACCAAGCCTGTCGAGACCAAGCCTGTCGAGACCAAGCCTGTCGAGACCAAGCCTGTTGAGACCAAGCCCGCTGAGACCAAGCCCGCTGAGACCAAGCCCGCTGAGACCAAGCCCGCTGTCCCTGCTGAAACCAAGCCCGCCGAGACTAAGCCCGCTGTCCCCGCTGAGACCAAGCCCGCCGTCCCTGCTCAGTCCAACCCTGCTGTTCCTGCTCAGTCCAACCCTGCTGTTCCTGCTCAGTCCCAGCCTGCCGTCCCTGCTCAGTCCAACCCTGCTGTTCCTGCTCAGTCCAACCCTGCTGTTCCTGCTCAGTCCCAGCCTGCCGTCCCTGCTCAGTCCAACCCTGCTGTTCCTGCTCAGTCCCAGCCTGCTGTCCCTGCTCAGTCCCAGCCTGCCGTCCCTGCTCAGTCCAACCCTGCTGTTCCTGCTCAGTCCAACCCTGCTGTTCCTGCTCAGTCCCAGCCTGCTGTCCCTGCTCAGTCCCAGCCCGCTGTCCCCAAGCCTGCCCAGAGCGAGCCCGCCGTCCCCAAGCAGACTCAGCCCGCTGTCACCCCCTCCAACCCCGAGCAGCCCTCCACCCCTGAGCAGAACGGTGCTTCTCCCTCTTCCAACGAGTTCACCGGTGCTGCCTCCAGCGTCAAGCCCGCTGTCGGTGTCCTTGCCGGTGTTGTTGCCCTCATGGCTCTCCTGTAAATCAGTTGAGAACCTTCGACGGCCGATCCATCTCTTGACTGAGATCTGGATCCCTCTCGGTTCCTGACCTCTCTGGTCTTTAGTGCGGATCAGAGAGATATCATGGTACCTTGAGTATTTGTGATTGTCTGGCCTACGCCCCGCTTGGAATTTCTTCGGCCTGTAACAAGGCTAGAGGATTAAAGAAGAACGGTTGCCTGGTCACTTCGAGATTTCTTTACTTGTCAGACTTGTTTTAAGTAAACTAATAGTAATATAGTGTCTATTTCCTGTGTTCTTTTGCTCATTGTACGTTTAAGATCTTATTTGTCTTAGATAGCATTTACATTGAATCAAAAGTCAATTTTTGTTTAAGAAATTCCCAAAGTCCTCGAGTAGTTGAAAACCACCAGAAGATCATTTTCCTCACTCCTTGGTGCACTTCGTATTTTCAAATGCTGCTCCTTCAACATTAGCCCTAAGTTAGGGAAATTTTGAAAGCGATTAGTATACTAGACACTCGAATCCTCTCTCTAGCTGCAGTTTTCTCCCCTTATTTACCAGTCTTCATTAGGCTCTTGTGCTATGCGCATTTAATGGATTTTGTATAGTCTATTTTTGAACTTTTGCTATTGACTATGTAATAAAGAGGCAGACACATATTTAGGTAGAAGAGAGAAAACAGTAAACTGAATGTTCCAAGGCGTCTATACTACAACAGAAGATTTTCTGGGCTAACACGCGCCCACCCTCCGTTGAATCTCACCAGCTCCCTATATTCCACACGCTTTGTTTATCTTGCCAGGTCTCATATCTACCGCAAACCCTGGAGCTCCTGCTCAAGCTCCGCCTTGACAATCTCCTTCACACCCTCCCAGCCAGCAGTCTCGCCGACGGGAGTAACGCGACTCTCACGCTGCTCCAGACCAATGAACTCCTGGGGCAAGATCTCGGTGAAGTCATAACCATCCTCCGCACGCAGAGCAAGGTCCACAGCGCTAGCAAACTTAGCAGGATGAGCAGTGGACAGAGAGATATGGACAGCTTCCGGATTACGCGCCATAGAGCGGCGTGTGGCAGCAACACCGACAGCAGTGTGAGGGTCAAGGATGTAACCACCGGTCTTAGAGCTCTTAGCGGAGCCGGGACCAAGGCCCTTGGGGAAGGAGGTCTTGTAGATATCACGGATCATCGAGATAGTCTCCTCGTTGCTAACGCGCTCACTCTCGAAATCGACCTTGGCGGCTTCGAGAACGGCGCTGGGGACTTGGAAGCCGCCCTCGGTCTTGAGCTGGCTTAGCCACCCGCTGACGCTCTCGCAGGCATGCTTTCGGCGTTCAGCTTCGCTGCCGCTGGTTGTCTGGTAAGAGAGGAACCACAGGAGACGCTCGAAGTTGCTGCTAACGAGAATGTCCATGGCTGGGCTATGGGTCTCCTTCACGCCGTGGTCGGAGGGGGCGTCAAGAGCCTTCTTCGTGTAGTGGCCGCCACTGCGGAAGAAGCGGTCAAGAATGTCATTTGCGTTGGTGGCAATCACCAGTTTGTCGATAGGAAGACCCATCTGCTTGGCGAACCAACCGGCAAGGATATCGCCGAAGTTGCCGGACGGCACAACCACTCGCACCTTGGAATCCTTGTTGAAAGAGGCGGTCTTGGTGAGGGAGAAGTAGGAGTAGAAGAAGTAGGTAATCTGGGCCAAGATTCTGGCCATATTAATGCTGTTGACCGCAGCGATGTTGTGGGTGGAGTTAAGGTCTTCATCGGCAAAGAGTGATTTGACGATATCCTGGCAGTGATCGAATGAGCCAGCGACGGTGAGGTTGTGAACATTAGGGTCCAAGATCGTTGTCATTTGCTTTTCTTGGATGGGCGAGACTCGGCCTCCATCGGGGAAGAGAATGAATACCGAGACGTCTTTCTTGCCGCGAAGTCCATAGATAGCAGCTGAACCGGTATCACCGCTAGTAGCACCGACAACGGTCAGGTGGTGTCTGTCCTTACCAGTCTTTCCAGCGTTCTTCCGAACAAGGAAATACTCGAACAGGTTTCCAAGGAAGCTTAGCGCAACATCCTTGAAGGCAAAGGTCGGGCCGTGGAATAGCTCTAGCAAGTAGAGGTTCTTTTCGAGGAGAACGGAAGGAGTGCGCTCGGGGTGACGGAAAGTCGAGTAGGACTTGTAGATAATGTTCTTAAGGTCTTCTCGGGGAATCTCATCTGTAGAGATATAGAGCGACATGATTTCAAGGGCCAAATCCTCGAAGCTCAGATCCCGCCATTCGGTTTCCCATGACTTAGGGAGGGAGGGCATTTCCTCCGGGATGAAGAGACCTCCATCCGAGGCCAGACCTTGAAGAACAACATCTTCAAAGGATCTCTAGAGAGATATAGTGGTTAGTAACATGCAATAAGAACTTGAACAAGTATTTTTCGACCCACTCCGTACTCAGCACCACGAGTGCTTAGATATTGTTGTGAGAGTGTAGGAGACATGGTGAAAAAGTCAATTGACTCAGAAATTCCTTGAAACCAAAGTAAAGAAGAAGAGAGACGGAATGATTCATCCCACCGCGGGGGAAATCTGAATGACTCAAAATGGATTAGTTCCTCCGAGAACGGCCCTCACGTGCATAATTTAATTGGCTGACATTTGTATACGTACAAATTTATATTTTGATTCTTCAACCTTTCACACTTCATGGGCACATCTCTATATTTTGAATGGTCTAGTTACACATATCTACTCGTTAACCAGCACGTATCTGTAGCGGGCCTTTCCGTCTTCCATATCCACAATCGCCTTATTTGCATCCTTCATGGGGATTTCCTCCACCCACGGACGGATTCCCTTTTCAGCGACAAGCTGGAACATCTCCCGAATCTCGTTAGGGCTACCAACGAGGGAGCTCTCCAGCTTGATGCGGCGCATCAAACTCCGAACAGGAGCGAACAAGCCACCATCCTCAGGAAGACCGACCTGCACAAAAGTACCACCAGTCTTCAAAAGACCCAGGTAATCGTTAAAGGGCATCTTTGTAGACGAGACAGTGGAAACAATCAAATCCAAGGACCGAGAATGAACGGTAGCCCAGTCAGAGTCATCATCAGTTGCAATATAAAGATCCGCCCCCATCTTCAGGGAATCATCCTTCTTAGCCATCTTCCGCGAGATAGCAACAACCCGATCAGCCCCCATAGCCTTAGCAAACAGCAAGCCAAAGTGACCCAGTCCACCAACACCAATAATGCCCACGCGCTTGCCAGGACCACAACCATTGTGCTTAAGCGGGCTGTAGAGGGTGGCGCCGCCGCACAGCATAGGCGCAGCATCGGCCGATGAAATAGCATCGGGGATCTTAATGGCAAAGTGGCCAGGCACCCGGTTGTACCGCGCATACCCGCCGTACGACTTGCTACCGTCGTAGTGGATGCTGTTGTACGTGCCAACGACCTTCTTGCTGCAGTAGTTCTCCATACCTGCCGCACACTCCTCGCAGTCGCCTAGGCGGCCGAGACATGACTCGCTCTGGGCGCCGACTCCGACGCGATCGCCGATCTGGATACCGGATACCATGCTACCTACACGCACTGCCGTGCCGACAATCTCGTGGCCCACGCAGCAGGGGTAGGCGGTGGGTCTCTGTGACGAATGTTAATCATTTTTTTCATTTTATAGGGACTTTATACAACGTTTATATCAACGAGTTTTCCAATACCGAGGACTCGCTGATATAAATGGGAAACATACCCAGCCACTTCGGAGAGTGTGTAAATCAGAACCACAGATGCCGCAGTGAGAAATTTTGATATCAACATCGGTCTCCTCCCACTCTTTCGGCTGGAATTCTTGCCAGACCATGTTGCCCTCGCCGGCGCTAGGGTCCAGACCCATCCAGCCTTCGAATTTGTAGTCTGTTTGCGTCATGTTGTGGATTTGGGGGGAATGTTGAATGTTCACTCTGTACAGATCTTTCCCGGGTGTCTGCCCCATTTATATCTCTTGGAAGTGGGACACATCCAAAGTCCCACTCAACTTTCCACACTGGAAACTTCGGTTTGATGAATAATTGGTAAGCAAAATTCTTCTATGGATCCATCGGGATTTGTACCTGTAAGGGCCTAGTCAATGTGGTTGGAGTAGAGGCTCTACAACATAAGAAACTAGGGTCTCTGATAGCCTACCATCTAGATCCAAACCAATGTCTATTTAGATAGGCTTGACTCTAATAATACTTGCTTGATTAAATGACAATACACTTACCCAAGGGTATCCTAAGGGTATATGTAGTCTAATTGATATTTCTCTAGTCAATGCCCAGTCTTTTTTTCTTTACTTTTTTTCTGTGGAGCCAGCGTAGTCGGCCGAAAAGAGGCGGAAGTCTATTTGCATCTCTCGACATCTTTGGAATATACTAGTAGGGTTAGTAAATATATTTATGTTCTACCTAGATGGAGGTCTATAGATGTGATATATATCTTACGCTACAAGGCTTGGCTGCATTGCCAAGATATGCCTAATCCAAGTCCAGAAACGTAAGAAATTGATATTCGAGGCAGAAATGTACAGGCCTTTTGAAGTCCGTTTAGGTAGAGATGCAAGTAGAATTAAACAAGTAAAAGCGAAACACCAATCTATCTCGGTCAGTTCAGATCCCCGCTTGTGAAAACACCTCCATATGACTTAAGCCTGTAGGGTTGACTAGACACACTTGGGTATACCAATGTCATTGCTCTAGAAAAGCGACAAGATGTCCTCGTTAGACTTCTTGGACTGGTTGTTTTGAGAAGGGCCCGCATTGCCGGAGAGATCAAGACCAGAGAATCCGTTCATGAGGTCGGCACCACCACCGCTGTTGGCACCGCTTGAGGGCTGTGCGGCACCGGAGTCTCCGAACACGCCCAAGAGGTCATCCAGGTTGTTGCTTGCTTGACCTGTCGGGGTACCCGCTGCAGGGGATGCTACCCGGACAGGGGTGCCGGCCAGACCCTCCAGGCCGGACATGCCGCTGGAAGGCTGAGATTGTGCAGAGGCAGGGGCACCGCCGTCGAAATCGATGTCCAGCAGGTTTTCGACGTTGTTTTGCGCCTGCGCAGGGGCTGTGGTGCCGCCAGCGGCAGCGGCAGCAGCCGCGGCCAATGGATTCTCGCGCGCGTTCTGGATTTGTTCCCTGTGGATTGATTAGCAACGTATTCGGCAAACACAGGAGATTCAATACGTACTCGATAGCAGCCCGCATGACGGCATCGGCACCGAATCGGCCGTGGCCGACAAACTGCTCGGGGGGCTTGTGGTAGACGGAAGATAGAGTGGACAGTTCGGAAAGGAGTTGGTCGAGAAGCGTCGTTGGCAAAGAGTGGATAGTGGTGACGATAGGGGGCTTGTCTGAGAGCACGATGTTCTTTGTCGCATTTGAATCGCTGGTGTTGGATAGAAGACGCCAGTAGATATATGCTCGGTCACGGACATCTGGGTTGTCATTTTCGGATGTCGCAGCTTGGAGTACTCGCTGCACTAGGCCTTGTGCCTTCTCGGGCCGCTTGAGGAAGAGCTTGACCACAGCTGTGAGGATTTGCAATTGGGTCTAGGCATGAAGGTTAGTCAAGGTCGTAGCATGTACCAAGCGGGATGAACAAACCGAAGAGAATTCTTCGTTGAAACCATCCACAAAGCCACCCAAGATATCACCCGCGTTGCTAATCTTCTCGGCATACTCTCCAACAATCCAGATGAGTGCCGCTCTAGCATTGGGCTCATCCAACTCATCAATGCACTGGCATAGAGTAGGGATGATACCCTCGTAGCCAGGGTATTTCCGGAAGATGTCCTTGATGACGACGATCGCTTCTTGAACGACGTAGTTCACCTTAGTGTTTATGAGATCCAACAACGTGTTAACACACCGCTCGCTAGCGCTCTCAATCTTGATCGCAACCTGGCCGATTGCCTTGACAGCGCGGCGGACAAAGTCCATATCGACTTCAAGTGCATACTCCTTCAATTCAGCGAGCAGCTGGTCCACATTGCGGTCGTTTGCTATGCGCACCATGATCTCAAGTTTCTGGAACTTGACGTATTGCGGGTCATTGTATTTGCAGAAGAAGACACGGAGCTCTTTGTTCAGAATCTCAGGCTCCTTCTGTAGCAGAAGGTCGATATTTCTTAATGCAACATATTGCACTTCAGGGGCTGACGAAACCAATGTAACTATATATAATTAGCAAAATGAAGTGCAATGAGAGCAGCGAGGGGACATACCCAATGGCGGAGCCATCTTCTTTAGATAGGTCTTCGACAATTCCGGGTTGACATTCTTCATATGTAGGAATACAGCCTTGACTGCTGCAAGAACCACGCCGGAATTAACATGCTGGAACTGAGGAGCGACTCGTTCGCAAATGTGCTCCGACTCCTTCACGTCAGCGGTCTTATACTCAGCCAAAGTTGAGAGAATAGTGACGCGCCCCCATTCCGTGCACTCGTTCAAAGCCATTAGCATCTTCCGTAGAGAGTTACTATTAATCTGCAAAGCCTGTGTCTCGGGTGCCGTGTGTTGAATTTCCTGAAGTGCGGTCACGGAATTGGCAACGACCATGGGGTTGGGGTCTCCAATCATCTCCTGGAGTGTCTCCAAGAATCCGTTCTCGAGGGCCATTGTGGGGTTCAGATCGAAAAGCTTAGCAACACAGATTGCGGCGGTCTTGCGGACATATGGCGACTCGTCTCGGAGGGTCTTGCGCAACGGTTCTTCCATGTAGTCCACCATCTTCTCCACCCGAATACAACCCATTGTTCGGATAGCCAACGCACGAATCAGTGGATTAGGGTCTTCTGAGTCTTGTACAAAGGTGTTCACGGCGAGAATACATAGATCAGGGTGCGATTTGGCGTAGTTCCTGAAAGTAAGATTCAGCCGATTAGCATACGTAGCCACCTCCAGTTGTACAGTTGTACTATGGTACCCACATGAGATAGAGGTAGACCAATTTCTTCTGCTCAAGATCGGCTGTAGCAATGTTCTTGAGAACATCTGGGAACAGGGCCGAAACATCCTTTCCTAGGGTCATGGCCATAATTGTCTTTTGGATGGATTCCTTCCTGTTACATTGTCAGCCACACCATGTCTTCGCCATACACTACCAGCCTGGACTTGAAGGCTTCACTGCTGTACACACCGTTCATAGGCATACTGGGAACTGTAGTAATAGTTAATATTATTCGTTATTCACTAAGGCGAGGTCACCAGCGCATGTGGAGGGGGCCGCATACACAAGTCCAGCTCGCAATTCGAACGTCTCTCCTTTCCGAGGCACCGCAAAGGCACCGCGGATTTTGTTCATCGCCATAGCGAGGATGTATAAGCTTCAGCAACGACTAGGTCGTGCTTCCGCCTAGAGATATCGGGGATGGGGAGTGGGAAGGAGTAGTATTGGGCGACTGCGGGGGGTTTGGAGCTTCGCGGTCGCGCGAGGTCGGGGAATGGAATATGTCGAGATTGTTCGTTACTTTGTTCGCAAACTCAGAAAGTATGTGAACAATCTGGGTTGGGGAGAATCCGAGGAAGAATGGGGGCGAGGAGGGAGAGAAAGGGTGTTTCGGACGATCAAAAGTTGTCCACAAATGGTGGCTTCTGGACTCTCTCCCGCTCTACAGTCATCTCTCCCTCTCCTTTATTTCATCCTTTAATCCTGACCCATAACTGTGCTAATGGTATTTATTCTACATCTGTCAATCTGTCAATCTGCCAAGACTTACACATCTACAGGCTAATCTCCCTAACTTGCGACGCCTCTTTGTGGAGGCCAGGACAGAGGCGGAGGAGAACGAGTACTCGCGAAAAGCTGTAGGTCTTTGGACCACGCAAGTTGATTTAATAAAGCTAACAAGTATAGTTCTACAATCTTGTCCTCTTCATCTCTTCTGTTGCCATTTTCAGCTTGACTGCCCAGCGCATGAGTGGACCGAAAGCTGGACGATGATGATGACCCTTTCCATATATGTGGACCTTATGAAGTATGTATGAAGTATGAAGTATGAAGTATAAAGTGACAAGACATAATCCGATTTACTGGCAGTCCAGCCGCTGGTTCGACGAAGTCTTTAATTACGAGTCCTATGCTATCCTTCAATCAGTCTCTTCGCCCTCGCTCTCTAAGAATGCAAGTGCCTGTCGCCCCCGATTTAGCCTACGACGAGGCTTCGAATCCCCATCATTCTCCTCGTCACTCTTGGCACCCCATTGCTTTGCGCCTTGCTGGATCTGCTCTAGATCTGCTTTCAGCTCCCGTTCTTCGCGGATCTGGTTTGCTTTTTCTTGGGATGGCCGGCCAGTCATCCCAGCATCCTCCAGCATCCCCTTGAGGTGCTTGATTTTGGCCTTCGGGCTGTCATACGGCGCCAGTTCTTTGCCCCACAGCTTACGGATCCCGCACTTGATGAGCCATCCTTGCAGTCGTTTGATCTCAGCCTGATCTGGGCTGATATCCTCATCCTTGGCTTTGGGAGCCTTCTTCGTTTTGGTCGCAGTTCCCGCAGCACTTTTCTGTCGCTTGCGTGGAGCCTTAGCCTGAGGCTCTTCGTCAAGCACCACCGACATCTCGCTTTCGGAATCTTCCTTGGTATCTCTGGTCGGTTTGGCGGCATCTGATGTATCATCGGGAACATCGGAAGCGTCTGATGCTTCGTTGGTTGGGGGCTTTCGTACGGAGGCCTTCTTGAGCGGCGATTGCTTCACTGGCGCTTTAGATCGTTTCTTCGGCTTTGTGACATCATCATCATCACTCTCATTACCAGATAAATCAGAAGCGTCCGACATGTCTTTCTTGGGTTTCTGGACGGAGGCCTTCTTCACTGGCGACTTCTTCACTGGCGCTTTCGATCGACTCTTAGGTTTTGTAACCTCGTCACTCTCGTCCGACGGGAGGGATAGCTCAACCTCCTCATCGGACACCGGTGTCTTGGTCTTCTGGCGCTTCCTAGACTTTGGCGAGACCTCGGGTTTTGCTCGCTTCTTAACGGCAGCAGGCTTGGACTTTGGAAGAGGAGACGATTGTGGATTTTGGATTTCCTGGTCTTGTATTTCCTGTAAATGCATCACAATCAGTGTCTTTTTCTCCGAAGCTGCGATGAAGCTACTGAAAAGAGTGCGCTAAAGTAAAAGAAAGACTCACCACCTCGCTCTTAATTATAGCCTCACTCCGCGCTTTCCAATCACCTGTAGACTTAAAGTACCCCTCTGTGAGACCTAGTGTAGCTTCCGCCGCAAGTCGCACGCGCTTCACGGTCAATTCCTCCATATTCCCTGACTTGAAGATTGCAGCCACTTGGTCGCGAAGGCCTCTCTCAAGGACTTTGTCAGAGGGAACGCTCGGCGCCTCACTCTCAGCTTCAGACTCAGAGTCAGACATTGTATACTTCGGCGGCATGTTGACGTCGCACTATGGCAATTGAGAATATGTTAATAATATAAGAGTGAGTTCGCATGAATGACCTAGTTGGTCATATGTGGATAATTTGGGACCAAAGAACAAAGTAGTGGAAAGAGGTATATGTATTCCAGTCGAACTGCGAACCTGGGCGCGTCTGCGTCCAGTGGACGGGTTGAGCGCGCGGGAACGGATGACAAAGCGGGTTTCGAGATTGATCGGCGTTACATTTCACTATCATTTACGACTCTTGCTCTGAAAGCTCAGCTTCTGGAATTTAGACTTATTCAAAGCTCATTGATCTTAAAGATCGTGCTCACTTCTTTTTTGGTGTCTTTCTGCTTACTTTTGCACCCAATACCCGTCACTATTTCCTCTTTCTAGCCTCCGGTGTTTCTCCGCAATATATTAGAAATCAACTCCGAATCACTTTCAGAACTTCAAATCACCAATTTCCCAAGGGAATCAAATATCTACAAGCGAAAATATGTCCTCGGTTCCACCGGAGCAAGTCACTAGTGAATATAAAGGTACAGGGTCTATGTTCAATCAACAAAACCCCGCGACCTCCGCAAGCTCCTCCAAGCCCGCCGGAAACGATGACTCGAAGGCCCCATTGCCCAAGGGCGTAGTGCTGGACAAAGACGGAAAGCCGTACGTATCTGCAAATAGCAGCAATCCGGATCAGCCGGTCTACTCATGAGTCTGGTCTACCGAACAAGCTAACGTACCCACATCACAGCTGCCGCACCTGCACCTCCGTCGCCTCATGGCGAGCATTGACCAAGCAAGCAGACCTCAAAAGCGCAAACTCAAACTCCACCACACCCTCCACGTCGAACACGGGCAAAATGACAACTTCAACACCCGCTCTCGCCGCCGCCGCAACCCCCTCCCCGAGCGAAACTCGCTCAGACTGTCCACCAGATGTTGAAGAGCTAGGTCGCTCAACATGGACGCTATTGCACTCAATGGCAGCCACATACCCCGAAAAGGCAAACCAAGAACACCAGGCTAATATGAGCGGGTTCTTGAAGTTCTTCTCGAAGCTATACCCATGCTGGGTGTGCGCGGATGATTTCCAGAAATGGATGGCGCACCCCAGTGGGCAGAATCAGCCGAAATTGGGGAGTCGCAAGGAGTTTGGGTGGTGGATGTGCGAGGCGCATAACGAGGTGAACCGGAAGCTTGGGAAGAAAGAGTTTGATTGTCGACTTTGGGAGGAGAGGTGGCGTACTGGGTGGAAGGATGGTCGGTGTGATTGAGCTGTATGTTTATAATGCTTTGGCTGGAGTGGTCTTCTCTCTACTCTTCTTTTTGGACATCTCCCTTGTACATTAGATATGTATGCATTATTTGGCGAATCAATATAGATTGTACTTTTATCATTACTGGCCGAGTATAGACCAGGCGACTAAAGGCCTGACCTTCGAATGATGACTACAACAGAGAGCATTTGGACAAAACATGTTCGCATACAAACTAGATCGCTAAGCAATTATAATCTTGGATACAAAAAGACATCTAGACAAGAGGACTGTGCAGGAAGTTTTGTCTTTCTCCCAGCCGAAAAAAAAAAATGAAAAGCGCCGCCAAACACAACTTCTCCTCGTTCAGATGAAAATGTACCCGTTTTGTAACTTCATATCAGGACGAGAGAAAAAAGGGCAGAAAACCGTTATGCTTCGTCATGCAATTAAAATTGACTGGGGACGAACAGGCGCAGGCCACTGGCCGGGGCACCAATCTCTGTAACATCCGCTATCCGGTCGACGCTTCCCTTGTACTGAGGGTGGTATTTGGCACCGGTGTAGGGGTCTGAGACACTGGGAGAGCCGCTGTAGATAGGAGTGAAGGAGGCAGCGCAGATATCGAACTCGGCGAAGGGGTCGAAGTCAATATCGATTTGGTCTTGAGGATTACGTTCGCACTGAGCTTTGATCTTCTTGGCCTGTTTGTCACAGTTAGTATTGGTATATCACAAGTTGAACATTCACTTTTGGGAAAATACGTACCTGTTCCAAAAGCTTAGCGGAACCTCCATTAGCCAACATCCGATTGGCAAAGCTCAAGGCTGAGCCGTAGTTCTTATTGGCAAAGGCCAACTTCATAGCAGCCATCAATGCCAGTTGTCGGTGAGCAACCTCGAGCTTAGGGATTGTGAAGTAGGCGGACAGCTCAAGGCTGCGCTTGAGGTCCTCAGGGGAGTCGGTGGAGAGAGTACGACGCTGGAGCTCGATCGACATAGCGAGAATGTATTCCCGAGCAGTGGCAATGATCTTCTTTGCCTCCTCAACTTCAGCTTCCGAAGAGACAGTGTTGACAAGGACAGTGTGGAGAATGCGCTTGAAGATTGCTACACCATCCTCCAATCTGTTTGACCGCATAGCGGCATAACCCTCTTGCAGGTCAGCACTGGCAACCGTCTCTAGGTCTCGGGGGATGATGGGGAGCATCTTCCGGGAATCAGTCTCGTCGACGGTTCGGCGCACATAGTTGACCAAAGGCGGCAGACCAGCAGTCGCCGGGAGATAGGTCTTAGTCGCCTTGTAAACTTCGAGGAAGCGAGGCTTGAGAGGAGCGAACTGAACGGCACCAACTTGACGGTTCAACAGCTGCATCGCAGTGTCGAAAGAGCCAGCGGCAACGTGATCAGCAGCCAGCGGGGAGTTACGAGCCCACAAATCGGCCTCAGAACCGCCCGCGCCAGCTTCGGCGCTTTCCACATTGACAAAGTCGACCTCTTCCTCAACATTGACATCATCACCCATATCCCATCCGGATACTTCCTCTTCATCTTCATCAAGGGTTTCCCGAGCGAGCGTGGCGTCTTGTTCCTCTTCCTCAATCTCAAATCCATCAGCACCAGCCTCTTCATCAGCGGCACCAACCTCTCCAAGAAGAGCCTTCTCAAAGGAAGAGTGACCGGCAGCCTTGACAGGCCAGTTGGACTTGAAAGTGGGCACAATAGGGTGGGGAACCTTCAGAGGTTGCTCGAGTGTGGGTAGGCCAATCTGATCTTCAGTGATACCAACAGCCTCCAAAATGGACTCAGCCTCTTCAACCAGACCATGTGACTTGGCAGTGAGATAGGCAAGAGGATCTAGCGAAAATTAGTATGAAGGAAACAATTGCCAATGGGTTTAATACATACACAAGTCTACTTCCTTGAACATCTGGATTCGATCCTCAACGTCCCCGCGGTAGATGGCGTTTTGGAAGCGAGAGGTGAAGTCGCCACGGTGTTCAGCAATCTTAGCCATACGGGCTAGCTTCTCCTGGTCACCGGTACAGAGGTAGAGGAAAGAGAGCTTGTCGAAACTACGTTGCTTTTGGTAAGTCATTTCGACGGTCTGGTGGTTACCATGAGCCAATGCCTCAGCTCCAAGCCTGCTCCAGAAGTTGGGGCGGTCGAGTTCCCGTGCCATTTCATTGGCAACCTCGAGGTTACCACATTCAAGGGCAAGGTCAAAGCGGGTCTGGGGGTCTTGCACGAATTGAAGAGCAATTTCCGGATAACCCTTCTTTTGCAGATAAGAAATGATGCTCTGGCCGACCAAACTCGAGGTCTTGATAATCTGAAGCATTTCGTCATAATTCCGCTTCACGAGGGCGAGTTTGAAACGGTATTCGGTTGGGTCAATCTCCAAGACCCGTGGCTGGGCGTTGCGGTCAAGAGCATAGACGCTGCGTCCCTTGACACGCACGAGGTATACGGTCTGATCAAGAGTGCGGATAATACCGTTGTCACCGTTGAGAAGGGAATACTTCACATGGTTAAGGGTAGAGTAGAGCAGGACACCAGCATCATCCCACGTAGCACTCTTGATGCGAATAGTCTCGTGCAAGGTGCTAACCTGTTCGAGGGTCTTGGTCACGATGGTGACATTGTGTTTGCTGAGCAAAGCGCAGTACAAGCCATCGTTAGACCACACCACATACTTCACTCCGCTAACAGCAAGCTCTGCAAGCTGTTTCTTCTGTTGGATATCGAAAAGGGTAACATGTGTAGGGGTGATGAAGAGAAGGCATCCGGTTCCACCAAAGTAAATATCAGTCGTGCCGGCGGGGGGCTTGATTGTCTTCGTTGTGGAGTTGCTAAGATCCTTGATATCAACCTGTTGGCTCGAGGGGTTGAAGACAGCAAAACGGTTGCGCGCGACGAAAACCGCTGAAGTGGCCTGTCCACGCTTAACGTCTGTAGGTTCAACAGCTCCAGTGCCATCTCTAGGGAGATGAATCAATTCATAGGTGCCATTATCAGTAGGCGATGTAACCAGAATAGCACGCTCAGCGGGGTTGTAAGAGAGGGTACGCGGAGGGACCCATGGTGAACCTAGCTTGCGCAGCGAAAGCATCGGCGGCGACTCGACATTCTTGGCGAAGTCATATGACTTAACGTGCTTATCCTTTGTGATGTAAAACAGCTGGTTCTGGTAGATAGCAGACGCAGGACGCTCCCGCTCGAGCTTGAAGACCATAACACCGGTATCATGGCCTGCGGCAAACAGGTTCATCTCGGGATGGGCAGCGATAACCCAAAATCGATCAAGGTCGCGCTTAAAGGACTGAACGGAGGTACGCTTGTTAAGATCCCATGCGCGAATCGTCTTATCTTCGCCGACGGAAAGGATGAGGTCCTGGTGTGGGTGGAACAGAGCAGCGGAAGCATTTTGGAAATGGCCGCGGCAAGTATCGACTTCCCAGGCCTTGGTATCACTCATCCGCCACAGCTTAACCAATCGATCGTCACCGGCCGACACTAGCAAGGGCAGTGTGGGGTGGAACGACACCCAGTTAACACCACGGTCATGACCCTCCAGCACAAACTTAACCACCGCATCGGTGTTTCCAAACATATCAGCCTGGTTTGGATTGGCCCTTGCCATTTGATCTTCGAACGACACCGAGGTTGGGGCTGAGTGCTTCTTCCGCAGGCCGGAGATGTCCCAAATGCGAACCGACTGATCCAACGAGGCGGAGGCAATGAGATCCTCGGTGGGGTGGAACTGAGCACACATAACATAGTGGTTGTGACCGGTCATCGTACAGACTGAAAACAATCGAAGCGTTAGTCCATACTCACACGTGTAGTAGCTCTAATGCATCTTACTGAGTGACCGATTTTGCCAGTTCCAGATTCTGATGGTCTGGTCATCGGACGCAGACAGAATCCAGGGCAGCTCGGGGTGGAAGAAAACTGTTCGCACATAATCCAGATGGCCATTCAATGTGAACAAGCACCTCCGGGTCTGGTAGTTCCAGACCTTGATCTTGTAGTCGTCACCTCCGGACACAAACAGGGGCTGGGTTGGGTGAAAGTCAACTCCGCGAACCGGGCCATCGTGTTCTTCGAATCGGTCAATAAGGGTTCCCATGCGGTAGTCCCATAGTTGGATGGTAGAGGAATGAAGGGAAACGAGAATCCATGGCCTGTTTTGAGGTCAGATTGGGTCCTTTGAGGTGTTAGGTGTCCCTCCGCGGGATTGACTGACCGTTTGGGATGGAATGCGATTCCCTTGGCTCTGGAGGATTTGGACTCAAACTGCATAAGAGAGAATGATTAGCATCTTCAATTGAGTCTCGTTGTTTGATGGCGCATTTAAGATGCCGAGGGGGGCGTACCTTGGTGAGCATGTTTGGGGAGGAGGACTGCATCTTGAAGATTTGGCCGGAGCCGCACTGTAAAGTAGCAAGCTCCGCACACTAGAGAGCAATGTAAGGCAGAGGCGACCACCGCATCCACCTGAAAGAAATAAAAGAGCGGAAGGTAAACACTTGGTGCTGGTGTTGGTGTAGCAGTAAACTAAACGTGGACTCTATTGTGGAAGCGAATGACATCGGCCAATCGCTGCCGGGCGGTGAGCGGTCAGGGGGATAGCTAGTCTCGACCTTTATTTTTGTACAACATTCTTGTTTTTAGATCAAATATATTCGATATATTATCTACATTGAATTGATTATGGACTATTTTTTTCCCCTTGAATATACATCCAAATTTCAACTTCGAAGTGGAGATGTTGTTCTCCATCTATATACCCCCGCGTTAGAAGCATCTGGAAGTCCATGATGTTATGACGACCATCACTTTCTTGCCTTCAATTCTACTCCTGTAATTAATCCTTTAATGAGCATTCCTTTGATTACACACTCCATCGTTCCTTCTCTAGAAGCCCGGTTATACTTTGCGACCTAACCGTCTACTTTGGACTGGCAACTACCTTGGACTGGAAAACTACTTTGAATTGGAAGACTATCTCGGACTGCAATGTGAACACAGGGGTTCAAGGCGTGATATCAAATTATGGAAGATCTCCCAATGGATGACACAGGGCCTGTCAGGACAGATCAGCCCGAATACTCCGCCGGGTTTACTTCTTTTGGTACCGCAGCAGACCCCCAGCCGGAGGAAAGTGACCAGAGCATGGACGAATCAGGACCCTCAACGCCTACCCACGACACGGATCTGCTCGAAGACAGCGATGAAGAAATTCGGGTCATCAAGCCGTATGATATTGAAGAGCCCGATCATGAGTTAGAATCTCCGGTGCCAAGGGTAGATCAACTGTGTCTCCCAGATCGGTTCGAACGATGGCAGCGTGACTTGACAGACTACCTGGATGACCTGGACGACCGGCCAGTTGAATTTAATGGCAATACAATGCGGTCGATGCGGAAGAGAGGACGAAAGAGGAAGCCACCCAACAACACTCCCGCTACACAGCCGTCTAATCCGCCCTCTAAACAAAGATATGCATCAGCCGAGACTCAGCCTCAAATGCACGACCACATCCCCAAAAGACGAAGGGTTAGCGAACCACCACAATGGAATCCTTCAAATGTGGACTCATTTGGCGCTTTCCGGGAAACCAACACGAATGAAAGCTCAAGTTCAGAGACACAATCGGTGGACCTGAATCACAATGAGACCATGAATAACTCGCCCGTGGCCGATGAAATGGATATCGACTGAAATAAATCTCATAAGTAATTCTTGGCAGTAACTCTCACCGATGTCACTCACAATTATGTTTGCGGATTTTGCGAGTATCACATGACGTCATTCGTATCTCATCGCAGGCTGTAGCTCTGGAGACACTTCGCTGGATTAGATCTGTCTTGATCTTTACACCATCCGAGAAGAGCTCCGGTCACAATCCACCATTCATTATGGCTACACGAACATCCTCACGCCATGCTGCCCAGAAGGCCAAGGAAGCCATATCAACTTCCGCCGAGCCGACTAGCAAGGCTTCCAAGGGAACAAAGCGGAAAGGTCAGACCGAAGAAGCTCCACATCCCAAAAAGGAGAAAACAGAGGACATAAAGCCAGACGAAGAGAAGGCGGAGCAGGTGACAGAGGAAGCACCTGCCGAGAAAGAAGCACCTACCGGGAAGGAAGCACCTACCGAGAAGGAAGCACCTACCGAGAAGGAAGCACCTACCGAGAAGGAAGCACCTACTGAGAAGGAGGAAGCACCTACTGAGAAGGAGGAAGCACCTACTGAGAAGGAGGAAGCACCTACTGAGAAAGCACCTACCGAGAAGGAAGCACCTACCGAGAAGGAAGCACCTGCCAAGGCAGAAGAACCATCCGAAGGACAACCATCAAAGGAGAAACTGGCTGAAATCCCTCCCGAGAAGCCTCATGAAATTGAGGGAGGTCTTCACACGTCTGAGGAGAGGGAAAACGTGGTATCCTCGAACATCCTCGAGAAGGGTTTCATCTACTTCTTCTTCCGCCCACGGGTCAATGTAGACGACCCCACAAGTATCAGCGATGTCGCCCGAAGCTTCTTTGTCCTTCGACCCACCGTTCTCGGGGCGGAATTCGACAAAGGTCAAGGCCCCGTCGACAAAGACGCCTCATGTCGCTTGATGATACTTCCAAAAAAGAAGTTCCCGACCTCACCCAGAGAACGGGATATGGGATTTGTGGAGAAGGCTGGACAATCTATGCAATCCCTCCACGAAAAGTTCATTGCCGGTACCACATACCAGACTGCCACTCGAGGTGAACGTCACACCGAGGACGCCAGACCTTACGCGGAAGGTGTCTACGCGATCACTTCCACGCCGCGGGCATCACACCTCGCCTATATCCTGACCATTCCTGCCGAGCTGGGCGATATTCAGGAGGATTTCGGTCTGCAAGAACGCGGAAGTTGGATTGTTCAGTCGAAGAATCCCAAGTTTGCCGGTCCGCCGATTGGTCAATTGCCAAAGAACCCAGATTTCCCTCCAGAGTAAGTAGTCTCCCGTAGAGAGACTATAATATTCGCGTATTAACATTATTCTCGTTAGTGTCCTCGAGAAATTTGGAGATCTTCGATGGGTGCCTCTGCAACCCGAGTTCCTGGACTATCCAAATTCCCAATTCCTCATGATCGGCGAGGCACAGAACCACCTCGGCAAAGCTGCATCTTCTGAGGGAGGTAAGCAGCCTCATGAGGAAGAACCTGGCCAGGAATTGGAGAAACTGGAAGACGAAAACGAGCACCGAGTTGATGCTCTCCATGGTATGTTGCTATGTTGATTCTATGTTGATCAGGTTGAGACTGACAAAACCTCTAGGAGATTCAACTGTCTATGAAGACCTGGGCTTCGACGCAAAGAATTACCCCGAAGTTCCTACGACTTGGAACGGTTAGAGTGAGCTTTGAGCCGCAAACAGGGACTTCAGATTATCCCTTAAAAGTAATGCTACGGATCACACTTACATGGAAAATGATTACATATCTTTAAACTATCCATGGACCCATCCTTCTACTTGGGGAACGAACACTGATACCCGAAAAAGCTACTGTAGTATTATCTAAGTACGTTTAACAATTCAACGCCATCTCAAGTCAAATGGTAAGAGTATCTACCAGTTGTATCTGATGTGCCCATGGCAAGTTCAACCACATGGATACATCCAGCCACAGCCCTGACATTCAAATTGAAAAGTAAATAGCTGAAGTAGCGCAACAAAGCTTGAGTCCTTCCCCAACTTCAAAGATAAGCAGAAGGTGTAATTGATCATGGCGGCGTTAATAGAAAAAAAAGAGTAAAAGTTATGATTATTTGAAATAAAAATGGCGTTATCAATCGCGTGAACGCAGGATCAGGACTGATATCAAGGATGCATCATGTAGTAACATGTCCATACAAGTAGAAACCAATACATCGATTGGTCGAGCGGGGAAACTAATGTTGGACTACATTGATAGCATGCAAGATATCCTCAAGAGACCATCCCGGCCCGCCGGGGACAATCTCTGCCCAGACCTCTTCGGGGACGGCATCGTTGGGATCGAGCAGACTCCAGTTCGGACTAGGTTCCGGTTTGATCCATTTGAAATCTTCGACCTGGCTCCAACGGTCTTCGTGGTCGGGACGGTCATGATCCAAGGCCTAGATAGAGTAGTGTAAGTAAAAAGTTAAAGAGAAACGATAGCCACAAGGGAAACACTGACATAGGCCTTCGGGATCCGACCAAACCGGATGTTGGAACAGTCCTCAATAATGGGGTTGCTAGAGCAGCTGAGATAGACATCAACGTTGCTACAGTTGTGCATGCGGAACTGGCGGCAAGATATCACCATCACACTACGCTCAATTCCGGTAATGTGTGCAGGACCACTGACTTGACCGCAGATCAATAAGCTTTCTTTGATCCCCTTGGCAGTTAGACTGGCATATGGCTTTCCGTTGGCAGTAGGAATGGACATATCAACGATGCAGCGATTTAGAGAGGTTATAGACACTGGGACTGTGGATGTCGACCCGGAGGCCGGAAGCATAATGTGAAGTCCATGATGATCATTGACCGACACAGAGGATATGCCGGTGGCTGCAAATGTACCAGCTGGCTTCTCTGCGGGGGACTTTGTGGCAAAGTCCCCGACTGAGACACCCGGGAATGAAGTCGGCGCAAGCTCAGGACGCTCTTGTTGCTGCTTCTCCGGTTCGTTCAGTGGGGTGGAAGGGTAGTTGGGTGTCTGGTTCGCGGACGAGCCAACGGACGAGGCACCTGGGGAGTGGTACCCAGGTATGCTAAGTCGCCCGTCAGCAGCCAGCACGGCAGCATCAGACAAAGATATAGCAGAGGTATTTTTCTTAGTCTTGAAGCTAAACTTTGATCGAGGCTCGAATGCCGCACGTGTCTCGCTCAATCGATCCTGCAAAGCTTTGATTGCCTGTTAATATGTTAGCTCTGCTCTATCAAGAAAGAGCACGAGTAGCATATACCTCTGCGTACACCCTCTGATCATAGGTGGGAATATAGCTCGCCGCATCCTTGACCTCATTGGATAACCGCACGATCCCGGCAAGGCAGTGGTCTGTTGCATCGACACGTTCACCACCCACGAGCGATGTATCTGCAAGACGATCCATCTCCTGCTGCAAAGCTGAAATGGTAATGTTCTTAGCAATGGTATTCTTAATTTTGTTGGCGTCTAATGAAAGTGGCGTTTTCCTATCAATGGGGACATACCGGTGATCTCATACTGGAAGTAGCGGAAGAAGCGTTCATTCAAGGGAATATCGGCTTTTGAGACAGTCTGATTGTCCGCCGACAGTCGGCGCGGTTTATTTTCTGCTTCGGCCATGGTGTAGAAGGTTTAGGATTGAAACCGAAGATGAAGGGGATGAGAGAGAGCTCGGGAGGTGGAATGTAGCAATGACGTCGATTCAATCCCCAGCTTAATCATGCCACCCCGCACGTTATTGCAGGCAAACAACTTATATTTCGTCTGATTTGTGATGGAAGGGAACTGTGAGATGCTTTTGCAGCTGTGAGCGAAAAATCGCTGTATTTCCCCACATTCAAATATTTATATCAATTTTCTCGGAGTTGAATTCCAAAATAAGTTCGGAATTCGAAAACTCGGGTTATATTGGGGTAAATCCCACAATATCCAGTTATAAACTTCGTTCTTATTTTTTTTTGAAGTGATTGGCCTCAGACCTCAGATTGACGCGATAATCACTGCAGCTTCACTGTGACGTCGATCATCCCGCATTTCACGGACGTCGGAAATCAGATGATCCGTATAGTCTTTCAGGCAACAAGGCATCAACTCCACTTCATATTTCCTCTTTTTGTGTTATACTACATCCATACATTCATAAATGATCTTACTCTTTGAGCTACGGATTTGGAAGAGTATGTAGATACACAACTTTCTCTAAAAATGTCACAATGAACGGTTTGTATTGTCTTTTTCTATTCCTAGATTGACATAACGATAGCACAATCTAGGCCCACAAGCTGACTACTTTCTGGTCCAATGAGGGATATGGAGCTTGAGGGCTGAGCATGTAAACTCCATTTCTGCACGGAGGTAAGACAGTGGAAACACTGGATTTTGAGCTGTTGCAACCTAAGCTTGTTCAGTTATACAAATATAAGCTAGGCAAATAAGACTGTCCACGAGGTCATTTCGGTTGAGAAGTTACTAGATCCACACTGATCACAATTAGTATATCGTTTCTCTGGATGTCTCTTCCTGAATATGTCGGCCCTGATAGGAATATCCCAGGCTATAGGAATGGACTGGGTTTAGGCTCGGTGTATGGCAGATATCGGTGACTATCATGTTGGTGTGCAACGTTGTACTGTTATATTTCCACCTGGTATCTATCTCGCGCCAATTTCATGCCTAGTTCGGATAATTCCGGTCATTTACCAGATGACATATTATATCCTCGTGAATATCGATATATTTCTAAATCGGCTGGAGGGTGATATATTTAGTCTGATGCCCTAGTGTGGTGGTTGTTCACTATGTCACTTTCGCAAATATTTAATGACAAGATGAGACCTCAATCTCTGCTTCTTCAAACCTTGGCCCTTGTGCTATGCTGTATCCGGCTGGCGTTTGCCGTTGATTCCAGTCACCAACGGGTTGAACAGCTTGACAAGGTACCGGATGGCTGGTCAAGAGGGGATAGACCGTTGGCCTCTAAGCTTATAAAATTCCGATTAGCGATTACCCAGCATAATGCTGGAGAGTTCGAGCAAAAGGTCATAGAGCTCTCAACCCCAGGTCACGCGAGCTATGGCCAACACATGAAAAGAGACGAAGTGAAGAAATTCCTGAGCCCATCTCCAGACGTTTCAGACAAGATAATTGAATGGCTGCGGTCAGAAAATGTTCCCCCAAGTTCTATCAACTTAAATAGCCATTGGATCTCGTTCACTGTTCCAATTTCACAGGCCGAGCAGATGTTGAAGACGCAGTTTTTCTACTTCTATCAAGAGGCCCACCAAAGCGTCGCCATTCGAACTCTTGGCTACTCTGTGCCTAGAGCCTTACATCCCTACATTCAATTGATTCAGCCTACAACTCGATTCGGCAATGTCGTTCCTCAAAAGAGCTCCACACTCGAACGGGAGCCAGCGACTGCTGGGCAACTAGCTGCTGGATGTAATACAACTATCACGCCAGACTGCCTTCGGGATCTGTATGGAATTGATAACACGACCACCAGACCCGATTGGCGAAATCGACTGGGGATATCTGGTTTCCTGGAACAATATGCTCGCCACGCTGATTTCGATGAGTTTTTGCGTCATTACGCCCAAAGCCAAACAGACACAAACTTCAGTGTAGTCTCGGTCAACGGCGGCCGGGATGGTCAAGACTCTATGTCCGATAGTGTCGAAGCAAATCTAGATGTACAGTACTCCATACCGCTGGCGGATGAAGTGCTAGCAACATTTTATAGCACCGGGGGGCGAGGCCCTGTTGTCCCCGAAATAAATCACCCAGACCCCACCATATCAACAAACGAGCCATATCTTGAACAGCTCCATTACTTCTTGGATCTCCCAGATGAAGACCTCCCTGCAGTGCTATCTAACTCATATGGAGAAGATGAGCAGAGTCTTCCAGCGTCCTATTTAAACGCAACTTGCAGCCTATTTGCCCAGCTCAGTGCCCGGGGCGTTTCAATACTTTTCAGTAGCGGAGATGATGGCCCGGGACGTGCTTGTGTGAGAAATGACGGGACGAATCAAACAAGATTTCTCCCTGTATACCCAGCTTCTTGTCCATTTGTTACCTCAGTGGGAGGAACATACAACATCAATCCCGAAAGAGCGGTTTCCTTCTCTGGAGGCGGGTTTTCTGAGGTGTTCCCTCGTCCCCAGTACCAGCAACAGGCAGTGAATGACTACCTTCGCCATCTTGGAAATCGATGGAATGGACTATACAATGGCACGGGAAGAGGATATCCCGATGTATCAGCTCAAGCCGCGAATTTCATTGTTCGAGACCAAGGCGAGTGGATCTCAGTCCACGGTACAAGGTTTGTTTCGACAGATTTAAGGATAGAACAACGAGTTGACATTTTACAGTGCTTCAGCACCAGTGGTTGCAGGTATTGTTTCTCGGCTCAATTCTGCCCGTATTGCCCAGGGTAAGCCCCGAATGGGCTTCCTGAACCCATGGCTTTATAGCCACGGGCGTGAAGGATTCACGGATATTGTTCTCGGCGGTTCTTCGGGCTGTAGCTGGGCTGCTGTCAATGCTACTCTTCGGATACAGAATGCAAGTTGGGATGCGACCGAAGGGTGGGATCCGGTGACAGGGCTAGGCACACCCTTGTTCCGTACACTTGTGACATTGGCATTATCAGATGATGTGTAGACACATAAATTTGAGTAATATATAGCTATAATGGACACTGAGTGCTGTCGTTCACTAATATCCAAACAAAGATTAGACAGCCTGGCTTGTGGTGTCAACATCCATCCAGACCGGCGATTATAAATGCCCACACGTGACCGCAAGCTTACCGCCTACCGCAGCTCCGTCATGAGCACCGGAATGTCACCAACAATCATCACTCAAAACCCGAACTCTCTATCGTTTCAGCTGTTTCAATTACTGTCTTCGTCCCATTACGGCTAGTCTGCCTTACTCCCTTTCAGCATTGTTCTTACCCCACACAACCTCCACCATGTCCGATCTACAGTCCCTCGTGTCAGAGCTCCACGGTGCTATTGAGCGCAAACAGTTCGACGCCGCCAACGACCTCCTCATCCGTTCCAAGCGAGCTCTCCTTATGCAAAATGCCTTGATTCCTACTTCTTCCACACCTCCCCAGCTTGTTGTTCTTGCCCGCCAAGTCCTCGAACTCGGAGCACTTGCTTCCATCCGCCAGAAAGACGCCCAGCTATTCACACGGTACTACCAGCAACTTCAGCCATTCTACGATCTTGAAAGACATGCCGGTCTGCCCGGGCAGAGCTCTTCGGAAGTCGACTTCAGCACTAGCCAACGCAGCAAGATTACAGGGCTGTATCTGCTTCTTCTTTTGAGCATGGGCGACAGTGCCAACTTCCACACAGTACTAGAGGGATTAGTGGAAGAGGCGAGTCTGAAGGGTGGCCGTGTTGAGGATGATGCGTGCATCAAGTACCCCGTTGAGCTGGAGCGCAACTTGATGGAGGGAAGCTACGACAAGGTGTGGCGGGAGACGAAGTCCGAGCGTGTTCCATCGGAAGACTTTGGTCTGTTTTCAAGTGTAAGTTGCATGCGTGATCAGTTCGCGGTTTAATTTTCAACCGGCAAGCGTACTAATCAGCGACCCTATAGGTTCTTGTCGGCACTATCCGCAATGAAATCGCAGGTTGCTCAGAGAAGGCATACCCATCCCTCCCCATTTCCAACGCCAAGAACCTCCTCTTCCTCGAGTCTGAGGGTGCAGTGATTGATTTTGCCAAGGAGCGCGGCTGGATCCTCCGCGACGGCCGGATATACTTCCCTGTTGAGCCCGAGGCAGCTGCTAGATCCGAGAGGGACATCCTGGTGGCTAGCGGCACTGTTATTGAGAATGCTTTGGGTTATGCTCGCGAGCTGGAAACTATTGTCTAATTACACGTTCAATGGGTCAATGAGAACGATATACTTTCTTGGGATATGAATGGCTTTCTTCTTGTCTTCGGGCGCGGATGTACTTGTGTACCTGTCGCTTTATGCATTGTGCTTTCTCTAGCGTGTTCATGGCCACAATCGTGTTAGAATAGTTTCGGCTTACGATTCCCTAGTTATTGTAGTCAACGTAGACACCCCAAACCTGGATGTTCCGAAGAAGTCCCTGTCGTCTGGATGGACTTCCAAAATTGGCGCGGCTTTTTATTTAACTATAGATCAACAGTCCAAACACAGAGCCTGCGATCATAGAAACTGCTCGAGACGCACAAAACCTCAGAAGACCGAGTTGTCTTTTGTCCACCCTCCCAAACGCCGCTAGCATAATTCATACTCTCATGCTCGGTGAACTTCGCCAGAACCTCAATCCCCCAATCCGGGACTCCATCTTCATGCTTGCACGTAACCTGGACAAGCCTGGTTCCAGCATGCATACAACTGGCCAGCACCAAAAAGCGGTACTCGGATACATTCGAGTCATCCGAGCCAGGAATCTTAGTCGTATTCAGTAACTGCAGTCGCCAAACACCACCATCAAGACCTTCCTCAGCAAGAACCTCTCCCCTCCGCGTAGCATGGTACACACGAAGAGTCTCATCATAGCATCCCGTCAGAAGAACCGGGGCATCATCGACCAAGGGAACATCAAGAGGCAAGATAGCAGTGACACCAGCAGTGTGATGACGAGCTCGATCATCATGCTCAAGCAGCATAGGCGAGATATGCTCATCTGGATCATCCAAGTCGGTGGTATTATCGAACCGGCGGGTGTGCAGCGAGCCGAAGTCATTACCCGTGAACATGAAAGGGATCGCAGATCGGTTCTGGGTCTCGACATCTGGGGTTCCTGGATATGTTGACAATGCAACAAACCAGACTTCGATCATCTGTTTGGCTTCATATGTGCCCCATTCTGCTATACTTTCTTCTTGGAGGATATCGCCTTCTGTGCCAAAGACGGCTGTCCGGCTATCTGAGAATGTGACGGCGAAACCGTCTGCTGTTGACTGGGGGAACCAATTTTGCGGTGCCCAGGCGAGGAATAGGGCTGGGATTGATGGGTCTTCGTGGACTTGTTTTGTCCATAGTTGGGTGATACTTGGGGTTGCGGATGTGTCTCCTGTGGTGGAGTTGGATACCTGGAATAGAGCCACTGACCCCACGCTGGTTGCAATTGCAAACAGGTTCTTGTTTCTTGGGTGGAAGTGCAAGTCAAAGACTGCGTATGGGACAGCAATTCTTTGGATCTGGGATCTAAGGGCTGTTAGTGAATTCGTTATGAGGGTGTTATACTCGCTCTTGGGTTGCGTAATATAATTGATTGAGGTTGACTTACAATGTTTTGCTAACAGGATCTAATTTCCATAGTTGCAGACTCCCAGTTTTGGACTGCTGGACCTCTCCATCTTCTGTTTTGTTCTCTGATAGAAGGTAGGTGCCCACGATGAAATGGTCTGGGGCCTCGGGGCAAAACTCCAGACAACTGGGTGGCTGATCTAGGAATACCGTAGTCGCTGACTGGGGGTGTTGAATGCTTGCCATTTTGATATAGTCCGAGTTGGGATGATTGTAGATCTTGCAAGCCTCGGAATTTAGTGGTCGAATCCGGAGGGCGGGAGGTGGCGTCTGAATACGCCCGAAAATATGACCACAGATGTGGTTCTATCAATGATCCGGCGTAACACGCTATTTCATTTCACATCACCGGGGATAAAATGATTCGATTGGTTTTTGTTACAGACATTGATAGGATCAAAAATCACAGGGCGGTGAGAATCCGCGAAGTGAAGATGCCGCAGAGAAACGCGAAGATAATTTCAGACATCTGAAAGTCTTTTCTGGTTTAATATGAGAAAGTGGTATATTTTCTCTGGGAATTGCCTGAATATCGTGACAAAGTCGACCATCAACCCCTCCGCTTGGTGATAGATTTAGGTCATAAAGTCTATGCCAACAGAAAGCCCATCCTCGAACCTACTCACTAGAGCCTCTAGGACTCTTCCAAACACTTACATGATTATATATGAGAGAGTTAGTTATCTCTTGCATCCATATAGATCAATAAGACTCCCATACTGAGCGACCACTTAGTTTGACACGGCCTACAAAATGCAAATCGATATCGGCAATAGAGACTTGCCGGTGATAACATCATGCTGTATTCCATGCTATATGTCGTAAGCAACCAATTCCCCAGTGATGAAGCATTAAGGCGATCTCCTGTCTTGGAGCGGCAAGGGATTCACAGGACCTTGGAAGATCAACAGCGCCAGTCCTAGTCAAGGTTGTTACTCGGGTAAGGTAATATGACAATCTTGAAATATTCATGGGGATCAAGCTATCAACGTAATATTTAGCGATGACTTCTGTCACCCAGGTCGTATAAGACTTCAAATATGCATTAGACTGCATGGGAAGCAAGCGGTGAACAAAAACAATCATTTGTAGACAAAGGATCCGAATACGACTTCATGAAGATCCATGTATGTGGGCTAGGCTGCATGGTAATGCGGGTGCGGGATATCTCTAGGGCCCCAGCGCTATTCATCTCGTCATCCCGAGGTCCATTGTCATAATGGAGGGTTTCTCTTCTCTTTCGATCACTGACTTTCTGACAGTTTTGAAGAATTCAGACACACACTTGTCAAACTTCTCATGAAGAACACCACGTTCTGGTGGAAGTCCGAGACGAGCTCGTGGAAATTAGGGGGAAATCAGCTGCTTGCTTCAGCCTCCCTATGTATCGAGCGAACGTGATAAACAGTATATTATTCCGCAGATACATTGACCTAGAAAATGAATGGATAACTACAGGCATTGATGACAAGAGAAAGATTTTGGTGTATGTGACATATGGGCTAACTACATATATGTATTTTGCTATTGACGCGGAGTCGCTGGCATTGTATATAGTTGGAGACATTCACGGTGGACTCGAAATTACCTATTCAGTATAGTCTAGTGGGGATCAATCAGATATTTTGCGATTAACCGCATGAAACGCCATGAAGCTAAACAGTTGCATCTGGCTTTCGGCAACCTTCTTCCGAAGGGTACTGAGTTGGGGTCGACGCCTTGACGAACTTTCCCTGTAGTTGATACACTTTATCGATTGTCTACTAGTATATGGCATAGAAGACAATATAGTATACACAGTTATCTAGATCAACAATGGTATCTAGCAATACCGTCCAGGAATTGGAACCATAGGAAGCCATAGCAGAGCCATTTTGATCGCTTCCAGCAATACCCACCAAGTGAGATAGCGCGGGTCTAGATCTTTTCATCAAGTACACCGTAGCTATTAGAATAAAATTAAATAACATGAAACAAATGATCAAGGGACAAATATCGGACAAATACTCAAGAGGTTATGGGATCCCTTATACATCCATGAAATGGGAGCCATAATAGCCAATAAGACAAACCCTTTGACGGCACTTGGCACAATTAGTGCTGATTCTATTGTTACTTGCCTATCCACGCGGATATGACACTCCGTAGTCATACTACCTACGTACATACAACTTCGGGAGGTCCGACGGTTGCCGACGGGTTATATCCGACTAGAGACATGGGGAGATTTGAATAGTTCTAGACTCATGGGGTATACTAACTTCCATATACCTTCAGCTCTTGAAGTTCCATTTGGGACTTGTGCAGGATGTGTGGTGCAGTAAGACTTGGAGTCTGCCGGAAAGGGCGCAAACTCTAAGTATGACACAGAATTTATTATTTTTTGCGTCTTATACGGAGTAGATGCATTGAGGGTACATTAGAGGCGTATCGGAGGCGCATCGGAGGTGCACTGGAGCATTGGAGGTGCATTGAGGCGTCGATCACGTTCGGCTCACGGAGTCGATCCGAATTGACTCATTACCAATATAAACCTATCAAAAGACATTAGAAGAGGGAGACGTGCAGTAAAATAATTGTTATCTTAGCTTGCAATGATATTCCATTTGTGATCCGCCAAAAAGTATTTAACTAATTTCTTCTCCCCCCACTTTTTTCTTTTTCTTTCAAGCTTTTCAAATAAAATGGATGATACAAAGCCATGGGGTTATAGATGGAGATCATCTCGACTTTTGGTGGTTTCATCCATCACTGTCGCTTTATTCGCAGGTATGTATACGTTTATAGTGGTTGCTTCACTTTTCACGCGTGACTCATACTAACAATCCATTAGAGACATTTCTCTATGGGTTTCTTACTCCAATCTTGAGTTATATGCTTGAAGAACGACTGGGGCTTGATCCATCACGAACTCAAACATACACCACAGCGTTACTCACCACCCATGGATTCATCGGTCTCATCTCTGCTCCGATTGTCGCTCATCTTGCCGAGAAGACCTCGAGCCAAAAGAAACCACTATTGATTGCTCTGGCAGGATGCTTTATCGGAACTCTTATGATAGCTCTTGCTCCATCTGGTATGAACACCTCTAGTCTTGAGGACAACTCTTTGAAACTGATTGTCGTAAATAGTCTGGGTCCTCTTCGTTGGTCGCATCCTGCAATCTATGGCAGGTGCCGGCACTTGGGTGGTTGGATTTGCTCTATTGGCAAACAATGTAGACAAGAAGCACCTCGGACAGTCGATGGGGATGGCCATGTCGTTTGTAACTGCAGGTATGGTCGGCGGACCAACAGTGAGTGGCGCATTGCTCCAGTTATTCGGCTACTGGGCCGCCTGGTCACTTCCCTTGGTCGTACTTGTCTTGGATATCATTGCTCGCTTGGTCATGATTGAACCAAGCCGTGTCTCCGCAAAGAAAATTGAGTCTCTGAGCAAACCTGCTGGGACGTCATTTCTCAGCACTGACGGAACGCCGGAGGAATCCACTGCTCTGCTTCCTGATGCACCGTCTACCGTCAAGCCGGATGACTGTGGAGCGGAGCACAAACGTGACCTCAAACACGAATACTATAGAGTCATGCTCTCTGAACCCCGTGTTTTGACTGCATTGGCCAATGTTGTTGTTGTCTCCTCTCTCATGTCCGGCATTAACAATACCCTCCCTGTCCACCTGAGACAAGCATTTGGTTGGAAAAGTCTGCTTATCAGTATGATGTTCTTCTGTCTCCAAGTCCCGAATATTGTGCTCAGTGGCCCATCTGGATGGCTTCGTGATCGAATCGGAATCCGGGGACCTACCGTGTTCGGTTGGGTTACTATGATCCCTCTAATCTTGCTTCTGGGAATGCCTGGAGACCCCCACTTCCCATGGGCTGCTGGGGATGCAGCTGGTAAATCTATCTTTACCAGTAGTCTGATTGCTTTGGGTAGTATTCTACCTCTTGTGCGCGGTGTAGGGGCCGTACAACTGGCCTGTGAGTAATTCTGTCTTATCTTGTGTTGTTCAATCCCGACTAACAAATGTGTCTACTTGAACATAGATGTGGTCAAAGATATGGAAGCTAAAGATCCGCATCTATTCGAGGCCAACAGAAGCAACCTGCGAGTCTTTTCCATGACTGAAGTGGGATATAGTCTCGGTATGATGTTCGGACCTATGTTGACTGGCTCACTATTTGAAGGAGTTGGCTTCTTCTACATGACTGTGGCACTAGGTGAGTCAATGTGTCGCACCATCGAATAAAGTATCGTTCAATTGCTCACCCCTGATACAGCTATTACCTGTCTCATCCAGGCCGTGGTTTCCTGGATTTGGCTGGATACCTTGCCGGAACCCGAAGCTCCTGAAGCCTCAGTTTAAACATGCGCATAGTTGATAAATATGCGTGACATTAAAAACAGCCCCAGAAAACGTTGATCATGATATGAGTACCTTAGCAAGCTTGATGATGTGCCTCGGAGTATATTTGAGGCAGAAAATGAAATGCATAATTGTTACTCAACATGCTATGTAGTTTAATTTGATATTTCGATAATAATCGACGCAGCAGCCGTACAACAACCCGTGATTCGTGGCTGTTAAAGATAACAGCGGGGATCTACCCCGCGAGGTATAAAGCCACAGTTTCTCATCTTTCTCAGACCACAGGCAGAATGACCGAGTCAAAGACTGAGAGCTCGCAGCTCGCCGATTGTAATCATGTTCCGATCATTGACCTTTCATTTTTGAATAGTCCAAATTTCGATGAGCGACGAAAACTTGCTCAGTCGATTTATGATGCTTGCACTCAGGTCGGCTTCTTTTACATCAAGGTACATATCTTATCATTCTCCTAACCTGCTCCGGTACTAATGCTGCCTGTTCAGAACCATGGAATTCCAGAGGACAAAATAGAAGGCATACATAGCTCCGCAAAGCGGTTCTTCGATCTCCCCGAGGAGCAAAAGATGAATTTCTATATTGGAAACTCACCCGTACGTCTGCAAAGCTGAACATGCAAAGGACATACTAAGACCGTTCCAGAAATTCCGCGGCTACAGCCCCCTGGGTGGTGAGAGATCCACAGGAACAGACGATGATCCCATTGCCGAAGAAGACGCAGTCAGTGCTCTCTCTGAAGCATTTGACATTGGATACGAAACCGCAATGGATCCTCAAAAATCGAAAGATGACCCTCTTCCCCGCGATCCGTATGGATTGTACGGAGATAACCAATGGCCCGGCCCAGATATACTTCCAAACTTCACAGAGACCTACATTGAATATTGTGCCATGATGCTAGGGCTCTGCCGAAAGCTGATGAGAATATTCGCCCTCGCTTTAGACTTATCGGAAGATCATTTCGACTCGATGATTCAGAACCCAGGTGTCACGTCTAGAATGATGCATTACCCGCCTCAGCCGGTGAAGGAAGAGGTTCGTGAAGGGCTTGGGGCTCATACGGTAGGCAATTGAACAAATGCAGGAGAAGATACCGAATTACTGATTTCCTTATCCACTGACAGGATTTCGAATGTTTCACTATCCTCTCTCAGGGTAGTGTCCCGGGCTTGCAAGTTTTGAGTCACAACGGAGAGTGGATACTGGCACCCCCGGTGTCGGGGACATTGGTCGTAAATATCGCAGATTGCCTATCGATTTGGTAAGATTAGCCGGGTTATTATGATATTATGTGCTGATTTGTTTAGGACGAATAAAAAGTTCAAGTCGACTATTCATCGTGTGACAAATTTGACTGGAAAAGAACGATACTCTGTTCCTTTCTTCTTTGGAGTCGACTATGATACAACAGTGTCTGTTCTACCGAATCATATTTCGGATGATAGACCTGCATGTAAAGAGCCCTTCAAAGCAGGCGAGGTGAGTGAGATAGAACGAATACCGGTGTAATAACTGACGAGGGAATAGTGGGTTCGCGAAAAGCTATCGAAGGTGTATGTTGGCTATGAGGGATAGTGAATCTTATGCAGGTAGAATATTGAACTGGGTTTCCTATACTTACTTGACACATCTTACATATCAACATATACATATTTGCAGATCACAAATAAAAAATCATTAGAATAATCCCTAATCTTCAACTGACCACTAAATCTAGCCGAACGCCACCAAATAAGAAGCAAGAGAGTTTGTAAGCGTGCAGTCCGTCTCGGAACCCCGCACATTGCCTGAGAGCCTGAATATAAAAAGGCGTGTCCGTCAAGGAGAAAGGATGCAAACCATCTCCCAATGTCGTTGCCTTACAGTACCCCGCCGTCCATAGCGACGGCCTCACTCACACCGTTTCAGGCTGCCATCCCGAAAGCCAAACTTGACGAGCTCGAGCTTTTGATAAAGCTAGCGAAACTTGCACCACCCACCTATGAAAATTCACAAACGGACCGTCGCTATGGTGTTTCTTCGGACTGGCTAGTGACCATGCGGGATCAATGGCTTAGGTCTTATCACTGGTAATGATATCACATTCCACCATGCATGTGCCCAATGCATATGAGTCACGACTCACATTGCATGATTTTTGATACAAGACTAAAATTACTATAGGAAATCCTCAGAAGATCGAATCAATAGTTTTCCCCAGTATACGACGGAGATTGAAGGTCTTACTATCCATTTTGTAGGGTTATTTTCAGAAAGGAAGGATGCCGTTCCTCTGTTGTTGGTGCATGGATGGCCTGGTAGGTCTAATATTGACTGCATTGATCTCATAGTAAATAGATGTTTGAAGCACAGACTGACCAATTGTATTATAGGAAGCTTCCTTGAGTTCTTGCCTATATTGCAAAAGTTCCGAGAGGAGTATACACCGGAAACCTTGCCTTATCACTTGATTGTACCTTCACTGCCAGGTTACACATTTTCTTCTGGGCCCCCGTTGGATAGGAACTTTGAAATAGGTGACATTGCTCGTGTGTTGGATCAGCTGATGAAAGGCCTCGGCTTTGAGAGTGGATATATTGCCCAGGGAGGTGATATTGGAAGTCGGATTGCCCGGCACTTGGCCGTGGAGCATGAGAGCTGCAAAGGTATGGAATAACCATGATATTCCGTCTGGAGAAATGAGCTTTTTCTAACATGTTGCGGTATAGCTGTGCACGGTAAGTAGTTTCTTCATATGGGTTGTTCAATGACCAGAATGCCAACATAAGTTAGTCAACGTGGTTTTTATGGGAAGGCCAGACGGCATGACAGATGACCACCTAAATGCCTCCGAAATAGCGGGCGTTAAGAGGGCGACAAATTTTGTGACTACTGGAACAGGCTATGCGATGGAGCAGGGCACTCGACCTAGCACTATTGGGCATGTTTTGGCATCAAGCCCGATTGCTCTGCTAGCATGGTGAGTCGTGGAAGCCAGTGAAGTAGTTGACAGAAACCCCAAAACTAACACGCACAGGATTGGAGAAAAATTCCTGGAATGGGTCGACAATCCGCTTGCCCCAGAAGACATTTTGGAATCTGTCACCCTGTATTGGCTTACCGAGACATACCCTCGAGCGATCTATACTTATCGACAGGTGAGTTTCCAAACATTTTCGACACTCACAAGAAGATATCTGATGGACATGAATAGAACTATCCTCCACCACCGCTTCCGTCTTCCAATGACCCTCGTTGGTATATACACAAGCCGTTTGGATTCTCTTCTTTCCCAATGGAGCTTGTTTCATTGCCGCGCTCGTGGATTGAAACCACTGGCGACCTGGTATTCTGGGAACAGCACCCGAAGGTATGCAATGTGGCAGTTAAGTAAGTACTAAGATCTGAGACTGACGCTTATCTACTATAGGGTGGTCATTTTGCGGCATTAGAGCAGCCTGATGAATTGAAAGCGGATCTGGTCAAGTTTGTAGACCAGGTGTGGCCAGGTATTATTGGTGCCAAATAAGCCGAGACAAATCAGCAGAACACAAGGTATGTGTTAATATAAAGGACTTGGAGTTGCATCTGAATTGAATATGCACAGATGCTGCGACGCGCTACCGTAGCCATCGTAGATATATCCATTGCAGATCATCGTCCAACTTTCCTTTAAACCATCTCCTACAAACCTAAATAAAAAGCATTTTTTGATAGAAATACTACACAGATATTCCATTGATACTAAATCAAAGCAATTCAAAGAAGAATTCATAGTTCGTAGCCTAGTAAAGCAGTAATTGGCGCAGTCCAGAAATTTGAATGCGGGGCTGTCCTCCACTTCTACTTCCCCATCTCCAACTACAACAATAACCAACAGAGCATCATATTCTCATCCATCGCTACGAAAACCATGACAGCAACTACAGCAGTCGATGAAATATTCTCTGACGAATCAAGCTTCTACGGTAAACCCCAGCTAATACCCCAATCCGCAAGAATCCCAGCCAACCCACATCAGGCAACGATAATCAAAAATCACAACTAGAAGCCCAAGTTTCTTCCTATGACCCAGAACAATTCTGGGTAGAAACCCACCAGAAACAGCTCTCAACCATCCAGCAGCAAAAGCGCGCGCCTGCCCCACGCGCAAAACGCTCATCATCAGATGTATCCATGGAAGATGCACCCCCAGAACCATCCGAGATCAAATGCAACCAACGCGGGAAGACCGAGCCCATATCCCAGTTTTTATCGCGTCTTCCGCCCTCAACAACAGGATCCGCAAGCGTAGGTCCCTGGATCTGGATGTACAATCCACATGTGCCGCCGAGGCGAAGTGGGGATGTTCCCACTCTGCTTAGGAAAGGAAGGGAGCTTCTGCAGGCATATGAGAATGAGAGTGCGATTTTGCGCGAGGCGCATGATAGGTCTGGGGCTAAGACTACGGCTGGTTTGACTCGTAAATTGAATCCGATGCGGAAGGAGCTTGAGAAGGGGATTCTTGATCTGGCGAGGGAGACTGGTGTTACAGATGGGAAGTGGATGCTTTTTCCGAATGTTGATGAAGTTGATGAGGTCTGGGGGGCTGTTGTTCGGGCGATGGAGAAGGGGGAGCTGGGGGATGCGGCGAAGGTCGCTACTGATGATGGGTCTGGATCTGGACAGAGTCGGTTGATTTGTGTTTATACAGCTGATTTTGGGGATGTTGAGGATGTTAAGCGGATTGTTCGTAGGTTGGTTGATATTGGGCTTGTTGGGAAGGGGCCGAAGTCTGTTTACTATAAGTCTGATGCTTTCACTCTTCTGGAGATTACTTCGAAGAATGAGTATGGGCTGAAGGCGAGTATGTATTCGAGTCAGGAGATGCTTGAGGGGAAGTAGATGGGGATTTTGGTCTAGGTAGTATGGTTTGTTTATGATTGATGAGGATATGATTGACGATTAATGTTTTGCTTTAGTGGGTATCTCTGAACGCAGTTATCTACATCTATGATACGTGATGTGTTTCCGGATATGGTAGTAGGTTATACATGAGAACGGTGGACTGTATGTCCAAGGTATTCGTAGAAGTTGGGAGTAGCGGTGGCTTCGTGGGGGTCGTTCGTTGGGACCAGGTGTTGATCGATCATGTCTTGCATAGATCGGGAACGATTCATCTGCGTGAATGAGCCGGCTCATTCATGGCCGCAACTGTCGGTGCAGTCAAAAGTGATAGCCCACTTCGACAGAAGTCAATTGCCGAGGAGGTCCAACCACATGGATTATGACCGAAGAAAAATGTGTGTAAGGTGTTCAGTCATCGTCGCTCGACCGATTCATAACTTTCTCGCATGCTTCCCGAATCTCAGCGACACCCTTGACAGCACCCCATGCGTCGAGTAAATGCTGAACTTCTTTCCAGTCCTTCTCCGCATCCTCCTGTTTATCGTCCGCCAGAAGCTTCTCCAATCTCTGCGGTGCAGCAAGCACCCATCGAACAGTATCCTTCTCACTCTTCTGACTCGAAGTCTCATCTTCCAACTTCGCTTCCTTCATTCGCCGCCGCTGCTCCTCGCCTTCCTTGATGAGCCCACCAGCAGTCTCAGCAACAAAAGCAATAGCCGGACCCAGCGTTTTGGTCATAGTCAGCGGTGCACCGCGATCATCCATACTGCGCCGCATTTTCCCGATTGTCTCCACAGCGCGAATCAACTTCGAGTAGTTATCGTAGACCAACGCTTTCCGCTCTCCGTCGAGAGTACGGATATCCCCAACTAACGTGTTCTCCGCCTTGAGCACCGTAGCCAGCGATGATGTCGACAAGAGGTGCTCAACATACCGCTGCGGGTCGAAGTCTGCACTGTCGAGCTCCGTCCCTGGCCCTAGAGTAGATGGGTCGGAGGTGTCTCCTGCATCTGTGTTCCGCGGCACACTCCGGGAGCGAGACGCATCTCGGGAGGTAGATGCGTCTGCGCCGGGCGGTTTGAGATTATAGTAGTCTCGCAGGGCGCTGCGATTGCGTCGGAGATGGAGTGAGGGAGAGAGAGCTCGTGCAGTTGATGGGGTAGATGCGGCGCTGAGCCCCCCGCTGACGTTGGTGTTCAAGGCATCGAGTGACGGTCGGGAGGAGGCTGGACCCGGGGAATGGGCTCGAGAGGAGGCAATAGACAGACGTGGAGATGACAAAGTCGACATTTTGGTGTATTGGCGAGATGTGTCGGAGTTGTCGGTGACAGTCGGGGGTCAATAGGTTTAAGCGGTGGTCTGTGCTTTTGTTTTCGCGTTGAGAGCTTTCCCGACTTCACTACTTTTTTTTTAATTTCCTATACACGCCAATATGATCCTGAGGGAGTCCAAGAAATCATGACTAGTCCTGACCAAGTTGCAGCTCAGATACTGAGCACCAAATCCCTCTCGGTCTCCCAAACCTGGCTCAATGCCTTCCTATCATCATCCAGCACATCACAACGCAATATTCCCGCCTCAGCTCTCGCACAGACGGCTATATTCCGTCTTCTGGCCTCTGATATCAAAGAATCACTCTCAAAACACAGATCATGTGTACTGCCTGTGAACATTCATGACCCGACAGTTCAAGAACGACGGCTGCAAGGCTCAATCCCTGTGCAAGTGCTAGACATCGAAGACATCGGCACGAGTCTATGGAGCCAAATTGAAGCTATTGAACGCGTTGAGCGTGGCGAAGCTATCCGCGGCCGTGAAATTGTGCGCACAATAGCTGTAGGCGAGGATTCGGAGACGTCGGAGAATACCCGCTCAAATAACAACTCAACGAGCGGTGGTGCGAGTGCGTCTGGGAATAGTGGGTATGGGCCGCACCGTCTGATTCTTCAGGATGCAGCGGGAACTATGGCCGTGGGTGTTGAAATCCAGCGTATTGATGGGATAGCCTTGGAGAAACTTGCAATTGGGGCGAAGCTCTTGCTTCGTAATGCATCTGTTGCGAGGGGTATGGTGCTGCTTTCTCCGGCGTCTGTTACTCTACTCGGCGGCAAAATTGAGGCTCTGGATAAACCGTGGCGGGAGGGTAGGAAGGCTAGGTTGCTAGAGAGGACTGCAGGCGTTGAAGGTGAATGAGAAGAGACAAATCATGGCTCAAGCAGCTGAGTAGATGGGGCGCTGCTTCTTTTACTTCGCAGATATTATAAGGTATGTAATTTGGCATTTATCTTAGCCTATCCTGAATACATTTAAGTTATGTTAAATTTGATGTCATGTTCATTCGCTAAAAACGGATTGTGCAGTTAGAGTAAATACACTGTGCATCAAGTTCACCCCTCGCGCTTGTACGGCGCTTGTGTGGCAGGGTGACAGGGTGACAGGGCAGTGACTTCCTTATCCGATTACTCCGATCCATGGCCTGCGCCTAAACAGGCTTATCGTCGTTCGACGACTCGTGTCCATGTCCACGCCCTGTACGACGCGTCCACATGTTCTGGGTAGGTGCATTGTGGCTCAATTCCTCCCATCCATTGCGTTTCCACGGAGCAATCATGATCGCTCGGAAGGCGTCGCCGAGCTTACCAGTTTGCGCGTAGGCTTGGCTAAGATCCTCGGCTCCGAGATTGCCGTGAGGAGGCACGCTACGCAGAGCACGTTTAATAGTCATCTCGGCCGGATACGGCTTTCGCGACGCTGTCGACAACTCCATCCACCCGGCAGGTTGTCCTGGTGTAAGCATCACCGCAGCAGTGGCATCACCAATTCGCCTGATGTTTTCGGGAACGGTTGCGTTACCGTTGAGTCCCGTTGCTGAGATGGCACTCAGAAGTTTGATGATTTTGGCTCGGTCGTGGAGAATGATGTCATCGCGCGAGATCATGCTGTTAAGGTCTGATTCAACTGCTTCAATGGCGTCTCGGTCCGCGTCGAGGAGAGCAATTGCACCCAAAAGGGTGACTGCTCCGATGTGGCTAGGATGGTTCATCACGCAGTCGAGCAGTTGCTCGCGAGCAACTGCCCGATCCTCTTCGCCGCCCTTGGCCCACAGGACCTGGGCAAGGAGACAGACAACATCTGGAGCATGCTGTGCTTCTTCGAGGGCGTCGCGGAACATATCGATGGCTTGGTCCATAGACTTCAGGTTGTAATGTGCCAGACCGGCAGTTAAATGCGCAGACAGACGAAGCTTCTTGCAGCCTTCGGGGTCGAACTTCTCTGCGTCTTCTTCCTCGGAGAGGGTGAGCGCGAGCTCAGCCTTTTCCGCGGCCTCGGCATAAGATTGGCGCGCAAGCAGCACACGAGCCATATCTGCGTTTGCTTGGGCATACCTAGAAAGGGAAGCTGGTGATTCGCTCTTTTCATACTCATCTTCCATGCCGGAACAGACAACCTGCAGGCTAGACTCAGCATCTGCGGTCTCGCCCATTCTCTCTGCCAACAAGGCAGAAAGGTGCACAAATGGCAAGTTTGACGGATCCTGGATGCAGAGTTGATGCAGCGCAAAGAACGGCTGAATGAGTTCGGACACCTCGGAAGCGGAAGTCGCCTTAAGATGATCAAAGTGTGTCAGGCTGAACTGACGCTTGGTGAGAATATCTGATGAGTTTGAGATATCAAAAGCATGCTCAAAATGGCCCCTAGCCTCCTTCATCTCGCGACCAATAATTGAAACAAAGCCTTGGCCCACCCAAGCAAGTGAATAGTCTGGGTCGGTCGCCTGCGCTCGCAAAAAGGTCTTGTAGGATTGCTCGCCTTCCTCGTGGAGGAGGTAGAGTGCTCCGAGGTTGGTCCAAGTTTGCGCGTTACGTTCATTCAAATGCAAACTTCGCACAAAAGCATGCTGGGAGACCTTGGGACTCATGCTTGCGGTGACGACACCCAATGCGTTCCAGAAATCTGAATTACCGGCCTCCAATTCGATGGCTCTCTTGAAGCACTGCATGGCTGCTTTCAAGAATTTGCGAGACTTCTTACCTGTCTTGGTCGGGTCTGGCTGCAGATTGTGATATGCCAAATACTCCGCCCAACCAAGGTTGTACCAAGCAACTGCTTGAGAATGAGTATCATGCACGGAAACATGGAGTGCACGTTTATAGGCAATGATAGAAAGGTGAACATAGAGGTCGGATGGTAGCAAGTCTTCATTTTCATTGGCCGCGAGCCAATCAGTTCCGACACCATCGATATCGGTCATAACATCGAGAGCCATAGGGTCCAGATCGGCTGTAATTAAAGTCTTACAGCTAGAAGCAGGAATATTTCCAGCCTTGGCTTTCATATATGAGAAGTTGGCGAAAGCATCGCCTACAGCCTTCCACAAGTTGAAAATGTCGCCTTTGATCGGCACCAGCGAGGTGGCAACCGAGATAGCTTGGTATGCGAGCTCTGCCGCATCGTTGAAGAGACCCAGGGAAACGCTCTTCGTCGAGCTTTCAGTTAGGGTCTGAAGAAGCGCGAGAGTCACGCCAATGTCACCGGGCCGGGATTTCAGGACATCTTCGTATGCAGCGATGGCATCATCGTACTCGCCAAGCTCCCGCCTGACATTTGCCAGCATATAGCTTGCAAACCATACATGCTCCTTGTCTTTAGCTGAAAGATCTGGTTCCAATAGTTTTGCTTGCTCAAATGCCCTGGTGGCGGCGTTATATCGACCAGAGTGGTGATAGCTTTCGGCAAGACCGACCCACGAGTGGTAATCTGTTGAGTTGAGTCGAAGTGCTGCCTGGAAAGACACAACACTTTTGCTGTATTGCTGTTTGTTAACCTGAACCGACCCCAATGCCGCATATGGCCAGCTGAACCCTCGGCGTTTTGACCCAGGGGCAGGTCTAGCCTTCCCAGAGTCAACCACCCGCTGCGCAACTGCTTCGACAAGGTCCCATTCCTTCGAGTCGGCAAACCCTTTGGCAAGACGCTCGGCGGCTTCAATCTCAGATGTTGATAGTTCAAACGCCTTGTGGAAGCATCTTCGAGCTCTGGTCTTATCCTTCTTGTAGTCTGCGTAGTAGAAGCCAAGAATGGTGTATGCTGGAGCGAAGTTCATATTCGACTGAATGGATGCAAAGAGGCTAGCATAAGCACCACTGCGGTCTTTACGTGCAGCTGGAGACGGGTCAAGCTCCCACTGGCAGTAACCAATGCGGTAGAGAAGCTCGGATCTGAATTCCCTGTTGTCCGGTTGAGCTTCTTTCAGATCCTCAAGCGTAGCCTGTAGACTGGCCAGGCCACCTTGAAGATCGCCATCCAATGCCTCACACCAAGCAAGCTCTCCACGAATCTTAAGGTTAGAAGAATCACGTTCAAGTGACCGCCGCAGGAAATTGACGGCTTCCGCATAGTCCTGATCCTCTTTCAAAATCAAACCAATACCAAGTAGACAATTGGAGGATGTTGGGTTGCGTTCGAGGATGCCCTCAAAGATTCTTTTCGCATCCGGGTGGTGCCGGGGCGATTGATAATAGATCATGGCATTGGCAAGTGCGTTGTTCAATGCATCAACGGTATTAGGGATCTTAATCCCACTGTACTTTACCAAGTTATCAACGTACAGTAGCCCCTTACGAGCAACATTGACCACGCTCTCGTACTCTTCGAAGAAGAGGTAGACATCTGCCATGATGCGGTGGGCAAGAATTGAATCTCGAGCGGAGTCCAACCCCTCGGTCATAAGGGCGAGAGGGTCTTGAGGAACAATTGCAGCGTCTTCAATTTTGTTATCAGGTTGAGTGGCTGTGGTTTCCTTGCCATCCTTGACATCTTCGTCTTTTGTTTCGTCGGGGGGGTCGTTGGGAAATGGCGAGAGTTCGCTTGATAAAAATCCTTTGAAAACCTGCGAGAGTCCAGATTCTGGGAAGAACTCAATGTACTCACGTAGGTGCCCCACGTCATACTGAGAGTAGTCCTGGACATCCAGCCACCCCAGGAAAACCTTCCATGCGGGTTCGAACGGATGTTTGATGATCACCATGTCATGTGCTGCCTTGAAAACGGCCCCTCTTTTTGCCTCCTTCTCGCTATTAGGCAGAACTCCAAGTTCTCCATATGCACGCTGAAACAATTTCTCCTCGTATTCACGGCGTACCGTATCGTCGTTGGTCCAATCAATCATTCCTTGATAATATTGGTCCAATTTGCTCTTGTTGGCAGCTTCCCGCCGAACTTCCTGGGTGACTTGCTCGATGCGAGCACCGAGACGCGTTCTGCGCTCTCCAATCTCACGATTGATGAACTCCTTCTCCTGGCGCTCGGTTATCTCAATCAATCGCTGGTATGTTTGGGATGGACGAGGCAATCGGCCCTCAAGGAAATCATACAGAGGTGACCCCGGTAGCTGGAGTTCCAACGCATGTTTGTGTTGACTTATAGTCCCATTGTTCTTCATCGATTTTGTGTATTTGTTAACCAAATCTTGGCAGCGTTCCTTCTCGTCGCTAGGAGCTATTAGCACAATGTCATTCATATGCACTAAAAAGGAATCAAAACATACTTGTCCGCAAATATTTTCCCAAGAGCAATGACTGCCTTGTGATACCCATCATGGGTGCACCCACCCTGCTTCTCGTACAGGGAGATCAAGCCCTGCCACGCAGTCTTATCGTCGGGATTGATAGCGGTCGCAGCAGAATAAGCGTTCTCCGCGTCATTGTTCTTATTCAATCGATCGCTGGCGAGACCAAGGAAGACATTCCTACAGAAAAAAACAAGCCGAATTAGTCATGTTCAATACAGGATCAGGAATTATTCATACGCATGGTAATTCTGCGGCTCCTTCTTGACAAGCTCCTTGGCTTTTTCAACAGCAGCTTGGAAATCTTTCGATTCCAAAGCTGCTCGTACAGCTTTCAATGCCGCTTTGCTCGACATGATTCCCCGTTGTGCAGAGGCAGCGGGGAGAAACTGTCGTGGTGGAGCAAAGCGGTCGGCTAGTTCGATACGTCACTGCTTATCGTTATCGAAGGTGGACACTCGTCTGAAAGGCAATGAGTTCAACTGTTGCACTTGAAGGTCAGAATTGGGAGATAAAAGAAAAGAATCACCTTGGATGACCCAAGGCAGAGGTGTTAACCACAACCCCAGAGCGTCAAAATCTCCTGAGAGGTTTCTTGAAGTGGTCAAAATCACGTGTTTTGGTGGTTTGCATGAAGCTATCGGGTAGCTGAGGCCTTGTGACCTTCGTAAAGGTCGCCAAGGCTCGTTTGCAACCTGTTTCACTACTGCTAGTAGGGTGGAAAGAACCGGAAAGTTGTTGCCTGGGTCCAGATATCTACTTCCTGTGAGCTTTGTATACTTCGTTCTCTTGACTTGCCCACCCTTAACCTCCCGCGCGGAACCCCGACTACTGTATTCAACTTGACCTTAAGGGGAAACAATGGCCCCTCTACGCCTAAAGGTCGATGGACAGTCTTTTCGAGATCCTCACAACCGGGAGATCATACTAAGGGGGATAAACGTTGCGGGTGATGCAAAATACCCAAAGACACCTGACGTCCCCTCATACATCGCCGAGGATTTCTTTGACGGGGACAATGTCTCATTTGTTGGGCGGCCTTTTTCACTAGAAGATGCCCATGACCATTTCAAGCGCCTTCGGAAATGGGGTTATAACACAATCAGATACATCTTTACCTGGGAGGCCATCGAGCATGCAGGACCGGGAGTTTACGACCATGAGTGGGTTGCATTCACTATAGAAGTTCTCCGGATAGCCAAACAATACAACTTCTGGGTCTTTATGGACCCACATCAGGATGTGGTGAGTACAGATGAACACTAGTGAAAGAATATATAACCTCATGCTAACTCGCCGCCTCTTAGTGGTCTAGGTTCTCAGGAGGATCTGGGGCGCCGATGTGGACATTGTATGCAGCGGGACTAAACCCAAAAACTTTCAAAAAGACAGAAGCCGCCTTGGTTCAGAACACATATGACATCCCCGCGGAGTTTCCCAAGATGATCTGGAGCACGAATTATACTAGACTGGTTTGTCAAACCATGTTTACCTTGTTTTGGGCTGGGCGGGACTTTGCTCCTAAGGCGGTCATTGACGGTATGAACATTCAAGACTATCTCCAGAAGCACTTTATCGATGCATGTGCATACTTGGCACGGAGAATTCATGAAGCGGGTGATCTTGATGGCGAAGTTGTCATTGGCTGGGAGAGTATAAATGAGCCTAACCGTGGTATTATCGGTGTGCAAGATATCTCGGTAATTCCGCCTGAGCAACAGCTTCAACTTGGCACTTCACCGACAGCATTCCAAGCAATACTCACCGGCTCAGGCAAGGCTTGCGAGCAGACGACATGGGCATTTGGTAACTTTGGACCTTACAAAACTGGCATGAACCTAGTGGATCCAGCAGGCGAGATAGCCTGGTTACCAGCTGACCACGATGATACCAAATATGGCTGGCAACGTGATCCTGAATGGAAACTTGGAGAGTGTATATGGGCTCAACATGGAGTTTGGGACCCGTCTACAGACACCCTTCTACAAAAGGGTTATTTCTCAAAGAATCCTCGGACGGGTGAGCCACTCGATTATGAAAGATTTACAAACTCGTATTTCTTGGACCATTACCGAGCATTCAAAAATGCCATTCGAGGAATCTGGTCCGACGCAATAATGTTTTGCCAGCCACCTGTGATGGAGGTACCGCCAGATGTCAAAGGCACTGCTGATGATGACACTAACATGGTTCATGCGATTCATTTCTATGATGGGTTAACTCTTTTGACAAAGCATTGGTGAGATTTGGTCAAAGTTCCTCAATTATATGTGGCAGTACTAACTCCTCTAGGAATCGGCTCTACAATGTGGATGTTATTGGTGTTCTCCGGGGCAAGTACCTCACTCCTGCCTTTGCCCTCAAGATTGGCGAGTCGGCTATTCGCAACTGTTTGCGTGACCAGCTTAAATTTCTCCGTGATGAAAGCCGAAATTACATGGGTAATCATCCGGTGGTATTCACGGAGATTGGTATTCCCTATGACATGGACGACAAAAATGCGTACAAGACCGGCGACTATAGTAGCCAAACCAGCGCTATGGACGCCAATCATTTTGCACTGGAGGGCAGTACTTCTAATGGCTTCACCCTCTGGGTATATGCCGCACAAGTAGGTATATTTGCTCCTCAAAACAAGAATGGTACTGACACTGCATAGAACGACCACGAATGGGGTGATCAATGGAATGGAGAGGACCTGTCTATTAATTCCCGCGACGATCTAGAACTTCCAGCAGGATCCAACACTCAATCTCTTGATTCCCGTTCCCCGGCCTACTCCGAGAGCCAGAGTACCGGAGAGGAATCAAATATTGGACCTGGTAATCTTAAAGGTGCTCTGTCAACTCCTTCGATCTCCAGTGACTGCCAGCCATCTCTAAAACAGCAGCAAGGCTATCGTGCTGCAGAGGCATACCTCCGCCCGAGTCCAACATACGTCAATGGAAAGTTGGATAGTCACGTTTTCGATCTCAAGAATTGCGTGTTTACTCTATCATTGACGGCCAAAGGAGCAACTACTGCGAACGCCCCGACCGAAATATATCTTCCGGAGTTCCATTTCCCAGAGAGTGCCATCGCTGTTTCAGTCAGCGGTGGCAAGTGGGACATTGATGTTAAAGACATCCAGGGTGTCAAGGTACAGCACCTCCGATGGTGGCATGCCGAAGGAGAACAGGATATCAAAATCGAGGGACTCAAACGCAAGCCTGGGGAGTTTGCTAATCCTGGAGGTGAAGGTAGCGGCTATGTTGAACAATGCCAAAAGGGTCAGTGTGCCATAATGTGAAGTTGCTGTTATATTTTGGGTGTTGAAATCCCTGGTTGCCAGTTTGAGATCGATTGCTTCATTATATATTTTCTGTTACTCTTGTTTCCACTATATTCTTGAAATCCTTAAAATAAAAATTTAAAGACAACAAAAGACAAAGAAAATTTACATCAAATGGATTAAGTCATTTGAAATGTCACTTTTAAGTATACATCAAATGATATATTGATATGCCTGTAGGTTGAAGTATACAACAGCCGGAAGTATGCGAGATAAGATAATGATGAGGGGCATAGCTCGGGGGCCTAGGCAGCTATGATGACACCAAACATAATGTAGATTAGCATAGAACAAAGAAATGTTACAGCAATTGTTACTTAATTGATCCTAAACCTTGAAATACTTTCGTCGAGTCCTCTATCTAGGGCACCCCAAAGGTGAAAGAAGAGCGGAGCATCAACGGGTGAGCGGTGTGCCCGTGTTGATCTCCAGGGAAAATTCTCAGCCCGACAAGTCACCAATTGTCTTCTGCAAGTCTTCCCTTTCGTGATCTTAACCTGCGCCAACCCACTGCATTGCAAAAGTACCAATTCACAGCTTCAAGTCTACTCAACCTCGAACCACCTTCCCCCCGGAAAGAGCGAGTGGCGCGTGCGGATGGCCGTTGCGGTGTCCGACTGCTAAACACAGGACAAGTTCAACGGCCATCGAGTCTTACCCACCCTCTTCCTGACTATGAGACGCGGTCTACTACTGTGACACCAACACCAAGAGTTTACATTTTTTATTCAATACTTCTGCAACGCGTTAACGAGATGGCTGCGGAGGAGTTGTCGGAGGGCGGTATGGCCGATATCATCCGTGCCTTGCAACTCATTCACAATCCTACATCGTCAAATGAGATCCGGAGGGAGGCTTCGCAGTTTGTAGAGAGCCTGAAAGATTCGGATGCCGCGGCGCGAAATGGTTTCCTTTTGGCTTCTCGTATGGAGCATGAGGCGGTTGTCCGGTACTTCGGTCTTACTCTCCTGGATCACGTTCTTCGCCAGTACAACTTCACGAATCCCGACGAAGCCAAGACCCTGCGCATGATGATTTTGCAACTCGCCGAGAACGTCCGCCCCGAAGACCCTGCCTACTTTCGGAATAAGATCTCCCAGCTGTGGAGCGAGGCCGCTAAGAAGACCTGGGGGCTGGATTGGATGGATATGGATGCCAATTTGCTTCAGTTCTGGGGTGCATCTCTCGTTCACAAAGAGCTGGTACTCGCTGTTCTGGAGACCCTTTCTGAGGATGTCTTTTTCCGAGAAGATACTGCCTCATCACTGCGAGGAGGTGAGCTCAATCGTTCGCTCATTGAGATCTTTACCCCCGCAGGGATCGTAGAGCAAATTACCGGAGATAAAAATGTCGCCACTATTCCACGCTGTGGGCAAGAGGGCTGGCTCGTTCGAATCTGCGAATTTCTCGACAATTGCGTCCAGAATATCTCTAGCTCGGAACAGGCTCGCGATGCGGCCATCAAGGCCCTGGCAACTTTGAGATCTGCTCTATCATGGTCCGTTTATAAGGGTGTTATTGCCTCCCAGGTTGTCCCCAGCATTTTCCGAGCGTTGCCTTGTCAAGATGACCAGGTGCTTCTCGCTGCAGTTGAAGCACTTCATGCGCTCTACGGAAGAAACACTATTGGAAGCGAAGACTCGCAAGAGCTAGTCTGCCTGGTCTTTGAGTCAGAATACCTTGTTGTTCTTCAAAGGCTTTATGAATGGTCAATCGTTGGTCCAGACGATGTCGATGATCCCAAATATCTCATCTCCAAAAAGCTTTCTGAGATGGTCTCATATATTGCAGGGTGCTTGGAAGATGCCAAGTTTTTAATCTCTACAAGGGATCGTTTGAATTTGCCGCCATTCCTGCAATTCATGGCCAACATCATGCAGCACCAGAGCTTGACGGTCTCCATACCTTGCTTGCATCTTTGGTCCAGGCTGTTACAAAACTCAAAAATTAGTAACCTGGACTTTGTGCTGGAGCAAACTCCTCAGTTCTTGAACATTTGCACCCAGAGGCTTCTTCGTTGGGAGTCTCTCCCGACCGAATCCGATGATCCCACTGTTCAGTTTTTGGTCGAGGACATTGATACCATTCCAGAGCGGCATGCCTTTGTTGGCAATTATCGCCGTTACTGTTCCTCGATCATCGAAACCATTACCCTCAAGCGGCCCCAAGAAGCGGTGCGTGAAATTCTGGCCCGGGTGGACACCAACCTCGACAATTTGTATAGTGGCGTTCAGCCATTTAGCAGTGAGTATCGAAAATATGGCAAACTATGGACTTGTTGACTCATTCATTCTACAGTGCAAACTTTTACGAAATCCTCGATTCCTCTCATGCGAGCGGATGCTCAATTTTCAGTGGTAGAGGCTGTCATCAAGGGCTACAACAAGTGGGTTTCGGCTCATGGAAAAGCACCCCAGCGTGATGTAAGATAATGGATCGGAAAAATGAATAATCGGTTGCTGATCTGTCGCAGGAGAGTAAACGCATGGAATTAGAACATGCGGTGGAAAACTGGGCGACGACTCTGATGCAAAGATCTTTTGAGGTATGTCGTTTTGTACAAGCCCAATACTTTCCCCTAATATCTTTGCCATAGGATCCGGTCCTGAAACAGAGAGTCATCAAATTGGCTGTCGACATATCTTCAAGGGCTTTGGATAATCATCCGGGATTTGCGCTCAAAGTTCTGGAGCATATCCTCATGTCCCGTCTACCAGACCAGTCTGAATACCCGTTGTATTCCGAGGCTGTCAAAGAGCTTCATGCTTTGACAAGCTCTGAGCTTCGTCGGTTGGCTATGCGCTATGCGGACTACTTCTATGTATGTGAATTATCACATACTGATCGTCTATTATTCTCTAACTGTGCCCTCTGCAGACTTTCTATGATCTTCTTGAGCCAAAAATAAAAGAAATCACGCTGGCTAACCGCATCGATGACAAGTTGCAAATGGAACTGACTTCTATCTTGGTCATTATCATGTAAGCATTCTTCCCATTCCTGTTGTCTATCTAAACCCCGCCCATACTGACTCGATGCAGGCAACGCGCAATTAATGTTGATCCTTATCTGCGCCAAAATCGTCTCGCATCCTTCCTCCAGCCTATCCGTGACTCATGGCAAGACGATCAATTTCGTCTCAATAGCTCCACTTTCCCCGGGTTTTGCAGTATGCTTGGATTGGAAAATGTCGGTGCATACATGCAATCTAAACAAGCACAGAAACTAGCGGACTGGTCCGAAGTGGTCTTGGACAACGAAGGAAGGTTGGTCCAAGAAGAGATGACCAGGAAATTCCAGGTAAGTCACCCAACCCTCATTTCTGTGTTAGTGCCAATCTCACCCAATAAATTCTAGCTGTTGCCATTGCGTAGCACCAAGACTATGTTGGCTGTTTCCACGGATCGAGTCAAGAAGTCTTCGCCAGCTTATGCGACCGCCTGCGAGATGTGGCATGAACTGATCCCTGTGATTCTTCCCACTTTGCTGCAGCTTGTTAGGTAATTGTCTGTTCTAATCCGGGTTTATGCCACTAAGCTAAATTTCAATTTCAAGACACGCCCATGCCTTCCACAATCCTGCCAATTGGAATATGGTCGAAGGCATGCAACCAGTGGTTGAACGTATCCTCACGGATCGATTTTGGCAGGCTGGTATTTCTATCGGCAGCCGCGATGAGTTCTACGCCAGAATCACATCATCGAAGTCTACGCTGGAAGGGTTTGCATCATCCGTTCGAGGAAAAGTCCGAGCTGTCCGCGAAGCATGCTACTCCATGCTGTTCAGCATGAGCAGGATGCGAGAGCACTTTTATGGATTTGCCGAACTCCCAGGTCCCCTATCCGAAGCCCTGTTCGTTGACTCACCACATCTGTCTTCTCACCAGTTCTCGGTTCTTCTCAACATCTCGCGATGTCTAATTGATGACTGCCCCGTGCAATTCCGGAGCCAATTCTTGCCCCCCATGCTATCGACTCTCTTCACCAACATTGATAGGAAAGTCACCACAGAATGGGAAATCATCGAGCAGCGCAGAAACGGAATTTCGGATGGCGATCTCACCACAGAGATGAAGTCCGAAAGCGTCCTTCGACAGCTGACTTACTCTGCTGTGATCATGGTTGCGAGCCTATTCGATCCACAACGAGGCGGTAAAAACTCCCTGACCCGTCCGCTATACAAAAACCTAAACCATCTCATACTGACGGAACGTGACCCCCCAGACCCAGAAGGGGCTGAATCGGACCCCAGTGCACCTCAGCCGACCCCGAACACCTCTGACTCTATTCGCCATTTCGTTCTCTCCTCCCCCGCGATCTTTGAGCCAATCATGCTCTTCTGCACGCACGCTCTTCGTATGCGCGATACGCGTAGCGGTAGCATTATCACCCGCGTCATTCGGTCAATTTTACAAGACTTTGTACCCGCGAACGATACCCAGGACACACAAACGATCGCGACCATCCGCGAGTTCATATGTACTGATGTCCTCACAGCATGCATTTCGTCCGTACATGAATCATACTTTGTCGATATGCAAAAGGACCTCGCTCAGCTAATTGCATCAATTTGGTGTCTCTATGGCTTCTGTAGCGAGACACCTCGTGCTGTTTTCCTGAGCTTGCCTGGAATCAGCGCAGAGAAAGTGGCCCAGACCGAGTCTGCACTTCATCAAACTACCTCGCCAAGGACACAGCGCGCATTGGTCTTGGAGCTTCTTGAGCCACTGCGCGGCATCAGTGTTGCCGAGCAGGGAAAGATGCTGGGTTCGCGCGAGGAACGTCGGAAGGCCCGTTCAGCATTGCAGGAGAGGTACATGACCAATGAGATGGAGACTCAGCAGCAGACTCACCGTGTCGATATTAATGATGGTCCCGATCTTGGTGGGGTGGCTGATCTATTCGGATAGGCTAAGCATCATTTTGTATTGTGAAAAGTTGACATATGCTGCGGTGGGCTTGTTGATTCTTCATTTTACATACCATGGATGTCCATCTCCATTCTTTACACCATTGGCAAACCAACTGCCTTTTGTGCAGTGCCACATTTCGCCCTGCTGGATTTTTCTGTCTGAATCTGCATTGCGGCTTATCAACTACAACTACCCCATCGTTAGCGAGCAGCGGCACTTTGCAAGAGATAATATCATAGAAAAGGCCATACCTCATTATGCACAAATATATTACTTTCTCGACTGTCAGCTTATTTGTGGTTCTGCCACGAGATGAAGATTTTGAACGAGCAAAGAAATAAGACATATTGCAAAAGACTGAACTAAACCCTTCACTAGGCAAGTAATATCTACAATGTTTTCCTCGAAATAGCTTCGAGACGGTTCACCCCAACTGCCACCATAATGCTTCTAGCTCTCCCACAACGATCAGAAAGGCCCAGTTCAGTCTGTATACCATGGAGGCAAGGGGTCACCCAACCAAGCATCCCAAAACACCAGCATCATACAGAGTCAAAAAGAGGGAAATGAGGTACAATATCGCTCAAAATAAGTGTGACATCGTCAGACTGTCTACTGAGTGAGATTGGCGGGGGTATAGGCGAAAGTAGGGCGGACAAAGCTGTGCAGGCAAGCAAAATCAGCATCAATCTTAGAAATAATGCAGCATCCCAACTGCGCTTGCATGGAACATACCGGTTGGAGTTGTAGATCTTGGAATCGGTACCGAGAAGCTCCTTCTCGCGCGCCTTGTCGGCGTAGTGCCGGCGGACCTGGTCGCGGTCCTCCTCGGCCTGGAGGAGAGGAGTGAGGTGCAGACGGGACCACATCTTCTCACGGGCGAGCTCACTATCATTCAAACACATATTAGCTATCGAGTTCACTTCGTACTCCAGAGACCGGGTTTCCGTCGGGTTCCAATTGCAGTGCTCTCGGGTCGACCGGAGGCAGGAAAGGAGCCTCTTGTATGATGAAACGTACCGCTGCTCACGGACACCGTGGAAGTACTTGTAGAAACCGTAGGCCATGATAACATGCATGCCAATCATGTAGTAGACGGGCTTGAAGCCACGGGCAGGGACGTTCCGCTATAGAGAGTAAGAAACGAAACCGTTAGCTTGGATGTCTGTGATGGGTGCGCAGGGCCATTGGGGGGCCGGAAACTGGGTTGTATGGGTTACCTTGTATTGGACTTGAGCGTAGCCCCCCGTTGGGGGCATATCCTGAGGCATTGTGACGGTAATGAGCGGGTTAAGGGCTTGGAGGGATAGCGAGGAGCCGCTGTGACGATTGGAGAAGTTGGGTCTGGAGGGTCACGTGAAGTGTGCTCAGTAATGAGGGCTGCGGCGCACGTCATTGGTTGATGAGTTTCGGGCGGGCGCTTTTTGAACTTTTGATCTACAGTCGACAGCCCACCTTTATTTTTTGCTTGCCAATTTCACTAGACAACTATGGAAGAGCAAGAGCGACCTCGGAAATTAGCCAAACTGGATCACGAAGATATCACCCCCGAGGTGACCGGCCCTGCTATGAATGGAGCTGTTAATGTTGCCGGCAACGAACCGGAGCCTGCGAACGCCCAGATTGGCAACGAACCTCTCGATCTCTCAGAATTTACGGTTCACAAGGATAAAAAACCTACCGATGAACCTACGACCCAAGATGGCACCGAGGGACCCGCACCAGTTATGTCAAAAAACCAAATGAAGAAACTGCGCCGCGCAGAAGCTCACCAGCAAAAGCGCGCGCTTCAAAAGGCCCAGAAGAAGGACAAGCTCATACAAAAGCGCGAGCGCCGTCATGCTATGATTTTGGAGGCAAGGGAAAAAGGTGGCGAGGAAGCTGTCAATAAACTACGGGTGTTATGGCGAGGCAACAAAGCCAAGCACACCCGGTCAACACTGTTACCTCTCACGTTTGTAATGGATTGCGGTTACGACGAACTGATGTCCGACAGAGAGCGCATCTCACTGGCCGGCCAGCTCACACGGTCATACTCAGATAACAGCCGCGCACCCTACAACGCGCACATGATGTTCTCATCATTCGACAAACTACTGAAAGAGCGATTCGACACCGTGCTGGCGTGCCACAAGAACTGGAAGCGTGTTCGCTTTTTGCAGGAAGACTTTGTGCGTGCTGGTGAGCTGGCCAAGGAACAGATGACCTCCCCCCGAGGAGGCCAACTCGCCGGGCCGTTCGCTGATCAGACTGATGCGAAGCCTGAAGACGGGGAAATCATCTATCTCAGTAGTGATAGTGAGAATACTTTGACCGAGCTGAAGCCTTACTGCACTTATATTGTTGGAGCGCTAGTGGATAAGAACCGATACAAGGCAGTTTGCTACAAGCAGGCGGTTGCAAAGGGCATCAAAACTGCAAAATTGCCGATCGGGCAGTACATTCAAATGGCGCATCGTCCGGTATTGGCCACCAACCATGTCATTGAGATCATGCTTCAATGGTTAGAGCTTCGTGACTGGGGCAAGGCGTTCATGAAGGTTATTCCTACTCGGAAAGGCGGCGCCTTGAAGGGAGAGCAGAATGGGGGTGAGGCAGAAGCTGTGAATGATGATGAAGATGGGACCCAGGAAGAGGTCGAAGCAGACCAGATGAAGCAGCTGGAAGAGATTGCAGCTTTCGAGGAAGGAAGCGAGGACGACAACGAAGAAAAGGAATGATTTGAGCTATACAACGAATACCTTGTACATACTTACACTAAAAGGGAGACAATCAGCAATTGAGATGTGAACATAAGATTGTATCAATTCCAAGTCTTGTATTGATTGTCAGCTGCAGAGCCTTTTGATCTGCATGATCGCCGCTATACCTATTTTCAATGCTTGACTACCTATTATTCAGCTAGGTAAATCCTAAGTAAATTTGAGCGCACTCATCCCTTATGTCTATCCTGGTTCTCCCTGACTCGAAGATGAAAGATAGACAGTCAATATGAATGTAGAAAAACTTGCCTATTTAGGCATAGGGCGAACTCGCAATTACCTAAGCTAACCAGCCACCACAGCCACAATCTATGACGGAGGCGACTTTCATTGTGATTATTGCATTTTGAAGACTTGCTTTCGCTTTTTCTCGCTATCCTCTTCATATAGGCAGAAGAGCCCTTGCTACTGGGCCTATCTCTTCCGCTCTTTCCCACATTACTTTTTCTTCACTTCTTCTTGCCCCCCCTTCCCCTTTTAACCGCCTCTTGAATTTTTGTTTGGCAGCTGCCCCTCGCAACCATGTTTATGCTCCGCAACGGTAAGGAACGCGCTTTTCATGCCCCGCCAAACCCCTCCATACAAGGACAATTTTTGTTATTTTACCGTTCTGAACCAGTCAGCTGATCTCTCAACTCTAAATTTTAGTGAGCAAGTTTTTGTTTGGTGACGCTTCGAAAGAATCCATCATCGAAATCCCCCAAGGCGAGCTCTACCTAGTCCGCCCACAGTCGCCCAAAGGTTACTCTGAGCTTATCTTCAAGGACGCCGCTGCAACGATCCGACGGACTGGTCAGGACTTTCAGTACCAGCTTGTCATTCAACGAGCCTACGAGGAGGGCGAGGAAGAACTTGCAGACGACGACGGCGAGCAAGGCGCGGGCGACGGCCTAGATAAGGACGAGAAGGTTTTCCTCCTAGACCAGACCCTCCACTTTCGCTCCGAACTCCGCGACGGAGGCGAAAAGATATTGGCTTGGGATGACCTGAGCGGCGACGCTGGCGATCTCTTTGAGTTCATCTGCGACCCTTCCGTCCCATCGGATAAAGTTGCCACCTTCGAGCTTGCCGCCCTCCAGTGTCAGTACGAGCGCAAACATCGCCGCAGCGCACAGAAGGCTACTGAGGCGGAGTTGCAGGAGTTCTCATACAACGAAGAGAAGCCCCTCCCACCTGCGAGTCCAGTCTCTTCGCCGACCACGAAGTCACGCGGAAATTCCGTGTCGGCAGAAGATTCAGCTGCAGCCATGGCACGAGACGTGGAATACGCTCAGTCCAAAGGACAACTCAAGACTGCCACTCTTGAGGAGCAACCGACTACTGCTCCACCGTCTGCCGCCCATCCTGAAGCCAAGGAGATTCTCTGCAAGGAAAATGCCGAGCTGCATTTGTTCGACTTTTCCACTGGAACCTTTGTGCTCCAGGAGTCGGACGTCGTTGCATCCGTCTCAGAGGTTGGTACTTGGCAGTACTGGCTCCAGATTGCCGGTAAGGATAAGGAGTGGTTAGGACAAGCTGTCGTCGCCGATATCAACCCTGTCTTTAACTTCGAATATCTTTCCTTTATCTTCAATCACTACGGTGAAGATGGTTCCGCCTACTCATGGCTTCTGCGCTTCAAGGACCAAGCCTCGGAAGAACGGTTCCAGGAGGGTCTGATGCAGGCACTATGGGAACAGCTCAACGAGCTGAAGTGGACTAAGGTCAAGGAGAACGACCGAGACTATGTCCTTGACGCCTTCCAGGATCTTACCATGGAAGATGCGGACGCCAAGGAAGAGGAAGAAGCCGAGGAAGAAGAACAAGAGGCTGAAGAGGAGTATGACGGCGACCAGGACGATGCTCAGCGTAGTGAACACTACGACAGCGATGAAGAGGAAGAAGATGTTGTCACGCGTGATGCAGATGGAAACGTCAACTCGCAATTGGCAGTTGGCTATAAGCATGATCGATCATTCGTTGTGCGCGGGTCCAAGATCGGTGTCTTTAAGCACACCGCTAACAACAACCTTGAATTCTCTACAACCATTTCAAAGGTCGAGACTCCTAAGGGCAACCTTTTCAGCCCCAAGAAGGTCATGCTCCATGCTGAGGATCAGAATATGATTCTTCAGAATGCAGATGATCCCAACTCGCTGTACAAGATGGATCTGGAGTACGGTAAAATCGTCGACGAATGGAAGGTCCATGACGATATCGCCGTGGAGACATTTGCTCCCGAAAATGTAAGTTACCTCGCGGTTGAAAATCTCTCTCTGGATAAACTAACAAAATTCGCAGAAATTCGCACAAATGACCGCGGCACAGCCATTCGTTGGTGTCTCCAAGAACGCCCTTTTCCGCGTCGATCCTCGTCTTTCCGGCAACAAGCTTGTCGATTCTGATCTGAAGCAGTACGCCAGCAAGAATGACTTTTCGGCTATGGCTACTACTGAAAAGGGATACCTTGCTGTCGCGTCTAACAAGGGTGACATCCGCATGTTCGACCGTCTGGGCATCAATGCAAAGACTCATATCCCGGCCCTCGGTGAGCCGATCATCGGTCTTGATGTGTCTGCAGATGGACGCTGGGTGCTGGCAACTTGCCGTACATACCTTCTCTTGATCGATTCACTGCAGAAGGAAGGCAAGAATGAGGGTAAGCTCGGGTTCGAGCGTGCTTTCGCGAAGGACTCAAAGCCCCAGCCCCGCCGTCTTGGCTTGCAGCCCGCACACGTTGCCCAGTTCCAGCACGAGACCAAACAGCCCCTCTCATTCACCACGGCACGCTTCAACACTGGTGTCGATTCAACTGAAACTAGTATTGTCACCGCTACCGGTCCCTTCATCATCACATGGAGTATGAAGAAGGTTATTGCCAATCGCAAGGACCCGTACACCATCAAGCGGTACGGTGAGAATGTTATGGCTGATAACTTCCGGTTCGGCTCTGATAAGAATGTCATCGTTGCTCTGCCAAACGAGGTCAATATGGTCGCCAAGCGTACCTTCCAGAAGCCCACACGCGAGAGCATCGCTGGACCTTCCACACCGAGCCGTGCGCGTAGCGGATGGAGCAGTCGTCTTAACAGGGATGACATTGTTAACTCGCCTTACTAGTCTTCGCGTTACTTCCCCCTACTGTCATCGGCCCCTCAATTTTCCTCTATTTTTGTACCATTACCCATACCCCCTAATGTTTTGTGCTTTTCCATTTCTTCCAATGTTGTTACTTTCTTTGCGGAGTCTTTGCTCTTCCGACGCCGCTTGGAGATCTCTGTATTGGGGTCTTCTCACATTCATTACTTTGTTTCTCCCGTTATTTGTGATCGCGTTTCTTGGGCGATATTAATTTGGAGCTAAAAGGTGGCACTCGTTACACGAGATTCATTTTTCAAAGTAGTTAGTTAGCTAGTTCAGACAATCCACGAATGAAATATCCAACAATTCAAAGGTTATACATGATTTCGAGGTTGCCCAGATGGCATAGCCCCCCGGGCCGAGATTCCCGAGTTTTCAATCCCGAGCTCGGGATCCTCGGGATTGTACCGAGGTTTATAACAAGTCATGTATATAACCAGCTGTTAGAACTATGCCGCTTTGTTCTAGTCTTCAACGTCACGGTAATCATTATTTTCGATTCCTCACGCTCTTGGCCATGAACATCACTACCACTGTGGTCAGAGGGCCTTTAAATCTCGCCAACCCACCCCCAATAGTCTCAACCAACCCAATTCTCTCATGGTACACTAAATATGCGGTGGACTTCAGCATCGCCAAAACTACCACTTCCCCGACCAAATACTACGCCTCCAACGCAACCTTAGTGAACACTGATCAGTCTATCATCTACGGGGCGAAAGAGATTTGGGACTACTACATCGATCTCTACGGACAATTCGAGCGTTGTGCCCATAACCTAATCTCAATCTCTGTTTTGAGTGATGAAACTTCTGGAAAGCATACCGTGATTGTGGAGACTACGAACAAGTTACATCTCAAACATGGAAAGGGAGTAGTACCTCTACCCCAAGCCTTTGTTTATGAAATTGCCAAATCAGAGGAAGCCGGTACGGATGGCCTAAAAATCTGGCAGGTGAAATGTTACTTTGATAAGGGGTTGCTGGAGAGGGCAGCAAGTACCTAGACCTGTTAGGAGCTATATATATTGTACTTATCTTCGAGCATTGTACCCGGGAGTCTCCACAGGATTAATGCAAGCAAACTGAAAGTCTTCATAACGCACTAGTACCGCCATACTAAACTACTGTAGAGACCAACTTTACAAAGGATAGAGCACAACGTTTGAAGCCAATATTCGTCGAGTGCGTAAAAGCTGCTGTGAATGATTATTGGTACAATATAGAAAGAGAATGATGTACATGCTTGTCGGTTGTCAGGTTCATAAATTCTTGGATCCATAGTCTCATCTTCGTCCTTTCCCGATGGAATCCTGTATTCTAATGCACTCTTTTAATTGAAAGACCTGGCAGTTAACAACTGTTGGATATGGTATGCAGTAGGTCGCGATCCAACTGACTGTATTTGCGCAAGCCCCATACACAGACAGCAATGCCCATGCCAATTCCCTAGAGATAATTAGCACGTAGGTCTTGTACAGTGAAACTTCATGACCACATAGTCAAAGCTTGCAAATACTGGCTCAATCGCATCCCACGTATTTGGCACCATTCTTGCATATTGGCCGGCAACTCAACCAACCAAAGCTGGTCTTTGAGCTGCCAGAGACATTGAACCAAGCCCAGATGTGGATATGTATAAAACGGTGGATCTTGATAGGAGTGCACGTCACTAGAGAAGCGCCTGCGTGTCTCCAGCGGAGAAAGCGGCCGCAAGGCGCTGGCAAAGACCAGACGGGAAACCCTCGAGGAGGGGTTAAATCTCTCATCCAGGCCGAGGGAGAAACGGTCGAGGTCGGGCTCGGTTGTATCGACATTGACAAACTGGATTGAGAAAGCAGGACGAGTAGCACTTCCTTCGTCATCACTGGCGGGGTGTCAGCGACTCCAGAATGCTCTTCGTACGCTAGGAGAGCGGGGTTCTTAAACGGGGAAGCCATCCTAACTAAGACCGGCAGGTTAGCATGGGCTTTTCAGCAAGATGAAGCAGGCGAGTCGATACATGTTTGAGAGTGTAGGGACAGCACAAGGGTGCTGGAACTGCTTCTTCGACAGCCTATTATAGATGTCAGTAATTCTCAGTCAACTCTAGGGTTAATGGTTCCCTTACCCAGCGGGCATGGGACTTCTTCGCCCGGGGATTCTCCTTTTGGGTCTTTGTCAGGAATTCCATGAGTGCGCGAACTGAGAGATAAGGAAGGAGAGTTCACGAGGGGGAGGGGAGTCTCTTCAACTACGTGGGCGATTGTTGCAGGTGCACTTATATTTTTGGAAGTGCACGTCGAAAGGGGAGACAGAGACTGTGGGGCGTAGATATCAACAGAGCCGGCAGAGAGCCCAGCGTAGGCTCAGCAGACGGCGGAGACACTCGGCTCGGGACCCCATATATGAGTTGCAGGTGAAAGTATCGTTAATCTTGCGGTTCTAGTCACCAGCTGCTTTATGGACGAGAAGGAAAAGGAGATTGTCTATATAAAAGTAGAGGTTATATGAAGAAGAAATTACCCATCTTTGATTACGGAGTATCATAAATCTTTATAGACACAGACAAAGGAAGGCAAAGCAAACAGAGGTCTGATGGGACAAACAAGCATAGTAGTTCTCATAACCATACAAGTTAGCATATCCTCCAATATAGTCTGCGTCTTCTAATGTCCAGAGATTCTTGTAATTGCTGGATACAATGTGAGAAATGTCACTAACAAGTGTCTTTTTGCTTGTTCTTACTAGGTCATACTATTATTATAGCCATGTTATCTCTTGGTCAACATTCCCCTTACAACTTGTGTAGTTAGTTACCTCTTTACGGATATTGCCAGACGATTAACAGCTTCAATCTAAAAGCGTAGTGGATGATGCTGTGGGAATAGGGAATGTTATGAATGTAAATGGCGATAGAATAGCACATGATAGTACACGTACGCGACAGTCCTTTGGACTTTGTTGACTGACACGTACCCTGAGGGACATCACGTAGCCTGAGGCCGTTTGTTTACTCCAACGTGAAATTATAAAAGGCGTTCTCTTTCTTCTTCCCTTCTCTTCTTTTTCTTCTTCCCATCTTTCCATATTCTTTATCCATCCTGCCATCTTCCCATATTCCTTATCCATCCAACCTTCAACAGAAAGATCATTCTATCTTTATTCCTTACTACCTATCTACTACCTTTAAATCTCACCATGCCTAATCCAGGCAGGTTTTCCTGGACCCTGCCTATACAGGCAGACCATGTTCCCCTCCTTGATATGATCGACAGACTCCGTACCCTCGGTATCGGTGAGCTCGTTAGCTTGCCACAGATGATTGTCTGTGGCTCTAAATCTAACGGCAAACGCTCTATAATCGAGGCACTTTGTCGCGTGGATTTTCCCGTGAATAATGACCTTTACACTGGGTTCGTTATCGAGATCATATCACGTCGTCATCCAACGGCCCGCTTCAAAGTGAGCATTGAGCCTGGCCCTTCGAGAAAAAGCGAAACCGACCTCCAGCGACTCAGGGCATTCGAGCCCACTGTCCATGCCAATGCCGAGCAGTCGGCATCACTCATTGAGGAAGCTGCAGAATTCCTTGGATCCTTCACCGAGGATGGATTCAGTGACGATATCATCAAAGTCGAGGTTACTAGCCCCGATCAACCCGATCTCACTCTTATCGATGTGCCTGGGTGCTACTTTACGGAAGACACCCTTGATAGCCGAGGAAAGAATCTTGGCCATCCTTGCATGGAAAAATACATGCTGAATCCGCGCAGCGTCATCCTTGCTGTCATATCGGCAAAAATCGACATTTGTGTTCAGAAAGTACTCCATTTCGCAGACAAGTACGACAAAGAACGAAATCGGATCATGGGCATTGTTACTCACCTCGATAAACTCGAGACATCCTCAGACGAGGAAACGCTATGGCGTAAGGGTATCAAACAAGCAATATCTGAACTGCCGCTGGGATTGCATTTGGTGTGCACCCGATCATACGAGACACGAGATGATCTAGAAGAGCTAGATGAAAAGGAGAAGGAGTTCTTCGATCGAACTGGTTGGAAAACTCTGGCAATGCATTACACAGGCACTCGTGACCTGCGGCGTCGACTCAACCATCTTTTTATGAATCACATTCAAAGCAGCCTACCTGGACTAATTTCGGAAATCAACAAAATCATTCCGAAAAACCAGACAAGACTGGCCAAGCTTAGTACTCCTCGAGAGACTATCAACCAACAGAAAGCATTTCTATTTCATCTGAGCAGTGATTTCCACCGCATAACCGAACAAGCGTTGAATGGCATGTACACTGACGGCTTTTTTGCGACATCGGTGGATGGAGATGATGATAAATCCAAACCCCTCGACCCTCGACGACTCCGCTCTATCATTCGTGACCTGCACGAGGATTTTGCAGATATTATGGAAGCTGCTGGGTGCCGTCAATTCATTCATGGTGTCAATCAGATAGCCTCGGTCCCAAACCCTCGCAACCCTTATGCAGATATCAGACAGCCGATTCACAGGAGCCGCTCAGAGTTCGAACTTGAGGCCAGTGAGCAAATGCGCCGTGACCGAGGAATTGAACTCCCATCAAATGCCAATCAGTTACTGGCGGGCACTCTGTTCCGCGACCAGTCGCAGCCCTGGGAGGAAATGGCTCAAGTCCATCTGATGAAATCATGGGAGTGCGCTCTGGACTTTGTGACGCGTCTACTGGAGCATCTTGCGGATGAACGCATGTCTGTGGTGATAATGCAGACTATCATTTGCCCCCAGCTTGATAGAATGGAAGAGAGCCTTCTGGCAAAGCTACAGGAGTTGACTGCTTACAACAAACGAGGCCACCCATTGCCTCTGAGTCGAAGGGTTCTTCGAGACGGTGCGTCGTCTCTTGATCGATGCATTGTTACCAAGATGCAGAAATCTAAGAATGATCGCCTGCTGGCCAATCTCCAACAGATGCGTCCTTCAGCTCCGGGCAAATCTTTCAATATGGAAGAGCTGAAAGCGGTCACTCAGAAGTTGGAATCATCAAGCATTCAGGCCGTGGCCTCGGATGTCGTTGACCAGTTTCAAGCATATTACGAAGTGAGTTACGATAGCCAATCAATGACCACAAGATTTGATATATCCATGATACTAACGAGAACTAGAATGCGCTTTTGACTTTCATGGATAACATTGCAACTCTTGGGATCGAAAACTGCCTTCTCCACCCTCTGGAGACCGTCTTGACAACCCAAACAATTGCTAACATGGAAGACAAGCAAATCGAGGATCTATTCGCAGGTGTGCACGACGGTGTACAGAAATCCCGAGACTATCTGACTTCTGCACTGGAGAAGTTGCAAATCGGGCTGCGAGAATTGAAGAAATTCTATGTTGCGAAGAAAGAAAAACCACCCGGTGGAATAATCAAGGCACCTGTATCAGGCCCTTACGCACGTTTGGGTCTTCCGCCGTACCTGTCGCCACTAGGGATTATATGTACTGGAGCACCTTTTCCTCTGTTTGGCGAAATAGTCACTGACGATAGCATTCAAGGCCCAAATGGCATGCCCGGGTATCGAATTGTGTGGCCCTACAGCTCAGCACCTGGCGGATACGATTCAGCCCCCCTTTGCCCAAGTGGTCCATTCGGTTCCGGTGCCGATACCGCAACGGTCCCTGCTAGAACAGTTCCTGCTCCATCTGCACCTTCCACAAATCCGAACCCTGAGCCGAATTCTCACGATTCCGAGGCGCATACATCCTTCAGACATCTGGTTCCTCCCGCTTCAACCTTTGACCCTAGCACTTTCTTCTGCCCCCCTGGCCGGCCTGCTGTAGGACCTGCACCAACCACCCGTGGTTATGATCCGTGAGTATTCAGTGGTTTCCCTGTCTCTTACATGGCCCTTCCCCAGCTTTCAGCCTTTGGTCCCCTTGCTGTTCGGCGGGTCTTGTTCTGGCTACTTTCTATGTGAAACCGACTAAACGGTCTGATTACTCGATAGGAGTTGGTATCTGGAGGAGTTTGATGGCAAGTGTGTCAATCGATACTATTCGGTATGCTTGCACAATGACTGGAAGCGTTTCTCGCAGGAGGTAAGAAGCTCATATCCAACAATGCGAATGGCCACTGACTGTGATATAGGAGCTGCGATTGGCCGACTATCAGTTCGGCACGATTACAAGCAAATACCCGTTGGACCCTAGGCTGGAAGAGATGAAGGCGGCCGCTCGCAGGGGAATGAAAAGGGCCTCGGATTTGCTTTGAGTACTGAAAGTCAACAGAAAGAAAAATGAAAGAAAATCCGAAAAAAAGGGGGGACGTTGGGAATCTCTAGGTTGGAGACAACACCATGTTGCTTCAATTTAGAGATTCTAAAGACTGCCTTGAGGAATGCTGAGAGTCAACACAATGGAAAATGAAAAAAAAAAAAAAAAATCAAAATAAGGAGATGGAGGGAGGGAGGGAGGGAGGGAGGGAGGGAACGTCGAGAGTCTACAGATTGGACGCAACACCAAGTTGCTTCAATCTGGGGATTGTCTTGGAAAAAAGAAAAAAAAAAAAAAAAAAAAAAAACTAGCATGTATGTAGTAATGAAATTTGTTTGAGTAAACGGCGGAGTATAAGTAGGCTACGAACTATGTTGTACATAGTCGATAGAGGGAAGCTTTGTATAAGATCGGATCTATAGCGCTATAAATACACTCCGAAAGGGGCTTAGTTTTAACAAAAAAGGATTAGGGTCGGAGCATCGGACGATCGGAGCATCGGGGATAAGTGGACCACATGTATCAATAGTACCTTACTATGTCAACTTTCTCCTACTATTAATCTTCTACTGTGTCTATTCAGATTCAGTTTTTAACCTGGGAAGCTGGTGCTTGATCATCATACCTTTGAAATTTTCTGCTCCCCACGCGACCTTGCCCCCCACCTATTCTAGAGAATGACAGATCAGCCAAGTCCCGAAGCCATCAAGGACCCTTCTGCGAGTCGACGTCGCGCGAAACCTCAGCTCTCTTGCAATTTATGTAGACGTCGGAAGTATGTGTGCAAAGCGCCAATTCTCTCGCATACGCTGTCCTTCCAGCTAATAAGACTAGGCTGAAATGCAATCGCGAATATCCTTGTGGCACATGCTCGAAACGCGGGCTAGACAAGTCGTGCGCTTACCCTCCAGATCCGATGCAACCATCGAGGCTAGCTCGCTCATCGTCAAATATGCAGGCTAGGATACAGCAATTGGAAAGCTTGGTAGTCACTCTGATGCAGCGAACCAAGAGTGTCACGCGCGAAGATTCAGCTGTACCTCTCCAAGCGACCTGTCCAACATACGAAATGGACAGCTGGGCAGACGAGATCTCATCTCAATCGGATCATGGCAGCATAAAATTCAATAATGTTGGGAGTTCCAGCTATGTCAATGGCAGCCACTGGGTGGCTGTTCTGGACGGAATCGCCGAACTGAAGGATTATTTCGAGTACGAAGAACGGGAACCTGCCCGACCTGCCTTCGGTCCAACGTCTTCTGTGTCATCTGTCGGCCCGCAGCTACTCCTTGGCTGCCCTTATTACACAACCAGGGAGCAGCTCTTGGCATCACTCCCTGGAAAGCCTGAAGTGGACCGACTGGTGTCATTCTATTTCAACTCATTTGACATGTCTCCAGGTAAATACCGAACCCCTCATTTTGATTTCAAACCAGCTAGCTAAAAGTCATCATATAGCTATTCTTCACAGTGTCGAGTTCCTCAAAGAAGTAAGCTCTTTCTCTCAAAATATTTCTTCGAAGAGGTTCTGATATCAATTCCTTCTAGTATGAACAATTTTGGGAACATCCTGACGATACCCCAATAATATGGGTAGGACTCTTATACTCTATCATGTGCTTGGCCGCGCAGTTTCAGAGATTTCGATTCGAATCTGGCCTTCATCCGATAGTATCCGCAGAGCATGAACCCCAAACGATGGTGGAAGCTTTCCGCGCAAACATTGTCCAATGCCTGATCCTCGGAGACTACCACACAGGCGGCCCTTACGTACTCGAAACGCTGATTCTGTACTTCACCTGCGAGCATTTCAGCCACAAGGATGCACAGCTCGGAACCTGGTTACTCTTAGGTATCATTGTCCAATTATCCATGCATATGGGGTTTCATCGCGATCCAAAGCATTTTGGAGACCAGGACATCTCTCCGTTCGCGGGCGAGATGAGACGACGTGTGTGGGCTACAATCATGGAATTGGACGTAGGAATATCAGCCCAAATGGGTCTTCCCCGTTTGATCAGACCATGGCAGGCGGATACCTCAGAACCTCGGAACTACCTGGATAACGATTTCAATCGGCAAACCAGAGATCTTCCACTCCCACGACCCGATACAGAGCATACACCAATGCTTTATCGACTCTCGAAAGCACGGATTATGTCTACCCTTGGCCTTATTCTGGACGGCGCCTCCGATATTCGAGAATACACATATACATATTCCAAGATTATGAAGATAGATGCCAAATTACACGAGACCCATGACGCCATACCCATTTGTCTCAAATGGACCTCAATAGCCCATTGCATCACAGACTCACCACAAGTCATCATGCAGAAACTGTTTCTGGAGCTGATGTTTCAGAAAGGCAAAATCATCCTACATCGGAAATACCTTTCGCAACGAGGGGATCAATACAGTGATTCACACAAGATGTGCATATATGCCGCGTTGAATATACTGGAATATCAACGCATTCTGGACGAGGAGACGCAGCCTTTTTGTCAGTTGTACCAAGAAAGGTGGCGTGTCTCGTCACTTGTGAACCATGATTTTCTGTTAGCGGCCAGTGTTCTGTGTTATTACTTGGAGCAGGAAAGGAAATTGAATCCCGATGGTCTAGTCGAGGATGCAGAAATCATTCACGATGCATTAAAACGATCGCACGACATTTGGGCTCGCTCGAGCTTTTCTGCTGAGGCTGAGAAAGCGGCACAAGTCTTAAAGGTTGTCCTTCGGAATAGACAGGATTTCCTTTCGAGTAGTTGTGAAGCCATGTCGGAAGGCTCGCAGCTCTATATGACACCAGATGGCCCATTCAACTATCAAAGCGGTACGTTCTTCTCTGTCGTTTTTCTTTTCTTTTCTTTTACTTCTACTTTTTTGTTTTTCGACAGTCTCAAGAGATGACCCTTGTACTGACGAGCTGTGTAAACCTAGGGGCTGACCTCAACCTCACTTTCCCTTTCTTTCCCGATAGGGAACCATGCCCAGAGCCTATTCTAAAGTCAATGGAGTCTTTGTCAAATTTCATTCCTCCGGATCAGTTTGCCTTGCGTGACATGTATACAACAGATAGTTAGTTTCTTGATAACATGTATTTATGGATAGGCTAACAGCGTTCTGTCTAGATGAGCCTTTCTTCTCACAAGAAAATTGGCCAAGTCGAGAATGACAATTCCCCTGACTGGTCAGCTACCCTTGAGTGCCAGTGAGCCCCTGGGCTGAAAACTGACTGCATTGTAGTGAAATTGCCATTTGTTCAGAGTCGCTCTCAATACCAGCAAAAAGTTCCATTGGGTATGACTTACTGTGTTTTGGATCAATTTTTCAAGATATCTGGCTGCAACGATCTTTAAATGATTCTGATGGGCTTCTCACTACAAAAAGCAAGTACGCAATAAGAAATGGAAATTATATACTATGTACATATTTCAAAGATTCCTTGATCAGCCGACCTCCATCACTTAGGCCCACAAACGCCGGAAATATGCAGCGTCAATTTGAGGACTTTCTCCAGACAAACCAGCTGTTCGCAAAGCAGAGATAGTTTGACTTTGGTCGAACGCAAACACGATGTGTCCATATTGCAAGTCCTGCTCAATGACCGTACAATAAAACTGCTCTTGCTCAGTGCGTTCTTCCTCACAACTTCAAGCCATGTTCCGAGGCTGGAAAGAAAAACCTCTGATTCGGAGCGAAGCTCAACGACCTTGTCAAAGTGTGATGGTGAAGCGAGTACGTAAATATTCACCATAGCGGTAAAACAGCCAAGGTACCGGGGTGAATGCAAGACAAATAAAGCCAAGGACGCTATTTCCCCACCCAAGACCTAACTTCCCATACAAAGGCGAGGCAGCGAGTGCAAGAAATGCTCCAAAGGGGCTTCGGACAACGAGATTCGCGGCCAAAGCCGACGCCGCCGCTTCAGCCCCAAAGCAATCCACCAAGTAGACCTGAGCTGGCATGACGATGAACAAAGCTCCAAGTCCGATCACAAAGGTCCCCACAATAGGAACCATCCAGTGGACATGATAGTATGCGCTCCATCCGTAGATAAAACATCCAACCGGGGTGATTGGTGCAAACCATTTCATGAGAATCAGTCGTTCTTCAGGCCGGTTGACTGTACCACCTCGCTTCTGGCCGAGAAGTTTATCACTGAGAATGGCGAACAGTACTAGACCGATGATCATGCCTAGTCCGAGACCTAGATAGGCTAGACCAGCAACTCCGACCTTGAAGTGGTATTGTGACTCGAAGAGGGTCGGGAGGGTGGTGAAAAGAAGGAAAATAACACCGAACAGTGTGCCGCTGTATAAAGAGATTAGCAGTACAATCGGCGAGAATATCAACATCTTGACTGGTCTTATGATGGCGCCACGGAGCATCTTTCCCGGGCTCTCGCTGTCCAAGGGAGTCGCTACTGTGGTTGATCTTTCGGGCATGTTCGCTGCCTTTCGCTGCAGTAGAACCTTCGCGTTCGTTTCTCGTAGAAAAATCAGAGAGATAATACTGAAGACGCCGGACTGTAAGTCGTGTGTTAGATTCGATCCGACCATTTTATCTCATAAGCTCATTCCATTGTCGTACCATGATTAAGATAATTCGGAACGTCCATCGCCAGCCAATCGTTTCCGCCACAAAGCCACCAATAACTGGCCCAATGACCTGAGCTTGCAAGTTAGATCTGACTGCTCATCAGTTGGTAATATATGCGCAGACGTACCGGTCCTAATAGAGGTCCCACGGCAAACAGGGCCATAGCCTTCCCCCTCTCCTCTGGCAAAGTTACATCTGCAACTGTTCCGCCACCAATACTCATGGGTCCCGATGCCGCACAACCACAGATGAAACGGAAGACGAGGAACATGGACACATTCGTGCTAAACGCGCAACCAGCGGTAAATGCGAAGTAGAAAAGATTGCAAATGTGGTATATAACCAGACGGCCATATAGTTCCGACAAGGGTGCTAGGATTAAAGGGCCAACGGCAAATCCTAAGACGTAGATACTGACTGTCATGGCTTCAATGGTTGAGTTGGTGATGTGGAATTCAGATATCAATTGCTCTGCTCCAGGAGCAAACATCGTGGCTGCTAGATTTCTGCTGGATGTTAGAGCCCAACACGAACCAATTCTCTGGGTAGAAAGAGGAATTCATACGCATAGAGCGTAAAGACGCTCACGAAAATGACGTGCATGTTCTTCTTCGCCTGGGACCAATTGAGCGGATTGGCAGGGTCGTCAGGACCATCCCAGTCAAGCGCATCTTGCTTTTCGAGTTGGCTAGACTGATCTAATCCCAGACCTTCAAATTTTCTGTCTGTAGTACTCATCACGAGTCTATTCAAGAGAATTGAGGAAATGCGTTGGGTCAAATTTGGGGATAGAGGAGAAGATAAATCTCAGCGGGATGAAATTGGTGTCATATAAGTGAGGTCCAGCATCTTCCTGGTGAAGTTAGTCTGGCTTTTTACATATAGCTAAAGCGGACCGTCCGAGTAGGGGGCGTTTGGGGGAAATCCAGTAGACCATTCTACCGACCCATAACCGCTACTGTCCAACGAAGACGGTAGCAAGCCACAGGGGTCAACGAGGAGCAGAGTACGGAGTACCACATATACCAATGGAGGATCGGATGGTCGGATGGTCGGATGGTCGTGTGGCGCGTGATATTCGACATATATGCAAAGCTTAGCAGCTAAGAGACTATTTCGACTAGCTTAGTAGCCTGAAATCCTTCCGCCTTTAACACATTGGGCTCTCATTCTTTTTCGTATATGATATCCAGAATTCCATCCCTGTTCATCCTGACCCTCCATGGCCAGGTTTGGTACTAGACACAATGCTATGCCTGGACCAAAGTCATCAGTTGGGTGTGATGAATGACATGCAAATAGATTGGCCGCGGTAAAGTGGAACAAGTCTCGGCTTTGTCTCCATCTCCGAACAGATTATTTCAAGCGTTCATCTGAGGCGTGCAGTCTGAATCAACGTTGGAGCGGATGTCCGATCCACCGCTGGGGCCAGAGGTGTTCACCCATCGAGATTTGTCGGTTGTGATAGGTGGGGGATAATCCCGTCGCCAAATACATCCCCAAGACACATTTGTGCCCTGGCCGGGTATAGAATAAGTCGTGTTACAGGGCAGTGGGCGGTTAAAGGGCGGCAAGACGCCTAAAGTTACGGGTAGAAAGGCAGCCGTTTCTGGCCTTAGAAGTGGTCGTTTTTGGCGTCAATCCCACAGTCCTCATATTCTAGTTGGAAATTGTTTTTTAAAACTGCATGCCCTTTTCATAGATCATTAGATAAAACAACACTTGGACTGAATTAAGGCAGAGGACAAATAGAACAATGCAGAGAGACCAGCGGCACATCGCCGCCTGGGTATTTGAAAGGCCATTAAGTTAAAGTAGATAGACCAAAGACCATTTTCCTGAGGTATTCAGGTATTCTATCTCGAATGCCCAAGTCCGATCCCGTCGGTCCTGTTTATATCGAAACAAATCCCCCTACGTATATCCTCACTGACACATGCAGCCCCTTTATACATCCAGTGCAAGGTGCCAGGCTACACATGAACGGGGATTCAAGCACCGACATACCACACCTCCACCCCAAGTACATCAAACTTGACACCTTCATCGGAAAGAGGCTCATTTCCAAATGTCTGGCAGGATGCACTAACACCCTTTTCAAGACTGCTATCAAGCCACAACCCGTAGTGACCGTCACTATTCACATATATTAGCCAAGAACAAAATCCCTTTAATAAAATAAACCACTTACCCGCCTCCTAGACTGAGAAATCCAGTTTCACAGAAGATCATATAATCATTAACCCCACTATATGGGAAAGCCTTGAAGCGAATGCGTTCGGGGGTACTCGCCCCGCTCCGGGAAGGGGTATGGATGGAAGAAGGCGATGGCGGCGCCAGAACACCACCACTAGCAGCCGCGAGATTGGTTTTAATATTCATATTGAGATTATGAGCCGGTGATTCCGCCTGCGCTGGTTTCGACTTGTCATTGCGGAAGGTACTCCATCGGGCAGCGGTAGTGGTATCCGCAGAGGGTGGAGGAGGGAGCCCAGCACGCTCGAGAGCTTCCTCAGACTGGGGTCCTTCGAAGCTTGCCGGTGGTGGGAGCACGCTGGCGCGCCAGAGGAAGCACTCGCCTGTGCCGAAGAACTGCGATTCTGGGTGTGGGGCGTCTGTCATGTAGGCGCCGAAGACGGAGCTGTAGGGGGAGGAGTCGCGGACGACGAGGACGTAGCCCGCCCGCGGGCTGCGGTGGGAGAACTCGGCGCAGTTCTCGTAGAGGGTGGAAAGGGAGGCGCCGTCGCGGTCGAGGCTGTAGGCTAGACGCCAGGTTTCGGCGAGTTGGAGGCGGGGTGGCACTAGCAGTCTGATTTCTTCTGCTAGGGCGCGAGTCAGGAGTTGTTGCTGGAGGAGGTGTGCTGCCGGAATCTCCAAGTTGAGGGGTGTGAGTGGTGGTGGTTGGAAGGGTGAGGCTGTTCGGCGTGGTGTGAACACTTCGGATGAGGAGGAACGAGACCAGGGCATAACGGAGGGCATGTCTTTGGTTATGTCTGGGTCTGTTATGCGGCGGTAGAGCCCTGAGACGACGTGGCTCACTGGGTAGGAGAAGTAGGAGGCGGCGGATTGGTATGGTTTTTGAGTGGAGGTCTGGGATGATGGGGTGGAGGAGGTGGGGGTGTCGGGGGCGATATTTTCTTGTGACGCGGACGACATGCGAGCAATTTAAAATCAATTGACGATGAGGTTGTAAGGTAGATGAAGTACGAAGTACGAATGCGGAGTGGAAGTTGAGACGGCTATCGCTTATCATGTGGGGAAATATTCTTGGAAGTGGCCTTGTAGGGCGTTATGTTACATGAGTTCTTGGCTCTTTTATGGGATTCACATCAAATAATTATCAATTGCCTTGCTAAATAGTTATACACTTCAAATGTTGCTAAAATGATAATTGCTTGTCAGAATAAGGCTGAACTTTGCTATAGATCTAAGTATAATATGCTACATGCTTATATCTTTAACACAAAGAACATATTCCAATTAGAATGTAAGTAGTAGAAAGTAGAATTCAACACTATTGACATAATTGGCAATGTCGCTCTTCTAGAGAAGAAGGAAAAAAAGACTTATTGATATGAAATATCACACCAAAAAGCGAGATCAATGCAGACGAAGATGGTATCTTAGGATGTATCGAACAATACAAACGCAAAGCAATTAGTTCTTCAAGGCGTCAGGACGAAGGTCCACTGTCTCAAAGTCTAACCCACTGACTTCGAAGACATGTCCTGGTCGCAAGGCCCCAGTGTAGATATTCTCCTCGGCATGTGGGTGGAATAAACCAGTCTGGTGGCAGTTCAGAACAGTCTTTAGACCCGGAGGATCAGTCAGTCGGAATACGCCCCAATCGGGTGTTTTGCTCGGAGCGCATACGATGGCAATGCTCTCGGGCAGCATCACTTGGTAACCACAATGCGTGTGTAGATCACGGGAGCTCATGAAACAGGTCTGTGACGGATGGGTGTGGATCCAGCCAAGCGTCATCAAATCCTCGGAATCGCAGTAATCGAAAAGAGCAGATTCGTTAACTGTTTCGCAGGTATCTGATGTTGATGTCTGCTCGGGAATGACCAGTTTGGATATGAAGAGGGCGTTGGAAACAAGGGTACCACACAAAATACCGCATGTTTCAAGGTTGGCGCGGGTGTTAGAAGCAGCCAGAGATAAGAAGCGGGATCGGAGGTTCGCTGGCAAAAATACCGAGCGCAGTGGAGTGCCATTTTCGAGATAGGCTGAGGGTTTGAAGGTGTAACTCGAGGGATCGAGATCTGAACGCGTAGTTGCTTCGGAAGGTTGGATCTTCGCAGGTAGCGCCGGAGCTGGTGATACCTTCGCCGGCCGCGCGGGTGGTCCAGCTGTCCCAGAATCACCGACAATAGATGCCCGGCTGGGCTCAAGGTGCTCCTTTGGAGGCAATATCGGGGGCGCTTGGCGTTCAGCGTTCTTGTCGAGGATAGCAAATTGACCTGAAGACACAGTGGGCTCCAGAGGCTTCTGGCGTGGCACAGTTGGATACTTGTACGTAACTGAAGGAACTTCGGACTCATAAGGTTGATTTGTGTCATCGAAATCGGATCTGATGTTCTGAGCACGTCCATTGAAGTCATCGTCAGAGCGAGGATCCGATTTCATAGAATAGTCCCAGTCTCCCCATACCCCAGCTGCGCGACGAGTTTCCAGCTCTTCGGCAGATGGCCCAGAAAAACTCTTTGAGCCTCGGACGGTGGCTCGGCGATTGAGCTCTGATTGGGCTAACTGCACTGCAAGATCTCGATTCGCCCCGGCTTCTAAAGGTTCTGCCACACCAGAGAGAGCAGGATCCGAGACTTGTTCTCGTGGTTCGGCGACGATTTTGGCTCGTGAGGGCTGTTTCCGGGATTCACGCTCCCGCATCAACTGAGTGTAACGCTCATATCGCTTATTGATGCGCGGTCTCAGAACTTCCAGCTTGCTTAGGTTTTTTTCAACCTCTTTCTCAGCTGCCACTAAGGCCTTGCGATCCTCCGCGTTCTTTTTGGTATCGGGATGCTTCGAGAGATGGACGAGTATCAACTGAGCATGTCGAAATAGAATAAGATAGGCTTGCTCATCGTGTCCTTCGCGTTCGTATATGTGGGCCTAGCAAAGAAAAGTTAGTGTCTGAAGTAGTGGTCGAGGTGTAGGCAACAGGCATAACCAACCTCACGTAAAAGCGTCGCGGCGGTCCTCAGCCAATATCGCAATGGAACAGAAGAGTTGTACTCGTAATTCTGTGCTATCCGTGTGATATGCTCAACACTTTGAGGAGGAGTACCGCCGGTGCCTCCCATCGTAGAAGCCATGGCGAAAGGTGGTAGAGTAGGAAGCCAAGATGAATTTAGGCGTCAAACATCAAAGAGCATAGTGAGATGGTATGTATCTCTCCGAAACATGGAAAGACCAGTAATTGTTGGAGCCGCATCTATGCGATGCTGGGAGATAAAGCTGGTGAGGGGAGAGAGGTGGGATGAGAGCGGAGAGAGCCCTGGAGAGATCAAGCTCTCCGCTCTCCGCTCTTCGTCAAAAAAAAAAAAAAAACAAATTCTACTCTCACATTATCTCCTTCAATTGATACTATTCTCTATCGTTCTCTATACCAATGTCATAATTAAAATACTTGGCATTTGCCAGATCTTCAATAATGAAAATGACAACACGAACACCGCTGGCGCGGTTTCCAATGACGACGAAGCTTCACCCAATACTCAAGAAACACCGCGGGAAAGTTAAGCCTCGACCACAGTATGTGAGTGAAGACCTACTAGGTAAGTCTTGAACCTCACTAAGACATACAAATGCGCTAACTTTACAGATAATGTTCTCGTGCGCGTAGAGCCATACCTTCGCCGAAACCAACCGGTAGACATTCTGGACCTCTGGCCTGGATGTGGTCTTTTGTCATCTAAATTGAATGACCTTCTTCAACCACGTCGCCATGTTCTTGTTGAACCAAATCGTCACTTCCACCCTTTACTTACGGAGCTCACCGAGAGCAAGTCGTGTTATAAGATCGTCAATGAGAGCATATATGGGAAAAAGGATTGGTCTAGTTTCTTCGAGGACCATTTGCCAGAACAAGGCCCTCAAAACCGAGAGTCCGGAATTATACCAAAAAACGATACACTCCTTGTCCTGGCTAATCTCCCCGAATCTGTCAGTGCGACGGATCATTTCAGACCTGGCCGCTGGTTTCTCAACTTCATGAATGCCTGCATAACCCAAAATGATCTGAATTTATACGGGGCTGTACGAGTCCTTGCCACAATGCCCTTTAGTGAAGTCTCGGGGATGTTACCGCGATCCGTTCAAGAGCGCTCACGAACTGGCATATTGGCGGAGACCATAGGCTTGCACAACATAGAGCTTGCTAGTCCAGCCGAACATGAACGCTCTACTCAATGGCGTGGCTTCGATACCTTACAAAACAACCGGAAACGTGTGGCTGAAAGGGCTGCGGCACATGGCATTATCACACCACCCACCAGAGAGCTTCCTCCTTTAAAGGAAGTGCCACAAGCTGCCCTCCGTGCGAAAAAGGATGTACCACATCAGCGTCGGGTGTTTGCTCCTCTTCATGATAAAATTTTTTCAGTCATCGCAGCAGCGGATGCGTTGGGTATTCAGTCAGCCCACGAAACTACAGATCCCAAAGGCAAGGAACTGTGCAAGAAGCGCGGAATAGCGTACACGCAACTTGCCAGGGACAATTTGGCGTGTTACACCCGGCATAGGCTTGCCGAAATGACACTTCAAATTGACGAAGTGACCCGGACATTTTCACGTGCGGCTGCGGATCCCAAGGAAACAGTTGAGAGACTAAAGGCTCTGGAAGATCAAATAGCATCTCTCCACTCGAGTTATACCGATTACGTCTCAAGCATTCACTTCACAATGTTGGAAAAAGAGGCACATACAACCGATGATGCCCGGTTGACTAGAATCTCCAACAACTTCGACGATGCAATCTTGACACATGACCGACGAGCATTCGAACCCTTATACATCCACCCCGATGAGACTTATCCTCGTGGAGACCCGATCGGACTCATGTATTTCGAAGCAAACTCCAACCCGCCCGCTCTAAAGAAGGTCTTTGACCTACCGAGCGAGATGGTCAAAGCAATCCTCCAACGGTATCTTGTACTGCTAGGATGTGTGGGCTTCCGAGGTAAAATGACGGTCGCCGAGCTTCTCCAAACACTTTTCCCACTAGAGAGCATCAATGATCATGTGAAGGATATCCCGGCCCTTGCGACATTTGCTGGAAAACGACTCAAGGCTGGGTATGGGCCGATGCCCTTGCCGGATTCGACCACGGACCCGGTTTCCACGTACCAGGAGAACGTAGACTATGATTTGAGTGGTGTTCGAATGCGCCTTCTTTCTACGGAAACCTTGTTGGATATTGCGACCAAATATGAAAGGCTTCCGGAGAAGCTCGATGTCATCACTTTCAGTCGAGTTTTGGGTGCGTCTGTGACTCAGGCCCAACTAGGTGATGATGCGGTTAAAATGAGGATGAGATAGTGTATATAATATTTGTATATGTACATATATGTATTTGTATCGGATGTATATTATTTATATTATTTTCATAAAAGATAATGTCGGGGTATTTTAGGGTTACATGGGGGGCACGAGGCTGAAGGATTGGATGGTAAGTTGAGTCATATATAGTATACGGAGTATTATTAATTGTATCCATATTACAATCTTGTAGATAATATGAGATATAAATGATATAAAAAGATATAAAGATAAAAATATATAAATATATAAAAAGATAAACTAAAAATAAATTGACAGCCGTTAGATGCATGCGGAGTAGATTTGACATTTTGAAGTATTTACGAGTTCGTCTAGCCCTAGTTAGATAGACTATTTAGTCTAGTAATAAAATAACACCTTAATACTATTTAGTCTATACTACTAGTAATAATAAAAAAATAAGATTAATTTCCACGGCATTTACGGTCCACTGGCACCGTAGTATTTTACTGTCACCTGTCGATCTTTTTATCTTTCTCTATCATTTTTGGTCGAGACCGGAAGTGGGCCAGGGTTGTTTTTTTTCTTTGCTTTTTATTCGCTTTATTACTTGGAGAGATTCCTTATTCTTTGTATAATATTTCTTCCTTGAAATTTTCTATCTATAGACCCGTGGGTGCCGTGAACTTTGCCGGTGGCGCTGATATCAGAACGATCTCACTCTCCGGCACTATATAAGGACATTGTCTGCTTCTCCCTCCCCATTGCGCATTCGACATTGCGTGTTGAAAATATGGTCAATCCCCCATTCCCATTGTCGCTACAGACGGCCCAAGCCAATAACCCACCACTATCTACTCAAATCCCAGCGAGTCTCACACCACCTGTGACTCCTATAGCCAAGGAAAGGCGCCCAACATCAACATCAACTCCATCGCAGGACTCAAAAACAGGGCCGTCTATCTCGAAAGACAACGCCGGAACTCTTCTCTTCACCGACGACCTCGAAATCTGTCACGATGAGAACAACCGCTCCTACGAATTCGGCCGCGGCGTCTGGAGCATAGTATACAAAGCGCGTTCATCGCCACACCAAAAAAACATCCCAGGCACACCCCCAAGTTCCCCAACCACAATATCGCAAGTGCTAGCCGTGAAAGCACCCTTGCGCCGAGACGCGCGCCCAGTCCTCAAAGCCGAAGCAATCACCCTAACCCGCCTCACCCAAAGCCAAGACCACGAGAAATACATCGTCCCCTTCCACGGCTACCACCCCGAACTCGGCGCACTAGTAATGGCCGCCGTCCCAAACTCCCTAGCAACATACATCGAAGAGCAAGCCAAGGTCGCGCGCACCCGCCAACCGGTAACAGCAACGATGTTCGAGCCCGTCCAAGGTCCAGCCTCGTACGAAGATCTCGCGCGCAAGCTAATCGCCGGTCTGAACTGGCTGCACCAAGTCGCCGGCGTCGTGCACGGCGATATCAAACCACACAATATCCTCCTCCGATCCATCGACACAGAAGAAGCGGTTTTCCCTTACGAGCCTCTGTTTGCGGATTTCTCTGCGACGGTCGATATGCCGACTGATGCGGATGCGCCGGATACGACGCGCGCGTCGATGTCGTCGTTCACGCCGCCGTTTACGGCGCCGGAAATGCTTGCTTCGTTGACGTCAACTGAGATCGCGCCGACGCCTGCGTCGGATGTTTTCTCGCTTGCTGCGACGCTGCTGGCGACTGCGACGGGAGATTTGTTGCTTTATCCTAATATGAACCATCGGTTGAGGTTGGAGATGGCTAGGGCTGGACATCAGATTATTGATTTCACGAGGTCGGGGATGAGTGGGAGTCGGGTTCCGAGGAATGGGTTTGTAGAGAGGATTGTTAAGCCGGCTGTCGTTAAGGATCCTGCGCAGCGGATTGCGACTACGGATTGGGTGGAGCTTGCGTCGAGTTGATTTTGGGATTTTTGGAGACTCTTTGGTTAGTTGTTTTTCTTTGCATTGTCCATATACCCTGTTTAGATGGAGTTTTGCGTATATTGGGAATACGCGGAATTAGCATAATATATATCATAAATAATACCTGGTGCGGCATGAGGATATCAGTGTTTCATTCAATAATATCTCATAGAGTAGTGAATTCGGAGCTGAGTAGTGATTCTCGAGTAGAGCGAGCATTGACCAAACGCCAACGCCCAAAACAAACCCACGTGCACGCATCAATTTGAGGCAATCAAGAGGAAGCATTGCTACCCTCGACAAACCCCTTCAAATCAGCAACCCACATCTCAAAGAATCCCTGCAGCTTAGTCCCATACATCCACCGCACCATGTAGACCAACCACCCAGCCTGCGCCTCCCAATTGCGCACCACCGTCCCATCCTCAACAGCAGTAAACTCATGCACCCGCTCCGCCTGCAAAAGAGACGGTGCAAACGCACCCGGCGCTTCGGCGTCAGCGATCCAAACGATACGGCCGCCCTCGCCGGTCTCCGCGTTCGGCGCACTGCATTCGCTGATAATGAGATGTACATCTGTTGAGGGTTGGGGTTTGGTGGAGGTTTGATTCATGCGAACGTGCATGGTGAATTTTGTTCCTTTTTGGAGGATTGGGGACAGGGTTGCGCTTGTATCTGCTGACTGGGGTGTGGATGTTGATGCTGGCACTGGCGCTGGCGTTGGTGTTGGTTCTGGTGCGGTGGATGGAGATGGGTCGGGGGTTGGCTGGGAGCGAATGGTTACGCGTGGCACGAAATTGTTCCAGGTTGGCCATGTTGAAGTGTCTGTTAGGGCGTCCCAGACTTTTTGAGGGGGGGCGGTGATGAAGGTTGAGCTGCCGATGTGGAGGATTGCTTTCTCGACAGGGATGTTGGGGGTTGGGCGCGTGGCGTTGGTTGGGTCTTCGATGGTTGCCATGGTGGATTGGGCTTGGTGGTGGAGGTTTGGAATTGGGGAGGTGAAGAGGAAAGGAAGGTGGGTAGGTATTAGAGGAGTTGTACAACGCTAGGCAAAGATAACCTTGGAAAGTACGGGGTCGTCCACCCGTGAACGGGCGCATCCGGGCCGATCGCGATAAGACGCGATAAGGCAAAGTATGCCTAGCTAAACCTTGTGTCAGGTGAGAGAATAGCCCTACTTATGGAGGTGCTAGTAAATGATGTTATTAGCTACCTTGAACTGGGGATCTAGTGGTTATTCCCATGAAAATTATCAATTGAGTACCAAGGCGTAGATAAATTGACGAGCACACCTAGTTAATAGAGCCTGGGCTGCAGTTAGTAGAAGACCACCGCATTTATAGCTTATAGACTATTGGTATATTACAGACAGTCGGTAGCTATTATAGCTGCAAGGGCATGATGAAGTCCTCAGCCACATGCATGCACGGTTAATCGGTTGAGTACAAAATTGATCCCAGATTCAACAGAATATAGAGAATTAATTCGGTGCTATACTGTACAGACTAGCGTACAGATCTATAAACAGATGCATCACCTTGATGAGCTCATCTTCCTTTTGCAGGTCGCATATTTGTTGCCTAGTAGTAATGACAAGGTCTTGTATAGATATATCATCCTCTATGAAGCTTTGGATAAACTTCCTTGGACTTATTCCCATATATCTGCTAGCACCCTCAACTATGGAATATCCATAACAAAACAACCTGTTTAGCTTTAAGTTGCAAAATAGTATAAGATCAGTTGCAATATGCCTTGGACATTACTCTCTATGCGGATCTCAATTTACCCAGGGAAATACGGATACAATCATCAAGCTGCACAACCTTGTTACTGCAGGATTTGGAGGACCAAAGCTATTTGAAGAGGCGCAACTACAACAATACCAGCTACAAATCAGATGAACTGAATAATTCTAAATTCATATTAGCCAAGATATTCATTGAATGGTCATCTCTCCATCTCTCTCATCCATTTAGTACCAAAAATGTCCTTAGCTCTTTCCATCTTCGCTCCTTCCTGTGCTGCACCTTCCTCAGCACTGCCGTGAACAAAACTCCATCCTCCCCTCTTCTTCCTCTTCTTCCTCTTCCCCTATCAAGCATACATTCTTTTATTCGACACTCTTTCATCTATGCACTCATTGCTCCACTACACTCATTTTCACTTTCTGTCTCTTCAACATGCATCGTACTAGCCCAGTTCCGATTTTTGTCCAATCCTCTCATCAAACCCCTCCTCCCATCATTGCCCGGCCACGGCCTCGATTTTGCATCCTGCGTCCTGGAGGCTTTTGGACCCCTCTGATCCCACTTGACGAGTTGCCTTCTTGGATAGAAGTTTGCAACTGGACCCCGGACATATATATGGGGATGTACCCGGCGTCAATGACCTTCATACCACGAGAAGGGGAATATGACATTCTCTGTCATCACTGCTCGCACCGTGTCGACTCACTCCACCAGAGTGTCTCAGAACGAGGACCCTCTTCTGTGGCCGCCAGTCGTGCCGCCTCGGCCAAAGATTGTGCTGAGCCACACTTCTCGCCAAACGCCTACCACAGTGATGCTATTTCCTTGCCGACGGTGCTCCATCATAGTTCCACAGAGCGTTTTTTGGAGCAGCCTCCTTTTAATGCGATGCTCCAGACTCCTTTTGTTGGCATGTGTGTGGTCGACATGAACTCGCCGTATCCGGATATTTCTCAAGACCCTGTTGGGCCAAAACGACGTATGAGCATTGAGAACTCAATTCCTCCTCAAATCTTTGGTGCAGTCGGCATTGGCAGCCCTTCTCTGTCCGCTGGCAGCTCGGCGAACTCCCGCAGGCCAGATACCCCTTGTCCACATGCACATGATCCTGGATCGTTTGGCAAGCCCAAGCGCGTTGAATCCTTGCGAAACGAAAGCGTTGTATCAATGCAAAGTGGCAGCGTTGCGTCCACTCGATCTCTCACGGTTGCTGCCATCGAGCAAATGAGGAGGATGCGAAGAAGAAAGCTCTCTCGTGAAAGCAGTTTGCACGCCAGCATCAGTGTTGCGGAAGCAACGAATCTCTCTCAAGTCTCAGGCTCAAGGATTTCAAAGATTTCGAAAGTCTCGAAGGTTTCGAAGGTTTCAAAGATTTCCTTTATCCGTATTCTCTCGAAGCGTCATCGAAAGGTTATACTACGCCGTCGACGCGCGGAAGAAAGGAAATCCCGCAAAGCCCAGTCGGCTGTCTCAGTAGAGGCGCTGAAGACGAAGCCCGAGCAACCGAATTCCGCCACCAAGAGACGAGATCGTCGCGAGCGCATGATGCAACGCAGGAAGCAATCTGACCGGGGCAAGCAACCTTATCGAAACATGATGCGGATTCCCAATTGGAGCCCGGGTATGTGCAAGCACTAAGTTGTGAAGAGTGGTCTGCACAAGACATTGTGAAACTGTATCACTGTCTTGGTTGTTGGTATTACTCACAAAAGTCCGTTTTAACTGGGTTTGGTTTATAGATAGATGTCCTTCTTTTCCATCTTGTTTTTTCTGGGTCTGGCTATGTCGTTGGTTCTTCAATTCGTGCTTTCGACAGCTTACCTTTTTTGCGTTTCCTGGTGGATTCGTCTCTCATTCCCTTCATGTTGCTTTTTTTAATTCTTGCTTGGCGAGCTTTTGTTTTCGTTTAGTCATTTCGATTTCCAACTGGCTATCGGGATATGATGTTGACCACTGTGTCTCTCATTCCCCCCTTTTTTTGTTGGGCTGGCTGTCATTTCCATTTGCTATTAACGACTGGTTTCCGGTTACTGAATTTGTCTTTCGTTTGCTTGTGTTATGTTCACCTGGCTTCCGGTTGACGATATTGTCCCTCACTTTCTTTCCTTCGCAAAAAGTGTGTACTTCACTCATTGAAACCAACCAGAATTGAAACCAATTATTCCACCTTTCCAAGGTCTTTGAATAAAATGCAGACTCTTTTTCTTATCCAGGGCATAAAAACGAGACCCCTTAAAATCGCCCCCAAAAGGGTCCAAATATGCGATCCACCTCGGCCCGGACAACCCCCGCACTTATAGTTGATAGCCTTCCCAGCCAGGCAACTTCGCACACACCATGAAAGTGAAAAAGCCCCGTGGTATCCGACATGACCGGGACTGTGGTCGCTGCAAAGTCCGAGGTATCAAATGTGACCTGAACCGGCCCCGATGTCAAGGCTGTCTTCAGGGTGGAGAAGCATGCAACTATCCACAACGAGTTGTATGGGTAGATGATAAAAAGAAGTCTTCACCAAAAGGAACTTCACCACGCATACATGAAGAAACGCCAGACAATGGCTTTACCAAGTCGGCATCTATCAATCTATACGGCTTCATCGACCTCCTGGACGCTTTCTGTCAACAAATCCAATCCAGCAGCCGCGACATCCCAGAAGAAGGAATCCAACTGATTACACGCACACTAAGCTTTGCCCGCTCACGCATCCAAGATGCAAACAACAAAGAGTCCCTCCAATCACATCTGGTGGCCTTGACGAATCTGAGCCAAGTGATCCAATCCGCACACCCTATTGCGCTCTTTGGCATTGCTACTTTCGCCATGTTTGAAGTATGCTGTGGATCATTCGGCAACTGGCATTGCCATCTGCAAGGCGCACGCTCCCTCTTGGATCTCCACTGTCAACACAAAGCCGATCTCGACGCCCTTTGCGGCGAAATCTCCGGTTTAGCTGATGTCCTCGCCTATCTAGTATGGTTTGATGTTACAGGTGCCCTCGTCAGAGAAAGTCCATTAATTTTCGAGGACTGGCATCGCGCGACCTTATCTGCTGATTTCTTCGACTCAGTCGGATGTCCAGCAGATACCTTTGATCTTCTTGTTTATCTTGCGAAACACCGCGACGGCCATGGAATCCACCCTATAGACCTGAGTTCTCGGGCAATGGCCCAAATTCTACACTTCAATCCGGGCGATGCATCAGACCGCAATCTTGCTGCGACCGTGTATAGAGGCGCCGCGGCAATCATGGCATTCAGCCGCGCGGGAATGACCACGGCTGATCCCTCCGCATCAACATATCATTTGAACGTAGTCTCCTCCATGGTCGACCGTGTATGTCAGGCTATTGCAGATATCCCTTCTTCGTCAAGATTCTACGTGCACCTAGCTACACCAGCATACCTGACAGGAATGAGCGCCTCAACAGCACGACAGTGCGAGATTATCAGAGGGTTCTGGCGAAATTGCCAGTCCTGCGAATTCCCCCGTTATCCGGACGCCGAGGCGCAGTGCGAGCGGAGGTGGAGGATATGCGGTGTGGGGTTTAGCGTCGATTAGATTGCCTTCCTAATCGGGACAATATCCCACTTCTTATCTACAACATAGGTCGGAACATATATAAAGCTCCTATTACAGTCCTGCTTCCTAGCTTCGTAGTTTGTTATTGTATGAATTCCGCCATGACTATCTCGTATCAAGAGACCTCGTACCAAGACCGTTGCGCTAAAAAGCGCGCTGACCAGCTCGCCCTCATCCCCTCGGAATGGCGCTTAGATCCCGTTCCCTCCATAGAATCCACTCCAAATGCCCTGGCATATCTGCGTCGCATTCTCAGTGCAGAAGAGCTAGCTCTCACGGAAGAAACCGATATCGCGGTTCTTCTCCGCAAGCTTTCATCCGGAGAACTCTCGTCTCTGGAGCTGACTCGAGTCTTCGCCAAGCGCGCTGCCCTAGCACACCAACTCACAACATGCTGCACGGAGATATTCTTCGAGGAGGCTTTTGCCGTCGCTAAGGAACTAGATGATCATCTCGCGAAGACAGGAAAAACTATCGGCCCTCTACACGGATTACCGGTATCTATCAAAGACCTATTCTCCGTTGAAGGAGTAGACACTTCAATCGGTAATCTACCCACATCCATCCCCTTAAAGACCGTACCTTGTATTTGTATTCTAACCAATTCAATTTCAGGCTGGGTCGGCCTCACCAACAACCCAGCACCAGCAGACAAATCCGTAGCACGCACGCTCCGCCGTCTCGGCGCAGTCCTCTATGTGAAAACAAATCTACCACAATCAATGATGATGTCCGACTCTTACAACCATGTCTTCGGCCAATGCGTTAACCCATTCAACCGCGAGCTGATCTCCGGTGGAAGTTCCGGCGGCGAGGGATCGCTCGTTGCGGCCCGCGGAAGCATCCTTGGTATTGGTACTGACTTGGGCGGTTCAATTCGAATTCCCGCGGCGCTGTGTGGACTTTATGGACTTTCGCCTAGTCCCGGTAGACATCCTTATGAGAGGGGGAAGTAAGTTTTACTCTGGACTGATTTGTTTTATGTTGGAGACAAGAAAAAGAAGTGCTGATTTGCATCATTAGTCCCGGACAGGATATTGTGAGATCCGTTGCTGGACCTATGGCTTGTAGTCTTGCGACTATTGAGCGGTATATGGAAGCTTTGCCGGACGCGAAGCCGTGGGAGGTTGATCAGCATGTTGCGCCTGTAGCGTGGAGGAAAGAATTGGCGTATTGCGGTGCGAAGAGGTTGAGGATTGGATTTTTGATTGATGATGGTGTTGTGAAGGTTCAGCCGCCGATTGCGAGGGCTATGCGTGAGGTTGTTGAGGCGCTGAGAGCGGCGGGTCATGAAGGTATGATGATTGATACTCCTATGCATTTTTTATACCTCGACTAACGAGTCTCAGTATTTGAGTGGGATGCCTCCTCGCATAAATATGCATACGATCTCTGGGCGAAGGCTATCTTCTCCGATGGCGGGGAGGGCTGTCGAAGACAGATTGAAAAAACCGGCGAGCCGCTTGTTGAGGGTATGCTCGTTGGTAAGCCCGAGGATACTTTGACCACTAGTCAAACGCACCAAGTGAGTAGTCCCATCTTGGTATTTGTTCTATCTGCTAACATACGCAGCTTAATGCGGACAAATACAATTATGAATCGGCGTATCTTGATAAATGGATATCCTCCGATATCGATGCATTGATCATGCCTAATACCCCTTGGGTGGGATATAAGCCGTGGACGTGGGTGAAGTCCAGTGCATATGTGGGTTACACTAGTATCTGGAACTTGCTTGGTTATGCTGCGTTGGCAACGCCTGTGACTACTGCATCGAAGACGAAGGATATTCCCGATGAAGAGTGGCTGGCCCATGTTCCGAGGAATGATGGTGATAAGTTTAATAAGGAGCAATGTGAGTACCAACATTGGAGTGTTTTATTCGGTCGATGCTTATTAGTTTTTAGATGATCCCAACCTAGTTGAGGGTATGCCTGTTGGAATACAGGTTGTTGGGGGCCGGTTTGGGGAAGAGAAGTGTGTTGCTGTGGCTAAGGCGATTGAACAGGCTATGCAGAGGAAGATGACCTCGCGGGCAAGTCTTTGATTCATCTACTTGCTGCAGGTATATAAGGAATAGATATCCAACATAAATGTATACTCGTTTAGTTCATATTCGTACTACTATATTTGGTACCATTGACATTTCCGCATACATAGTTCCTCATGTACCCAGTCTCGGCAAAGATATATATATCACTCTACGATCCGAAACTCCGTTTTGAATATGAACGTGCACTAAATGCAATAAAAGTCTATAAAATTCACATCGTTATTTGTATTTTCACTCTATTAGAACACAACCTTTGAAGTTGCTCAATATATACAATCCCTGCTCCCATCAGTTTCAGAGAGGAGCATTCATTTTATCTTTGTAGTCAGGAAACTCGAAATCGCCGAAATCCCTCTCACTATCAAACGTTGAGCGTGGATTCCCATGCGACAGACTACCCCTCGGCGCCTCTCCCATCTCCAGATCCGCATGGGGACCAGTCGCAGAAGGAACAGGAATAGAATCGGACTGCAACCTCAATTCCCTCACAACACGAATCCCGTCCTCCTCGTACCCTTCCTCATTAGTATCGACCTTGGAGATAGTAGCAGAGTAACCCCCTGCTGCGGGGTTGAAGAGATTGTTAGACCAGATTCCGTCATCCCGGCGGAGAGGCTCTTTGAACGTAGTTTTAGCAGAGTTGCGCTTTGATGCCGATGGGCGTATTGGTCGAGGGAGGCAGAAGAATGAGAAGGCGCGAGAGAGGAGAGGGTGGAGTGGTGGGAGACAGATGCAGATGATGGATATATTTGCTTCCAAGGAAGACCACATGGCTGCTTGGGCATTTGCTTCTGTTGGTGTGTCAGTTTCCTTTTCTCGCTTGTTTCGTATAAGTATATCCTTACCGGTAAAGTCTCCTCCATTGACCATTATATTCAATTCATATAAGCGACCGGCACTAGTGGCCACAATACTAGAAGAAAAGTTAACATTGTCCCCAACATCGAGTAGAGATGTGCACTTGACGTACAATATTCCAAGGCTGAAAACCACGAGCATCCCCCATTTTTGTTTTTTCGGGAGCTGTAACTTCCACAATAGCGGCAGGGGAAGAGCCACTATTACCAGATCGGTAAAAGTCTGGATTCCCGCATTTGTGAACCAGACAGGGCCGTCAGGTAGACAATGTCCCTTTCGGACCTCTGCAGACGGATTCCAGAAGTGGCTGATAGGGATGCAGTAGATAAAGCCGCTGATGGTCGTCCATAGACCTACAACGACGAGGAAGCCTATCAAGATACGGGTGACTAAAAGGAAGGAACGGGGATGGAAGACGCGGGTGAAGAGGGTTAGGGCGGAGATCTTGGCTAAGATCATGGCGAGGTTATAGAAAGGGACGGAAAGCCATAGCCACTGTTGGTTTTCATTAGTACTTGATCTCATGAGTTCATAAAAATGGACTTTTCGTACGAATAGTTGGCGCTCGATTTGTTCGCTAGAAAGTCTTGTTGTGGGAACTCCGAGGCCATTTGCCCGTTCTGTCGAGAAACTTGTTAGTTTCAAAAGTATAGTAACAAGGCATTGCCGAGATGGGAAACTTACCAACGAGCATACAGGCATAGGATGCCAAATCGGAGACCTATGATAAGATAGATCAGAATTGGGTTCTCACTCTCCGGATACTGCGTTTGATAGAAGTATGTACTGGTATCTAGCAGATGGAAGTACACACCAAAGCACATGATATGATCAAATCGTCCAACCCGGCACCCTTCACTAGGAAGAATCGAGTGTATAGCCGGAGGGCGACGGTAAAAATTGCCAGTGCGGTAAAGATCGATGTGACGATCTCAACATACATTGCATCGGCAAGAGGAAGAACTGGCCGAGCTCAAAAATTTCGATATAATTCAAGTAGGAAACCGTAGGCAGATGTCATTGTATTCAGAATCAGTGGAAGAGCACCACCATCACACTGCGAATTGAATATGTTGGATTGTATTGGAAGTAAGAGAAGGTTGAAGTCCAAGAAAGCAAAAGAACTTGTTTTAACCTGTGACGAACACAGGTTTTGTGCCCACAAATCCCTGAGCAGAATCGAGGACTTCCAATTAATATTTCATTGTGGTCTGGAACAACCAAAAGAACAAAATGGCCGCATAGGAAGGCGTAGCCGGTTGCGTCAAGACATTCAATGTGGATCAACGGCTATTCAAGTCAGAATGAAAAATGATTGGGTGTCCGAATAAAGTTGTGGATCCCTTAGTTCGACTCACATTCTGATTGGTTCAAGTCTTTTTTATGAGAACTTTGGAAAAAGTAACCGGAGGATAACATTTGATATGGGATTGAATGACCCTTGTTTGTTTCTTATTTGGGTCATCGTCTGTGTGGTTGGCGTCCTTAGGATTGAACTTTCGGCCCCAAGAGTAAAACTATAATGTTCGCTTGGATTGCTTGGATTGTGTGGTTGTGGAACTTTGGAGGCGGATTATGTTGACATTTCTGTGTAGAATGTTTGATGTTAATGGGTGTTACTACAACGTAAATGGAAAGAAGTATACAGAATGACAATTCAATTGCAAACTATACAAAATCAAAAATGACCATTCAAAGCCAGGCCAATGCCTTTCCACGAGGGATTCTAAACTGGGAGTATCTCATCAAATTTTGCAGCAAATGGGAAAACAATCTACAGGCGAGCCTTGAGGTTGGCCTTCAGCCTGCGCTCAACGGCAGCCATGTACTCGCCAGTGGTGACCCAAGACTCACGGTCCTTGCGACCACAGGCGAGAGCCAGATCCTTAGTCATGATAGCCTCGTCGTTGACAACTTCAACGCAGGCACGCTCGAGCTCCTCGGCGAAGGCGACAACGTCGGGGGTGTTATCGAGCTGACCACGCTGCACAAGACCACGGGTCCAGGCGAAGATAGAGGCAATGGGGTTGGTGGAGGTCTCGTTGCCCTTCTGGTGCTCGCGGTAGTGACGGGTGACGGTTCCGTGGGCGGCCTCGGACTCGTAGGCATCGCCGTTGGGGGTAGCCAGAGCGGAGGTCATCAGACCGAGGGAGCCGAAGCCCTGGGCGACGATATCGGACTGGACATCACCGTCGTAGTCTGATATGTGTTAGAGAAGAAATAAAATTATCATGGAATGGGAGACTCACTCTTAAGAGCCATAACGAAGCCACCCTCAGACTTGATCATCTGGGCGACCATGTCGTCGATGAGACGGTGCTCGTACCAGATACCCTTGGCATCGAAGTCCTTCTTGTACTCCTTCTGGAAGATCTCCTCGAAGATGTCCTTGAAGCGACCATCGTACTTCTTGAGGATAGTGTTCTTGGTGCTCATGTAGAGGGGAAGACCCTTCATGAGGGCCATCTTGAAGGAGGAGTGGGCGAAGCCAGCGATGGACTCATCAGTGTTGTACTGGCACTGGGTGATACCACCACCCTGGAAATCGAAGACCTGGATGTGCTCGGGCTTACCACCGACAGGGGTGTAGACCAACTCGAGCTTACCGGGACCAGGGATGACACGGTCCTGGGCGCGGTACTGGTCACCGAAGGCGTGACGGCCAATAATAATAGGCTTGGTCCAGCCAGGGACCAGGCGGGGAATGCGGGGAATGACAATGGGCTCACGGAACACGGTACCGCCACTAGATAGAACGTTAGTCATGAACAGTCAAAGCCAATCGGGTGTACTCACAGGATGTTACGGATAGTGCCGTTGGGGGAGAGCCACACTAGATATGATTAGCTTTTTGTTGTTTCACAAAATGGACTTCCGATGAGCTTAATGAGCTTACTCTTCTTCAGCTTGAACTCCTCAACACGGGCCTCATCGGGGGTGATGGTGGCACACTTGACACCGACACCGTACTTCTTAATAGCCTCGGCAGCATCAATGGTAACCTGGTCATTGGTCTCATCACGGTACTCAATACCCAAATCGTAGTACTTGAGATCAACATCGAGGTAAGGCAGAATCAACTATAGGCAGCCAATTAGTATCAAGCACGAATCCGGGTCAACCTGTTTTATGATGTATCCACTGTATGCATCCTGCAACGGTGGGGATCATGCAGGTCTAACCCTAACGAGGGGATGATAAGCCTACCTTTTCTCTGATTTCTTGCCAGATAATACGGGTCATCTAAGTTTCACGAAGATAACTCGGTTAGCACATGCCAATGAGTCTTAAAGCCTTAGGGCGGCGTCATCAGAGGATTGACACATGAATATGATCATATTCCCCGTGTTTCCCCGCGTTTTCGACGAAAACACACCCGCCGAGCACGATAATATGCGGGCTTGTGAGACAGGCCGAGAAGAAGGCTTAAACTATAAAAAGGGGGGATGTCCCATACCTCATCACCATCCAACTCGACCAAAGGGGTCTTGACCTTGATCTTGGTTTCGGAAGCCATAGTGCGGGTTTGAGTGAGAGACGCAGGGATCGATCCGGACCAGCGGGAAGAAGCAACAACTCGAGTTCGTTGAGAGAGGGAGGTGGAAATAGATCTCTTGGAAGGAGAAGTAAAAGAAGAGGAAGAAATAAGACGAGAAGTAGACGAGAGAGGGGCAGGAGGGGTCGCAAAGGACCGACGAGCGGCTGCGGAACTGGACCGGAGAGCGTTCATCGTGGGATACTGGCTAAGGACGTCAGCAGCAGTTTCGGTGTTTCTGTTTGGCTGAGCGGGATGTAGGTCGCCTCAACCGCCTGGTTACAACCGAGGGAATGAAGTTCGGCAGAAAGGAAAGTGTGGAGTCGGGAAATTTCCCGGAGAAAGGGTAGAGAGATGTTGCGATTTCCGGGAGTTTGAAGATTTGGCGGGTCAAGACCGGGCCAATACGGGATTTGTTCGGAATATGGATAAGGCAAATAAGAAAGGGATATTTACCGAATAGTTTAGAGACTTGAGTTAAAAGAAGAGTAGAGGAAAAAGCCTTGTCCGGTGTAATGGAGGTTGGAGATCTTAAGAACAACTCCGCAAAAAGAAGCGCCGAAGCCGGAATAGTCACGAGATATTTTGAAATTGGAATGTTTTTTGGGTAAATTCACGTGGATTTCACTGTTTCTTTAAATCTTTCTCTTCAAGGTCTCCTGACTCATCGATCTAATCGATCTAATCCTTTCTCAGGTAAAAGTTTTATGGCAAAGCTCCATCGACCCGCCTGAAGAAAGCTATACGCGGTGTCAGAGCGGTTCCCGGAGAACGGAGCTCAACTCCGGCCTTGACCGGCCCTCCCTTTTTGACCCCGGAAAAGCTCCAACCGAATTGTACGATCTAGATTAGGAAAAATATAGATTGATTATGATAAAATAATATATCAGAATGAATTTCACGAGTCCAATTACCCCGGGTGTTGAAAAATCTCCAAGGGCTCCGACGCCAATTATGGTATGTGTTGAAGAATTGAAATTCAAACAATGGTATATGCAAGCCCCGAAATATATCCTTATCTACTCTAAAACAGTCCGTCGATATCGCCAGTCTCGGTGTCAATGTCCACATTAAGGTAACCGGGGGCAGTGGGTAGTCCAGGAATGGTCTGGATATCAGCAGCCAAAGCGTATCTATAGCTATGTTAGCGTGACAAATTTCCACAGAAAACGAGAACAAGAACAGAACTTACAGGTATCCAGCGCCCACAGCCAATCTGACATCCCGAATCGGTACAGTGAAACCGCTTGGGGCGCCCTTGAGGGCTGGGTCGTGACTGAGTGAGTACTGAGTCTTGGCGATACAGATCGGCAAGTTAGAGAACCCTTGCTTGGTGTAGGTGTCGACCTTCTTCTGGGCCAATTCACTAAACTCAACCTTTTCAGCGCCATACATGGCCTGGCCAATGCGCTCAATGCGCTCCTGGATAGTACCATCCAGTCCGTAGAGAAGCTGGAAGTCCTTCTCCTTAGAGCTAGCGGTCATGACAGCCTTGGCCAGATCAACGGCGCCGGCTCCACCCTCAGCCCAGTGATTGGCAGGGACCGCATCCTCGGCGCCAGCAGCGATCGCCTCCTCTCTGATGACAGCAATTTCAGCCTCGGTATCAGTCTCGAACTTATTGATCGCGACCACTACGGGGACGCCGTACTGCTTGGCGTTGGCAATGTGCTTCCGCAGGTTAACACAACCCTTGCGGAGAACATCCACGTTCTCGGTGCGGTAGACCTCCTGCAGAGGGGCACCGGGCTTGATCTCGGGGCCGCCGCCGTGGACCTTCAGCGCACGGACGGTAGCCACAATAACGACAGTGTCAGGAACTAGACCAGAGGAGCGGCACTTGATGTTAAAGAAGCGCTCACCACCCATGGTGAAGTCGAAGCCAGCCTCGGTGACCACGAAACCAGTCTTGGCTTCGTGATCTTCATCAGGCTCAGTACCGGCAAGCTTCAGTGCAAGCTTATCGGCGATGGCAGAGCTGGCGCCAATACTGATGTTGGCAAAGGGACCAGCGTGCACCATGACAGGGGTGCCTTCCAAACTCTGCATCAAGTTTGGCTTAATGGCATCCTTCATCAAGGCAGCCAGGGCACCACCGGCACCAATGTCGTCGCAAGTCACGGGATCACCGTTTCTAGAAGTGGCAACCACCATACGACCCAGTCGCTCACGCATATCATCCAAGTCGTTACTCAAGGCAAGAATGGCCATGCACTCACTAGCGACGGAAATATCGAAGCCAGTCTCGCGGGAGAGGCCTTTCTCGGTAGCGGCCTGGCCGACAGTGATACCACGCAGGTGACGGTCATTGACATCAAGGACGCGGCGCCAAGTGATGGTCTCTGGATCAATATCTAGGCGGGCAAAGCGGGTAATTTCTTCCTCGGTGAGGTCGTCTGGGTTAGTCTTCTCGATACCCAGCTTCTTCAGACGTCGGAACATGATAGGCTTGAATTCACGTGTGCCCTTGCTGGCAGGGACAAGACGCTTGTAGAGAGCTGCATCTTTCTGGGTAGACTCGTGGAACATGCGAGTCTCGATAGCTGCAGCTAGAAGGTTGTTCGCGGCGGTAATGGCGTGGATGTCACCAGTAAGGTGGAGATTGAACTCGTCCATAGGGATAACCTGACTGTAGCCTCCACCAGCGGCTCCACCCTTAATGCCGAATGTAGGACCTTGGCTGGGCTGTCGGACGTTGGCGAATGAAATGCGGTTCAGGTGGGCACCAAGCGCCTGAGTGAGACCTAATGTGGTGGTGGACTTGCCCTCACCAAGAGGAGTGGGTGTGATACCGCAGACCAAGATGTATCTTCCGTTGCGGCGATGGGAGAGGCGGTCTAGCACACTGAGGCTGATCTTGGCCTTGGTGTGGCCGTAGGGCTCCAACTCATGAGGGGCAATGCCGACCTCGGTGGCAACCTGAGTGATGGGCTTGGGGTATTGGGCCCGCGAGATGGCAATGTCGGAAGGCACAGGGGTCTGTAGGCGGAGGGGGAGAGGAGTGACATGGCGGTCCTTCTGTTTTTCAAAGTAGGTCTTGGCGGAGTGAACAACGTTCTTCAGCAACATAGCCACTGTCATGGGACCAACACCACCGGGGACAGGAGTGATTTGTGAGGCCACCTGGGCAGCAGAGTCGAACTCTACATCACCCACCAACCGCTCACCGGACTTCTTAGTCGCATCAGGCTTGTAGTTGATACCAACATCAATGACCACAACACCGGGCTTCAACCAGTCACCCTTCACAAGCTCGGTCTGGCCAATGGCCGCCACAACAATATCAGCGTTCTTAACAATGCGGGGAATATCCGGTGTCTTTGAGTGGCAGACAGTGACGGTGGCATCAGCGTTCTTGAGCAAATAGCTGACCGGGCTGCCGACGATGTCGCTACGTCCCAAGACAACTGCCTCCTTGCCAGCGGGGTCTACGCCGCTTGCCTTCAGTAGTTCCATGACCGCCAGAGGGGTACACGGAGTGAACAATGGGCGACCGCCTCGCTTAGCCAACTCGCCGATATTGATTGCGCCGAAACCATCGACATCCTTCTCATCTGCAACAGTCGAGGTGACTGCATGCTCAGACATGTGGCTTGGGAGGGGCAACTGGACGAGAATGCCGTGGATTGCAGGGTCATTGTTGGCTCTGGTGATCTCTTGGATGAGCTCCAGCTCCGTGCTCGACTCGGGGACGTTGATCAGAGTGCAGATAATGTTGGCCTAGTGAATAAGGTTAGAGAATACTCTGAATATCCCAAGCAGCAAGCAAGTCATACCTCTTGAGCGGCCTTGAGCTTCATGCGCACATAGGTGCCTAAGTAACATTAGTCTGGACAATCTCTCAATGCTGTTTGTAGATAAACCAACTAGAATCCGATCGGCTGCCGACTATATAGAATCATCATGTTAGTAAACAACACTCCTGTAATCATACTCGAAGAGAGGTATACCTACCCTGGAAGATCACCAGATTGGGCTTAAATCTAGGGTTCGTCACTTGAATCTGTTCGATCTCGGACTTCAATCCCTGGCGAATGCTCTTTGCGATGGCAGTGCCATCAATCTTGGCGGCAGCCATTGCTGACCCGGAAAACGTTCGGAATGATGAGATAGCGGGGCTGATAGGAGAAAAGTCGACGTTCACTAGAGACTCAATTGACGATGAACGAAGCTCTCTGACACGTTGAACAGAGGAATTATGAAAAAAGGAACGAGATAAAAGAGGAAGATTTCGGAGAGTGCCCGCATGCACTTGGAGATAAAAAGTGCAGCGGGGTAGGGCAGCGGGGACGAATGGCATGAATTATTGCTTGTTTGGGGCGAACCCGCGGACCTGCTGCCGGCGTTGGGACAAGAAATCAACAATTAGGCCTCAATTTCACATGCAACAGTCCTGAGGTATACCGGAGTTAAAGTTAGCGCTATCAATTTTGAGATATTCCCCTCTCATTCACCTCATTTCTTCCTTTGTCTATAATTAAGCTTATGCGGAGAATCGGCGAGTTTCCCGGTTTCCCGAACACCTCCTTATTTCCAATGTTCTGCCTGAGGCACAATTTCATATCTGAGCCGCATGAGTCATCCAGGACGCATTAACCTTTTCTAGGACTCTAGTTAGGGCTTAGGGTATCAAATCTTTAGATCACGTGTAGATATCGGAATACGGAATATCATGGCATCCGATAAAGGCTTGGCATTGAGGGCCGAGTGTGCGATGAAATTCACTAGTCAAAGAAAGTGAGGTTGACGAGGTTGACCCCCCCCCCAAAAAGCCACTCCGCCTTACCCATTCTGAGCCGAGCGTCTCAGATTTTTCCCCTCCGATACTCCATCACGGATTTCCTATCATCCACCCGTCGAAATGAGGCCTATTTTGCTTTCCGGCCATGTGCGTTGACTTCTTGAAATCTTGCTGGATCCACAGAGACTAACCGCAGCCATCTATAACAGGAGCGGTCCCTGACCCAAATCAAGTTCAACAGCGATGGCGACCTCCTCTTCTCCGTTTCGAAGGATAAGATCGTGTGCGCATGGTGGTCCGCCAACGGCGAGCGTCTCGGTACTTACAACGGCCACCAGGGTGCTGTCTGGACAGTCGACGTCAGCCCCAACACTGTCCTTCTCGCAACCGGATCAGCAGACAACACCGTGCGTCTATGGAACATCAAGACCGGCGAATGTGTGAAGGTGTGGGAATTCTCGACAGCCGTCAAGCGCGTGGCATTCTCCCCCGATGGAAGCAAACTTTTGGCCGTGACGGAAAAGCGCATGGGTTTCAACGGTACTATCGCCGTTATCGATATCAGCTACGGAGAGAACCTCAGCGCGCAGGCCACCGAGCCCACCTTGACCATCGTTTGTGAAGAGAGCAAGGCCACCGTGGCGGGGTGGAGTTTCCTGAGCAAGTATATCATTGCGGGGCACGAGGACGGCAGCGTCAGCCAGTATGATCCTAAGGTATGTTTGTTTCGGGGTGAATTGAGGGGTGTGGAATGCTGATACCATATGCAGTCTGGAGAACAACTCGAGAACGTGCAAATCCACGAATTCGATAGCCAAATAACCGACATTCAATTCGCACCCGATCGTCTGTCTTTCATTACCGCGTCGAAAGACAAGTCAGCCAAGGTATGTTCTTCTTTGGCAGATCATTCTATAAGGAAATGCCCGCTAATATCATTCAGCTCCTGTCATCCCGCAACCTCGCCATCCTCAAAACCTATATCTCCGATACCCCTCTCAACACTGCTTCCGTGACACCCAAGAAGGACTTCGTCATTCTTGGTGGTGGTCAAGCCGCCATGGATGTTACCACCACCTCCGCCCGCCAGGGTAAATTCGAGGCCCGATTCTACCACAGAGTGAGTACAACTAAGCGTTTTGAGTGACCTTACTCGCAGCATACTAATAATCTTATTACCCAGGTTTTCGAAGATGAAGTCGGCCGCGTTCGTGGCCATTTCGGTCCCCTTAACACCATCGACGTTCACCCCGCCGGTACCGCATACGCCTCCGGTGGTGAGGACGGATACGTTCGTGTCCACCACTTCGACAAGTCATACTTTGACTTCATGTACGAGGTTGAGCGGGAGCAGGCGCGGAAGTAAAGAGCGGATGTGGTGAAGAAAGTTGGGATGCGTCGTGTGTATGTGTTTACGAGGCGAAAAGACTTGGGATAGATCCTCCAAGTCCCGCATACGGAATGGGATGACCTTCCGGTCCACGATTTTCTCATTTCATTGATTCCATGATCAATCGGAGTTGGTACCTTGTGTTTGTTTGTTTAATAAAAAGATGACATGGTTCATTTTTTGAGCTCTTATGTCTGTCCTGGTCCTCCGCAAAAGAGCTGAAAATCGGGTAAATAGACAAAATCAAAGCTTTGCAAATCTTCATTCTATTCAGAGCCCTGACATCGAAACCAGCAGGATAGGAACTGTCTACATACTGCATGTAGCGGTATGCACTATTTCAGACGTGAATTTCCTGGGGTGCCACTTTATCAGGGTGCTTAGGGTTACAGGGTGACTACTTCGTAACCACTTCAAATGTTGTACTTAGCATTCCTGCTTGTCGTATAACAGCCAACTATATATTTTGGGGGTGCCCAAGGTAAATTGGTAAATATAATCGAAGGCATTGCTACCGAGACGTCATCTACTACTTATTCTTGATGGAAGCTACAAAGAATCGTACGGTTTAAAGTTCCCTCATGAATGATAGACTTGCATTTGACAGACTAGTTATAAAGCACAAAATAAAGACCGGAATGAACACAAAAGCGCAATGAAGTGCGCAGGTGCTTCAATCAACAGAACGAATCCGTCCCGCAATAGCATCAACATGCTCTTCATCCGTGCCACAGCAACCTCCCACCACTTTGAGTCCCGGCAACATACCCACAAGATGATCGAACTCTTGAACCCACTCGGGAATATCGCCCCGATCCAGCTCCGTAGAGTTATCAAGCTCTTCGTGACTCTTAAGACTCGAGTTTCCTCTAATCGACCCGAGCCTCGACCTCACCTCCATAGGCATATCCTGAACTGCCATGATAATATAACGCGGGTGTGCACAATTCACCCCGTAATACGTCACATAGTTCTCCGTTACACTATCGACTTCTCGAATCGCATCCTCGAGAGTCTTACCTCCTCGTAGACGTCCGTCTGTCTCGATGCTGAACGAGACATGGATAGGGAGGTTATACTCTCGTGCTAGACTCACTGCTCCAAAGGCCTCGTTGACATTCGTTACAGTCATGATACACAACATGTCGACACCTTCTTCGGCGAAGGCGCGAATCTGGGGGCCATAGTACTCCCGTGCCTGATCGAAGGAAACGGTGGAGTCCTGGTAGGCATCTTGGAGAGGTCCCATGGCGCCACTGATGACGATAGGCTCGAATGGAGTCTCGCTCCTAATTCCTTGGAGGAGCTTCACTGCTGTGTGGTTCAGATCAACGATCTGTGGAATGGACAGGCCAATCTCGGAAGACCATAGTGGAGAGCCACGCCATGTTCGGGTTTCGAGGACGACGCCGGTTGAGTGAGCGCGAGCAATATCTATGTACCCTTTGTAGATAGATGTGATGGTTTCTTTACCATCTTCCGTATTGAGAACCGGGAGGGCGGAGAAGCTCGGAAGATCGATATTCTTTCTGTATATCAGAGTTGTTTCGACTCCGCCTTCGGTGATGAAGGGCTTGGTGGCAGTCAACTGCGGGAGGTTCAATTCGGAGGCCATTTTCAAGTCTGGTTATTGCTAATTTTCGCAACGAATGGCGACATATCCATGGATATAAATAAGCTTTAAATAACGCTCGCGGTTTGCTGTCTAGAGGTATCTACATGGCCCCGGGTGTTGCGCTCCTGGTCTCAGTAGGGATAAAGGATCAGGCTAACGCTGTGGCTTACGGGCAACGAAGACGAGGTTCGTCACTAGATGGTGTAGTACTATTGGTTATTGATGGTCGAAAAGGATCATCTAGGTACGATCTGACAACTCGTGTGGCAGGACTTTGGCTGGGACAGGTCAACATGACGCTTCAGGTCTTGACTACAGCTGACGGTTTACTGCCTAGAGGCGGACAGTTTTACCTAAGTAGGTATGTCCACTGCCCCGGGTGTTGTGCTCTTGTCTTCATTAGGTATCAAGGAGCAGGTCAGTGCTTTGGGGTATGGGCAACGAAGAGGAAGTGGGCCACCAAAGACTGTGGTCCTATTGGTTATGACTGCAAAGTATTGCCTAGATGCCATTCGCCTCATTTCATAGCTGGGGACCGTGTACCAGGGTTCTAGGGCCCCGGAGGTGTACTTGCGGGAAAAGTAAGCATAACACTTCATAGGAATGCATGTTTGTGTATACAATATCGCATTGTACGTACGAAAATTTGTCGTCCTTGAGGGCTGATATTACGGCTTACTGTAGGACGATCGGCACCTTGATATGTACCTACATGTATGTAGATATGTACCTATAAAGATACATGCTTCTAACTCTGCATTTGCATGTCAGGACAACTGATCATATATCTATGTTGTACGTTCTCCATGTCATCGACAGCGTTGAAGTGCATTGAATCTTGAAAGTGGAGAACAATTACCCTCCTACGATAGTTCAAGGGGAATGTCCATGCATGCACGTACTTGCTTTTTGTGCTAGTAATACCAATGCCAATAAGTAATATTAGTCTCTATCTACTATGTAGCTCACACTCATTATTTCATATATCTAATTGACTGTATGCATTTGAAAGAATACCGTATTATATGGCGTGCATGCATTAGTGCCCTTTTTCGCAGCTGCTGTGGCAGGTAGAAATCAGTATTGATCAACACGCCCAGAGTCCTAGCACACTTCAGCGCAGCGAGTGATTCATAGGGAAAATATAGCTGAGATCAGTTAATGGTCATATTCTTTGCTTATTCTGATGCACATTCGCCGATTTTGTGTCTGATACTCGTATATAGATGCTTGAGTCCTCATGAGATTTGAAAGCACAATGGAAATCCATCAAATATTAGCCTTTTAGTGAGCGTATACTTTTGTGAGCCTATTTCACTAATTCTACGATTCGCGAAAGAAAGAGACAGCTAAGTACTTTAAAGGCTAATCCCGCCTGAGGTTGAAAGCTAATATATGCCGCATATCGATCTGTACGGTTGGTCATATATAAACGAAAATAGCCGCAAGGACGAGAAAAAGGCGAGACGAGACTAATGTCAATATCTTCAGAGACAGTTGTAATATTATCACATTAATAGAGAGTGACCTCGGGACCTTGTTTGACTATAAGTATAAATGGTCGACAATTTCTACTCTATTTTTATACCCAAATTGCGAGCTGACCTCTCTCTAATTACGTTAGTACCGCTAAAAGCGCCATAGAGAAAATTCTGGTGTTAAGTCGCCACTATCAGATCCGGTTTGCATCTCGGATGCTTACTAGACATCTGACGTCCAGCCATCTATCACGCGATACGTTCAATTTACACGCCTTTTCGTATTAAAATCTGGAGATTATAATCTTTACCAGGGTGGGCTTGTGGTTATTGAAGTTATCCCCCATAACTACCTCGGCCGACTCAACGAAAAGATGATGTCTACTCTTGTCAGTCTAAGAAAGGAGACAGTCTATTAAACTACGGCCCCCGAAATATCCAAGACTTTCTTAACTATATAATATGCTCGATTTTACTTAGTGGGCAAAAGGTGGCAAAGGGTGAGCACTAAAATGGAAAAGGAAAGCCATCTCGCATGACCGAGGTATATAGAGAAGAAACTACTTATGTATCTATCCCAGCACCTATTTACGCTAGGCCTGCACTGTGCATGGATGATGTGCGATGTATGAAAACGACATCTATCTACCCAAATTTACACGTCGATACCAACTATGAGTAGAAAAAAGATGATAATATCAAAATCTGAGGTATCTCATTTATACAACTTTTTTCGTGATATCTTCTCTAAACCCGTTTCCCATGCAAGGCCAGCGCTTATCCGACCAGCAGAAAAGAAACCCGTAGAAAAAAAAAGCCAAAAAAAAGTGACGTCTCATGAAAACGGAGAAGGAACATGACAGTCATAGAGCGCAAAAAAGCAGATGCAGAAAACTTGGAGATTTGCCCCCGGTCTCATTCCGAAGAGAAAAAAACCGCGGACTCAGCCCCGATCGTCTATTTCTTCTTGGGGAACTTTTCTGAACCGATGTCTGAACCACGCAGCTTAATGTTCAGCACGCGCTCCATAGCTCCGAGGACCTTCTGGTCGGGGGTGGCAGTGCCACGCTCGAAGTCCTGGACAATGGTGATGGTGGTGTTGCACTTGGTGGCGAGTTCCTTCTGGGTCATCTTGTAGCCCTCCTCGGTACGGCGTCTCTTGATAGCGTCGGCGACGGCGTGGCCGACGGTCTTGGGCTTGACGATGTCGTCGCTGCGGTCGACCTTGGTCAAGTGTTGGCCTTCGGGGGCACCTGCCTTGGCGCTCTGGAGAGTGTGTTAGTACTGATTCAAGGTGTTTTTCCCGGATTTAAAAGGAGAGATCACGTACGATGTTACCAGTGGTGTACTTCTTCTCAGTGATAACGCCACCGGAGCGCTGAGCGGCGTTCAGGGCACTCTTGCCCTTGATGACGGTCTCGCGAGGGGCAGCGCCTGCTCCGCGGAACTTGCTGCCGATCTTGGTGGTGCTTTCCCAGTCAGACATTTTGAGATGAGTTTGGGTTTGGTGGTGTAGGTGAGGTTAGGAATAAGAGCGTAGGAGGGAGAGTGGAGGTAGATGACGTTGGTCGTGTGAGGGTGAAGACAGAAATGCAATTTATATCGATGACACAGAAGCTTCTCGAGGGAGGGGAGCCCGCACTAGTCCGCTTTGGGGCTAGCGTATATCTGGGTCAAAGGTCCCTTCATCTTGTGGCGCGGCTTTCTTTTACATTTCAAATCATTTACTATTTCTATCAGTTCTATATGACTAATTGCAGTTTACTACGGGGTTTCATATCCTTTCTAGGGCGTTTCAATGGGGTCTTGGGGGTTCGCTATACCCATCACCAATTCCCCACCTCATTGATTGCCACAGCCACTTCCAATAATGCACACCATTTCACACATTCCAGCCTCACCATTTAGAGTTCAGCATAAGTATAGATAGTTCTCCGGCAATACTATATCCCCAGTCATTATTATATATAAGATATGGACATACAGTCCATTTCAAACCATCGGCAAGACAATGATATTGTTCGACCCACAACTTGATGTCATAAGGCATTATGTGCGTGGTCATTTTCAGCCCTAATCACCCTTCAAGAACCAATCGCCGCCCCCAAACGGCATTCCAGGTACAGTATTGTACCAGAGTAAGCACAAGAGTCACAATGAGTCTTCAATCATGGGTCCCCACGATGAGAGCGCTCAGCCTCATCGGGGACCAGGATAGGCTTAGCCTATCTTGTCATCGTGCATTACTCTATGGAGTATAGTCACCAACCATGTATACCCCGGTACGATCAGAATATCTATCCATTCTTTCTCGGTTCGGTTCCAATAGGTGGCCGATATAGGTATGCTCTTTTAATTGTATTATTCAATCTTTAGGTCAATTCCAACATCATGCAGAAGATCAGGAAAGTCATTGCCTGAGATAACTATGTATGTAACCCTGAGTCGGGATCGTATCGCAATGAAGAACCAATTAGGAATTGAACACAGGAGACCCTGGAATATTTGGCCATAAGCCCGTCGATAAGCGATTCTGATTGAGCCCAGTCAATCCATTCGAAGCAAAATTCAAGCCACCAACGCCGTATCAATGAGAGTGAGTATGAAGCAAAATGCCCCGCAAAAAGGCCCGGCCGTATGTTTAGAAGATGCTGTTCACGATATTGGAGCCAACAGTGGCGCCGGCACCGAAGATAGCTAATATCAAGTTAGAAATCCAACAATGGGTAACCAATGTACATAAGATATATAAGACGTACCGGCATTGCCCAGTTTCTTTCCAAATTTCTTGCCTCCTTCCTCAAACTTGTTCTTCTTTGGGTCCTCGGGGTTTTCGGGCTGTCCACTCTGGCTAACTGCAAGAGGCATGTTTCCATAATTTGTAGGCGGGGGGGAAGCAAGAGCGGCCTTTTCATCCACGTAACTTCCAGGGAAAATACCCTCCTGTCCAGTCCGTTCACTGTGACCACGCCACCCTGTTTATCATTAGCTTGGTAACCATATCCGACAAAAGGGAAATAACTTACAATGCTCATTTATTTCCTGGATAATCCGGACGCGATCCCCTGCCTTCAGGTCCAAGTCACCAGCGTCGGTAGCTTTGTAATCGTACATGGCCAACGCAACACGGACTGGCGGGACTTGGGGATAAGCTGGCGGGGCCTGGGGTGGTTGGTTTGCGTATTGGTTGTGCAGTGTGGCTTTTTCATTCAGCGACGCATTGGACATCTGTGAGACAGGCGGCGAGTATGAGGGCGTGTAGGGAGCCGGAGGGGGCTGTGCTTGGACTGGAACATGTTGAACAGGCACAGGCTGTGGCTGCTGTCGGGGCGGCGACGGTGATGCATGTACCGCGCGAGATGCCTCGGAATCGGTGGGTAGTTGTGATATAATTGAGGAGAGCTGTTGAGGGGTGATCACATGGGCATCGGCAAGGAATTCTAGTTCCTGGATGGTGTTGGATTAGTACCTGGATCGCATTTCAGGAACGGGAAGCTGGGAAGTCATACCGTCCGGACCATGCGGAGCGACCGGGTGGTCATGGCAGATGCGAACTCGTTGGAGGCGGCCATTATGAAAGAGGTGTCGTATGGATTGAAGGGGTCAATTTTAGAATGACAAGATAAGTTTTTTCTAAAAAAAAAACCAGCGCAAGAGGAGTCGGGAGAGACAGGGGGTTACGTCGGGTGTTATTAAGTAGCCTAAATCGCCTGGCAAGATCTTAGAATCTCCGCTCCGACATCGACTGTAACATTAATTTCGCTTATCATCTAGAATAATCAGAACTACCCTAAAACTTGGATTATACAGCTTTAAAGAAGCTTTAAAGAGTCTCTCTAGGTAAGGACCTAGGTCATCAAATGAAGCGAAACAAAAGAAAATGGTTAAAGATTATACTTGAAGATATGCCAACAACGCAACCGATAAGACGATGTTGTATATATGAAGCCAGGAAGCCAACGGTATTCCGCTCAACATCCAGATCCCAGCTAGTTGAACAGACGAGAAATGAAAACAGATATCCTTTTTATTTCGTTTAGCCCAAGGTCCTATATGCATAAATTGTCCGTAGCGCTACGCAATAATATACGATGAGCAGGGAGGCTGTTTCACATCACTACTAGTGCAGGAAAGCGCGCATACATATTCCTATTCCTGAATTTAATTTGGTTGCCTCCTGGTATTCCAATGCTGCCTGGGTTCGATCAACCCTACAAGCCAGGAGCTAAAATAAGAAGCGAAAGTGCCAAAAAAAAACCTTTGCCAAAGCCTGACCACGCCACTTAACATCGCTTCCTCCCCTCTCCGCATAACAGACATTCCATATAGATTAATTTTCCCTAAGCCACTCATGCATCAAGGATAATTTACGCGCTGGCCAAAGCAAAGCCCCCATCTAGACCCACAGAGTCCGTGTTATAGCGCCACGCGGGCCGCAACTAGTGCAGTGACAATGAGGACTTTCGCCAGCACAGCGCTTACATGCTCACGCCAGGTACACGATTGTGTTTCATACCCCGGCAAAATTAAAGCCATGATCATAATGTTCTTGATATCATTAGTTGGTTCTATTATTATCATGGAGAGGCGGCCCACGAGCATGTGGGCTCTGTACTTGGCTCTAAATCGAGCGAGGATCGGCAAAACATGCCCATCGATGGCGCATAGAGGACCGAGGGGTGTTATTCCCTTAAGAGCGCCGTTAGGGGCATGTGTTTGAGTGAGCTAAGTTTTGTCGTATGATATATGTTTTTATTATGAATTGACGTGTTAGTGATTTAATGATGCTTTCTATACTGGTTCTTGTATCTTTATTTCCGCTTGTTAGGGCTGACGAGTGGGATGATTTCACAAATAATCTTGCTACGGACTTGGTATGTTTCTACTTATCTGGATGAGGTTCCGGGTAGGAGTGTGATATGCTGATGTTTGGATCAAAGGCTCCTTTAATCACATTGTTCGGCGAACGACTTACAAAACAATTTCTCTCCGAGTCCATTAGCGCTCTTGATAATCTGATCTTTGCCCTCTCGCCGCTTGGGGTCTTGACTGCTGTAGTGTCAGTGATCAGGATCTGCGGAAGTTCGTCTTTAAGGGCATTTGTCGGACGAGCACAAGAAGGTCCTGCCGAAGCTGAAAGTGAACTCCTTCCTTGCGTCTCCGAATCTACCGCAGAGCTCTTCAATGATGGTGGAATCACACGAGTCTTTGGAAGGCCCAAAATCGTGGAGATAGTGACTTGGGAGAATGTCAACTATAGAAAAGAGACAGTGACCAAAATTGGCACTTTGAAAGACGCTCTTCAAGATGATGCGTGGTCTTGCAATAGCAAAGTTTCACCCAGTGAATTACCTGAACTGGACATTCCCAATCTGTCATTAAATACGGGAATCAAGAGGAGGGCTCAAGTGTGGTTTCATTGTGCTGCGATACTAGGTGGTGTACTGCAAACCGGTCAGTAGTTCTCCTTCTTTTGAGTTTAGAATGATTCTGACGACAGTAACTCTTATCAAGCCACTATTGCATATGCTGCATTCACGGTGTTTATATATCCCCAGCATTTTCAGAAGAACGACAAAGCTGTTGCCTCATACGCATTCCCGCTTTATCTTACTGGGTCGGTCCTCTTATTTATCGGAATGTTCTTCTGTGCATTTATCTTGGAGCGTTCCTCAAAGGAGTATTATCTGAAGGCGGAAAGGCCAAGCAAGATATACTGGCTGCAGCTTGGTAACCAAGATGTGGGAGATCAAGTCTTCAATACTTTCTTGGCTGTCAAGGAAGGCCCAAAATCTTCAATGACCACGAATCTTAGCTATATCAAATCAATCAGAGATCGAAGATATGACGGGAGGCATTTAGAGATTCACTCCACACTCGCATCCACAATCCTCGGATTTGTCTTTCAGTTTGTTGGACTGAGAGGCCTCCATGCATCTGTCATCCTAGCCCAGCTAGGATCGACACTCCTAATGGCTATCATACGGACCTGGCTGCGAACGGAAAGAATGGAGCCGGACGATAACAAGATGAAAGACGACCGGGACCTCATGGCTTACAAGCAGCAGGAGCTGGACTGCTTCGCCTTTTATCTCGAAAAGGTCGAATCTTTCGATCTAATCCCACCGCATATGGTACCACTGCATGACCAATCAGCCAGGATGAAGCCAGCGGAAAAGCTGTTACCTGATGCTGGGGCACCGTTGGGGATAAAGTTGATTCAGACACGGGCTCAGCTATCTAGACTTACATCGAGGTCGACTCAGAGCATTAATGCTGCCTGGGATGAGATGCCTGTTCGAAAAATAGCTCATAATCTCTCAAAAATGATTGAGTCGACGATGGATTTGATTTCCAGTTGGGGAGTTGAGTTCGATGACACCTTTAGCTTCCGAATTGGCTTCGAATGTAAAGGTATCAATCCAGGTTCTGGGACTCAATATTCAGGACAATCGGCGATTGACCTCATGTGGCGAGGTGATGATATGCGATGGAAAGTGGACGCCACCGAGATGGAGGCAGTTCTAGGCTTGTGGACATGGTCTCTGTGCAAGTCAAATCGCGATCTAGCGACTTCAAAGCTCTTTCGTATTGTTGGGCTTGATAAAGCAGAGGCAAGCAGGGAAGAGACTTATCTCTACTTTCGCAAATGGATATTCCGAACCTTGGACAAACGACTGATCCCATCTGACCTCATTGGCGATCAACAACGACTCTTCGGCCATGAGCCAAAGGATCACTCCTCCCTGAAGAACCTTCTCGCTATATACACTAGTAATGGAGTAGAGATGATGACCGCCCAAGATATTTTCATTCAATTTCTCAAGACAGCTTTCCTCCAAGTGAAGGAATTGGGCGGGCAAGTGGACATCTCTACTGGTGCATACAGACGCGACCCGAACTTAGCCTCCAACACGCATATTAATGAGCTGGCATCTCGGTTTGAAGCTCATTCCCTTGGATCACGGGAGGATGCATTACTGTGCATCGTCCCTGTTCTAAAAGATAGAGGTCTTCTCCCCGACCTCGAAGCCGACTCCCCCAAGACTAGAGCGCACAAAGAGGAATATATAAAGCAGGACAACTGGGAAGAAGCATTCGATCTGCTTCTTTGGCTTTCTGAACGATCAGAAGGCCAACATCTTGAGTCATCGGTTTATGAGCTGGGGTTTCTTTGTCGTCAAGCGTTGTTGGGTGGCACCTATAATGCTCACATCAAAGGAGCCGAGCAAATAGGAAACCTTCTCAGGTCAGATATACGGGACTGGTTTATTCGAGGTCCATTCGTGCCGTCACATTGGAAGAAGTCTCAAGATCGCATTCAGTGGTGGGATGCGTTCTCAACCCAACTTGGCTGGATAGCATGGAACATCTCGACCAAGGTTCCTGACTTAGGATTCAGCCAGCCTACTCTGGCGTCGTTGAACGTTCAGCAGACGTTGAGTGGCGGTAACGATGCAGGCCATGATGTAGTTGAGGTCCAAAAAAGCATCGAGGCTGTTGAATACTGGCTTACATCGGATATTCTCGTTTTGGGCCACGGTGGGCCCAGGGCTAACGATGAGATCGCGTTTGACTGGATCGTCCGCAACAACCATCATGCCCTGCTTTATTTTCTGCTGCTAATATGGATTGAGCTCAGCGAAAGTTGGCCGTCGCTCATCATGCGCGCATATTCCTTCGCAAGCAAGAATCGCTCTGTTTCGGCATTCAGAACCCTTCTTCGCTACAGAGCAAATATAGAAGCAGTGGATCCCCACGGTTGTACGGCGTTGCTTATGCGCATCCAGAACAAAGACTTGGATGGAGTGAAAATGTTACTGCAATACGGCGCCGACCCAAATGGCAAACCAAATGGCGTCAACGAATCCCACAAGATCAGACCCCTGCTTGTAGCCTTGGGAATTGGCGACTACGATATTGCCGAATTACTTCTGCAGAACGGAGCCTCAGTAGATGTTGTTGACCAAAGAGGCCTTTCCGTGTTGTGGTGGGCCTGCAGCTCCGGTAACTTGGCGATTGTTGGTCTGGTTCTGCGCTATAATGCAGCGATTGACCCAGTCGGACCTGACGGTACAACGCCAATGCGCTATTACGCGGAAAAAGGGAAAGTTGAGATTGCTAGGTTCCTAATTAGTAAAGGAGCGAGCACCAAATTTGATGACATGAGCGGTCGGCCTGCACTCACGCCCGCAGCTAAAGATAGCTCTTTGAGAAATGCTCCGTTGTTGTTGGAAGGAGGACCTGGTATTGTTGTGGACAAGAAGAAGGGACTGACCGGTGGATCTGGCGTCATTAGACGTCCACCTCCAAGTTATGACTAGACCGAAGAGGTGGATTTGAGACCACTTGCTATAACGATTTTATTCAAATAATGATGTACATAATGCTTGCTTTTTATACTCTGAGAAGGGATACACTAGCGATATCTTTGAACGAAAAATGAACATGCAACTTAGCTAAGTACATTTTCGCTCAAAACCAGGGACAATGGATTCCTTTTTTCCCCATTCCTATGGACGTGTAAGATTTGGTCTTTGCTCTTGGCCTCATTGCACATACAGTATTAGAACAACCAATGAAAAGCGTCAATTGAGTCGGGTGGGCTGTGAAGTCGACCTATCAAGTTGTGCATAAGGGGTTTCCCAAGTGCTCGGCGGGGATGAACATGCAGTAGTGTGTGACTTGTGGTTGATTGACTGATTGACCGTGAGCTGCAAGTCCGTCACACGCCTAATATTTTCCTATTATCTCTAATAATAGTTTGAGCTCCAGTCATGAGGGGAAGCTATCTCTCCCCTTTAAAAGCGATGACCCCGCGGAAGACCCCTTTGAACCTTTCTACCTAAGTATTTCACTTTTTACAACCTTGGAAGGCCATTTGGATAGTCATTCATCCATTGACCCGATATAATACGGGGCTATAATTTTTTCGCTTGACGATATTCTACTTTACTGTAAGTTTGACCTCTAGCTTCAATCTGTGAACAGTCAGATTTCTGACCCCGAATGTAGACATCAACATTGTATACTAAAATTATTCAATTAAGCAAAATGTCTCAACAAAACTATCCCCCGCCACCCATGACAGGTTAGTGCCGTTGTAATTCACAAAAACCCCCGGGGCCGCATACTGACCGACTGTCTAGCTCCGGCCCATATAACCTGTAATTAATTCCAATCACATATTTGCTGTGCTAGTACTGAATAATCTAGCATTTGCACAATCCCAGAACCCAACAGCTGCGGCTCCCACCTACCATTATCCACCTCCCCCAGGGCAACCGCCTCAAGGTGGAGCATATACCTCGGCCACTCCGCCGGCAGAGAGCCCGCAAACCCATCGACACACCTCTTCGGCCGGGGGATACGTATCGTCTAGTGGAGGATATGCAGCCCCACCGATTGGGGTATATGCAGCTCCCCCGAAGTCCGTGAGCCCTCCCCAGGATCCAATCGCTCAGCACAATCAAGCTGCTTTCGAGCAAAACAGTGTTATTGGAATGCAGAAAATGCCCGGAGGAGCCCCGGCGTATGGAGAATTCAGCGGAGCAAAAGAAAGCAACCAAGATGATACTGGGGTTTTCAACGGCGGAAGTTTCAGGATCAGCCATCGAGATACCAACTCTGTTTTGACAGTGCAACTGGCCATGGGTTGTCCTTTGACTATTAGACCTGGTAAGTTATTCACTCCAACTATCCTTAGACACGGACGTCCTTTGGTTGTCGGTGTCTTAGTCCGAATTATCTATTGACGAGGAACTAATTCTGCTTGATTCCTTAGGTGCGATGATAGCAATGTCTCCAACGCTAACACTGAAAGGAAACATCTCGTTTTCATGGAAGAAACTCATCATCGGGGGTAGTATGACTATGTCCCAATACACCGGTCCCGGTGAGCTTCTAGTGGCACCTTCGATGTTGGGAGATATCATGGTTATTCGGATGGAGGAACCAGATGAATGGAAAATTGGACGTGACGCCTTTCTTGGACATACTGCTGGTGTCGAGCATAAGTACCAGGCCCAAGGCCTAACCAAAGGTGTTTTCTCCGGCGAAGGACTTTTCGTCTACAAGATAACAGGGACTGGACTACTTTGGATCCAGAGCTTTGGTGCAATCATCCAGAAAGATGTAAGTCTATCATCCCCGTTGAGCGAGAGTTCCATCTGACACATTTTTCCTACAAAGCTTCGCGAAGATGAATCATACTTCGTTGATAACGGCCATCTTGTGGCGTGGAACTGCAAGTACAGAATGGAGCGTGTGGCTTCTGGTGGTATCATCTCCGGCATTAGTTCTGGCGAGGGTCTTGCGTGCAGGTTTACAGGGCCTGGAACTGTCTATTTACAGACCAGAAACCTGAATGCATTTGCTGCTCAGATGAAGATGAGTACTGCAAGTGCGTAATTTTAGCGCTCATTTGGCCAGACTAAAGTGGGTTGCGAAATTTACTTTGACTGTCACTTCGTGAGAAACGAGGATGTTCCCAACTTTTCATCGTGTGTTTTTGTTGTATAGTCATTCGTCCATTGGGCATAGGCCCAACAGCGAGCAAGCCTTCTCCTTATACCAATTTGTTATGTTACAGGGTTCCCCGGGTCATATCAATACATTTTATGTGAAACAATTGTGTTTTCTTTTGTAGCGTTAGCGTCATTTTTCAAATGAATTTGACAAACTACTATCATACTCAGAAGCCTATATTGTTGCAACTATATGGGAGGTTCTAAGAGGGAAGTACCCGGTATCCCTTCCTAGCCTTTTTAGGTGGGCGCAGAGGTACTTGATAATAAACCATAGACCAAGATGGTTTTGCCCGGGGATCGAGAGACAGGCATATATCTACGATCGAAGATCTTTCACGTCTGGTCAACTAGGTCAGGAGAGTGGCGACTCTACCACAGTCCTAACCGTTCACCTAAATGTGAGATCATATAGCCTCGAAGGTAAGATGTAGTGATATCAGTCCATTTCATGCGAAACTATTTTTTATTCTTCAAATCGTTTCCTCATCTCAAGCCCACCAGGGCGGAAAGAAAAACAACAGTGCCTTGTTTCCACTCCGTAAAAGCTCTAGTAAGTGACACGCCATAAGGAAGAGATAAAAACAAGCCCTTCCTTCGCAAATTGCCAGTACATCTCCATCCACTTAGCCCACACGCTTTCTGCGGCCGATCTGGGAACGGAAACCGGTCTTGATGGCGGCGACGGAACGACGGGATCCGCAGGAGTTGCAAGTAACGAAATAGAGACGGTTCTCTCCCTTGTTGAGCTCGGTGTCGGGGCTGCGGCAGGTCTTGCATGTGACGTACTCGACAATATAGCGACGCAGAACCGACTCGATACCCTTCTGTTGGAATCTTCCCTTGATGACCAGGCGACGGGAACCGTCGACACTGCCTGATGTACCGAGTTCGGCGAACAGGAATTGAGTGCAGTGTTCCTCGCTAATTAGAAAAGACAGTTAGAAAGGATATCTTAACATATAAATGGGGAACGGGCATAACGAACCTTCGCTTCATGCGCTTGCAGATATCAGCAATGTTGGCGAAAATGGTACGACGGTTACCTTCACGCAGGCACTGGGGCGGGGGGATCTTGTAGGACTTGGCGCCGGTGGACAGGAGGTCGGGGTGGTGGCTCTCGATGAGGGAGAAGAAGCGGGAGACGAGGAGCGAGTAGGGGATGGCTTGTGTGGCGTCGTGTGCCCAGATACCGGTGCCGGCCTCGAGGTCACCCTCGGGGAGCTCCTCAGGCTGCTCCTCACCAGCCTCCTCAGCAATACCAGCCTCAGCGAGCTTGGCATCGAAGTCGCTGGCGTCGACCTTCTTAGACTTCTTGGAGGGCTTCTTCTTCTTCAGCGCGGAGGGATCGAATTCGCCATCGGCGGCGGGGGCTTCCTCGTCATCGGCGTCGGCGGTCTTAGACTTCTTGGAGGTCTTCTTCTTTTTTGAGAGACCCTTGAACATCTCGGTGACCTCGTCGACATCCTTCTCTGTATATTCATGAGATCGTTAGTGGGGCTGAGGCAAAGGCGACCGGGGGACTGAGGCTGGGATCGGAGAGGTATTGCATACCGCCTGTAGGCTTCTCAGCCGGAGGGGCGTCTGTGACTTGGCCGTTGGTATCCATGATGACTGATCCTTCGCTGAATGCGACTGACTTGCGCTGCTTGGTTTCGATTTCCTGAGCGGAGCGGCAAAAAGCGGCGTTAGTTATGAGAAAAAATGAGAATTTGCAGAAGAAAACGAATAGCCTGGCTTTTCAATAAAAAGTACCAGTCTTAACCCCAGGCTCAACAATATGTGTTCTTGGATACAGTGGTTGGCGGCCGAGGGGTCGATATTGTGCAGACTCAAAGAAATTGTGGGAGGGTCGGTAAAAAGACAAGGGTGTGACGTACAGCGTCCGCCATGTTTGTAGGCTTCAAAGATGCTATTGACTCAACCACGGTATGTTGGTGAGGATTTCAGGTTGTTGCGAATTCAAATAGCTAGAGCAATATGGTAAAATGGCAAAATTATCGCTGGAATCTGATATCGCCAGGCCTGAAGGTTATCGCGGTACGTACCACGTGACCACTGAGTCACTAGATTACACATCACGTGATAGATTTGGTACGGAGCTTGGCTGTGTCGGTCGATCAACTCAACAGTTGCTCTCTCATTTACGTATAATCGCAGTAGGCAGGCCGCTGCTTGATCAACCTCGCTCTCCCTTCACTTACTCACATTGATCTCTTCACAACAATCTTCATGATGTCTTTCCCCTCCCCAGAAAGCTCAAATCCCTCCTTCTCTATGTCCGCGTACATGGTCCCCTCCAGACAGAACTCATACTCCGAGTCCGATGATGAGGTCGCCTCCCTCCCATCAGAATCTACAACCGACTCCGATCTCGATACTTTGTCTGAATATTCCTCTGATGCCGAGGCAGAATGGCAAGAAAGCATTGAACAACTGGAGCTCCTTCTGACTATGGTTCTGGTACCCTTCATTGGGAAATACCTCGGGCGACGATGCGCATATTGGAGTATGTGACATCACCGAGCTTCACGATCTCGCTACATAAAAGGATAGCTGGCTGATTGGTTGCATTTCTAGGTTGGACGCGATTCATGCAGTGGCAATACCCTGTTGAGGTGGTGATGCGGAACCCGGCCGCATTCAAGGCAGCGGGTGCGATCGAGGCGGCTGCAACTCTATAATAGATTATAGACCCAAGCACCTTGCAAGCACTTGCTGCATGTCATTTTGTCAAACGTGCCATCGTCAACCGTACGACCCACACCTCTCAGCGTTCGCATCCCCATACAAGACCGACCCGACTTATTCTCTTGGACTCCGCAACATATCCACGACCAAAAAGCTACATGATCGCTTCAAATCAGATTCAAACTCCCAATAATTCTTCGCTGGTTGTATCTGGCGTTGCACGGGGACCCGGGATCGAGTCCAGTGTTGTTTTCCCTGGCTTTCGATCTCCCGTGGTTTGCAATTGTTCTTCGTCAAACGGCGGCATATATGGATAGGTCAACTCCATAGCTTGAATAGAGACAAGCATTCGGATTTGAACCATCTTATGATGTGTCTAATTTTCCTATCCAAGACTGTTATATACCCAATGAATTCATCAACCCTCATCAAGATTGATAAGCCAGCGCAGCATTGTTTCTTCTAGGCCATTATTGACTTGCAGGTTATCTGGGAGCTGAATATTGGGGTGCTCGGTTGAGATGAACTATGTTAAGTTAATCTTGGGCTAAATTTTCCAATGATTGCTATAGGCTCTGCCTGATTTTTCAAGTTCGAAGGGGAGGTTGCCCTCATGCACATCACCTTGAGTATCAGGTACTCACAATTTATTGGCAGCGGAAGTTACGCTAGCTAGGTATGTACATGAAGCTGAGAATACCTTCTTTTGATATGATTGATGATTGATGTAAATGCGACCAAGTTACTATTGACACTCGCGACTGTCCAATTCAATAATCATGTTACCGGGGAAGATCAATAGAGTTTGTTCTGCCGCCAGAAATCAGATAATTCTGGAGCTTGACTCTGTCGTGCATCGATTTCAGTTGATGCACGCGGTTGTGACTCGCCGTATCCTGCAGTCAACCACGGCATATCATTATTCAGTTCAACACAAGGATCATTGAAATGACTGGTTGGTAGTTTCAGTTGACAAGAAGGCTCAGACGGCCATTCATCAAATCGTTCTTGTGTGGCATCTTGGGAGACCGTTGCCAAATGCCCTAGCTCTACCTTCCGGGTAGGAATATCGGAGTGCCGAATACTAGTCGACTCGGGGCTATTCGGAAGATCAGTGGCGTTTAGTTCCGGGGATTCAAGTAACTGCTGTAAATCTGATGCAACTTCTGCTGCAACCCCAGGGCGCACGATGGCGGAATAAGCAGCATCCAGCGTGCGATAGAACACATCATCATCATCGACCCGACCCAGCTCATAAACCTCGATGTCAGAAATATGCGGCTGTTCGACCTCTGGTACGGATGCAGGGAAAACAACTTCATTCTCCGTCGATTCCTGGGGCAAAGGCTCACACTGATCCTCATTCAAGATGTCTATGAACCGATCTTGGCTTTCTAGTGTCTTGATAGCCTGGAGATCTAGACAGTTCGGTTTATCTGAAGCTTGACATGATCCGTCTTGCTCTTGCTCTTGCTCGAGAACTAAAGGTGGTTGCGGTGATAGATTGTTGCTCACACTGCAAGCGGCTTCACAAGTGACGTTCGAATCCGGGACTTTCTTGGACATTCCGTTTTCAATACTATCGACATTGATAAGTTCCACAGGGTCTGTTGTATCGAGCTCGGGGACCTCGTGGACCTCCTGTATAGCGGATTCGGCTTCGGCTGTAGCTAGCTGCTCCGTGTTGGGTTCGGGTGAAGCTCGCTTTTTGTTGCCAGCTTCGTTCGACCATGATGCCTTTCTCTCTTCTAACAGTGCCCATAGTTCAGCGAGACTCCAATACCGTCTGACCAAGGCGGTGCTTGTAATCTCAGAGCATAACACTTGCGGATATACTCCGACATGCAGTAGGTTCAGCAGGTGTTGTTCGAGGGCATGGCTTTGTTCCGTGTTGTCCACCTCGGTTTCATCCCAAGTGTATGGAATAGATGAAGATTCTTCTGATATCTTTCTTCTTTTGTTGCGAGGCTCCAGGGAAACACCCCGAGAGTGGCTGGAAACAGGGGAAAACTCGCTGCCAGGGGCCTCTTCAAATGTGAACAGCGGTGTGACTGAGGAGTCAAGTTGGCGTTTCATACCAAGCACCTTTTTTTTCGAGTAGGAAGCGTCGGGCTTAGAGTCATGCGCAGGATCATCGAACTGTTGCTCTCGTGGATGGTACTCTCTCTCATGCTGTCCATCCAGAGTGTCTCTGGCGGTAGAGGTGGGATACGGGCTGAGATTATTCCTCCGACGCAGAAATTTCATCTCAGAGAAGGCAAGGTCCGATTCTGCGACATATTTGTGGAACTTGACGCTTGGTGCAGCCTTTGCAAGAGCAGTTGCCGAGGTGTTTATGTGGTGATTGGTTGTTGAAGAAGACCGTCCCTTGCTGAATATCCCCAGGTTTGTATTGCTGCGCAGCTATTTGGAATCAGTAACATGCAGCGAGAGTTTACAGAGCCTTCTTACTGTCAATCTGTTTCCTGTGACATTGATGGCATGGAAGTCATCATTCATGGTGTGTCTCCTGCCCCGGGATTTTTTGGCTTTTTGTTTGCGAGACTGCGATTGGGTCTCCACAGCTGATGATGGCCCTTTGTACTCGTAGCGATCCTCACGAGTCTTGTGTCGAGGCCTTATCTCATAACTGCATCGAGATCTCTTATGACTTTCGGTTCCTGGTATGGTCTCGTGAGTGGGCGATGCTCTGGTTTCGTCGAGGTGACTTGAATTTCTTTTCTTGCTAGCGAAATGTTTATTCGCACGCACACTCTCAGATATCTCAAGTGGGATGCGAATACGTGGTATGCTGGTCGCAAGAGCTATGTCCTTCACTTGTTCCTGGTTCTCAGCTAAAGGTCTATTAGCGCTGAAGCTTGATAGGTCTTGCGACAGCAACATGCCTTCATCTTGATGGCCACTTTGTTGGTGATCCTCCACAGTGGAAAGCCACTGGTAAATTGAATTATTGCTCTCCATTAAGAAAGTCACTGTGAGATTTGGACGTATTTGGATAAATCAAGTAGACTTGCAGGAGAACCGGACAGAGTAAAGGTGACTTGAATTCACACAACTTCAGTCACCGCCGAAGAAAGCGCGACCAGCTCAACTTTGTCCCGCTTATCCTATCTTTTTTTTTCTTCATCTCTCCATAAATTCCTAATTGTTTGCTCCTTTGATACTCTTTGATGCTCTCTCTCTCGGGGCTTACATGGGAATATGGGAATGGTTTCTCTGAGTCATGAAATCAAGAGGCTTTTGGTGGTATTTTTCTATACCTGCTCTTCTATCAACTAGAGGGAGATGTTAACATTGTATACATGCAATCCTTGTGCCGATCGTCACCATTTCATGGGATCTCTCCCGGCATACGGCGTACACGGCCCACGGCCCAAGCCGCAGGTGGGCCTACAGAGCACTGTCTATCTGCCCAGATGCATGCACGCCCAAAACCAATTTAGGGATTGCCGATGGCCAGAACCGAGAGAATAAACCAATTGTGGTAATAAAATGTAGATCAGTCTACATGGCTAAACTATCACCTTTTCACAGTCAACTCCCGACCGAATGAGGAGAAAAATCCACAGTGCATAAACACGCATACGACCAATCACGCATAGATCTGCGAGGTACAGACTAATCTACGGGATCCCAAAATTCCACAGTCCATGCGTGGGGACCCCACTCAAGATGGCCGTTTCTTTCAAGAATGGGCTTATACTCGGGCGTGGATAAGAAGTACAGACTTGCGGAGCACTTCATACGAGGATTCACAATAGAATCCAGGTCCTATTCCAAGTGCTACTCCAGCCCTATGAGATTCAACACAGAATCCCTCACATTTTAGAATCAAGTGAGGGGCAAACAAAGGTACATCAGCCGTTACTCTTAGTGCCGCCAATCCAAATGGAGCCTTCAATACCCATCTGATTGACTGTGAAAGCCCAACAAGACCCGCAATTCCATCAGCTCAAGGTTTAAAGCCCATGAAACTAGAATTGGCGTATCTATGCATCATTTCTCACCCCACCTCGGAGTACTGGGGCTGAGTCCCGGACCTTTCTCACTCTGGTCAAGCTCCCCAGCCCAGATAAAAACACAGTAAGCATTATATTGCGCGTTGTGGACTTGCCGTTGCCGTCCGACCAGTGGAAATTTCCCGTCAATGTGGGAGCCCTAACGCAGTGTGATTGTTACACGGGACTGGCTGACTCGCCTCTTAACCACTAGGATCTCCCTGTTATTTCGCAACCTGAACGGATTTTGATTTTTTTATCCTTCCCTTGTCTTCAATCTTCCTCCTACAAACCCTCATCCTCTCGTGCTCAGATCAAGAAGCGTTGTCTCTCTTACAGCTTTCTCTGTTAGACATTTAACACGATGTCTAAGCTCTTTGTTCAGTGTGTATTTCCCATCCAAGAGCAGATTCATGCTAGTATGAGCCGGTCTAACCGTTGTGATGGAATTTAGCGGCCTTTCTTGGCATACTAACGATGACACCTTGCGCGAGGGTTTCCAGCAATTTGGCGCTATTCAAGAAGCTGTCAGTCTACCTTAGTTGAAGTAAATACCATGTTTTTTGAACTTCTACTGAATATACTGAGTACAGATTGTTGTGAAGGACCGTGCGACTTTGCGCAGTCGCGGCTTCGGCTTTGTCCGGTTTGCTACTGATGCCGAGGCGGATGCTGCTTTGAGTGCCATGAACAACCAAGAGTAATCATTCAAACCTCACATTCATTTTACTTCAAGAGAAATCTTATCCGTTGTTCAGATTCGACGGACGTGTTATTCGTGTTGACAAGGCATTTGATCGCCCCCAACGCCCCGAAGGTGGCTTCCAGGGCCGTGGTGGATACAATTCCCAACCCCAATCCACTTATCAGGGTGCGGGTGCAGGTGGCTACGCTGGATACAACAATGGCGGGTACAATAACGGAGCTGCCCCTGGTGGATACAGCGGGGGCTACAATAATCGCGGCTACAACAACTTCGCCCCTAGTGGTCCCGCTGGCTACGGCGCAGGTCCCGGCGGTTATGGTTAGTTTTCTATTTCGACGTTTATTTTTTATATTTTTATATTAATTAATTGTATAGGTGGTGGCCCAAACACCGGGTATGGCGGTGGTGGAGGTGAGTTATTATGATATATTGATGGCGATATTAACTGACATCCAAAGGCTGGCGCGGAAACAACCACGAGCAGGCTCCCCAAGACGGTCAACATTAGATTGTCTTTTTAATTCCTCCTTATGCATCTTTCTTCGGCGATTCCTTCTAAAAGAAGTGACGGTCTACAACAGCTGGAATATGATGGATGAGCTGGGAGCAGCGCTTGCTACCCTGGTATTGGATTTTGTAACAGGGGTTTTATTATTTTTTTTCTTTGCGCTCAAATTGCTAGGAATATTGAAGGTAACTTGGGCTTTGAGCTCAATCCTGGGTTTATTGGATGCAGATTTGAGCTTCGATACGGTTGCATTTCGCCCTATCTCACCTAAAAACCCCTTTGAGGCTTTTTCTTCTCTCTTTGGCAGAATGACCTGGTTTCATATCTGCAATGCGTGTTTGCGTTTCACAACATATTCTCCCTATTACGAAGCATACAAGACAAGCCCAGTGATTCGATGGATATTTAAGCATAATCTGAATATGTATCCAGCAAGGGTTCGGGTGACCAAACCACCACGAGGCTGTTTCAGGGGATAAAACCCAACGCCACTTCTACCCAAGGTTCTATTTATTATTATTTTGTTTACACTTATGCAAGACACGATTTCCATCGGGTATCCTTGCTTTGGGTATTCTTGCTTTGTAGAAAACCAATCTATCAATTCCCGGGCTAAGAACAGGAATCATCTACAGCGAGAGATATAACAAAAGTACATTGTACTCTATGACAAGATCGGGCAAACCCGCACACTCTATACCGTGGAAACAATGTATTTGCTTGCTATTGTCAAAGGTATACACAATTAGCAAGATGGTAAATAGGTCTTTCCAAATTGTAGTGGTTCGATTCATCACCCATAGAGGATATCGATAGTGTTCTCCACTGTCTTTCCAAGAAAAAAGAACCTACGCCAATTGCTTAATGGGTTCTTTCGCATCTATATATTCTACTAGGCAAGTATGTAATATATACTATATGCCAACAAAAAAACATCAGTCATCAACCAAGCCTCGACCCATACATCTCATTCAATCGTCGCACGACCATCTTCAAGATCAGGCTCTTTAGCCGCGCCCTCCAAAGACTTAGTAACCTTTAATTGAGCCTCTTCCTCTTCAGCCTCTGCAAGCCCCTCGGCCTCAATAGCCTTGACCCGTTTCACCAAATCTGTAACATGAACATCCGCAGTCCCAAGTCCAAGACCCTCAAGAGCCTTCTCCAGCATGAACAAATACTCAGAGCCCTTCCCACTCAATCCATGACCAGCACTGATAACCTGCGCCACATGCTGCGGCTCGCGATGAGCTGCGTCACGCAGGAACTGCGGGTTAGTCGGCTGGCCGATGTAGACCATGCAGATAATTGGAGAAGACCCGGCTCCTTCGACATCCACTGTCGGATGGAATGGCGTGTAGTGCGCGCTGTAGCCGTCGATCTCCCGCTCGTCGAGGTAGTCGTGGACTTCTTCGGCATGAGACGCTGGGATGTGGTATGCCGCGCCCCAGACTTTGCCTGTGGAGGATAATTCGGATTCTAGGTGGGCCAGCTATGGAACATGTTAATGCAGTGGCGTGACATAGGTGCGGGTATCGAGCATACCGGGTCGTCCAAGGTTTCCCAGAAGGTTCGCTCAATTACGGTGACTACTCGACCCGGTTGTTCGGGGGTGCCACGGTGATCGGTACTTGGGGAGTAAGTTAGATTTGAGGTTCTTATAAGGTTTGGATAGAAGTCAGTCAATGGCATACCTAGCCTAGAATCCATAAACAACAACCACGATGTTAGTCTGGTTATTTCAAACATGGGCCTATAGAAAGCCCTTCCCTCATGTGAATGGTTTACGCACCTGCCAAAAGCGGCGCACATATCCACTAATATAGCCCGGCACGCGCTGGTCTAGACGATATAGTTAGTCGATTGATTCTAATTCAGAAGCGACTTATACAATGTCTGTGCTATCATTGAGCACTTTCACATCGCAGTCTCGCGTACCATAATGTGGAGGAGGTTTCCAGATCAAACTCCTATGCATATAATCAGTATTTTATATTTGACGGCTCGGTGACACCATTTCAGAACAATGCATTAACTCACCCATAACCAAATACCCAGAGGTCACCCTTTGGGAAATGATTCTTCCACGTCCGACCGTCTGGATGGACCTGATGCCCTTGTGCAATGGCAGCCATATCAAATATGCAAATAGCAAATCCCCTCCAATGTGTTTATTGCACCTTTCAACCGGGGGGATGAATTAATAATTCGCTCCGGCTCCCGAGGTCCGATTTCAAGGCTGATTTTTGTTGGGGATCAGCGAGTCAACTCTTAAAGAAAATTAGGGACTCAAATTCTTAGCTAAAGATGGGATGATATAAATTGAATTTGATCACAATTGTATGAACATCCCCGGAATGTTGAAGTTGTCCAAAATTGATACACCGATTGTGTTTGCATTGTTTGTTGGATATCCCGCCATTTGCGTGATGGATGAGACATCGATTGACGACAATTTGAGAATATGTGGGATAGATGGGATAGTCAAGTGTTGAGATGGTCTATATATAGATCAAATCAAATATTTTCACATACATTACCCGATTAAAAGGTACCTAGCAATGCGGGATCCTATTCATGTGAGACGTTGCTCCTGTCTTGAAGCAATGTCTTAATCGAACCTCCTTTCAACGGACGGGCCAAGTCCGACCGGAAGATGGTAGAAATGAAGAATACAGGTGCATATTTTTGTGGAACGAGTGACGAGGTATAGTTCCAGCTTACTATATGCCAAGTTGACGGGCCTCGAAGGCTGGCTGCCGCTGCTCAGCTTGCCGACCTTGTTTTCATGCAGCACAGTATGTGTCTATCGTTCTTTAAGCACTCCTGTGATCCAACCAGTTTGAGCTTGAGACATCCATATCCTCGTACTATTTGTCTGGCATGGGATCTGGAAGCTTTCGGTGGCTACATAAGCCAATCTGCCCCGTCGCTGAAACTCCCTGACGTACAAACCTCCTATATCATCCTCTCTTAAGGAACAAAAGCCATGTCGATTAAGATTTCTTCTCTAAGCAAGATACTTAATCTGCACCAGAAGTGCGGAAATCTTGCATCTCAATCGCAACAGATTGAACACCAAATATCTGGGTGGCGGCCTTCCTATCTTCGACGACGAGTGTTGATCGTATTCGTGATTACATTCTGTGGAGTCATAGCTACTCTCGAAAAACTCAACTATGTCTCCAAAATTCATGATGGAATTGCCTTTTCAGTCGAAAGCCATCATTACCTCTGGACTTACGTACCCACTGCCATCTTCACTGTTATCGCGACCTTCTGGTCGCGTGTCGAATTTCAAGTGAAGCAAAGAGCACCATGGAAGGCCATGGCTGAAAAGTTTGGAAATGCCATGGAATCCATGCTCTTGGACTATGTATCCGAGATCCAGCTGGCATCAATCGTCAAGGCTATACGAAACAAGCACTTTGACGTGGCAGCTGGAGTTGCCTGCTCTGTACTTCTGCGTCTCTTGGTCATTTTCTCGACCAGTCTTTTATCATTACGAAAGGCTCAAGTGCATCGATCATCGGTCCCAACTCAATTTTCAGCAATCGGACAGGCTATTGCCAATGAAAATCGAATTGTCATAGCACAGCCTTCCCTTCGTGTGGTGGAGGTTTGCCTGATACTAGGGATCTTGCTAGCGATTCTCATGATTTTTCTAGAGCCACGCATGACGATCGCACCTCGGAACCCGACTTCCATTTCATCCATTGCCGCAATCATGGCAAAAAGCAACGAAATTTGTCAGTCACTTCGCGGGACCGGTGCAACTCCGTTACGCGCGCTTCACTATAGTCTGAAAGAGAGTCGCTACTATTCGCAAATCACCCCCAAGGGATTCTTGATCAAAGCAGAAGGAGGTAATTGCGGAAAACTTGACGACCAAGAACATCAAACGCCGGCATGGGCACCCTTTCCTAGTCTCATTGCTCGGGTTGTCATCTTCATTGTAGTCGGATTGTGTATTGCAACATTGGAGACTGCATTGTATGTCTCACAAACGAACGATGGACTGGGAAACATCTCCTCCAATGAATACCACCGTTACATGTGGACGATCATTCCCTCGCTGGTCATGGGTAGCATTTGTCTTTTGTTCGGGATGATGGACTTCAATGCCCGAAGCTTAGCACCCTATGCACAGTTGCAACGACCTGCCGGCGCACTATTCGAGGAATCCATGACGGTGAACTATCTAGATTCACTAGCTATCACCGCCATGATCCGTTCAATCCGTACAAAACACTTTGCTGTTCTAGCTACTACATTGGCTACCATGGTCGCCCCGTTCCTAGTCATCATCACAAGCGGCTTATACACTACAATCGAGGTCCCCCACAAAATGAGTATAAACTTCACACAAGCGACCACCTTTTTCAGCGGTAATTCAGCAGATGCTGACAGATCCAGTGATGCTGGAATCTCCGGCATGGTCGTCACCAAGCACATTCTCCACAAAGATTTGGATTTCCTCCGCTGGACCTACGACGAGCTTGCATTCCCCACACTTTCCATGGATACGCCCTCATCTAGCAATGAGACAGGGAATTTATTCGTGGACATTCGGATACCTGCCCTGAGAGCCGCCCCTGCGTGTTATTTCCAAACCGGCAGGCGACTGCAGTGGAATTTCACCAAGTCTAACGACGGCAGTGAGTCAAGCTACCAGCTCAGGGTTGTTGCGCCTACCATGCCCTGTTCTTTGCTAGATGAAGGCATGGGATCAACCTCCTTGATTCCTTCACTCGCTATTTTTAATTCCCAGGGCCTGTTCGGGCAATCAAGCATGCTCCCGTGTGGCAACAGCTACAGTTCCAAGCCTGCAACCCTGTATCTCTGGGGTAATATCCAAAGTGAGGCCGTGGAGAGTATAAGTGCGATGACTTGTATTGAAGCCACCGAAACGGTCGATACCGTAACACGATTCCAGCTGCCTGATTTCGACATCACCGATGACTATCCCCCAGTCCCTGACGAGTCATCTGCGAGATCAGCCCCAATTGTTGATGTCCCATGGATCAGTTGGAACAATTTCAACGCCACAGATACTACAGCTGAGAACTTAAACCTGGACGAGTTCTTCACAGCGCTAATTATGGGCAAGTACGCGATCCCAGCAGGAAGTCTCATTGACCCAGACTCCATTGATATGGTCATCAAGGCAATCAAGCACCAGGATAGGATCCTCAAAGCACAAATATTCAACAATTACTCTCGTAGTGCGGCAGACAGCGCGATGGGCAATGCCCCTCTGACCGGGAACATCACGACATCAAACCGACTGCGCCTGTCGCAAGATGCAGTGTCAACACGCGTTCTTGAAGCACTTCTCGCTTCTATCCTCGTGTTGGGTATCGTCGGTTCGATTCTCATGAACACAGATCACATCTTGCTAAAGAACCCTTCTAGCATTGGCTCCATTGGGAGTCTGCTCGCTGACTCAAATATCCTCGCTCGATACGAGCAGGTCATGGGTGATCCGAATGAACAGTCGCTTGGTCAGGCTTTCTTCTCCCGTTGTCGTTTTTTTCTCGGATTTCACGGGGATGCATCTGGTCAGGGCAATCCTTGGCAGCTGTCAGAAGAGCAGGGATGCGAGAAGTATTGTGTGTACTTTTCGGAGTGGGATGGTGAGACGATGTCAGGTAACGGGTCGATGTGGTCGAGGAAGGAATTCCGGGTAAAAGAAACAAGTGTTGGAGAGCGGTCAGTGTGAGGTATGAGGTGTGAGGCTTTTATTTTGATGAACTAGCCTGTGGACAGTCTTACTCATATACATGTGTATAATGAGAGTTATACCCAACGGTTATGTTCTCTTCCTTGCAGCTCATCTTGGCATCTGTGGATGGCAACATATCAGCATAAAAGCGGTGGACTATGCTCAAATAATTATTGAACTACGGCTGTAGGCTAATGGGCCATTTTGTATTCTTACGCCACTAGGTATAGTCCATGATTGTGTATGTAGTTACATACGCTGCTTTCGTTCCTTCCAACCTTGGAAGTGTTCGATGCACCTCGCTTATCGCTATCCTTATCGCCATCGTATTTTTTTATCGCTTATCGGCCCTGTTGTTATCGGGCTCTTTTTCTCCTGCAAACAACCATCAGACGCGCCTCGGACGCTTGGTATTTTCTTGACTCGAATTTCTTTTTTGAAGGGTTTGAAACAGGATTTTCATCATGGCTGGCCTCCTCCGTCTCCTCAAGATGCAGTACACCCCTCCCATTGACCCCAAAAGTGTGTCCTTCGCTGGCAAGATCGTCATTTTGACAGGCGCTACCTCAGGTCTTGGCTTCGAGGCTGCCATCAAAATGCTGAATCTCGGTGTCGAGTCTCTCATCATTGGATCTCGCAGCGTGGAAAAGGGCAACAAGGCCAAAGCTGACCTCGAAAAGGCCACCAATAGACGCAACGTGGTCAAAGTGTGGGAGCTCGAGATGAACAGCTTCCAGAGCGTGAAACGCTTCGCAGAACGCGTCAATCGCGAGATTGACCGGGTCGATATCGCTTTACTTAATGCTGGTCTTTGGAACCGAGAATACAATCAATCCCCCGAGGGCTGGGAGGAGAGTCTACAAGTCAACACGCTATCGACCTCGATGCTAGCCTTACTTCTACTCCCCAAGCTAAAGAAAAGCTCCTATGCCGAAAATCCTGCCCACCTGACCGTCGTTTCAAGTCAACAATTCGTTCGTGTGAAGGCTGAGAGCGTCCAGACCGATGACTCGCTACTTGCTCACGTGAACGACCCAGCCAACTTCAATGGTCCTAAGCAATACGGCATCTCGAAACTTCTGCTTGAATTCATGATCAAAAATATCGCCAATATGGTCCGCGATGACGACGGCTCTCATACCCTCATTGTTAATACCGTCAGCCCCGGGCTGTGTATCTCGGCTTTGGGTCGCCAGTATACTCATTGGTGGGAGAAATGCTTCGTTTGGGTTATGCACAGATTGTTCGCGCGGACGACCGAGCAGGGGAGCCGGTCACTGGTTAGCGCGACTATCCAGGGAATTGAATCACAGGGGAAATGCTGGCGCAGTGAGGGATATCTTGAGTAAGACAATCTCTCACCATGTCTCAGTGTCACAATTGCTAATAGTTTTATAGTGAGTCAGCTGCATTGACCACGGGTCCGGAGAGTGAAGAGCTCCAGGAAAAGGCTTGGAAGGAGATTATTGCCGTGTTGGAGGAGCAAGCGCCGGAGGTATCCCTCATCTCTCGTGGCCTGTACCAGGGCGTTTAAATGTTATGACGCCGGCAAGCCAACAAGACTCGTCAAAAAAAAAAGTGGTTTGTACATGCGCCTAGCGCGTATTTGCAGAAAATTAAGCGTTCTTGCGTTTTTGAGATACCCCTGTTAATATTAATGTGTGATTACTGAAATCCTTTTGGCTTTTTTGATTTCCACAATATACAATATCCTTTCCCACACTACGAATACTAGGTCTGAACTACAGCGGACCATCACATGCAGAATTACCGATGTTTAGTGAGTCCTCATTCCAGGTTGCTCACTGTTTACTCGGTGGCCTCGGCGTTCAATCGGTGAGCTACGATAATACTCTCTTATATTCCAACTTTCCTGAGCCCCTTTTCGATATACTCGACTTAGCTCGTCGTTCCACACAATGACAAGACATCATAAAGGCGCTACCACATGGTAGTACAGGATGATGTTTTGCCCTTGAGGTACCCATACGCTCATCGCTTCCTCACCCACTTCGCACGCTCAAAAGTGTCACTTATCATGCTATATATGGTTAGTTTACAGAGAAGCCCCCCTAATGTAATGAGCGTGTCAATCTCGTAGCAACTTAACTATTTATAGTTGGTAGGTCATAAGCCACTCAAGTCGGACGACAAGAAATTAACATTCGATGCCAGAGACTAGTGTGATTATTCATGTGACAGTTAACAACAGCTAGACTTAACACACTCGAGAGGCAGTGCTACACAAGATGCCCACATGGCAGATTCTCCAGATGATTTTTCGGTATCTTTACCCACTACTGGTGCATCTTCGGCGCCGTTATCCAACAGGACCTGGACCACCATCTCATGACATCTCTCTGACGCGATCAGGAGCGCGGTTCCCAAGGGTCCAGACCAGTTGATATCGGCGCCATGGTCTAGCAGGATCTGAACTATCTTCTCATAGCCTCCAGACGCTGCCGCCTGGAGCGCGTTACTATAATAACCCCCTTGGGCATTGGTGTCGGCGCCATGGTCTAGCAGGATCTGAACTATCTTCTCATAGCCTCCAGACGCTGCCGCCTGGAGCGCGGTACCATAATAACCCCCTTGGGCATTGGTGTCGGCGCCATGGTCTAGCAGGATCTGAACTATCTTCTCATAGCCTCTAAATGCTGCCGCCTGGAGCGCGTTGCCATAATGACCCCCTCGAGCATTGGTGTCGGCTTCATGGTCTAGTAGGATCTGAACTATCTTCTCATAGCCTTCAGACGCTGCTGCCTGGAGCGCGGTACCATAATAACCCCCTTGAGCATTGATGTCGGCACCATGGTCTAGCAGGATCTGCACTACCTTCTCATGGCCTCCGGATGCTGCCGCTTGGAGCCCGTTGCTATTGACCTCGGCGCTATGGTCGAGTAGAATCTGTACCACCTTCTCATAGCCTCCAGACGCTGCTACCTGGAGCGCGGTACCATAATAACCCCCTTGAGCATTGATGTCAGCACTATGGTCTAGCAGGATCTGCACTACCTTCTCATGGCCTCCGGATGCTGCCGCTTGGAGCCCGTTGCTATTGACCTCGGCGCTATGGTCGAGTAGGATCTGTACCACCTTCTTATGGCCTCTAGATGCTGCCGCCTGGAGCGCGTTCCCATAATGACCCCCTCGAGCATTGATGTCGGCGCCATGGTCTAGCAGGATCTGAACTATCTTCTCATAGCCTCCATACGCTGCCGCCTGGAGCGCGTTACCATAATGACCCCCTCGAGCACTGACGTCGGCGCTATAGTCTAGCAGGATCTGCACCACCTTCTCCTGGCCTTCAGATGCTGCCGCCTGGAGCGCGGTGCCATATTCGCCCCTGTGAGCATTGACTTCGGCATACATTATGAACTCGTCCCTCCAGCGGGCTATAAGCGCGCTTGAGACGTACACCAACCCCAAAAGGGCAGCGTAGTATAGGGGCGACGGGATTTCCTCGGCAGCACGCTCCCAGTCGCTTTCATACATCCCAAGATCCATGTCATACAGCCGTGCCCATGTCAGAAATGACTCTTTCTGGTCCCTAAATAGCCTTAAAATCAGGCGCTCAATGTCGGACTTCCCGTTCCCAGAATTATTGTAAAAATAGGACCATTGCACAGCGGCAAAATGAGCGAAGGGAAACATTTCCAGCTTTGGCTCGTCTAATTTTCCATTTGAGAGCGTTGGGTCCAAGAGGTAAGCAAGGCAGATCTGAGCTATCTCTGTGTGGGCGGCTTCTTTTCGAATCGCGAATTTTGCTGCACCTTGCTGGGAAATCCGGTCTGATTCAAGATACTCCTGTACAGAGAAGTGCGCTATACGAGCAATTGTACTGGGTAGTCCTCCATACTCGTCCTCAATCACTGCGACCTCTATCAGACCGAGACAAATGTCGATAGGATCGTCTTGGCAAAATGATCGACCATCGCGATCCAATTCCAACTTGGTAAGGTCAATAGCAAGGGCGCCGACAAGTTCCTCCACAGTGAGTGGCTGCTTAGACATACAAAGCAAAGTTAATATCAGCCGTGCTTCTTCACTGTATTCCTCGTCGATGCTACACAGCATCCGTTCATATGTCTCATCCAGATCACGAGGCAAAGAACGTAAACATTTGTCGAGCTCATTTCGGATCCTAGCTCGTTTTAGTGCAAGGAGCTGACATTCGACATATCTAAATCTGTACAATTATTAGTCAATTTCTTACACTATCACTCTTTATTGTCACTCACACTCCTTGTGCCTTATCCATTAGCTGTTCTCGAATATCGTCATGGCGGGATTTCCATCGTTGAAGCTTGGGGTCATTGCTAAGTTCGTAGGAAATGAAGTTTTGGATGTCCATATCTGTCTCTGGATTCCTCATTGAGATATCCTCGCAAGAGGGAGTTTCCAGAGAATAGCGGATGTCTAATTCGTTACGACTGGTCACGAGGAGGTGGAGTGTGGGCAAGTCCCACTGTCGGAATTTCTTTACCGCATCTAAGACGTACTCTCTTTTATCGTCTCTGGGGCTCTCGTCTAATGCGTCTATCAGAATGTAGGTAACGCTGAACTTGCTGATGGTCTGTTTAAGGGAATTAAGCAGGACTTTCACTGGTGGAGTACCCGGTTCATACGATTCATACAGTGCTCGTAGATCCTTTTCGCCTTCTTCAAGCTGAGCCGACAGCTGCAATAACAATGCGCGTAACATGCCGGAGCAATCCTTCTTGGACTCATCACTGAAGGAAAAGTAGAAGAATCCGATTCCTATGCTAGGCTGATGTTGCCTGTCACGGACCATACGTCGAACTGCCTGGACTGCCGTCGAACATAGGACCGACTTGCCACATCCAGCGAAGCCATTAATCCACAGAAATGAGTTAGGCTCAATCAGCCACTTTTGAAATTCTTGGCCATTGACCAACCATAGTCCTGTATTTGTATGGCGTTTCTCGCATGCCGCATTGTGATCAATCGTCGCATCTGGGGCCTTAAGCCAATCACGGATTGTAGCAGATATCTGGAATGTGCTTGTCTGTTCCACAAGTATTTTGAGTTCTGATATCCCATCTTCAAGCCCAGTATGGTTTCTAAGCTGTAGCACATTCAATGCAAGAGACAATGTTCCTCGTATCTCCCCGATGATCTCTTCAAGCTTTTGAAGAGTGCTTTGTCGAAGTGGATAAGTTGCTCGGTGCCCGGCAACTTGGATTCGGCCCTTCAGACTTAGACTGGGATCTTTTTTGAATTTTTGGCACTCGTCCCTCAATTCCTCGATGACCCCACGGCATGCCACTGCTGCCTTGTCGATCTCTTGGAGTAGGGCATCCGTCTGAGGTTGGCGATTTTGTACCGCGCCATCAAGGGACCGGAGGATGCCCAGGAGGCTCTCAAGATTCATCATGGTCTTGGCCACAGCAGGAGTTTGATCCTTGTATGCTGAGTAGAAATCGACTAGAGTTTTGGTAACATCGATACCCAATGACAGCAAGCCGGCAACTCCAGACGCGATGGAGAGCGGATCAGCCATGGTGAACTCTTTTTTTTATTTTTTTCGAAATATAGGAAATACAGCAATCGAAGATTTGCAGTCGTCGAGTGAACACGGTGTCGAAAGATGACTGTATGGCGGAGAAGTGGGCATTCACCCAACGAGCGTTGGGCCGCACGGGTCTAAGCAAAGCTTCAGCCTCCCCGGGGCCTTCTATCTTGCTTATGTCTATTCCGCTAGAGGATCGACTCTCTAGTACTATACAAACTTATGCAAGCGACAAGCCCGGCACTGTCGTATTAATGGGGAATTTGACATTATGTACTAGTAGTAAGGGGGCCACGCACTTCTCCGTATTCGTATTGGTCCTAATGAAACACTAGAAATAATACACCATAAGCGCTAATTGACTTGACCATTAATAGCTTGATATAGAAACACACCGTTCGAAAGTACATAGACCTAGTGATCTGGTTATGTAGATATAAAGACATAAAATCTAACAAATAGCTGTAAAGGGATGTGACACACATCGTCATCCCCCGACTTTATCACTTGGCGCGCTAAAATCAATGCCCCACGGCTCCGCTTTAAATCTGTCTCTCCTTTTATCCTTCCCTCTTCTTCTCCTTCATATAATCTTTTGCACTTTACTAGAGTGTCGCATTCTTACTCTCGATTGCGCCACCTCTAGGAGTCCAATCATGGCTTACAACAAGTCCTACAACCCCGATGCGCTGCCAGCGTAAGTCCATAGTCGATCTAAGAGAGTCTACAGTTACTGATCTGGGAAATACTACAGTCACGCCGAGCCAGAACAGGTACAAAATCTGTCACGTACCTCATATTCTTTCCGTTAACGGTCAATTAGGTCGCGCAGATGTTAGGCAACATGAATGTATCAGGCCAAAGCCACACTCCGAGCCACACCACAAGCCTCAACCAAAAACCGCTCCCCTCTCGGCCACCACCGCAAACAAGTCAAAGCAGCGGTGTTCCTCCCCGCATTCCTGTATCTGGCGCTCCACCGCACGCATACGCCGCAGCTCCCGCACGCCTCGATCCCCAACCCCACCACTCCCACTCCTACAGCGGCCGCCCCTCTTCAGCAACTGCGCCTCCGCCGAGCCAACCTCTCACTCAATCCCAGTCTCAGTCTCGTCCTCACCCCCTCCACCCCTCCCCGCCACCCCAAAACTATGGCTTCGGTCCCCCGCCAGTGAAGCCGCAGCGCAGCCGACCTCCGTCTTCATCGCGCCCTCCCCAGTCGCCCGTCCCGCCGCCATTGACAGCACCCAGCAATGACCCGCAACAACTCTTCCCCCTCTTCCGCGCCGCGAACGCCTCCCACTCCGGTACCCTCACTGAAGGGGAACTCGGCAGCGCACTCGTGAACGGCGACTACACGTCCTTCCACCCGCGGACGGTCAGGCTGATGATCCGGATGTTCGACCGTGACGGCAGCGGGACAATCAACTTCGAAGAGTTTGTCTCTTTGTGGCGGTATCTAGCTGCATGGCGGGAGCTGTTTGATCGCTTTGACGAGGACCGCAGTGGACGTGTCAGTCAGCCGGAGTTTGAGAAGGCGCTTGTTGCGTTCGGATACCGTCTTAGTGGGAAGTTTATTTCTATCATCTTCGGTGTCTTTGAAGGCAAGGCAAAGCAGATGAGCAATTCGCCCAAGGATCCTAGATCTACTGGTATGAGCTTTGATCTGTTTGTTCAGGCTTGTATTAGTCTGAAGCGTATGACGGATGTCTTCAAGCGGTATGATGAGGATCGGGATGGGTACATTACTCTGAGCTTTGAAGAGGCTTTAACTGGTAAGTCTTATTGTTGTGCGGTTTGGGTTCAGTGGCTGATTGGGTATCTTTTTTACAGAGATTCTGCTATTGCAGGAGTAAAGCATTCTCCTACATTAACATACGTATCTGCTCGATTTTCCTCCTAGTGGTGACGTTCTCTCTACGTTCCCTCTATCTCCATTATACCCCCAACCCCCATTTGCTTTTTTGTCATAGAATTACCAGAGAACAACACTGGTCATTGCATGTTCATCGAGGAGTTATTGAGTTGCGAATACACCTGGAATAGGAATGGATTATTTCAGAGTATTGGCCGTCTCCAAATAAGGCATTACTCATTCCCGAGGTCGTCAAAGTAAAACTGTATGCAGAAGAAGCAAGCCATAGTAAACTTTGTATGGGGGTATGTATTATATTATAGCGGAGTCAATGGCTGGATTAACTAGACTAGTCGACTCATTCGCTGTCATCAGTTTCCCACGAATCATCACCACTATCCTCACCGTGGCGAAGGTGTGCAAAGTCAGGGTCCATCAAAGCGCGCTGCATAAGCAAGTTGAAAAGCTGCGGTGGGATTGAACCGCTGGGATCTCCTGGTCCTTGGAAATCTTCCTCAAAACCGAGGTCTTCATCATAATCGTCGAGATCACCGTAATCATCAAATTCAGGTAAATCATACGGCAAGATCTGGAAATTGACTTTGGTTCCTTTGAAGAGATCCCGAAGAGCAATGAAACATTGCTCTGGTGTTTTCCCTTCCGGAATACGTTGTCCGGGAAGTTTAATGGGCTGAGTGATATCGATTGCCAATACCTTGAAGTTAGTCAAGTTCGGATAAAGACCCTTTTTACAATCTGTCGCAACGTTCTGAGCCAACTCCCGGATAGATGAGTTGCAGTCGGTGACATGGAGTGTCTTTAACGAGCTGGGGAATTGAGGGTGTGATGGAAGACAAGATTGCGGGATGAGGATGGTTTCCAGCACGGAGAATTCGCGGAATGAGCCAGCCTTGACGCGGCTGGAAGCCAATTCCTCGGGATTTTCGGCGTCCCATACTGCTGCCATTGCGAACTCGAGGTGGAAGAGCTCAAGAGTGTCCTTATGTACGAGGGCGGCTTCCTGGGCCTCCTTGGTGTTGAATTCGGGCGCGGTTCCATCGCGCAGGACCCGTCGCTCGTTAGGATCCAGGCTGAAATTGTTGTAAGTAAAAGTTTTCAGGTTCTTGCACGCTTGCATGAGCTTCTTGATCGCGCCGGCATCGATATGGCAGTGGTGGAAGGACAGTTCCTTCGTCTCCAGTGATCCAGGTAGCCATGTAGATGGGAAAGATTTATCCCAGAGATCACCGTACTCGAAGGTCGAAAATATGACTTTGGGAAGGGTGAGGAATTTCTCGTAAGAACCAATATCGAAGCCGGCAAGTTCGTCATCGCTTTCAATCCAGACAGACTCGACGTTCGACAAGAATTCTGGATTGTGATCCAAAAGCTGGATGAAAGGAGAGATCCAGAATTCGCGCTGTGGCAGGTGTAGCCCACGAAGATTGGGAGTCTTGTTGGCTAGTAATGCTGCGAAAACGCCAAGGTCGGGTTTCTCCATGGCCGCAATCCAGGCTTCCTCATGATCGGCTAATTTAAGCCCCTTAATTATGCCTTTGAAGAACTCCGAGTCCTCTGCAGAAAGGGGTTTACCACCACGTGCATTGAATGGGAGAGGCAGGATGGAAATTTGATGCACATGCTTTTGGAGGTCTGGACGTTGATATATTGTTTTGGTGAAAGAGATGGTTGGGTTCGGATCATCCCCGGCCAAACCATCATCAAACAGATCACGGAAAAGCAAAGGTTGGGCTACCTCACGGAACTTCCGCGATACTAAGCAAGCATTGCGTAGAGTCTCAGTCCCTTCGAGTTCAAATTCGTCAAAGTCGTCTTCAACCAATTCCTTTGGACTGCCGTCTTTGGCATCCGTGCTTAGATCTCTGCTGCCCAGTACGTCAAGATCATCTGAGCGGATGAAGAGAGACAGAATAAGATGTAGGATCTCTATAGGAAGGCTCTCAATTTTTACCATGATTGAAGATGAACTCTGCGCTGAATAGCTGATTTATTCTAGACCTAAGTTAACGAAGGTGGGGAAGCCAGAGAAATTATCACGCGTTATGGCGCGAGAAGACCCTTTAAGACTATCCAGGAACAGCAGTTAGGGCTAATTTGCTAGGGCTTGAGTCCTCATGTAGCTTGCTCTATCCCCTTTCAGGTCTAGCGCTATATCTGGCCGCTTCTACCCCGCATACTTCCATGTACATACACTACTTGGAGAAATCTTTCTTGTCTGACCCTCACCCTTATTCTGGACTCATATTTAACGATCAGTATCCCCACGCACAGCCTGATAGTTTGGTCCTAGGCTGGCTTGTAGTAGACGCTTTACCTAACAAAGGTGGCTTGTAATAGGGCTAGGAAGATAGTTCGTCGTAAATTGCATAAATATACCTCCAGCCTTGGAACACTAAATCGGTGTCAGACAGTGATATTCCTGTGCTAACTTCTCCCAGTGGCGCTTGCTTTCTTCCGATGATGGTTGAATCCCCTATCCCATTTTTTTTCTATATGGAGGTCAAAAATTCTAGATCCCATAGCAGGAATGGAATAACAAGTCAAAGCAAAGAGATCGAAGGGAAGACATATAAATTAAGCTTCTTCCAAGGGTGTTACCGGCGTGATCGAAGTCGTAATGTGCGATACGCTTTTATAAACACAAATTTAGAGCACTTGAAGGGTAGAGAAGAAATAAGTGAAAGATTCGAATCACCTACATGTACAAATTACCTACATAGGCAACCTTAAATCCCGAACGGGAACAGTCATTCGATGATGTCTAGGGGGAAAGCACGACCCAGGCCTCTGCCCAAAATCAGTCATCCTCCAACATAAACACGTCAACTCTCCTCCATCTCTCGACACGCTCTTTCGCGCGTCCAAACGCCCCCCCCCACCCCCCCCCCCCCCCCCCCCCCCGCTCCGAGTGTGCTTTATAAATTACAAAAAGTGCCTAGCGCCAACCTTTACTTGGTTATCGCTTTCTTGGAGTTTCCTGGGATGGAACGAAATCCAACTGTCAAATACTCCCCCAAAAGCGCGCTACATAGCCCGAGCCTTTCTTTATCCACGGATTCACGAAAGCGCCCTCATTTACGCTTCCCTAACCCCTGGCAGAAAACCCAACTGTCAGAGAGAAGCAAGCTCGGAAATCGTCCACACTCCCAGTCAACCTTCATGGCTACGCCTCTCCCCTTTCCAATATGCGGCGTCCGCTTATTTTGATTGCTATTGTCCGTGTGTTACTCCCTCATGTTAATACACACAATGAACCCATCAGCAAATCATCCCAGTCAGAATTCTGAAATCGAGGCGCAGATCTACGCCATGGGTCTCGCCGTTCCAGTTTGCAATATCGTCGTCACCGAGGCGTGCTGCCTCGAGATCCTTCAAATCGAGGTTTTCACTTTCACTCAATACCTTCTATGTTGTCGAAGTTGATGGGAATCCCGCTACAATGGACATGAAATCGCTGGATTTAGACACCATCTCTCAATCACCGATCATTCGTGTTGATTCGTGCGCCTGACATGGAAGTCGAGCATTCAGAATTCCATTCCCCAGCTGCCATTTATGATGCTGTTGGTGTTTGAAAAGCTCTTTCTACACACCCCCATGAGCTTTCCAATTGATTAGCTGCATCGGAAAAAGGCTCTCAGCTTTGGCCAATACAGCGTGTGACTCAATGGTTGGACTCTTGAATGGTGGATCACTGGCAGTGCGTATATGATTGCGTTGTTTGGAAGAGATTCAAAATGGCCGATCGGTTTCGACTCGAACGGGGATATCTACTTTGAACGGTACCAAATCAGTCACCCACTGATGTCGTGGGGGTTTGGCTTGCCATTTGAACCTCTTCTCAGACAATTGTCACGCCGGATTAGCAATCCAATCCTGCTTCTGCATTATTGAGAAGAGCCCAAAGCAGAAGGGGTTGATGCATCACGGATTCCTGAGGAAATTGTAGCTTTGAGCTAGCAGTCTATATAGAGAATCATAAGACTTCCTATATTTGGGTGGAATAACAAAGTGCAAGCCAGAATTAACTCGTGCAACCGTAAGAGTAAGCAAGGGGTTTTGCCGCAATACTTCAAACGTGACTTGAAGCGGGTACCCCTCTATCATATCAATTCCTGTATAGTCCCACGCCTTAAGCTTTGAGGAAACGTGCTAAGTTTATAGGTAAAAAGTAGAAACATATTGGTTACTCCTTTGGGAAACTCCCCTAAATCCAGTCATTAAGTCCGTCGATCTCAGATCTATACGGAGTAAGCTTTTCCAAGTCTATTTTCGGGCATTTATGCGTCACCCGCATTTTCAGCCCTGGACTTTGGTTTTTTTTTCCCCTCATAATAATAGCTTGAAGAGATCGAATGTATTCTCTAACAGTTTATAATAGTAATAATAGTAGTAATAGTAGTAGGTAGCCCTGGAGTAGTAATAGTACATTCCTAAAGAAAACAAGCTATCGGTGCTTATCCAAGGCCGACACCGACGATCCACTTTGCCTCGGGAAATTCAAAACATTTTCTTCGCTCTCAACAAAAGCCCGAAATTGCGAATTCCGAGCTACTATATATGTTGACTCTGCCGTCTGGAAATATTTCCGATCGCGACAAATATTTACCTTGTTTGCTTAGAGCCAAGCTTTTATCTCCATCTTACTGACCTTTTCTTCCGTTCCCCCCACACCTGCGCATCATGAGTGAGCGCCATCAACCAGACGCCTCGAGCAGTAATACAGATCTCGATCAAACCCACGTGGAGAAGCCCCTTGACACGCCCGCCGAACAGGAAACTGTACCCGACCAACCTAACGATGCGGAGAATGTGACCGAGAAGACAACCGAGGGTGCGCCTCTGGACCGCGCGCCCTCACAGGCGGCAAAGATGGGCAAGAAGAAGATCATAATTGTGATGACGGCGCTTTCTGTAAGGAAATCTCCAACAGGCTCTATTCTATGCCGATGGGCGAGGAGGGGCTTTGGAAGTTCAGACAGCTAATTCGGTGTGACGTCGCAGTTGGCTCTATTTTTGGCGGCTTTGGATATGGTATGTCTCGTTCATCACCCCCCATAAATTTGCGCTTTTTTAACACGGATTTTGCAGACTATTATTTCCACCGCCCTCCCTACTATCGCCGCGCAATTTGGTGCCTCCGAGAGCGGTTTCTCATGGATCGCATCGTCATATCTTCTCGCAAATGCTGCCTGTATCCCCCTGTGGGGCAAGATCAGTGATATCTGGGGAAGAAAGTCTATCATTGTCTTGGCAAATGTTGTCTTCCTGGTTGGCAGTTTGATTTGTGCCTTGGCGCATAACATGGCCACGATCATCGCCGGTCGAGCGGTTCAGGGTGTTGGTGGTGGTGGTATCATTATCCTGGCCAATATCAGTGTTTCGGATCTATTCAGCTTGAGGTATGATGGCTTCTAAGTCTGGCGATGGAATAGGGCTAACTTCTATACAGAGATCGTCCGATGTACTACGGTCTTTTCGGTGCGGTCTGGGCTGTCGCAGGCGCCCTTGGCCCCGTTATAGGTGGAGCTTTCACTACAGATGTGTCTTGGCGCTGGTGTTTCTGGCTCAACCTGCCCGTTGGAGGTGTGTCGCTGGCTATCCTTATTCTCTTCCTTCGTATTGAGTCGCCCAAGACTCCATTATGGGCTGGTGTGCGCTCCATTGATTGGACAGGAACATTCTTGATCATCGGTGGAACCCTAATGTTCCTCTTCGGGCTGGAGTTCGGAGGTGTCAACTATCCCTGGGCCTCAGCTACTGTGATTTGCCTGATTTTATTCGGCGTGCTCACTTGGGCCCTGGCAATGTTCGTGGAATGGAAGGTTGCTAGGTTCCCGATTATCCCCCCGCGCCTGTTCAACGAGTGGTACAACGTTCTTATCCTGCTCGTATGTTTCTGTCATGGAGCCACTTTCATCGCTGCGACCTACTACCTGCCGCTTTACTTCCAGACAGTCCTCCAGTCAACCCCCATCTTGAGTGGTGTGTATGTCTTACCTCTAGTGCTGTCTCTTGCCGTGGGCTCCGCGGCCACGGGTGTTGTTATGAAGAAAACTGGTCGCTTCCGCGAGCTGATCATCTTCGGTATGTCCTGCATGGCCCTTGGATTCGGTCTTTTCATCGATCTCAAGGCCTATGCTTCGTGGCCCCGTATCATCATCTACCAGTTAATCGCTGGTGTCGGTATTGGCCCCAACTTCCAGGCACCTTTGGTCGCTTTCCAGGCCAACATTCGCCCCTCCGACATGGCCACAGCAACAGCCACTTTCGGCTTTGTCCGTCAAATATCTACTTCGATGTCCGTCGTTCTGGGCACGGTCATTTACCAAAACATCATGAGCCAACAATCCGCCCAGCTTATTGCCTCCGTAGGCCCTAAAACCGCTGCGATGGTTTCTTCTTCCTTTGGTGGTGCCTCGAAATCCCTCATCCAGAGCCTTACTCCATCCGAGCGCGCGGTCGTATTGGGAGCCTACACTCACGCTCTGAACCGCATGTGGATCTTCTATACTTGCATGGCTTGTCTTGGCTTTATTCTCGCTTTATTAGTTCGCCCTCGTGAGCTTACTCGCCATCACACTGTCCAGAAGACAGGTCTTGCTGAGCAAGAGCGTGCCCGTCAGGAGCGTATTGACTCTCAGCGCAAGGATGAGTCAAAGCCTGAAGTCGAGGTTTAAGCTCTCTCTTCCCTCTACCTTACTAATTTCTCTACTCTTGTTAATCAGCACATATTTTCCTTAAAAATTAATGCATATTGTTTAATCGGGTCTTGCCATTGCAGCCTCAAAAGCCTCTTGGATTATCTTGGCGTTATCTGTTTCTGTTTGCAAATGAGTTACGATGCATGATGCATGTTGAGCCTTTGTGCACAATAGATCCAATTGCGTGGAAATGCATGGAATTCTATGTGAATATTGATATCTATGTGCCTTCTTTATCTAGCTACATTTGTCCGTAGATTCAACTGTATACGTACATGTCGACATCACAAATGCGGAGCATTCAACAGCTCTCATATTACTTACTTTGCGTAACATAGGATCTGTACTCCATACTTATAGCACTGCTATTATCTATATGGTACTGAGTGGAGCCTCACCCGGGGTGATCGCATTCAAATCTCCATGGTTAATACTCTATTAATTAGAGAATCAATGAGAAAGTAAGCGAGCCATTCAACAATATCTTAGCCTTTCCCATTGCAAACAGACTTACATCCCCAGCGTTTTGACATTTTTCTGAGATCTGTTTATGCCTCAGTCCGATAGATCCTTGTCCCTATATAAGCATGATCTCTCCTCCTTCTCTCCACCTCCCTCTCATGCAGAGTATATCCCCTGATGCTTCACCTTTATATCTACAAACTTACCTGAGATCCAAGATCCAGTACTGGTCATCTCAAGTCATCAGCAGACTGACATCTCTTGACACTCACTCTTTGCTCGTGACCATAATCTTTCCTTTCTCTTCGAGCACCAACCACATCCCCTTCTGGTTAAAGCAGAAGACGAAATCAGCACAGTTGATGGCTGCGTCACTCCAGAACTGCGAGAAACTTTCAAAGATTCATCCAATAAGAACTTCCACATCTACCTGAAGGTAGCACCAATCGATCCCTTCGAGTTCCGACTCTACATTGTTCGAATTCGAATCGCTGCTGCTTACCCGGCCACCCTGTTTATCTTTCCCGCTCTTCAAAATCGCCTCACTCTTTTACCACTACCATCTCTCTCCTCACTTCCCACTCATATTATATTAAAGTATATACACAGTACGTCCGAAACACTTTCCCCTCCAGCATTTCTCTTAAACTGACCATAATTTGACAACTATAGTTCAAATACTGCGGAGCCGAATAATCTATCGACACGCTGTATATAAATAGGACATGGTGGAAGTGCTCCCGTTCATATGAGCATCGATCTAGGCTTACATCCATGTCTGATCACATTTATCAGCAAGTCCAGACGGAAACGGCAGGGCAGAGCAGGTGCGGAGTCACGAGCTCGTGATTCCGAGAGTGGGATTCAAGCACGGGTCAAGACAACCATAGGGCCATGGAGATATTATCCTACTAATCAGGAAACCTTGTGGTAACCTTCCACAAGCTTCGAATTCACTGTGAATTCAAGCCAAGAGAGCTATCGAAGAAAACTCCCGAAGAATATAGCACCAGGGCGTGTATAGCAGACTTCAAAGCTATTCAGGACGGCCTCTACGGGGAAACCATCGAATCGATTCCACCAACGAATCGAACGGCAAGGTTCACGTGTTCCAGCATATTTTCAAAAAGCACAAGCCGAATCCGACTTAAGAATCCGGAGTCTCGCCATATGAGTACACAAATAACCACCCCGACTCCATCAAGCACCGATCTTGCCGGTGCAATCTCGAGGACCTGGAAGATCTACAGCGGCAGGCCTAGGGAAATCCGATTCACGGAAATAATGCCCCGTATGGACCGTAACCAGGACTTCCATGTCCTGCATACTAAGATAGGCACGATCTCCGAGATCCTACGGTAAGCGATGAGCAGTTACGGCCTCAAGAGAAATCTCCAAGCTAATCCTTTTCCTAGACTGGAAGTCGATCACAACCGGGATGTTGTTAATCGCATTATTGAAAAGCAGAAGATGGCAGAGGTCCAGGTTAAGTTGACGGAAGCCTGATTCATATCATTGGGAGCGGTTAGATGGAATGTAGGGTCCATCAACTACCGTGGAGAGACAGCATTGTTCCGGAATCAAGACTCCAAATATCCCAAGGACGGGTTCGTGTCGCCTAGAAAATCCTTAGCACTCTCAATGCATTCAACACTGCGATCTTATGTTAGAAGAAGATTTCATGTGCCAGATGGGGACATAATGTGCCCTATCAGAGACGAGATATAAGCCGCTCACATGAATCGTCGTCGAGAAAAGAGTGATGCCGAGGTGGATGATACCCGTTGGCTGATAAAGGGGCATTGGACTCCAAATCAAAGAAGATGAGCATATAGTAAGCCAAAGTTTGACGTTTAGGAATGTAACGGTATCTTTGACCAGGTGTCGTTCACTTTCCCTTGATACCAGGGCAAATCCTGGCTCCCATCAGATGTACGGCCCGGTATTGTTCTTTTCGTAATAAGACCACTGGGGTTTTATCAACCTGTGCTGGGCGTATATAAATACACAGGTTATAAGTAAAGTCTATAGTTTAGACTGATATACACTATATCGAGTCGAAGGACGATATCGCTAAGAGCAACCCTAGGCGACGCGGTCGCTCTTAGGCCCCCGAGACTCGGTCTTAACAAAGGAGTAAAGCTCCTTATCGACGGGAATAACCTAGCAAGATAGGAAAGATAAATTAAGAATGATGGATAGATTCGAAAACAATTATGCCACGGATTAATATGGAACAGGGATCAATATGAAGCATGCTAGTACATGGAAACATTGGAGATATGCTGCACTGCCACCTTCAGACCTTAGGTTGTAGAGGTACATGAGGCTCAATAAAGCCTCACTTCTACATATTCGGAAAGACTAGTGATTAAATTGTCTAGGCCTTACTACACTGCCTAGTCCACGTTCCTCTCTTATTGGTCAACAGCACGCTATCTCGTAATAAGATTGGTTGAATATTGTGGCTTATAATAAGGTGCAGCAAAGTCACATTCCCATTCACTCACTAATTGGGCTTTTGATGTAACATTGCCGTTAGATTTCAGGTTTATAAATCTCACATCACCTTCAAAGGAGCCCAATCCTCCATCTGTACGCTGTTCATTCCGTTGTTTCCATATTATCAGTTTCTACACATCTCCCAATCACTATCCTCATATCACAATGGCATGGTCTCCATACAACATCTCCTCGAACGATTCCAGTATGCCTAGCTACCGTCAGAATGGTAGAGATCTAAATTACCGCTATGGGTCTGTTGCTCACCAATACCCTTCCTCTTTAGCAGCAGAGCCATCGATGTTCACTGATAATCATCTTCTATACAATACTGTCATGCAACATCCCTCGGAACCAGTTCATCCCAGCTCCCTTATGCCTTCTTCCTCGGCTCATGTCGACTCCAATTCTCCCAATAACAACACCATACACAATTCCTCGGCCGGGAATGATATACCTAGGGAGTCTTCAGCCATAGACCATCTCAACTCTAGACATGGTACCACTACACCATCAGCATCGGGCGCATCCACCCCCTCTAGGTAAGAAATCCCCAAGGCAGATGTCAGTAGACATAAAGTTCATACTCTCTATGACTCTAATACCCAGCTAGCATATCATCGCCAGGCTAACATATACTATTCATTATAGGGAACTTGGCGGTACGTACCAATGCAACTGGAAAGACTGCAAGTATCGCGGTAAGTTCTCTCGCAAGGGAGTTCTCATGCGTCATATAGAAACCCAGCATGTTTCCCCGCGATCATTCGACTGCCCCGTCTGCGGAAAGCTCTTCTGTAGACGGGACAACATGACCAAGCACCTAGGAAGAGCTCATTCGGAGCGAGTTTAATGGAAATACTCTGCTGGAGTCAGAGAATTTGGATTATAGTTGATCGGTATTTGATGTGGATATTCGGTGATACCCAGAATGTTAGTTTTTAATTATTGCATGATATTTTGATTGGAAGCAGGAAATGGACCAATTAAGAAGTAGGAATAATAAAAATAAAAATAATATCAGCTCAGCTGAACTGCGCCCCTATTTTGTGCATATACGAGCCTAACATATGTCGCATCACATGTACATAATCACAATTGGCGTCATATGTGAGGCTCTTTATAATTTCCGGGGTAAATGCGGGACCCATCTGGTAAATTAACATCGTGGAATCTTCCCGGAACCCTAACTTGACAGACGTTTCTATCATATCAGATCTCTAAATATCTCGTATGTATAACTAAATTATTAGAGGCCCTAGACTAGATATTTGTTAATAGTATTTTGATATTATAATATTTTCACCCCACAAGCGCTAAACCTCTTTAATGCAATGTAACCCTAGATCCCTGTTTCGCATCAACGTGCAATTTATATGAATAGTGCACATAGTGAGGCCTTTTTTTGAACAAACATTAATTGTCATGCATATTCCAACGGCATGACGAAAAAGCAGTAATGAGACGAAGAAATATGCGCTAAATTTTTAAAAGACAAAAGAAAAAGAAACTAACCATGAGAATGCGCCGATCTCTCGTATAATAAGCCCTGCCATTCCGAAAAAAAGTGGCAGCCGATCAGGACAACTTCGTTGTATTGGACAGAGGTTGATTCCAACGCCCGGGTCCATAGAATTTGTCAATAGTACGTCAAGGCTTCAGCCGCTTGATAATTCCATAACCCCATAGTAAAAGTACACCTTATACCGCATATGAACTAGTACAACCTAATCCAGTTGAGTATCGTCGATCACTATTCGTCCCTCATTTTCAATTCCTTTTATATATGCTATGTCGATATGGTTGGCTTGCAGTCTGCATCTATATCGTATTCCAAATGATCCTTCTACCACGTTAATTTCCCAATTCTCCAGGCTAGAAGACTGAGACACCCAGGATACAAATAATGATTTTCCTGTAGCCAAGGACCCTAAGAGGCGGGGATCTGATGCTCAGCCCACTAAAAGAAAAGCCACGACCAATGACCCCCGCTATATTTGAAATTGTGCCCGTCTCCATTTAGCAATGTTGGACGTTGACTTGACGCAGAGACATAATCCCTGTTTCTAGAAGGTAGGTTGGGTCTTCTAGAAGGTAAGATGGGTCTTCTGGAAGAAATCCCGGAGGTCAACCCAGTTGCGTCAGTCTGGCCGAGGTCGATTCCACCTTTTTTTCATTTCTCTTTTTTTTTTTTGCCCATCTTCTCTACCAGTAATGCGTAGTCTTCTAAAGTGCGTCTTTTAGTGACGCCTACCGTATACCCAAAGTCATACTAACTCAAGATTTATAAATACTTCAGTACCCTTCATCGGCTCAGAGAAATATTCTTCCATCTAACCGCCCACTTATCATTCCAATAACTTGTCTCCATCTTACCAGCGCTTTTTCTCTACGTCCAGGCTCTCCTTACATTCAGGCCCGCGATTATACACATCATGGCGTGGCCAACACGCAACAATCCAAGTATGCCAGAGGCCGCGTTTTCGTGGCCGAATCCTGAATTGGAGAATTGGAGTACCGAGTATCTCAACTTCAAACAGTCCGAGGCTCTTTTCAGACCTCATTCTCCTGCATACACCGCTCGATATCCTTCATACAACTACCAGCAATTTCCCTCCTCGCAATTTCCCTCTACACCTGTTCCTTTTGGAACTGTGATGTCCCCTACTCCTTCGTCGTACCTAGACCCTACCACCATGAAACAATCCATCGACAACCCCAGTCCAAGATCCGTTCCAACCCCGGCAATCGGCACCGGACCCGCCCTCTCCCCAGCAAGCCTCTACGGCGCCAGATGTCCCAGTCCTTGGGACGAGCCTCCAGTGTCAACACCCATGACAGAGACACCTCCATCTGACGATACCAGCAATGGAGTTAGCTATACCAAAATGCCCCATCGTTCCTGTCGCCGCGCAGTCAGAATAAAGTGTGTATAATTTTTTTTCTTCCTCAGACTATCGTAACCGTATGTACATGCTAAACAGACTTCTAGGGACAAGGACCGCGACGATTACGGAACCTTTAAATGTGAATGGAGGGATTGTCGATATGGGCGTCTGTTCTCGCGCAAAGGAGTCCTCATGCGACATATCGAGACTCAGCATGTTAGTCCACGGGCTTACAAGTGTCCTCATCCCCGGTGTGATCATGCTTCAAGTCGACGGGAGAATTTGAAAGCGCATAGACAATCGATTCACGGGGAAACTTTGTAAGATTCATGATGGTTATGATGGGATGTGGTGTTGGAATTAGGATACCTGGTTTGCTTGTTATGCGGGATATATATACTTCGGTTGGAGTGGAGTTCTGATCGGATTTATGTTAGAATATATATATGTATGTTTTTTTTTTCTATGGAATTCGAAGACCAAGATTTACACTTAGGAATTGAAATTGAAATAGCATAGAACATAGAAGACTGGTATACGCTTGAATAGAGTAGAAGAAAAAAAAGTGCTCTCTACTTTAGGTGGTTGACGACTGGGGAGGATCCACTTCACAACCTGGGGAATCAGGCCCAACCAGACCCAACCAGGCCGTACAAGATCTATGGGTGCTGGAGCTATACGGAATATATAGCTAATTTTTAGATACTACGCCCGAGGTTTGCTTATCTTGCCATGGGAGTATAATTTATGTTCGCAAACATGCCATGGTAGATTGGAGCCAGAGCAAGTAAATGCAATTTCTTCTAAACAAGACGGACGAACGCAGAGAACGCACGAAGAAGCGGATCGATTGACCGGTCTGTTGAAATTTGAAATGGTATGGAATTTGGTGCGTTTAAGCGTCAGATACACAATGGGAGAAGTGACGCTGCGCGACCAGACACATCATGCTCGCCAATTGTAAGAACAAGGAGAAATATCGAGACGAAGCTCGTTCCCAGTATCTTGGGGTCGACACAGCTATGAAAGTGTAAATTTTTTTGATTCGTAGGGCTTTGTTGGCCCTGCCTTCTCCCACGAACAAAACGTTATCAACCCGCCAACTCCATCACCTCAAATCAACATCGGCTCGTTCCGTCGACTTTTCCTTGCCTGACCGTCTGTGCGAAGAAGGGAATCGCCCACTAAAAACAACACATAGAAGCCGTTTAGATGTTGGAGGGGTAGAGCATAACGCGGACGGTAGCGCCGAGGGACTTGGGGGGGAGGTTGTTGCGGAAACGGGCGCGCACAACACCGGAGTTGCCTAGAATGAGTCAGATAAAACAAAATTCGAGTTCAAGGTTCCCAGACTCAGGGTCCATTCGAAGATGGCCTTCAGACTGGGTTGTTGTATTCACGTACCGTGCGGCCGGGTGACCTTGCCCCAGATCACCCGAATGTTGGAGCCGCGGACCTCACGCTTAGCACGGTAAACGAAAGCGACCTTCTTGCCAAGGTAGAACTTGGCGGACTTGGTGTCATCAACACCCTCAATCTTGACCAAGCTGTATAACCATATATCAGATTCCATTCATCGAGTATTCAAATTGTGCGCAGGGTGTAAGTACCTGGTGTTGGGGGTGAGGGCGTGCTTGCTGCGCTGGAAGCTCAGGTGGCGTCCCCTGTGAAAAAGAAATTCGTATTAATCCTCTGTCCATATCGTGTGTGTGTTGCTTCAATTTGAGTGGCGATGTCTTGTATCCCCCAAATCGGTCCTCCATATCGAACTGATGTATCCTTTGAATGCGACGATGAAAGTGCGGTGATAACTTACTTGACGTAGACTAGAAGAGAACAAATAGTTAGCACATGTATTTTTTTATCCAGCGTAATCGCACACAAGGTGTCTGCTCGAGATGCGGCTTTGCGATTTCGAGACCACCAAAAACGACGATCGATAAGAACTTCGAGGGATTCACTCACGGCGGTGTCCTTGTTCCGAAGGCATTGTGTCGGCGTTTCTCTGGGGAGCGGGCAAGGAAAGAAAGTCGAAGGAATGACCCGCAAGATCAAAAGTCGTTCCCGTTTGTCGTGGTTGTCGTCGCTTCGATAGAGTCAGGCGCACAATCAATTTCCAGCCGGTGTGTTGGCTTTCGCCCTAGCCCAAACGGGATCTTAGCGAGCCACATTTCCACGTGACACTCAGGGCTAAGCGAGATCCCGTGATAACCACACCGCTCTAGGTCTTACTTCCGATTAGATAGGCAGAATGAGATGAGATAAGCTTTTGGACTTTTGTTTCTCCGATCCAGACTTTACCGCCCTGTATTTTCTTCTGCCACTCGGGCTACAGTAGTCCGACCCGGCGCATCCATCCCAGCTTTCCTGACAAACCTAACCCATGACGACAGGGGTTCCATCCAAGGAATGTTCCATTTAAACGCAATATGCAAAGGCTATAGTCTAAACAGGTAGTGAAGAATTGTCTTCCTAGCTTCTTTGAAAACAAACAATATATTAATATCTTCAAAATATAACCATCTAGAGCGACATGCTCTGGGTAGCAATCTGGTGCATAGGTATACTCTCTGTACTTCAGACCGAGACCACTGATTAGGAAATCTAGAGGTCCCTTTATCCTGCCCCACCATGTCGGGAATCACTGATTACATCCAAGACCGGGTATTGATAAAAACTGGGCAATTTTCAAGACTCGTCCGAGAGAACCCAGGAAGACTAGTGTGGAGTATAGATAGTGTCGTATACAATAGGTAGTATAGCCCCCAAGTAGCAACGGTTAATATCCCAAATTTTTGGGAACTTCAAACCGTAGATCGGGTTAATTGCAAGCCCTCAAACAGAAGGACTTAAGACAGGCTCGGGAAAATAGAATCCGTCTGGCTCAAGAAAATGACAAATGCGCCGATCCGTCCCCACGATTTGGGTCACCGGTCGAGGTTCTTATCGAAGTTGCGTGCTCAAGGTACGTCGTATTATACCTGTTCTTGCAAGTTCGGTACTTTAATTTGATACACATTGGGGATTTGCATTGCAACCTTCCCCTCGATGCGGTGGCTTATTGTGCCAATTCTCCGCTTTGGGAACTCCGTACTCCGGACTATATAGTATACGAACTAAGTTCTGAATATAACCATGGAGTACTCTCTCGTATACAATATCTAACAACATGGTTATGGACACGTATCACTCCACAATTGAATTCAGCCTGTTTTGGCAGATCCGCTATAAAACTGCATCTCTGGTCAGATGACCTTCACCCCCTGCTTTCTTCTAAGAGCTGCTAGAAGAATAAGCGACAGGCTCCGGGCTTAACAGTTGCTCCGATGTATCGCCCCGAACCCGAGACCGAACGTAAGCAGCATTGGTCTTAGATTCTAATCTGCGCGGGGTTGATAATCAAAACGGGTAAGATCCCGTGGGATTTTAGTAAAGTTCAAGGTCAATGGCAATGGAAGATCGGAGTTTAGAAGACTTCTCAAGGTTGATATAAGAAAGTTGACCGGAATTTGCCACGAGGTAGCCCTGGAGGTTTCAGGTGATTAAATAGAGAATTTAAAATAGCTATTTGATATTACTATATCATCTGAAGTAATAAAATAAATTAAAATAAAAATGTAATAAAAAAAAAACAAATTAATACCTTGAAGTCATAAAACACATAAAAACACATACAATACCTAAGCCCAGCAAAGCACAGCAAAGCCCCACCAGCCGAAGCTGTGAACTTCCGTTAAAAAGTACTCCGCCGGATCCTGTTCTCAACATTCCTTTCTTCTTTTTCAATCTCTCCCACAATTTCATTCATATTAAGCGGCAACATGTCTAGTGTGATTAACCAGACCGATGACCGTCATGGTGCTGGGTGAGTTTCCCCCTCCTCTTGTGTCTCTGACATCACTCCCCCTCCCCTCCGGCAACGGAAGTTCATTGCCTCAATTCAACCTCAACTTGCCCCCTCTCAACATTGCGATTTTGGAGATTATCCTTCACCTTATCAGTCCCTTCCTTGGACGTTTTTTTTTTCAGCAGACTTTCTCTGCTCAGAGAGCTTTCCCGCTCAACCCCATTGTCGCGAATGCAAATTCTTTTGGTCAATTAAACGAAATACTGACAATGGATTTTGCATTCAGCACCGTCGAACTTAAAGATGATACCATCATCGTGGTACTAGGCGCATCTGGTGATCTGGCGAAGAAGAAGACCGTTCGTACCCTGTCAAAGATGCGGTGACTCTTGACTAACCAATTGATAGTTCCCTGCACTCTTTGGCCTTGTATGTGCTATTTCTACTGACTATTCTAGCTTTTACTGACATTTTTAGTTCCGCAACAAATTCCTCCCCAAGGACATTAAGATCGTCGGATATGCACGGACAAAGATGGACACCGAAGAATACCTCAAGCGCGTTCGCTCGTACATCAAGATTCCCACAAAGGAGATCGAAGATCAATTAGATCAGTTCTGCAAGATGTGCACCTACGTTTCCGGCCAATACGATCAAGATGATTCGTTCATCGGCTTGAACAAGCACCTCGAGGAGATTGAGGACAAGCGCCAATCGAAGGAGCAGAACCGCGTGTTCTACATGGCATTGCCTCCCAGTGTCTTCATTACCGTATCCGAGCAGTTGAAGCGCAACTGCTACCCCAGGAGTGGTCTCGCTCGTATTATTGTGAGTTCCCTGGATAAGCTTGCCCGAAACGAACCACATATTGATACACCTATTCTTTTTTTTTAATAGGTCGAGAAACCCTTCGGTAAGGACCTACAGAGCTCGCGCGATCTCCAGAAGGCTTTGGAGCCTAACTGGAAGGAGGATGAGATCTTCCGTATTGATCACTACCTCGGTAAGGAGATGGTCAAGAACATCCTAATTCTCCGATTCGGCAACGAGTTCTTCAACGCCACATGGAACCGTCACCACATCGATAACGTTCAGGTATGTGATGAGATGATCTCATTTCGGAATATGGGTTCTAATGGCCGCAGATTACATTCAAGGAGCCTTTCGGCACTGAGGGCCGTGGAGGTTACTTCGATGAGTTCGGTATTATCCGTGACGTTATGCAGAACCGTACGTATATCGCACTGATCAGATGTAGAATAAAGATGCTAACAAATTTATATAGACCTTCTGCAGGTTCTCACATTGCTTGCCATGGAGCGCCCCATTTCTTTCTCTTCCGAGGATATCCGTGACGAGAAGGTCCGTGTTCTCCGCGCTATGGATCCTATTGAGCCCAAGAACGTCATCATCGGCCAGTACGGCCGCTCCCTCGACGGCAGCAAGCCCGGTTACCTGGAGGACGATACCGTGCCCAAGGAGTCGCGTTGCCCGACTTTCTGCGCGATGGTTGCATACATTAAGAACGAGCGTTGGGACGGTGTTCCCTTCATTCTCAAGGCCGGAAAGGCCCTGAACGAGCAGAAGACTGAGGTTCGCATCCAGTTCAAGGATGTTACTTCCGGTATCTTCAAGGACATTCCCCGTAACGAGCTTGTCATCCGTGTTCAGCCCAACGAGTCCGTCTACATCAAGATGAACTCCAAGCTGCCCGGTCTCTCCATGCAGACGGTGGTTACCGAGCTGGACTTGACCTACCGCCGCCGCTTCTCCGACCTCAAGATCCCCGAGGCCTACGAATCTTTGATTTTGGATGCCTTCAAGGGCGACCACTCCAACTTTGTCCGTGACGATGAGTTGGATGCCAGCTGGCGCATGTTCAGTCCCCTTCTGCACTACTTGGATGACAACAAGGAGATCATTCCTATGGAGTACCCCTACGGTGAGTTCCCCCCTTTTTTTCTAACTCTTTCCCTTTCTAGCCATGACAGAGCTAATTTTCAATGATTCTAGGCTCCCGTGGACCTGCTGTCCTGGATGACTTCACTGCTTCATACGGCTACAAGTTCAGCGATGCCGCTGGCTACCAGTGGCCGGTCACTACCTCGGCCCCCAACCGGCTGTAGGTTTTTCGGAGTATAGTTTACGATGATTACGGGAAGCGGATTCGGGATACGAAGGAATTAAAATCTCTATTTTCTTGACTCTGGTCGGCCGGCAGGAGTCGTGTCATACTGTGATACTTATGTTTTCGGGACCAATTCGAAATTAGGATTGGATGCGACGCACGCAATGAAAGATATTTACGCCCTTATTTTGTTTTGTTTATTAGACAGTAAAAGAAGCAAAATCACTCTTATAATATACCCCTGTACTCTCTTCGTAGAGCCCCTATACGAAGGAGTGCACGTTCCACTATAATCCCGTGTCTTCAATTCCCCCTTGTTCTATAATTGGATGTTCCTGTATTACATCATCCTTTGTAGCCAATCAGCGAAAAAGGGTCCCATTGTGGCTGACATAAGGCTGAGCTCCCTCTAGCCTGGCCAGGGCTACTTGGCTGCAAACAAACTGCTAGAAACTCAATGCATATAGTAGAATTAACCCATACAATAACACGTATAAAATTCCCATGCATAGCCGAATCGGCTCTCATAAAGAAAAGCCGGATCGGCAGAGGAAAGACCTCCAAGGCGGGTCTCGTAAATTAAATCGATAAGGCCGGGGGTCCCGCATAGAAACGCTCAGGCCAAGGCGGATTTTCTCTCCTCTCTTGTCAACATATTTTACGTACGGAGTAGAATTCCCATAGACGCTTTCGGACACATAAACAACCATTAACACCTCCGCAACCCACGTCCCAACCTTGGAAATCTGCACTGTCAACAAACCACGAACCACGACCTCCGTACCGTGCGCCGTTTTGGCCCCCGCGAGCTCCCCCAACAATTCCGAAAGGCACGCGACACAATTTCCCGGACCGACAGACCCCTACCCCGGCCCCTTCTGAATCCCGGAGCGCCTCCCCGAAGCTGCTAGACCACACTCTTTCGCCTGATTCTGTATTACGCGTCTCTTGCCAGCGCTTTCAACTGCCGTCACTGGCCCCCCAACAATATTGGATTCGGCGCGGAAACCTGAGTGCATGCTAGCGCGTGGATAATTAGAATGCCACAGGCTGCGAGGTGGGCGGGGACGCCCTCCATCAGGGGTCGGAATGAGTCTACCAGGATGGCGCTTTTGACGTTTAGTTTGGTGGGATTGCAGTGCGTATCATCCTTCTGTTTTTTTTTCTGGGTATAGGGGGTCCGATGCGGGATATGGTCTCTTTTTTTTGAGACGGGGGATTACAGGGATTGTGTCTGTGGCTAACTGGTTCGGGGAATAGGTTCACATGGGGTACTGAGATGACTTGTAAGAGCTATCCACTGCAAATAGTCCTAATTGGGACTCGGGATAATCACTGACTTTAGCTAGATTGTACACCTTACCTTCTTCAGCTTGGTTTGACGAAGTCTAAGACTTCGTTGGTGTGGATTGCTGGCCCGTTGTCTGGGTTGATTATCCAGCCTCTTATTGGGGTTATCGCTGATCGATCACGGTCGAAATGGGGTCGGCGTAGACCTTTCATGATCTTTGGGTCTTTTGTTGTTGCTTTCTGTCTGCTCGTCTTAGGGTGGACGACAGAGATCGTTGGTTTGTTTGTTAAAGATCCGGAAAAGGTACATATCTGTTGGAACACTCTTGATCTACTGGAAACTAATTGTTACAGGCTAAAAATGGCACAATTGCGCTGGCTGTGTTGAGTATCTATGCAGTGGATTTCTCGATCAACGTTGGTAAGTGGTAGATGACAGTTGAATTGAAAGTGGCTTACAATGTCTTAGTTCAAGCGTGCTGTCGCGGTCTGATTGTGGATACACTACCAATTCCATCACAACAAGCTGGATCCGCTTGGGGTATGGCTTTTCCCCATATGTCTCAGCCTCAAAACCCTAACTGACCTTTATAGCCGGGAGAATGTCTGCCATCGGTCAACTCTTTGCTTATGTGGTTGGTGCCATAGATACTGTTGGTATCTTTGGTACTATCATTGGAGATACGCAGTTCAAGCAGATGACAGTGATTGCTGCTTTTTCATTGGTGGTAGCAGTGGCTATCACCTCATACTCGGTAAAAGAGCGAGTTCTGATATCGGCAAGGTGGGTTGTACTCGAACCGATGCTTATTGCCATTAACTAATATTTTATGACAGAGATGACGGAAGTGCTGGTGCTATCCAGGTCCTCTCTCAGCTCTTCAAAACTACTTTCGAGCTGCCGCCTCGGATTCAGGCAATTTGCTGGGCCCAATTCTGGGCTTGGATTGGTATGGGAATCTCGCACCTGGGAAATCAACAATTCTAACATCAAATAGGCTGGTTCCCTTTCCTCTTCTACAGTACAACCTGGGTTGGCGAGACGTACTTCCGATATGAAGTACCAAAAGACGATATGGACAAAGCAACAGATATGCTTGGTGAAGTCGGCCGCGTGGGCAGTCTTTCATTGACAGTCTTCTCTGCTATCACATTCCTTAGCTCCGTCCTCCTACCATTCTGCATCCTACCACCTGACACCAAGCGAACACGCTTCACCGCACGACCCCCACCAGGGTTTGCAGCAATTCTCAAATACCTCACCGCAATCCGACCCGACCTGCAAACCGCCTGGCTCATCTCCCAGATCATGTTCGCCGCCACTATGATCTTCGCCCCTCTAGCACAGTCCCGCGCCTTCGCAACCTTCCTCGTAGCGGTCTGCGGTATCCCCTGGGCAATCAGTGGCTGGGCTCCATTCGCCTTCATGGGCGTGGAAATCAACAAACTAACAATGGGCGGTGGCTATTCCCCCGCCATACCATCCTCACGATCCGGCGTGACGATGATCACCTCAGCCAGCCTACGCAACTCCGCCGCTGACACCGAACTGGATGTCCTCCGACTGAACCACCGCGATTCCTTCGACAGCGACACCGACGAGGAAGAACACTCATCCAATATCCCGTCAACAGGTGAACTGGCAGGAATCTACCTAGGCGTGCTGAATGTGTACACGACCCTTCCCCAATTCGTCGGCACCTTCATTAGCTGGATTGTCTTCAGCATCCTCGAACCGGGCGCAGCACCCGCACCTGATAACGCAGAAAACACTACTGATACGCATTGGATGAACCTGGACAAGGATCGGTTTAATGCTATCTCCATTTGTCTCTTCATCGGGGCAATAAGCGCTCTCATCGCGGCTGAGGCTACCCGCCGATTGCGGTATGTACTATGAGCAAGCTCAAAAAGCTGCTGCAAAATTACGATCCATTGCGATGAATATTGATTTTTGCTCGATACCCGGTGCATGCCTTGTCTAAGGTTGAGATGTTGCACACTGATAGAGTCATGTACAGTGAACCCTTTCATCTAGGAGTTTTGTTTTTGTATCTGCACATAGTACTGTGATGATGTACGTTTAATATTAATTCTTTACACCTGTGCCATGTTACATCATTCCCATAGATCTTCCTACTTCACAATCTTCTCCCCATCCAACCTCATTGGATCAATCGAATAAGCTTAGTGGAGTCAGTGACGGGATAGTGATACTACAACATCCATACTCATCGCCGGAAGCGGCGGCATATAGAGACTCCCAGAGCTGCCTCCCTCTTCAATCAAGACAAAACATTAAACACAATTCATCCTATCCAATTCATCCTATCCAATTCATACTATCCAATCCAAATCGAAATTAACAGCAAAAATGACACCAAAAGTCCTCGTCGTCCTAACCTCCCACGACAAAATCGACGCCACAGGCAAGCCAACCGGCTGGTATCTAGTACGTACCCAACTACATTCCTAACACTTTGAAGCTCAGCTAACCATTCCAGCCCGAATTCGCCCACCCCCATGAAGTCTTGCACAAACAGGTCTCCCTAACAATCGCCTCCCCAAAAGGAGGCGAAGCACCCCTTGACCCGTCATCAGTCAAGATGTCCGAGTCAGACCCTGTCGCGCAGAAATTCCTAAAAGAACAAAAAGCCCTCTGGAGCAATACGCACAAGTTGGCGGATATGCTTCCGCGCGCTGGAGAGTTCGATGCGATTTTCTATGTTGGTGGACATGGACGTAAGTTGTTCCCTTCCTAACTACATAGATGTAGCTATAGGTGTATAGCACACTATACACCTATATACCTATGCATCTACGTCTACATCTACAGTTTCTAATATCACGCAGCAATGTTCGACCTAACAACCGACCCGATCTCACTCGCTCTGATCCAGACTTTCGCGGCAGCTAACAAACCCGTCGCGGCTGTTTGCCACGCTCCATGTGTTCTACTGAATGCAACTGCGCCGTCGGGTGTACCGCTTATCTCTGGTGTTAGCGTGACTGGGTTCTCGAATGCAGAGGAAGATGCCGTGGGACTATCTTCCGCGATGCCGTTTATGCTTGAGACGGAGCTTGGTAGGGTTACGGGTGGGAAGTATGTTAAGGCAGCTGAGGCATGGGGGGAGATGGTTGTTGTTGGGAAGGCAGCTGGGACAGGGTCTACTATTATTACAGGACAGAATCCTGGGTCTGCGAGTGGAGTTGGGAAGGCGATTTTGAAGGCTTTGGGGTTGTAAGTTAGGGTTAGGAATTAGACAGAAAATGATACATGTTACTTGTTTGCTCTATTCTAGTTTTGATGTAGAGAAGTTCTTATTACATAGTTTGAATTCAGATTGGTAGCGAAACCAGAATCAATAGCAGTAGCGAAAGGGGAATAGAGCAAGACATAAAAAAAAAACAGATAGCCCAGATTCGAGAGATGGGTGGAGGAAATCAAGCAGGACAGGATATTTGTTCAGAGGAGAAGAACATTTGAAAAGAAAAGAAAAAATAAACAGACGCAACCAAAAGAATCCATCAATCGTATCGCAGTATTCGTCGGTTTGTCCAGATGGAAGGACCTTGTTCAGACCGCGCTCAATAAGCAAACACGACCAATGTCTGGTCGGAGGAAGGGTATACGATTAACAAAAGATACATACTGGGTCACGAGCGAATAGAGAGCCAGGGGGGAAAATAATCAAGAATGGACAAAGGAAAGCGGGAAAGTGGTAGGGATATCGTAGACTAGCGTCTTTGTCCATCCTCCACGTTGCCGGTCAATTCGGCCACTCGGGCCTTGATGCGGGCGACACGGGCTTCAATGGCTGTGAACACTGTTAGCATAGGGTCAGTTTAGGGAATGAAATTAGTACTCACTTTCTTCTCCACTGGTATCTCCCTCGTCAGTGCGCTCTGACTGGCTAGTCCGGGTGTTCTCGGTCTCGTGCTCACGTGCCTGTTCCTCATGGGCAGCGGCAGCGGCAGCCCGTTGAGCTGCAGCCTCGCGGATCGCCTTCCAGCGATCCTGTGTAGCTTCAGTTGACTCGGGTGAAGTAGCCGTCTCAGGTCGGATACCATTGCCGTTGGTCGGGGTTTGGGGAACCTCGGTCTCTTGTGGGGTAGGTGCGACGTCCACGGGAGAATCCGCGGGGACGAAAGCAGGCTGTTCAGTCAAGGGGCCCTGGTCGAACTTGGAGAACTCCTGGTCGGCCGCGGCGCGTTCATTGGTACCAACGCGCGAGAGCGCATCATACTCAACAGCGCGCCTAGTCTTGGGCGGCGCGCCGTTCTCTTTCAGAGAGGTGGAGGGTTGGGTCACGGTTGCGATCTTCACAGATTCCTTGGCCGGTTCAACAGTTTGGGGTGACGAGGGCTTTACGGCCTCGGTAGCCACAGGTGGAACCGCAACAGCGATGGCCTTCGGGAGAGGCTTCTTCTTCATAGGACCGGACTCCTGAGCTGCTTTCGCCTTGGCCTCCAGGGCCGCACGGGCAGCTGCCACATTGGAGATTTCCTTTGAGTCAGTGCTCTTCACAGGAGGCTGCTGTTCGGGCTTCTTTTTGGCACTAAACATGCTCTTAAAGGCAGAATTGCCAGTCTTCTTCTTCAGCTTCTTACCCGCCTCGTCAACAGAGTCCCGACGCTCAGCGGGTTGTTCAACAACAGCAGGCTTTGTGGTGGGCTTCTCTTCTTCTGGAGTGGTGGCGTTGACAGACTTAGTTGGCGCTTCCTTAGGGGAAGGGGGAAGAGGGGTGGCCACAGCAGCAGCAGCTTCTTTAGCCAGTGGCGGGGGAGCACTCTTTGCAGTGCTTGTTGGAAGAGATGCCAACGGCGTGGTAGGCTTCTCCTCGGGCTCCTTCGAAATTGGCTCTGGTGTGTCTTGAGTTTCTTCTACTTGGCCAGTACCAGCGCGGGTGTCACTGAGATATGCTGCCCTGAAGGCACCCTTATCGTAGTTCTTAGTCCACTTCATGGCCTGGGAGGCCTCATTGACAATAGCAGGCTGAAGGGTCATGACCGAGTTGGTCTTGGAGTAGCGGCTATTTTCGGGGGCGCCACGGTTCTCTGTGGCCTCCGCTTCTTGCTCGCGGTGCTTCTTTTGCAGAGCGGCCGCAGCTGCCTGGATCCGCTTGTGCTGATCCGGCCCGATGCTGGTCTTGCTGTGAGGAGCCTGGTTGTCGGGTCGCTTGTACGACTCTTCAATGGAGGAGGACACCTTCTTGGCCGACGACTTGCGGCGATTGAGCTTTCCTTTACGGCTACCAAAGCTGAAGAATCGCTTCTTCTCAACAATCTGAGCACCAGCCTCAGGCTCTGGAGCAGCACCCTTGACCTGCTCTTCAAGGATCAGCCATTTGGTATCCCGAATGCGGGTTTCGAGAAGCGCGCATCGACCAAACACAGCCTTGCGGGCAGCTGGCTCATCGCCAGACAAACTGCTGATCCAAACCCACCAGAAGGAGTCGTCCATGTCTAGGGTGTTGATACTCGCCAGCTCAGCAGGCTCGAGAGCCGGCTCGATATCCAAAGAGCGCTTGTGCGATTGAGAGCTCATGCCACGTACAGAGGCAATAGGGGGCAGAACCTTATCAGGAGGCAAGAGCAGAGGGCCCACGTTGCCCTTGTTTTCATCCGCGAATCCGGACGACATGAAGTCTGCCCACGAGGGGGTGGTAGGACGGCCAAGGTCACCTCCTCCAGATTGAGGAACAGATTGCAAGCCCCCGGCAGATCCACTCTTTGCCGTCCTTGCAGTGGCCGGCGGAGCAGCGTCCTTGGCGTCATCTTCCGGGTCAGAGTCGATCGAACCACCGAACCCGATATCCTCGAAGCGAGACCAAGATGCATCCCGCAAACTGGTGGACTGCTTGGTACTCGAGACGCTGGATTGGTTCGTAGATGAGATACATCTGAGAACACGGAGACATTCATCAGTCAATGCGCTGACGGGATCTTCGTAATTGGCAAACTCCTGCAGGTGCCAGTCATCGTCGCGGTATTCAAAGTTCTTGGCGCGTCGCAATAAAGAAAATGGCGTCGGGGAAACATTCTCCACAATCATAACCACCTTTGTAGTCGTAACTTGCAGCAAAGTCGGGGTCTCAGGAGGGTATTCGGTCGCTTCAACGAGTGATTGGAGAGAAATAGGCAGGGATGAGATACCACTCACGCCGCGAGGGACATCGGGAGACAACGAACGAAGGTAGGCGAAGAACAAGTGACTCGTAGCATCAGCGGCACTAGAGATTGAGGTTAGAATAGGATCTGGAAATATCAAGTCAATGGAAATCCATACATAGCCCAATTCTTATAGGCGGCTTCGAAGCCATTGCCTGTATCGACATGCTCAAAGGCCCACCATCCAGCGTATCGGGAAAGCTTGCGGCCTCCCAAGCCATTGGACTTTCCATGAGCCGCAATGGCAGCCAAAAGGTCGAAGAAGTCCAGAATAATATTAGTGCGTGCATCTGAATCGCCGCCGATCGGAATAAAAGTGGAAAAAGCATCGCGGGCCATATCCGAATCTAAAGGTTTCATCAGCGCGTGTATTCCCCGCATTCCATTCCATTTCGCGTACCATGTTCGCCCATCTTGAACGTCTCATATGCTTCCCAAGTGACGACACCACCCGGAAGTCTGCTCCAGCACCATTTCATCACTCCACATAGAACCTATAGATATGACGTTAGTCCCCTGATAACCCCTGGAAAAAGACATTATTCCCCACCATCGGTTCTGTGAGCCGAAGCTCCTGCGACAAGGCATCTCCATTGACAGGCGAGCCCTTTTCGAAAGATTGATTAAAGTAATTGCGAATGAATGTGCGAGCTGCACTGGGGTCTGAGCTAGGACGGAACGGTAGGAGGAGGAACGGAGTGTCAAGAGCTGCAGCGAATGATCAGTAATCCGAATGGTTTTGTATACCACGGTCAAGATAACAATCCACCTACCTCGGGCTTTGAGCTCATGCACACACCCTCGTACAAGGTCTTGGACTTCTTCCGGCGCGACCTCTGTCCGCTGCCAGGCATCGGTCCATTTGGGTTTGGCAGGGGCCGTGTTCAGGGCGGTGGTCGGCTTGGCCTGCTTCTTTGTTGCAGTGGAGTCTTTGCCCCTAAACACTCGAGAAAAGAAGGACATGTCGGATATGCGACTGAGAATTGATTGTCAGAATTCGGACTGTGGGGATAAATTGAGGGTCCGCTTTTTTTTTCTCTTCTATTTAACAACTGATTAGCAGAAATTTCAAATGATAACAATGCAGATAACCGACACGGTAATTAGACCGAGTGAATAGTTAAAACGTCTAGACGTGTCCGGGATGTCCTGCAGCCCCGGTAACAGCAGGACAAAGTAAAAGATCCCTAGGATCTAATCTGTGCACAAAATGGAAACAAAAAAGGAAAAAAAAAGAAGTGAATGGTACAAACGAGAGAAAGTGAATTGGTTGGGAGAAAGAAAAAAAAAAACACGAAGCGATTCACAGGCTCAGGGGTAAACGAGACTAACTTACCCGCGAGTCTCGACTCCGTTAGATGCATCCACACAAAGGATTTCAACGTTTTTTGTTTTAAATATTACCTTTTGAAGTTCAAGTTGAACTAGGAATTGAGAAAGGAATTTGAGTGAATGATACAAACAATGATCATCTTTGGGTTTTAAGGATCCAAGGGTATTATATGTATGGGTTTATAGGGCTTTTATTGAAAGTTTAGACGTGTCGATATATCAGCCCAATCTAGTTATTAGTCTACGCACAATAAATATTCATAGATGTTATGTACTTTTATGTCAACTTAATCTACAGAGTAAGATGGCTTCAGATTATACAGATCTGACGCTTTACTCTTTATAGAGTAAGGGACTTATACACTTGTCCGTAGATGGACAGTCTAGCCTACAGAGTACTAGATAGCTTTGAATATAATCTGATTGGATTCGATATTCTTTCCCCATAACAAAAGCTGAGAATATCAAAAGTAAACTTATCCAATAGGAACTAAAAGGACAGACTCCACTGAGCACAGGGACAAGACTAAATCGACTAAATGTACTTCGTGAAAGGCCAAATATAGAACGGCGCCTAAATGGATGACTCAGCAATTAAATCTTCCCTCTCCCTCTCCCTCGATTCTATCTTTAGAATCAACCTTTCCTGCATCGTCAATCATCCTTTCTTCATTTACTTACTTTTGTTATATTTCTTTGTCTTATTATTATTATTAACATCTCTCCTCGGGTTCACCTCTTTTGAATTCCGGGGGGTCATTGTTTTCCACGCGTCCAGCCCCCCCCCCTCCTCTTCAAGTATCTACAGGGTTTCCTACCTTCCAAAGACCTTGGTTTCTGGTTTCAGATACCTTTGTTGATCTATTACTATCCCTCAGATATTTTGCAAAGATCGAAGATTCTTCACATACACCCCCCGTCTACCACTGTGCGTGGTTAGGATCGTCGTCGCGTCGATTCTACACCTTGGGTAATTTAAAAATAATCGCGCGAGGTATCTCGCAAGTCGCTTCGCGGCTTGCTATACCGTTTATCCTCAATCTTGCTATCGGTGCGCGATTGATGCGCCCGTAATCACCCATCATGGGTCGCAGAAAGATTGAGATCAAGGCCATCAAGGATGACCGCAATCGTTCAGTGTAAGTTGATCATCCCACTCGAGATCATTCTAGTCGCTGATCGCATCCGCTATAGCACATTCCTGAAACGAAAGGGAGGTCTGTTTAAGAAAGCTCATGAGCTTGCTGTCCTTTGCTCCGTGGACGTAGCTGTCATCATTTTTGGTCACAACAAGAAACTATACGAGTACTCATCATGTGATATGCATGATGCCCTTGGTCGCTATCAATATGTGGGTAAAAGGTTTCTTCGATACATCCCGAAAATCTCTAACGGGTAAATTTTGCAGTTTGGTCCTCCCCACGAGCATAAAGGTCCGGAAGATTTCGCGGGTAAGCGAGACGATGACGAGGAGGAAGATGAGGTTTCACCAGCCCCCGAGGACATCCAAGCAGTTCAACAGAACCACCCCGCCATTCCCCCTCACCTCCAAAACCAGCCTTTTCAGCACATGAATCATGCACCTTCCGCGTCACCCCCGGTCCATGCCATGACACGTCATGGCACACCACAACCACAAGGAAATTCGCGTCCGTCGTCAAGGAATCATATTCGCCGAGTCAGTTCAAATCTAGGTCCTCAGCAACATGGTACACCTCCACCGCCGCCGCCTCCTGGTCCCCAAAATGGCGCGTTTACATACATGCCAAATCCATCCATGTACAACCCGAATGTTCATGCAATGAACCAGCAACCTCGACCGGGACAGTTTGCGCACTATGGACACCCGCCAGGACAACACCAAGGAACGCCTCCTATGCATCCGCACGGTTTACCACAGCAAATGCCGCCGCAGCACCAGGGCCAACAGCATTTCCAACAGCACGGCCATCCCGTGGGAATGCCTCCGGGGCCCCATCAGCACGTGCAGGCATATATGCAGGAACATGGGAGAAATTCAATGCCTCCGGGTTTCGATAGTCACCAAGAACGGAATACCTCGGAGCACCCTCAAGATGATTCCTCGGGTACGATGAAAGTAGAGCAGAGCCAGTCGCCGCCACAAATGAAGTCGTTATCGAAATCACGGAGTATCTTCACGCCTATTGATGATCGAGGATCGGTGCTCGCCCGCCATTTCGGGGCTGGAGCGGGATCATATGAATCCCACAATAACCATTCTCTCAAGCTCGAATCACTCCCACAAGCTTCTTCTGGTTCCAAATCAATGCCTGTTAGAGCTGCGACGGAGGCTCCTCGTGGAGGGCCAGTTGCTCCGATTCCAAAAATCAAACCACCATCCAGAACTAATAGTGGGCCCTTGCCATCCAAACGGCCGCAGTTGAAGGTGCAGATTCCTAGCGAAACCTCCGATGGTGGCAGTGCCACGGCCGACTCGTCACGCGATTCTGCTGGGAACAAAACCTCCACGCCCGCGAAAGGAAATGCCGAAAATGGACCTCCGGGCGTCGTGTTACCTCCTCCGTCGCCATCAGCCGGTGCAATACTGAGTGCGGGAGCGCAAGGGCCACCAAATCCGTTTGCGCGACCGCCTCCTCCCGTTTCTACAACGCGAAACGACTCTTACGGCAGCAATAGTGGAAATCCGAATGGGAATAACTCGAACAACATTGAAACACCTATATCCGCCCTGCCGAGCCGCTTTGTATCCGATGCACTCCTCCCGTCACCTTCCAGTTTCTTCCCCGAATGGGGCTTTGGCCGATCAGGCCCCGACTCCAACATGCTGCCCAGTCCCCTCACCTTCCCGACTCCGGCAGTGCAAAGCGGTCCCAGCTTTTCTCGAGAAGACGAACAAGACAAGAAGAGAAAAAGCCCAGACGGTGGAACCGCAGGGGAAGGTACACATAAAAAACCGAAAACCTGAATGATGCTTGGCTTCCCTGGGGAATTTGTCCCCATGCTGTAAAGTGCTGGCATTTTGATCAACTGTCCCCGAGGACATACCATCTCACTTTCTTGTCAATACCCCATACCTCCTTTTTGCCCCGGGGGCATTTGAATGTCTCCAATTTCTAGTTCGATCAAGCTCAGTCATGTATCCTCTATACCCTGGTTTTTGTCATTCCTTTCGCCATTTTCCTTTCTTATTTCTTTTCAACGTCTCTCACGATCTGGAAGTGATAAACAGTGTCAACTTTACCTTCATTTATTTCCTATCTCTGATTCTTTAATGTCGCGTTGGTAGAGACCTGGCGTTAGGTCTACTTTGACTCAATGGATGTATATAAAGCAGGTTCTTGTTTTTAGGAATGATGCCAATCTTTTTTCCCTGCCCTTCAATTCCTGACTAGTAAACCTACTTGACTTCGGTGTTCGATCGGAGACCAAACACCGAAATGACCGGCCTCGGGGACATATAAAAAGCTGACTCTAACCCCGCTTTCTCTTTGATTCTCACAAGGTACACATTCTTATATTCAAAATGACGATCACTGGAAGCTGCATGTGTGGTGGCGTTACTTACGCCGTCGAAGGTACATCAAAATCATACTTGTATACTTCAAAGCTAACAATATACCAGCCGACACCTATCTGGCTGCTCTATGCCACTGTACCGATTGCCAGAAGGTAAGAAGCCTTCTATACCAATTTGAAACATAATCTCTAATACTAAATAGTGGTCCGGTGGTGCCTTTACCTCCAACGCGGTCGTCCCCCGTACTAGCATGAAAGTGACTAAGGGTAAATCTACACCTTGCACGATCAACTTCTTATGTATTTCTGACTTCATTCTTTTATTTTTCAAGGCACCCCCACTTCCTACGATGCAGTTGGAAACAGTGGAAAGATTAACAAGCATTTCTTCTGCCCGACCTGCGGCTCAAGCATCTACACAGAACTGGAGATCATGCCCGATGTGACTTGTGTTAAGGCCGGAACCTTGGATGGAGGAGAAGCCAATCTTAAGGGCAAAGTCGACGTCGAGTTCTATGTTAAGGATCGTCCGGCTTACCTTGCTGCTGTTGAGGGTGCTAAGCAGGAGCAATTCCTTGGTTGAGTTGTACTGAAAGATGGTTTATATTCGAGAAGAAATTGAAATATCTATCCATGTCTTACTTCAGACTCTGAAAGTCCGCAATGTTTGTCCAACTAGTATCCTGACTATTTAAACTCCCGGTCCGTATTTCTATCCTCTTCCTCTCTCCTCATCATCAAATCATCAATCATGCCTTCGCTCAACATCACTCTGAGAGGCCACTCCACCAAACGCCGCTACCCAGAGCGCGCAGCAGTCCACCTCACCATACAATCACGCGGCGAGTCAGAGGACGCCGTCACAAACAAAGCCGCGGAGACCTGCATGGACCTAACAGGCTTCCTGGTGCCACTATGCAACGAAGAAGTCAACGAAGACACCGCAATGGCTAGAAGCAATACCGGCGCCGTATCAACATTCACTGCTCGCAATATCTACCTCGCGGCTACAGAGCCCGATTGGTATGACCCCGAGCCAACGGACGATATCGATCCCAACAGACCTCGTGTCTACCACGCCGTCATCGTGATCTCCGCTATCTTCAGTGACTTCTCAGTGATGAAGAGATTCATTGAGAAGACGGATGATCATGCAAACGTGAAATTGAAAAGTATCAGCTGGTTCCTCACTGATGAAACCAAGGATGAACTTGGTGTGGGATTGCGCAGGGAGGCTGTGCTTGATGCTGTCGCGAAGGCGAATCAGTATGCTGAGGCAGTTGGGTTTGAGGATGTTACGCCTGTGCATATCAGGGAGATTCAGCCAGATGTGGATTCGGATCAGAGACAGAAATCTATGTATCGGCACTCTAGTGGGGTGGATTTGGTGCCTAGGGATATCGTGCTCCGTTGCTGTGTGGAGGTTGCTTTTGAAAGTGGCTGTGAGATTGAATCTACGGATCGATCTGGTGATACTTAGGTTTCGGACATGGGAGAATCGGGCTTGAGGGGGACAATGCTTGTGGATAGAATGGACTTTCGAATTTAGTGTGTTCTATGCTGAAATGCATCTTGATTTATCGCTTGTAATCGGCGGACCTGTGAATTACTAAACTATATCACATTGTTCATCTTCAGTCACGATAATCAAGTTCCGTGTGCTCCAACTAGCACTTTGGGTCGATGATCTCAATGACCCGTTTATAAGGAGATGAATATTACTGCCTATGAAGGAACGACTAAGGTATTGCTGCCCACGAGACCTTTTGAGCGCAGTAGCTTCAGGGAGCAGTAAAGAAGAAAAGGATGTCAGCTCCCTGGTGATAAAAACCTTCATCACGTCTTCACATTGGTTGAGACCTTTGCTTTTAGCCCATGAAGGTACCATCATTTGAAATTGTTGTTCTTCCTCTCCGCTGAATGTCTCATTTGCGGGTGGAATCAGGATATAATTACCACCACCATCACTTTGCACTAGACTCTCTATCTTCCATGAAGGACAAAGATCAAGTATTGCGACGTAAAGTGATTGAGAAGAGATATTCCTCACTTCTAATGTCAATATCTCATTGCTTTTGATTTTCACTACCCCATGCGCAGAAAGGTCCTCGCCTTCTGCGTTAAAAGAGGGATAGTTCGAAGGATTGTTCAAAAGCAAAATCACGCTTTTTGTTTTGAAGCCTTTCGACAAACTTGAATGCGGCGGCATGCTCGAGAAAGTTGAACACGGCTCGAATGGATTGGAGTGGATTCCCAGGGTCTGATGAAAGACCATCCTGCATTTGGCCTCTGTGATCTGTAATCTCATACCCTTTTTGCTCTTCATATGTGATGCGAAACAAAGCGGATGTTTCCTCATTGGAACCGAAAGACAAAGTCACAATCTGATCTCTTCTAGATAGCTCGGCCATCCACTGATCAATTGATAATATCGCATTAGACAAGCAAACATGTATCTTGGGTCCGCTTTGCCATGTGCAACGGTTGGCTATCCAGTCCGTCTTGACCTGATCGATGCATTGATCTGAGTTTATTGGGGCCAATTCAGAAGTTAATCCTTGAACAGCTATCACTTGAGCTCGAACTTCTTTACCCCCTGACAGAGAATTAAGTTTTTAGTACTTATAGGCGAAAGACTGAACTCGTCTCCTATCTCAATAGCATGTGCATATCCAGCTGTCAAAAACAAACCTTTTCTCTGTTTCGATCGAAACACAGTGAGCCCACCTGTGAGGCGTGTGATTCTTGGGCCACCGAAGAACATATGTCTTGGATTGCCATAAAGTATCGGGTGTTGTTGTGGATATAAACTGTGGGATTGAACGCAGATTTGCTGGTACAATGCCTGATGAGATATCTCCACTCCAGCTTTCTGTAATGTATAGAAAGCTTGACACAAGAACAAGCTAAGCGCACCATTCTGCTCTCCGTTATATTTGAGCTCTTTAGCAACCTCATGAGGGCCGCACACAGCCAGTATCCCGTATCCATCCGGTTCCAAAAGCCACTTGGGCACAAACTTGGCATCACGAAGCATTCCAGCTGTTGAATCCCGTCCTCCATGGGTACCCAGGTATCGCATGATCCAACTGTCGATGACCAATTGTTCGAGTCGCCGTCCCACTCTCGCCCGCCTGTCGGGGGGTACTGCTAGCGAAACAGCAATCCAGGACTAGTGTCACATTGATGCCTTTCTCGATCATCCTTTTTAGACGATTAGTTAGGTCAAATCCTTCAATTTCGTTGCTATCTTCCTCATCTCCCACCAACACAAGGGCAAAGTCACCCCGCTCTTTTTCGGCGCGACGGAGACGTCTCCCATGCCCCGAAAAATGTATATAGACGGAATCATTTTCTCGGCCTGAATGCAAAATATGCTCTATCATGGAAGTGATATTGCTGTATGTTGGCCACGCCTTCTTTGGCTCGCTGGGGTAAACAGCATTTGGGTCTGATGGAGTACTTGCAGTAAACGTGAAAATATTCAAAGGGGTGCCAATTGTTTCCAGGCATGCTTTGATGTTTATTACATCCCGGACGCAGCCAGAGAGGCGATTGATCGGGTCTTTATGAAAGTTGACCCCGATAAGAATTGCCCATCAATGTGGTTCTTCGGGTCTATCTGAAGTATTTGAGATGGACATTTCGGAATGTCTGTGGACCTTTGAAAGAGCAATCATATTTGGTTTATATATTTTAGCGACAGGGAAAAATGAAGGTTTATGGTCTGCTACTCCGTATATCAACCCAAAAACGCTGCCTCGCACCAGCATTGCCCCAATCCCCCCTCAGGTCCCCTACCAGCCTATCAGCAAGGCCTACTAGTTTACTAGTAGATTATAAATCTGGCAAACATGTCTGGAAAACCTGATCTGTCTACGGAGTAAAAATGGATACAATGCACTGCCTATGCAGGCGTCTGACCCCATGAATTGGGCAGCCGTGCAGCTTACTTATGAGATAAATCCATGACCAGTAGCGACACAACAATGCATTAGTAGATTGTCAGATCTTCCAAAAGGTGATAATCTATCTAGTCCTTCGCTTGAATTTTAGAGAGAAACATTCAAGACTGCAAATTCCAGTCTGCCCGAGTTTCTTCGCAAAGAACGGGATCGGTCTAGTATTTGTGCTTATCGGTTTAAGCCAGATGTATATGCGGAGGTACTATAGAGGATAGTAGAACAAATACTAGGGAAACTTATGTGGAAACGACAAAGTCGAGGTTGTCTCGACTCTGAGGCATGGGTAATGATGAGAGAATGGGAGGTGTAAGGACACTGGAGGGAAGGGAAGGCAAAGCTTCTTCTAGCTCAAAAGGACCGGGTGAAAAGGGATGAACTTGAATTCAGCTGAAAGGGAGTCATCTTCGGCGTCTTTTGGTGGAAACGAGAATGAGTGTGCAAATCATCAGCATCAGGACTGGAGGATGACTAAAAGTTGTTGTGATCACCTGATGAGATCTCGCGGACTGCCAGCAGATAGCTTCTCTACCTCTCTCTCCCTCCTTCTTTTCCCCGATTTAATCAATCATCTTGATCTCTTCTCCATCTCTATTAAAAGTGCTGCAGAATAGTGGGCGTCCAAATTTATGGGAAGGGCCGTTCTTGGCCTCAAAAGTGGTTTCATCAATCAGGTCCTCATATTCTAATTGCAATATTGTTCGGTGTTTGTTGTTCGGTGTTCGGCTTTTGATGCGGAGATATCTTCACGAAGCTTGGCACTTGACGTCAAGACAAAACGAGAAAATGGTTATTGGAGGTGGTTTAAGAGGAATAAGAAATGAGATATCTGTGGACTTCATGTGTGAATATCAATTTGGTAGTCACCGCCCACTTCGGGTACTGCCAAGAGCCCAACATATTTGGAGTGACACAAAATGTGTCCCTTGGCAGATCAAGAGAGCAGAGATAGACCATTTGCGGCCGAAAGTAACCGGCCTTGTGGATATTTAAATGAGTCATTTACCGTCTTAAACTCAATCTCTACAATAAATTGACCTCGAGTTTCCAACCTTTTTCAAGTGAAAAGTGAAAAACTCTTCAAGACCAAAATGTCTCAATTCTTTCTCTCCCGCCGTGCACAAGATGTCGTCGATGCCGGATCTGAGAACCCCATGTGGGCTGTGATGAAAGATGCATGGGACGCCTCATCAAACCCCAATGGATACGTCAATGTGGGCGTAGCAGAGAACACACTCATGCACCCCGAGCTTTTAAAATATATCAACAAGAAGCTCGAGCTACCCGCTAAGTACCTCACATACAACGATGGCGGAGGCGGCTCATCCAGATTGAAGGCCGCCATCGCCGGTTTCTTGAACCACAACCTGAAACCAGTCACTCCTCTCGAGCCCAGCCATATCCTGGTGACCAACGGCGTGTCGCCTGCAATCGAGCATGTCGTATGGTCATTTGCCGATCAGGGCGAGGGAATCCTCCTAGGAAGACCGTACTACGGTACCTTCATTCCCGATATCTCGCTCCGTTCAGGGAGTCGCGTTGTACCTGTCAGTTTCGGCGAACACGATCCTCTCGGTCTGGAAGGCGTGGATAAGTACGAAGAAGCATTACTGGAGTACCATCGAACAACAGGGAAGAAAGTCAAGGCTTTGATGCTTGCTCACCCTCATAATCCGCTCGGACGATGCTATTCCAGAGAAGTGCTCATTAAGTTGATGCGACTGTGCCAGAAATACCAGGTTCATTTCATCAGCGATGAAATCTATGCTCTTTCCGTCTTTGAAAATACCGTCGATGAACAACCCGAACCTGTCAAATTTGAATCTGCACTTTCAATCGATTTGACGGACATTATCGACCCGAGATTGGTTCATGTCCTTTGGGGTATGAGTAAAGATTTCGGTGCAAATGGTATCAGACTCGGCGCCATCATTTCCCAGGCTAACCGGGATCTTCATATGGCGCTAACTGCGCCTTCGCTTTATTCTTATGCTTCTGGAATCACCGATCACTTGACTACTCTCATGCTTGAAGACTTTGACTTCACCACTCGGTATATTCAGCAGAACCAGAAACTGCTGTCTGAGTCCTATGCATACACGGCAAATTACTTGAAAGATCACGGAATTGAATATGCGACAGGATGCAATGCTGCGTTCTTCCTTTGGGTGAATCTGGGGAAGAAGTACCGCGAGCTTCACCCGGACGATGAATCTGAGAATGTCGGGGAACAAGTCATGCAGCGTCTCTTGCAGAAGAGAGTCTTCTTGGCCAGCGGCTTTCTGTTCGGATCGGAGAAGGATGGGTGGTTCCGAATTGTGTTTACACAGGGCCATGACTATTTGACCGCGGCTTTAGAAAGGATACTCGCTGCACTTGAGGAATAAATTATCCTCGTGCAACTACAAAACAATCAGTCATCAGTTTGGATTGGGCTTGTTGATTTGCGTTCTAGATCCAGCCCCTCCCATACCTACATAACTAGATAGTAATGTGAATAGTTGTTCTTCATCCGACCTTGTTAAGCATGTTGTGGTATTTCTACCAGCTGTTATCACCCTAAAAACACTCGTATTACTCGGCACCTCTTTTGGCTAGCATTTCTACAATCTCCGCGAGGCCTTGTTCAGTTGCCGCATCGAGTGCCGTGCCATAAAGCTCCCCTTTTATGGTGACATTGGCCCCGTGATCAAGTAGCCATGCAACTAGCTCTCTCCAGCCTTGTCGCGCAGCCATCTGAAGCGCCGTGGTCTTCCCATCGCCTTGGAAATTGACATCAGCCCCGTTCTTGAGTAACAATTCGACAACACCTTGGTTGCCATAGAGTGATGCCTCCTGGATTGCCGAGCTACCATCTCCGCCTCTGACATTAGGATCGGCTCCAAGCGCCAGAAGCATTTCGACAACAAGCTTCGCACCTCGCTTAGATGCTGTCTGCAGTGGCGTGCCGTAGGTTTGGTGATTATAGTGCAGGCCAGCGACAGCACGGTGCTTTAGCAGAAGAATTGCACTCTGTGATCTGTCGGTATCATTGGATGCATCTAATTTGATGCTGTCGCATGCTACGTGGAGCGCCGAGCCGTAATCTTCGTGTTTGAATCGACGGCCTCGTTCTCGAGGAGGATTTTGACGACTTCCCGGTGGCCTTTGCGACAAGCTCGTTCCAGCGCTGTCCTGTTCATTAGGTTCATTAGGTCCCGATAGTTGACGTCTGCGCCATTTTCTAGGAGGATGGTGACAATATCTGGGTAGTTTCGATCTGAGGCTATGCTAAGCGCTACGAAATGTCCGTCTGAGCTGTTGACGTCAGCCCCATTCTCGATGAGGATTTTGACGACGTCCAGGTGGCCTTTGCTACAAGCTTCTTGCAGCGCTGTTCCGAATAGTTTTCCGCTATAGTTGATATCCGCGCCCCGTTCAATGAGGGCGAGGACAATATCTGGGTTATGTGCAGGCTTGTTGAGATCGGCCTCCAAATGTAAGACGATTTCAGGATGAAAGAGCATCACGTCCATAGGGCGCCAAGCCTTTCCACCCGTCGATCATCTAAGGGTAATTGAACGTAACAAAACTCGGAGAATTCGATACGTGACCTTCCCTTTTTCACCACCAATCACATCATTGAACAATGGCAAGTGTAACTGCCTCACAATTACAGCGCTTTAATGCTCTCCGGTGCCCGGAGCGGGATGCATCCGGAAGACGCAACCACTACCATTTCGCCGTCAAGGCTCTTCCCGGAGTTCCAGGCGAAGCTGTATTCTTCGCAAATCCATACAACAACCACCATGAGTGTGAGGGTCGATCCACAATTTCCCCTCTCTCGCCAGATGCACAGGCCAGAATTATTGTGCCTTTGCTACTGGAGGCATTTGTCAATCGATTCGACGAGCCCGGCATAATTCCTCAGATGGGCAGCAACATGGAGCCATTCGCGCCATTTACTTGGAGCACCACCGATGAGAACCTTGCACAGGCTGTCTCCCATAGGTGTCAGGAAATTGGCATCAGACGCGAGCTGTGTGACGTTGCCGTCACTACCGCTGAAGAGCTTCGCAGTGCCGAGGCGTGCTGGACGAAGTGGAGCAATGCCTTGGTCGAAGCTATGGCTATGTTTGATCTCCCGGATAGCGGCGTCGAGAATGTCGGAATGAGCTGTGAGAATTGTGGTTTTACTCCCTCGATGGATAAGCCCCTCCATCCGTGTTCTCAGTGCTTGCAAGTCACTTATTGCTCGAGGGAATGTCAAACTGAGAATGCTGAGGCTCACGGTCGGGTATGTGCGCCTGATATTGATTAATGTTTGAGACAACTTTATCTTTTCTTTCCACCTACGATGTTTGAAATCAGTTCTTTTGATATCCTATGTGTCGTGGTCAAAAGAGCTAATCTCTTGGCTATGTTTTTGCATTGTTGTACCCAAGCTTTTGAAATAGAGTTGCTTATTTTATATATTATACTATACCAACATTGTTGTCAAAAATATGAAAGGAGCAATGAGAGTCATCAGAGTTATGTCTTAATGGACTGTGTAGCCTCTAAGAAACGAAACATATTCAAGTATACCTGGAGACAAACAGATGACTTATGGACGTCGCTATCTATTAAATATTTGTTGTGCCTCATTGCTCTCGCACTCGAACTAGGAGTTACTGGTAGTATGACTGCCTTTGATGGTAATAACGGCATACTTTCCTACTTTAACTCACCATAAATCTCCTAGATATTATTTAAAAGAGAAAAATGCCCTTCAACTCACGATTCAAGTATTTATTATGTGAAATAAAGAGATCCCGTGATGCCTGATGATCAGGGGAAAGAACTAGGGCTGGCCCTGCACGTGACCGCTACTTCTAGCACAAATCGAAGGATCGAAAGGGACTTCGAGACCATTTAAACAAATTTACATTTATAAAATTTTCAATTGAAGGTCAAAGATATAAAATAATCATGGTTTATTTCATTTATCGTATGAATATCATTATCATGTCCCAGAAAGTCCCATAGTGGGCCCGAGATCTAAACTCAACTCCCTAGGGGAGGATGTAAATGCAAAGAGTACTTTTTGTACCATCTCTTGGAAAAGAAAAACCAAATCGCTTGAAAAACAAAGATGAAAAACAGGAAAACAGAGAGGTATCACGTAAGGAGCGCCGAGGGGTATGCAGAAAGGAGCCAAAGGAAAGATCAAACAACAGGCGTCAACTGGGTGTTCAAAGCCTGAGAGAGAGCCTCCTCTTGACGCTTGAGTTCCATCTCCATCAAGTATTGGGCATACTTGGACCGAGGGTTGTGAATACCACACTCAGTCTTCTGCTGTCCCTTCCAGCGACCAGCGCGCTCGTCCTCTCCATCGGCAACGGGCTGGGTGGAGTGCCAGTCACCAATGCTCTTATAACCACGGTCGAGGAGCTCGTTGTAGGGCACATCGTTCTCCTTGACGTACTGCTTCACCTGGCTAAAGGACCAGTTGGCCATTGGGTTGATCTTGATGAGGCCGGCCTCGTCGACTTCGATGATGTCGAGGTCACCACGCTTGCCGCCTTGGCTGCGGCGGCGACCTGTGAGAACGGCGTGGACGTTCATCTCACGGTAGGCACGCTGAGCGGGCTCAACTTTGGCCACCCAGTCGTAGAGCTGGTCATCGACCTCCCAAAGCTTCGCGCCGTACTTAGCTTCAAATTCGGCAGTAGTATCGACGCCAGCCGGCTTGTAGATGTGCACATTGTTGTTGGGGTACTTGCGACGCACACGATCGACCAGGGACAGTGTCTCATCGAAGTGATAGAGAGTGTCAAGGAAGATGAGATCAACCATCTGAGGACGAGGCACCTCCAGCTTCGATAGCATGTCCAAGGTGACAAGACCTGTGAGACCGAAGGCAGTGGTCTGGAACAGATGAGGAAGCGAAGTAATGCACCATCTCAAGATCTCTATAATGAAGAGTCAGATAAAAGGGTCTTCGAAAAGAGGGGTCATGATGGATATCAATACGGACCTTGAGGCTCAAGGAACTGCAACTGGCGGTTAAGGAACTGAAGATGAGGCTTGGTGAAGACAATCTCGGGAACATAGTCCTCGCTAGAACCAGAACCAGCACTGACATAGCCTGACTCAGTCATGCCATCGTGATTGTCAATACCCTCCATCTCTGAGGAGTAGTTCGTGGGCATCTTGGCCGGCATAATGTAAATAGCACAGAGATAACGTTTAAAGACAAGGGAATAAAGAATATGTATGAAGGGCTTGCAGAGGAGTATGAAGAACAAAGTCACAGATAATGGGGACAAGAATATAAGAACACCAGAGGCAATCACATCATCCGGAGGTCCGTCCCTGACATCCTCTTGATCCGATATTCTTCATTTCAAAGACTCAACGATACAATTGGCCAGTGGCCAGGGTGGGGACTGAAAACCACCCAAGCACGCCATCGACCTGCGATTGCGTGCTCGAATCCTCGCATCTCACCGCCTTCCCAAAGAGGAAACGGGAGTCATCTCAATAAGGCGGTGAGACTTCGGAGGCGCAGGAATGTCAGACTGGCAGAATATCGAAGTGGATTCTGCCCAAGTTCTGGGAGAGAATGGCGTAGAATGCCATTTAGGTTGTAGCTTATTGATTCCAACCCTGGAATCTTACCCCCAGATATTGATAATCGGCGCTGACAAACCCAGTCAATGATAAATAACTCCGATCATTGGCCCTGGGATCTTCCTGAATGATATAATGTTAGCAGGTTTTCTTGATCATGACCTAGACATATCCTATAGGGGGATCACGATCATCTTACTATGTGTAACATACAACATATCGTACAATATGTTATGTCCATGAATATAAAGATCCGACTCTGAAGTCATGGTGGATCTGCATGGGGTGCCTATCCCAAAACTGAGCTCATCTTATTCGAGGACCCATCTCTATGTTGTAGAACCTCATTGTCAATTCTGCCGGGCGGTATCGCACGTGAAATGGGGGGTCATCACGTGCATCTTTGGTGGGACCGAACCCACGTGCCGATCGGCGCGAGTCAGTTTTGATCTTCGGAAGTGTGGGATCTCTCAAGATAGCCTCAACCCACAAATTACTCTTTACTAGATTCCTTCACTAGTAGTGCATTATGGCAGATTCCACCCGCCCCACGAGGCCATCCCTCGGCCAAATGCGCAGCAGTTCATTCCTGCAGGACCACCAGCAGTACAAGCCGATGGCTCCAATCAATCCAATCACTCAGACCATCGGCGAGGTTCTGGCGAACCAGGTGGATGATCACCTGGTACTTAGCTCAAATCCAATCAAGCCAGACCCGGAGAGAGTCACAGACAGCGGCATCATTCACAGCATCTTCAACCACCACGCGAATCCTCTTCCAACCGGCACATCGCAAATCGTCGCGACTATCTACTACAAATCGAACAACCCCGTCCACCCCCACTACCACCCCGACTCAGGACCCCAGAATACTCCAGACGACAAGCTGCCAACTCCCAAGGTGCCCGAAGGCTCTGCCCCAACAGAGGATATGGATAAGTTCCCGCGCGAGCCGCCTGCCCCGGAGCCGGAGCCACTGGATCACCTGTACGGGCCATATGTTTCTCAGCTGTGCTTGACCAACTTCCTCCAGATCTTAGAAACTCTCCCCACCCCTTACCAGCGCATGAACACTTCGCACCGCTGTCTTGACCGTGACGAACACCCCCGCGTAGTGGAGGTCACATTCTCTCCCCCACCGAACCCGGACTATCTCTCATTCCCAGATCTGCGCAAGCATGAGAGTATCTGGCGCTTTGAGCGCGAGTGGAATGTTGAGGTCGTCCTACAGAAGGAGAGCGTCTTCCGTCGGCACAAGCGCCTTGCTGTGTTTGACATGGATAGCACCTTGATTGACAATGAGTGCATTGACGAAATCGCCAAGTTCATTGGTGTTGAGAAGGAGGTTTCCGTAAGTTCTTCTTGTCATGGACTCAAGTCTCCATACTAGTGGCTAACATTGACGTAGGCTATCACTGAGCGTGCCATGAACGGTGAACTGGACTTTGCCGCGTCACTAAAGGAGCGTGTCGGCCTTCTCAACGGCGTTACCGCAGACGTCTTCGAGAAACTCAAGTCTGTCCTCAAAATCGCCAAGGGCGCCCGTGAGCTCTGTCGCGCATTGAAAACCCTGGGCTACAAGCTCGCAGTGGTGAGCGGTGGGTTCCAGCCCCTCGCTGAGTGGCTCGCCGAACAGCTCGGTATCGACATTGCCATTGCCAACCACGTAAGCCTTCCCTGTTTGCTCTTAATATCTTCATTTTATCCAATCTAACCTTATCCAGCTCGAAATCGATGAGGCTACCCAGACTCTGACCGGAAAACTGGTGCCATCCTACCCCATCGTTGACGCCGCGCACAAGCGCACTCTACTCAAGTCCATCGCCGCTGAGCACGGTATCCCCATCTCGCAAACCATGGCTGTCGGCGATGGCGCTAACGATCTACTCATGCTGCACGCTGCAGGCCTTGGCGTGGCCTGGCGCGCTAAGTCCAAGGTCCAGTTGGAAGCCCCCGTCCGCATCAACGGCGAGAGCCTTGTCGATATCCTCTACCTGCTTGGCATGGATAACGAGGACATCGCGGAGCTGACCACCGACGCACAATAAGTCCTTGAGTAGCTAAACGGGCGACGCGCTACTTTCAGTAGAGTACACACTTGTGTACTATGCGATACATGCCCTCTGATCTAATTTTTTGGATTAATTATACCCCTCGAGAAGTCTAACCGGAAACGGTGCCCACAGCTGGTTGCAGGGCTTGACTTGGAGATTTCCTTGTGTTGGAGAGTTGTGGAGTTTATGTCGGTCCTTACCTTTAGGAGAGTCCGGTGTGGTGGGATAGGAGTTGCACAATACGTAGTACGGAGCATAGAATTCTTGTATAGCGTGTGGAGTTTGTGGGTTCCTGTTGTCTTGAAGGTGGGATGTAGTGGATTGGGGAACGGAGCAGGCTCAGACCATGATCTATGACATTTTGAGAATTGATATAAGAGAGCACTGAGTTGATTTCTAGTGCTTGAGATTAGGAACAGAAATATGCCATGAATGACTTCTCTAATGGTGATACAAAGTACAATTCGTGTTGAAATGTTGACTGTGAAATGACAGAACCAGCGAAAATCCCTTATATGAAAAGCCCCAAAACCGACAACCCAGAAAGATGCAAGAAAGATAGCGCCAGGAGGTTAAACGACATGTGCATGGAGTCAGAAGGCAAGACACCGGTGAGATGAGCAGGTTTATTTAGGTAGTTGAATCGGATTTTTGTTCAAATGCAAGACACCTCACCGGGGAGCCTCATCAATTGTAGCAGCGATCTGAGCGACAGTGCGCTCAGCGGTTCCAGAGCCAGCACGACGCTTCTTGAGAACGTTCTCGATGAACGCCTCGCCAGCCTTGTAACTGCTTCGCACCAAGGGGCCAGAGGCACAGTACAAGAAGCCCATATCAAGGGCACGCTGGCGCCACAGCTCGAAGCGATCAGGCGTGACGTATTCATGAACAGCCATGTGACGCTTCGTAGGGCGCATGTATTGACCGAAGGTCACGACATCGACGTTGACAGCGCGAAGCTGGCGCAGGGCATCCCAGAGCTGCTCATCCGTCTCACCAAGACCGAGCATGAGCGAAGTCTTCGTGACAAGTTCCGGAACAGCCTTCTTCGCGGCATCAAGCACACGAATAGACTGCTGGAAGGTGGCGCGGCGGTCACGGACGAATGGTGTAAGCTCTTCGACAGTCTCAACGTTGTGCGCATAGACATCCAGCCCAGACCGGGCAACCAATGCCGCCATTTCTGTATCACCGCGGAAGTCGCCCGTCAAACACTCGACAAGCATACTCGGCTTCTTCTGCTTGATTTTGATAACCGTCTCGGCGAAGTGGCGCGCGCCGCCGTCCACCAAATCGTCACGGTCCACGCTCGTCAGCACAACGTAACCCAAGCTCCAGCGAGAGATGGCCTCGGCGGTGTTCTCGGGTTCGTGTGGGTCGAGTGGGGGAGGAGTACGGGATGTCTTGACACTGCAGAAGCGGCATCCGCGCGTGCAGGTATCGCCCATCAACATGATTGTCGCTGTGGCGGAGGATTTGTCGCTGCCGCCCCAGCAGTCGGAGATGTTGGGGCACCGGGCTTCCTCGCAGACGGTGTGCAGGTTCAATCCTCTCAGATCCTTCTTTAGGCGCTGGAAGTTCTTTGAGTCTGGGATGGGAGTCTTCAGCCATTCGGGCAAACGAGTCATTTCCTTCTTGCGGCCGGCGGGGCCGACAAGCGCGGTCTTAAGGGCATAGGCTTCTGATGGATCGAGAGGTCCGTCTTGACCTCCTGAAACGAAGTCTGAGAAGGAGGGTCCTGCATTCAGCTTATCCTGGAACTTCGTTGGTTTCCGCCGTGTGGTTCCTGGTGTGTTCGTCGCGGATGAGGAATCCGTCGTCGCATAGCTTCGGCGGCCGAGGGGAGCAATTACTGTCAATGTTGGGGATATGGTTCTGAAAGACGACAGGCGTCGTAGACTTCTTGATGGAGCTGCCATGATTTGTGAGTGTATGTGGAATTGGAGAAAGCTGAACTGGACTTTGTCCGCTTGGTCAATCCTCAATCCCGCGGAAAAGTATGACTAAGCATTTCGCCATCCACCGGGGCATCAGATCGGGCGGGAAAGTCCAATTGCACGTCCATACGTAATAAGGCAAGAATATGAAGTTCAGAATTAAAAATGATGCTTGTAGCACTATTAGAAAAGACGGACATCTGTGCAGCCTCCATTCGTGACTGTTATATCGAAGATTCCGTTTGTCCTTTCCTTTCTCGGTTTTATAGTTAGAAAAATGAAAAGCCATTAAAAACTGCTTTCTCTATTATATGAATGGGGACTTGGAATACTGGTTGATTATGGCATTATATTTTAGTTACTATGCTATATAAAACTACCTACGTGTGTAGTTCGACCCCCAACGCACAAATATACCGACCGATGTTCCAAGGACCGCGCGATGCAAGGGTATGAGAAGAAATCAAGAGAAACAAAAAGGGAGTCAAAGGGAGTAGAAGTAGAAAGAGGGCAGAAAATGCAGACAGACAATAGGAGAAGGAGGACTCAATGATTAGAGCAAGTAATGATAGAGAGCACAAATATGAAAGGTGATAACAAGGACAGTCAGTAGGAAAGGTTCTTGAGGAAGAGAGTGCAGGAAATCATTTCAAGGACAAGGAGAGGGTAAAACGAAAGATACACTTCAGTCAGATATAGGGAGAGAACAATATTAATAGCGGCAAGGAAATGTTGGATGCAACGAGTGACCAATGCTAAGCCTTGGTTTCAAGCACTTGGGCGAGGACTTCAACGGCTGATTTCAGAGTAGGATCTGATCGGCCACAGATGGCGAATAACAGATTGTCCACGGTTCGATCAAGGTGTGCCTGGAGGTCTTTGCTTCGAGAGTTGAAAAGGTGATCCTTGGGCTTGCTAGTAGACCCAGATGGAAGCTGGATGCCTAAGGTGGTGTATGCTTTTTTCGGGACGCCGTCCACTGTGTATGCTTCCTTGTGCAAAGGGACAGGCGGCTTGGCTCGGTGAAGGTTTGGTAGAGAAAGGAGGTAGTTTCGAGCGAGGAGGGCAGCACAGAGACAGTCGAGTAGGTTTTCTGTGACACCGGGGAATATAGTGCGGAAGGGCTTAATAAGGGCCTTTTCGTCATTTTTGCGAAGGAATACAATAACAGGGGATGCGAGCCGGAGCATATGGCGGGGAAAATCCTTAACTGAGTGGTCCAGCTCATCTAGGGTCCATTCATGATCGTCCAGCGTCCAGTCATGGTGCCATAGCCGTGGTTTTTCATTCTCCTTTTCGGATATGATAGAAGTCTGTCCTGGTGAATGAACTGTTGGTGGTGATGATGCCTTTGGGCTCACGCTGCCCGATCTGATTTCAGGTTGTGGGCTTGTCTCGCGCTCTCCCTGCGCGGTGTCAGGCCGTTCACCGATCACTGTTGAACCGACGCTATCCGAAGAGGTCAATGACCCTGGGTCGGTATATGCATCGTCGTCGTCATCACCTTTCCTATCATCATAGCTATCGAAGGAATAACTGGAGTCACGAGTTCCGTAGCCACTATCTGATAGATTAAGCGGAGTGTCCGGGCTAAATGCGGATACTTCTTCTTGGCGCTGATCTGGGGTTGTCGGTACAACCTGTGGCAGCAATGATAGAGGTGGGAGCAGGGGAAGTGATGGTGATGATTGTCGAGCGATGTCGACAAGCTTTGGCTTTGTCTTGCTAGCAACAACAAATCTCTAGATGGGGGTCAGCATTCAATGGTATGCCATAGTGATAGGTTGTCGAACTTACTACAGGTTCTTCAAGGGCTTTTGCTCCTGGGATTATGTCCAGTTTTGGCATTGGAGGATCATTCTCGACAATTTGAAACTTGCGCCGATTGTTGAACTCCTTTGTAGAAGAATTTTGGTCATTCATTTTGTCAACTGGCACACCTTGCAACCATCTTTCACAGTATGAGAAATTGGTCGGTACCCAGCTAGCTTCACTCGAGGCTGTCCCAGTCCGAGGGCGTTGAGGTCTCGGTGAACTCCCAGGAACAAGGACTCTCTCGCTGTGGACCAGCGTTGGGGTTGCAGGCTTCTCGGGAGATTCGGCTCTTGACTCCTGTGCATTGCTCGACTCGCACTGGCGTACGAACTCTGAGTGGGCTTCATGAACATTCATGACATCTGTTCGCGGTTTATTTTTCCAATCTGGGGGACGGTACGCTGTGTACTGTATTCTTTCTCCGATTTCGAGCGTTGCAGGCGTTGTGGAACGATCCGGTCGAGGGGTATCAGACTCGTCCTTCTCTGCTTTTCCGACACTTGGCGGGCTTGATTCATCCGAGGACTGAGAATCAAAGTAAGATAGCTCTGGACCAACACTTGCGGGGCGCGATTCTGTTATAGGCGGACTAGGTAGAAGACCGAATGTCTCCAGGCTACCGCAAGTAAGATTCTGGTCTGAGCGCCATGTTCGTAATTTGTGATCGGCCGGTGCTTTTGACGGCCTTCTGGGCTTTTCAGGAAAGTTAGGAGCAGGGCCTTCAAGCGAAACTGGGGATGTCGGAAGCATTAATTGAAATGGCTCTTTCATTCTCCGAACCGAGCGGAAGGGCGACACGCAAACTGGGCCGCGATCTATGGGGCGCCGTGGTGCTGAAATCGTAAAGTCATGCGATTCTATGCGCGGCATCACTGGCGATGGTACAAATGATAGCGAGGGCATTTGCCTACTGCGCCTTCGGGGTATATAGGTGGGAGACCACCGGCGTGGTGATGGGATGGGCTCCCCCATTGCCATCGTATCGTGGCTCCTCGAGGACGAGTTTGAGCCCTGGTTTTTTATATGAGTTTGGATCCGGGCCGGAAAGCATGCATGGCTAGGCAGCTCTGTCGCACCAGAGGCCATATTGGACAATGCCATACGCGGCTGAGAGTAGTAATCCTGGTCTGAAAGGTCGAAGCAAAAAAGCAAAATGTGTTGCACAAGAGTAACCCAGATGAGATTGGAATCCAGATTGATTGTTTATTGTTGAAGACAAAACAAATAGATCTCAGACCCTGCAGGGGCTCGATATGTCCTTATACAGCGACTGTGGCGCTAGTAAGGTAATTTAAGGTGGGTATGGTGATCGGACTGAAGTACACATCCCTTGACAGGACCACAACCCTGCTATGTATGCCGGAAAATGTTCAACGGGAAGATCCCCCCTTAGAGCGTAAAAATAGGGTCCGTCGTCTGGCACGAACACTTGGAGTCGGGTTGTCTAGGCACGGGCCAAGGTAATAATAGTGGGAATGAGGTCGCGTCGTCCTTGCATTCCAAAGAAGATGAGAAACCAGGACAACGATGGGCAACAATTGGCTCCAGATCTCAATCTGTTGTCCTGCAGGAGCCCGTCAACGTGGAGAGCCCCCATCCGTTGCCTCATCTCGTCATAGCTAAGTTCCGACTGGGCACTTGGAATGAGACATTTGGGATGCAAGAGGGGGGAGAAGGGAAGCCATGGCGAATCAGATCTAGCGAAGGGCAACAGGATCAGCCAGAGGGTGTATTAAAGCGGGCCTTCATTGGATATTCTGTCTCGTCGCAACAGCAATCCACCCCTTCTGGTGTATCCCTTGCATGGATCTGGTTCATACCGATGTTATTGTACATATCGGCCTAATATTTGGAGGTTTGGATATAAATGCCTGATGATGGCTTGGATTGATCATCCTGGGCACTCAATTTGATTCGGGCTAAATAGAGAAAACAAAAATCATTTCGATTTATAGACAGGCGCGAAATGATCCCTCATACTTGCCGAGCTCGGTTGACCCAGATGGGGGTGACTAAGAATGATAGATCGAAATGCTGGCGGGTCTAATATAAAACACGGGACAATTAGTTGATAGATGCACTTAGAACAATTGCTCTGTCTATTCAAAGATCGGGGATATCCTTAGAAGGTTGCATTAGTTAGAAAGCCAATTGTTAAGATAGATCACATATAGCCCGTGGAGGAGCCCTGAAGTGTCGACGATTATAATCCAGCCAAACAGTGCAAACATCGTTATCAATCGATTAAGAAAAAAAAACCTCGGAAGGAATGGGCAACTTGAAAACCAACCTCCCATACTTCGTATGACAACCTTATTCTTCCATTCCTGATGCTTTCCGAATCATTTGTGGCGTCGACGCTGTCATCCGCCAAATCTCCGACAGCCTCACTCAGAGATGTAGGGGTCTGTGTCCACGAACTGCAGCCCTCGTCGATACTGCGATCGACTTTCAAGAAGAGCTCAACTTTGACCAATTGTCTAGCTGTCAGCCCCTCGCATATTTTCACAGCCCAAGCAGACAAGGCTGTTATTCACGTGTACAGCCGGGAGAAGGGTAACCAAGAGGGCATTGTTCCATTTCCCGAGCGGATACGCAGCATTGCTGTCGCGGGGGGCAAGTATGGTGATGTCTTGGTTTTGGGCACCGAGGGTGGTCGATTAATTGTTTGGGAGGTATGTTGGATCAATAATTAGCATTTCCCCAAGCCATGCGTCTGACAGCTTTTTCAAGACATGCACAGGACGCCAAGTAGCCACAACGGCCTCTCATCTTCAACCAGTAACCTCGCTCGTCGTCGACCCCACGTCCAACTTTATTCTGTCCGGCTCTGCTGATGCCAGTGTACATGTCTGGTCCTTGCCTGGCATTCTCTCGTTCTCGAAACCCGCTCTTAGCGCAACTCGCCAACCCACGAACTCGCCTATCCGAACTTTCTCCAACCACCGCGCCGCCATCACCTCTCTTGCTGTTGGACATAGCAATGGCCGCCATAACATTGTGGTATCGACCGCAAAGGACAACACTGCTATCGCATGGGACTATCATACTGGGCGAGCCCTGAGAACCTTCCTCCTTCCGTTATCCGCAACGTGTGTGGCTCTGGACCCTGTTGACCGGGCTTTCTACGTGGGATATGAAGATGGCAGCGTGCAGTCCGTAGATTTCTACCGGAGCCAATCTGCGCAGCATCCTCTTCATGATCCATCAGTACAATCAACACCCGCGCAAGTGTCCATGGAGGACCGGTGGCTCCCTCCCTCGACTGAAACAGGCTCAGTGAAGACAATCTCCCTTACATACGATGGTACCACGTTACTCTCCGGCCATACTAATGGAAAGGTGCTGTCTTGGAATGTCGCGCGACGGAAGTATACATCATCAGTTGCTGACTACACGCACCCGATCACCAATCTGGTCATGCTCCCTCCGGGTGGCATCCCTCACCCTTCCTCTGATTTGGAGAGAAAGGCCCACACCATTGTCAAGCCGCGCCACGATAGTGGCCATTCGGCCCCAAACCATGCCCCTGGCGCCGTTCCTGCAGAATATATGTTCCACACGCACATCATCGCACCATCCGACTCCCGCAAACCGACCCAATTCTCTCAGGCACTTACTCACTCCTCTTTCCCCACTTCGATGATTGAAGATGGTCTTGCAGAGCTCGCAGCATTCCGCCAACCTAGTAATGCGGAAGTTACTCGCATTACCTCAAGCACCGCCCCCGCCAAGGAAACACTTGAAGACGCAGCTGCCCGCGATTCGCAGGTCGCCGAGTTAGAAAACGAGGTGTCTGTGCTCAAGAAGAAGGTTGCGGTTAATGAGACTGCTCGCCATAATGCAGATGATGAGGTTGTACAGCTACGCTCGGACCTTGCCAATCTGCAGGATTACATCAACGAGTTGCACGAGAAACAGGAGGCCGCACAGCAGGAGAAGGTCCTGCGGCAAGCAAGGAAACAGGAGCACGAAACGAAGAAGCGGGAAGCTTGGCTTGCTGCGGAGAAGAAGGGTCGCAATGGTGATGCAGTCATTCAAAAGATGGACATTGATGGTGCTGTGACCAGTGACTCGGATGATCAGAGCGATGAATAAATAAAAGCTTTGGATTTTTGGTTCGCATGTCAATGGATCGGCGCAGGGGTTTGGATTAGTATATACTATATCATTTTGGAGCTTTCAGGTCAATAATAAAAAAATATCCGCCACGTTCATGACTATGCATATGAGTGCAACTAAATTTCCCAAAAGTTCGTCTCATATTTCCTTGAGACGGTTCTCATCTATGTCTCTGAATGGACAAGTGATCAACCCTAAACAACAGCTCAGGCCTCCAACTCCTTCTACTAGCTTGAAACTGTTCATCCAAACTACACTGTTTCAATAATCATCTGATTCTATAAGCAGGGGTCTCCTATTTACCAAATCGAATAAGGTATACTCCGTACCTTGGAGAGGAGTATTACATTTGTTGTTGGGCCAGGGTGTTCGCGAGGCAACCCCGAAGGGGTCATGCAGGGCTCTCATGGCAAGATACGCAAGGATGAGTACAATTGTCTCACAAAAGTCCCGCAAGCTTCTCTTCTCTCATTCACCAGTACATCTCTATGGCAATTGGGGTTTAGCAAGGTCGCAATCCTTGTATACATATCATCCAGGCTTTTATCCCGCTGTTCCCGCCGTTCCCGTTGGGTCTATGCGCAGGGGGTCGATCGCTATACAACTATTACATACAGAGACATCGGGTCTCAAGCAAAATGGTAATAAATCGATACTCATTGTATTCATAAATTTCCACTATGAGAACCCCTCTCGAACATCCAACGACACCCTCCTCACAAGACATATCCCAGGGAATCTCACAAAAGCTCAAGCCACCGCATGACCACATCCCTGTTCCAGAATCTCTCCCTCATCAATCTCTTTCATAATACTAGTCCCAGCACTAGTTCCAATGCGGAACGCTCCAGCCTTAAGCATGCGCAACAGAGCCTCAGCATTGCGTATACCGCCACTAGCCTTGATCAAGCAAGAGCACCCACACATATCCGCCGCCAAGCGCATAGACCTAACCTGGTCAACAGTGGCACCGCCATTCCAGCCCGTGCTAGTCTTGACATAGTCCGCACCAGCCAAGCACGACACGATCGTCGCAGCGAGGATCTGTGCGTCATCAAGCAGAGACGCCTCTATAATCGCCTTGAGGGTAACCGGCGCCGGCGCGGCTTTGCGCACCGCAAGAACATCCTCGTACACTTCCGTGTACCGACCCTCCTTCAGCAGAGGGTACCTGATCACCATGTCAAGTTCTGTGGCGCCCTGCGCAACGGCCTCTTTCGCTTCGCGAACTTTCTCGGCTGTTGGGTGCGTGCCCTCGGGGAAGCCGACCACGCATGCGAGCGCTGTATTGGTGCCCTTGACGTGACTTGCGGCGCGGGCAACGTGCTCCAATCGCACGCATACGGCAGCGAAGTCGTATTCAAGAGCTTCTTTGCACAGGGTGTCGATCTGTGAAGGATCGATTGGAGTCGCTAGGAGGGTGTGGTCTATTGTGCGGTGGATTTGTGTTGGAATTGGCGCCTGGGACAGTGAACGTCTGGGCAGCTGCTGCTTCATGTTGGCTATCTTCTCCGCCCATTCGGCGTCTGTTGAGGGGATGGCGCTCATGCTGGGCGGTTTGTGTAGTGTGCCTTGGGTTGGAGAGCACGCCGCCGTAGTATTAGGGATTACTCCCGGAAATTTGTTCAAGTGTCTACACTTGGCATCGAGGGGAAGAGGGGTTGTCACGTGGCGCTTCTAGAATCATCATGACGACCCGTCCACGGGTGATTCATATTGACACGATGTGACCTTGAAGAGGCGGTGTTGTGGCGCTAAGAGACTAGTGTCTGCATCTCGGGCCAGCACTTTCGGTAAGTTCTAGCGGTATATCAAGTTCAGTGAGCAGGTATAATCTGTAGTATGTGTGTAATTCGAAGGTTGTAGAAAAATACAAGGTTCCGTTGAATATCATAGGTGCATTGCAGGATGCATATGACAAGCTTCCCAGCCAAACTGATAAGTTGGAAGGTTCCTAAACCCCGACATCTCGGTCCATGCCCTAGCCTATTTCCTCTCCTTGGCACTACATTTTAGGAGCGATTCCATCGCTTTGCCTGTTCGCTTATTTACAGCTCCCACACTCCGGCGCGCGAACATCATCCACACGTCCCACGCGCCGCGGACCAAATCCCGGACCACCGCCGCCACCTCCTCCTCCACCACCACCACCTCCACGGGGTGAGGATGTACTGCCTCCCCAACGAGGGCGAGTAGTATACTTGTTTCTCTGGTTGTTGATGTTGAAAGAGGAGCTCTCGGCGGCGGCGTATGAGTCGAGCTATGATATGTCAGATTGATCCAGTTGCGGAATATGAAAGTGCGGAAGAGTGGGATGGGAAGGAAACAAAGATAAGACGTCGCATATAGTAAGCCTATGAGATGTACATACCGATAAGAGGGTAGTGAAGTACAGCCCCAAGAAGAAGTAAACGCTCTCGACAAAGCGGGTAAGCCGCACGGTGAAGGGGGGGCTGTTGGTAGGCTGGTCAGCGCCTTGGGTCTCTAAATGTTGCGGGGAAAGGAGAAAGTCACCTCTGGAGAGCCTCCCCATTAGAGAAATAGACTGGCTTTGGGGGTCTGGCAGACATGATTGTTGTGGAGGATGGTTGTTAGAATTGAAGATGGGAATGAGGTGGAGTGATCAACATGGCCGGGCCGGGGTCCACTAATTATAGCCGCACCCTGTTCTGTTCCGTCTACAAAGTACTAGTAGTACTACAACATAAACGTCAATCTACTCTATACATATGCTCGAAATACTAATTTTAGTAGGGATGTTCTTTAACGATCATGCATATCTCATTTCTAGGGGTATCTGAATGCTGTCTATGTACATTGTCCACCAAATTTACAACCATCGCTCGAAAATATATATATATAAAAAAAGTTGAATCACTGCTTCTCATCCACTTGCACAGCGATCGCATCCACTTCGCTGCGGAGCTCGTCCAGTCCATGGAAACCCTCCTCAATCGCCCATCGTTGGCCTTGTGGATCGTGCAGCACGTGGCAACTGGCACCAACGACCAGCAACCCCGGTGGTCGCGAGCCTGCCTCTTCAAAGGCCAAGCAGACGTGCTCTAAGGTCGAGCGAATGACACGCTGATCTGGACACGACGCTCGCTCAACAATCGCACACGGCGTCTCCTTAGGCCAGAGTGTGCGCGATTGTGAACCATTGTCTTCAGTAGGGAAGGTAGTGAGAGACTCCACAAGAGCAGAAAGTCGGTGAAGAGCCATGAGGAAGACCACAGTTTGTGTAGGTACATATGTGGGAGGGTTTGGAGCAGCCCCCTTTCTGCCGGTTCCTGTGCACACGAGGACCTGGTCGGAGACGCCGCGGTGGGTTGCTGGGATATCGGCGAAGAGGGCCGCGCTCATAGCGCTAGTGATACCTGGCAACACGACCGGAGTGTAGCCCTCGTTCCTGAAAAACTCGAACTCTTCCGCTCCGCGTCCATATAGATATGGATCTCCTTGTTTCAAGCGAAGGACCTGCCGTCCTTGCTTCAAAGCTGCCAGACCCATTAGGAGGAATTCTTCCTGGGCTTGGTCTGCGTTGCCAGGGAACTTGCGTGCGATGTGGACTTCGGTTCGGCGAGGGATCAAATCCAGGACTGGAGCGGGGACAAGTTTGTCTGCGAGGATGAGGTCGGCATTGTGGATTGCGTGGTAGGTGGCACGGGTGAGTAGGTCTGGGTGACCTGGGCCAGAGCCTGCGAGGACGATCTTCCCCTTCTTTGAGAGGGTATCGAGGCCATTTATACCAGTTGTGGTGGCATTTCCAGATGTATAGGCCTTTAGTATGGCATCCATATCGGCATCGGTGATAGACACGAGCTTTCGGAGAGGCCAGTATTCACAGATTTGAGATAGCCAACGCACCCTTCTTGTCTTCGCGGCGGCAACATCACCTTCTGTGACCAAGTTGTTGAAAGTGTGCTTTTGACCTATACTATCGTCGTCTTCTCTGTCAAATATGCCTTCTGCTAGTCCAGCAGCATTGTCCTCTTCCCACAGCCGCCTTCGCACAGCACCGAGTCTGTCGATGGCCGTTCCAAGGTTTTGGGGTAGGAAAGCAGCAATCTCCCTTCGCAACCGGGATGCAAGCTTGCAACCGCGGCCAGAAGTAGTGATTCCAATGTGTAGGGGGCCGTCTGAGTAGGTGGAAAGTAGGGTGAAGGAACATAGTTCGGGGGAGTCTGAGACGTTCACTGGAATTCTAAGGCGCCGGCAGAGCTTCGATATGTGTGGACCTAGCAGAGAATGTAAGTAAAAATTGTTTGAGAATTATACTGGTAGGTCTTACTTAATGAGTTGTTGTTACCCAAAGTAACAAAGACCAGGTCCACAATGTGATCAACTTCTTCTCTACCCAGGGTTGTCAAGTCCTTGTCTTGGAACTCATGACGAATCCATTGAGCAGAGCCATTGGCAATGTACTCAGATAGGGTAAAATGCATGTCGTCGGTCTCCGGCGCAATGATAATAGGCTTTGCGCCGACCTCGAGGCTCCGCGCACATCGAGCGGCGGCAAGAGGATTGGAACCGATAATCAAGTGGACTTGTGACTCTGTATTCCACGCAGCCATCAATGGCGCGGGTGAACTGGGACATGAGCCGTCCTTCATGGTGAAATATAGTGGAACAAAGTGTCGAGCCCCGCCAATGCCTCTTATCAGTATGAAATATGCTGTTGTCGAAGAGGTAAAGGAGACAAAATTGAAGAAGGCTCTGTAGTTCCCAGGGTTCAAGAGAATGTGAGGTTGTATTTAACAAACAGAGCACCCAATGAACGTAGTTTCTAGACTTCCGCGGAGAAAGCAGCGAATATCAAGAGTGAGTAAAAGGCCTGTCACGATTGGTGATAACGGGCGATAAGGATATCGAAGTGGGGGATGATCCTGGCACGATTGACAGGAAGCCCTGAGGTTTGATTTAAGGAGTGATTAAAGGTCGGAAAAGAGGCCGTTGAGGTCGATCTTATACCATTGACTCATATATAGCGAATATAGCAGACACACCACTCTTTCCAAAATTTTCTATACATCTTTATCGCCCAAAACGGTTAAAGGCAATTGCGTGCTTGGTAAAAGCACGTGATCTTAAATACTGGGGAAGTGGCCATAGACCTTACCTAAAGTAGCTTAGCGGGGATGTACAAGTAAAAGATGTGCGTGGTCTTTAAAGGCGCTATACTATTTTGGGCAGACAAGAATACTATGTAGTTCTGTCTTCGATATAGGACTTGGAAATCTGATCTATTTGGCTCAAAATAATATTAAGCACAATAGATCCAAAGATAACAGAGTGTACAAAAGAGTTTTTCCATGTATGAAACTTTGGAGCCTGTAATATCCTCACTCTTCTCTACCGATGTTCCTTCTACCACTCTTCAACTTTCCTTGAAAGCTTCAACTGGATGACAACCACGACAGTTGAGTCCACTCCTACCATCTTTATGTCTAATTTCTTTACCTCGTCAGACAGGTTCCCTCGCGGCTTCTGCCACTGAAGTTCACCGCGATGAAATGAACAGAGAAATGCTCCCATCCAAATTTCTACAACCTGTACTTCGGCTTTTGTGTGCATCCATTCCACCATTAACAACGTGTCCAAGCCAGTTATTCTGACCTTGTCTTCATTACAGACCTAAGCCCACAAATTCCTATTCAACTATCACAGAAATTTGACCAAATTAAGCCTGGAGATGTCCCGAAAGAAGCTTCTTCATCTTCTCTAAAAAAATCCACCACGTCAATCACTTCCCCGTCACAAGTTACCTGGACCACTTGGTCCCTAGCCCTGTATTGAGTCAACGGTGTACGTCATATTCGAACTAACGGTGGAACGACACGGTCCTCTCAGATGTCCACGAAAACATGGAATGACCAACTTGAGAGTGTCTATGTTGGATGTAAGCGTGAACTCCAGGGCCGCTTCGATCAGACAATAGGGCAATTAGTGGGGACGGTCCTGGACGGCCAGTCAGACAAAATCTACTTTGGAGACTTTGAATGCATTGGGAACAAATCCCTAGCATTCCGAGAGCCTTCGACGCCTTTACCAGCAACTTTGCTATGTATACACCACATTGATACACAACTGTGACAGTGCCGGATGACTGGGGCTTGAGAGAACTCCCTATGGTAGAGTGATCACAGATGTCAATGGCTCCCGACTACAGTCGACGAATGTATAACGAAAGTACAATATATGGTGCAGATGCAAATGAACTGTTCTTTTGGAACGACGGATTGCCATGGCTGAGCAACTTCCATTTCTTTCTTTCTGTCTCGCATCTCCTGCTCTTGTTTTCCGCTGTTTAATATTATCACTCTTCTGCCGCCTATAATTTCAAATGATCCATGAGTAATTTCTTTCAAGCATGCAAGACATAGTTCGGTACATATATGCTAGATTTGCCGTAATCCTAACTTATGTAGGTATATCATCAGTAACGAAACCACCGATCTCAGGAAAACACCACGACTTGGTGATCCCAAGGCCACACGCAGTCGTGTGGCTCCGCAGCCTACAACGTAGATTTATGCCATTAATAAAGGTAAAAGTATTATTTATAGCCCTGGATGGTTATGACATTGGCCAGATGATGCCAAAAATCCGGGTTAGAGCCTCGTATATTGGTCTCCATGGCATATTTCAACTCAGTGAACAGAAAACATGAGAATATATCGGCCTTAGGCTCTTATTTGAATAGTCAGTTATTCAGAAGAGAATAATCATACTTGCTGGGAATATTCTAGAGAGGTGGACACAAAGTGATGCTTCGGTCACGTGGAACGGAGCTTCCAGCTCGTAAGGGCGCGCAACGCCGGAGCTACAAGCATCATCTCATCTCATCATCTTCCATTCCACAAATCTCACGTTGTCAAGCACAACAAACGTGTTCAAAGAACTTCCCTACCAACTCAACCTATTAATCTTTTAAATTGACTCACCGGCCACCCCAGCCTCATTCGTCATCATGTCCGGCGGCCTGCTGAAGCCCGAGAAGGACTTCACCAAGGATGCCGACAAGCTCATCCCGGAGGCGGAAGATCTCGCAAAGGTGAGTCGGGGTTTGCCATCCATATCAAAGCTGATGCTAACATACATGGCTCTAGACCGATGTCCAGGGAGCAGTCGATAAGCTGTTGGGTCTGGAGAAGCAATCCAGACAAGTACGATACCCAGTGCCATCTCCGTTAACGACCCACCCAAACTAATTAAGACTCTCTTGTTCAGGCATCCGATCTTGCCACTACATCGCGACTCTTGATTGCCATTGTCACCATCAGCAAGAACTCCGGCGACTGGAACCTTCTCAACGACCAAGTGCTGCTCCTTTCCAAGAAACATGCCCAACTTAAGCAGGCCACAACGAAGATGGTGCAGACGGTGATGAAGTTCCTGGATGAGACACCTAACATGGAGGTCAAGATGTCTGTTATCGAAACCCTGCGCACAGTGACTGAGGGAAAGGTACGCTGAGAACCGCTTGATATTGATCGGAGGGGCGCTAATTATTACAAAGATTTTCGTTGAAGTAGAGCGAGCCCGCGTTACCCGCATACTTTCAAATATCAAGAAGACCCAAGGCGATCTCACTTCGGCAGCAGACATCCTGTGTGAGTTGCAAGTGGAGACATTTGGGTCAATGACTAGACGGGAGAAGACAGAATTCATCCTGGAGCAGGTCTCTTTGTGCATTGAGCGCGGAGACTGGACCCAGGCTCAGATTCTCAGTCGGAAGATCAACAAGCGGTACTTCAACCGCAAGCCGAAGAAGTCCGCCGAGGAGATCGAGAAACTTAAGGAGCAGGCGGAGGAGCGAGAGAAGACCCGTGGGCCTGATGAGGCACCCATGGAGGTGGATGACGACGTCACAGATCTCAAGCTTCGTTACTTCGAACAGCAGATTATTTTGGCCAACCACGATGACAAATATCTCGAGGTTTGCAAAAACTACCGGGAAGTCCTGGACACGCCAGCAGTCGAGAACAACCCAGAGCACCTGCGTGCCGTAAGCATAACCTTCAATCTCAGAGTGCAGGCCATCACTAACCCTACTACAGTCACTCGCCCGCATTGTGTACTACGTTGTCCTGTCTCCCTACGATAATGAACAGTCTGACCTCTTGCATCGCATCAAGCAAGACTCGCGTCTGTCACAAGTTCCCGAGGAATCCCGCTTGCTGAAGCTGTTCACCATTCCCGAGCTGATGCGCTGGCCTATGGTTGCCGAGCAGTTCGGCCCCCACCTGTGCAGCACAGACGTGTTCGACGCCGAGGCGAAACAGTCTACCGAGAACCAAGCAAACCGGAGGTGGCAAGCTCTGCGGAAGCGTGTCATTGAGCACAATGTCCGTGTGGTGGCCAAGTACTACACTCGCATCCAGATGGGCCGTCTGACCCAGCTTTTGGATTTGACCGAGGAAGAGACAGAGAAGTACATTAGCGATCTGGTCACGTCGAAGACTATCTACGCTAAGATCGACCGACCCGCGCGGTTGGTCAACTTTGCCAAACCCCGGGATGCCGATGACGTTCTGAACGAGTGGAGCAGCGACATGAAGAATCTGCTGGGTCTGCTTGAGCGGATCGACCATCTGATCACCAAGGAGGAGATGATGGCCCGTATCCAGCCTACTCGCAGTGACATGGGCAAGGCTTGAGTTGGTTTAAAGATGAAATGATGTATGTGACTTGGGCGCGGGATTACTGCCACCGCGTATAAAATAATTCGCCGGTAGATCCATGAGTAGTGAAGTCGCAGCATTGACCTTTACATGACCTATACATAACACAATCTCAGTTTCATAACAGTAGCAGTCATCAAGTCGTTATTCTCAAGGGAGTATATGTGCTACGTGTAGTCATGGTCTAGAAATCTAATCTAATCTAAAGATCCAGCTCTGTCTATATACAAAGTCCTTGCGCTCAGAACGGCAAATCCATATCGTTCACATCCTCTTCCACCTCCTTCTTATCATTTGAGCCATCACCGCGCTCCATCTGCTCCCGAATAAACCGCACAGCAGCATCAAGATACGGCCGCTGACTCGGCAAAAAGTGACCACCAGGGTGCCAAACAACCAACCCATCCTTCTCAGGCTCACCAGCACAAGCCTCAACCAAAGCCCGACTCCTCGACTCCTCAACAACAGCATCCAAAGATCCAAGCACATGCAACACAGGCGTCTGAATAGCCGGCTCCTCATAGAAAGCTCTGTACCGGGGTCCAGGCGCCCTGAAGCCAGAGTAACAAACCGCAAACTTAAGCTGGGGATGTTGGAACGTGTCCTCGCCGAACGGCGCCGGAATCACCATCCCCGCCGCGCCATCAGCGCTTATTTTAGCAAAGTGCTCGAATGACTCCTTCCGGCCAGGCTCCAACAGCGCCGCAACCATGGCAGCCAGCGCCGCACCCTGCGAGAATCCAATCACACCGTCGAAGGGACCTTCTTCTTTCAGCGTACGCGCTACGGCTGCAAACCCTTCTTCAATGCCGGTGTAAAGCGGCGGGTTTGCGGTGTTGGAGCGCCGCCACCAGCCGTAGGATTCAATTTCGTTGTCTGCGCCGCCTTCAGAGGAAGGCTCGTAGCCTGGGATGTCGGCGGGTAGGAGGCGGATTGGGGCTGTTGGGTAGATGGTGGACACTTCATGTTGAGGGAAAGCTTTTTGGATGTGTTTTGTCAGCGCGCGGCTTTTAGCATGGAAGAGGCTGCCGGACTGCGTGTAGCCGTGGAGCATGAGCAGTTTGAGCGGTTGCCGCGTCGAGGTTGCGGGATTGGGGGCCATTGTTGTTAGATGTCGGGTGTTGGTTGCTCTGGAAAGTAGAAGGGAACTTAAACGATTGGATGGGAGGGTTGTTCTATACATTGGAGGGAAGAGGAGAAACTAGAAGGGTGATTCTTTTCTTCCCCTCTCCGTTGCAGGGGCGATAAGATAAGGAGAGTGGAGTATTTTTCTTTGCCAAACAAACGACCCACTACTTTGTACGCAACTCAACCGCGACTTGAAGCTCCAACATACAAGTGATTTTACAACTTTAGACTTGACCAGGCACATGAAACTGTTGGTCTCTAGTTGAAGTAGTCTGCAATAACATGGCCGACTACGCGGGAGGGAAACACGGCTATCTGTGCCACGCGACTGCTGGTACGTGATCCTGACCTTTTGCGCAAACGTTCCGGCCTTGAACCACGCACCTCGGAGTATGTATAGAACAGGGCCGATGAAGTCGCCGATGTATGTGCCGATCACAGCTCTGCCATTGATGCTGTCTAGACGATGCTGGATCAAGGCCACCAAGCCAACCCCAAGAAGGACGTCATCTGGTGGGAGACTAAACACAGAAGGCTTGGAATATAACCACCTGGACGCTACAAGAAGTGTTATTGCAGTGTTTGTTGGGTCAATGTCAGAAAGCAGAGGAGCAGTGGTCTCCAGCGCTACGCCAAGAAGCTAATCAAGGCCGGGTCCGGCGTTCCTAAGCTCAAGCGAAAAGCATCAGCTGGGATTCACACATAGACAGATACCACGCCAGACAGATCATGATAAGCGCAACGAGTATGTTGGTTGATGGACAGAAGCACATACCTGTATATCAAGGCGGTAGGAGTTTCGTCTAGCAAAACAGGGCGGTCAAATTGCCCCCTCAAAGTCCTAGATAGGAAACCCAGGCCCTAGACAGCTTCATCAACAAACATCCAATTCGAGCCACGATTATTTTCCACTTTCACAATTACCACGAATTTACGCAATAATGAGCAACACCAACCTACAAGATCTCAATGCCAAGATGCAGGCTCTCATCGAGCACGTCTCCCCAACCCCACACCCCACCCTAGGTCTTTCTAAACCCCTCAATGATTCACCTCTTAGCAAAATGGAGTATGCTCCTAACATCTAAAACAGTGCATTTGAATCCCACCCCCAGTGCAAACCCCCCAACACCCACCCAACTATCTTCTTCCTGTACGATTTCGTTCGCAACTCCCACAACCAGCTGAAGGCCGTCGACGCCGCAAAGTACGCTGCCGGTGACAACGGTGCTAAGACCGCTGTGGGTGAGGTCGAGGGCCGCAATGGGTTTGCTAACATTCTCATCAATGACACTACTGGCAAGCTGTCCATGATGACCGGCGCCGACCCCTCCAACCCTGCTGATTTCGGCCCGGAGATCAAGGCTAAGGCTCTCGCTTTGACCCAGTAAGAGGTTAAATGCTTGGTTTTTTTTATTTAGATTTATTCATACGTATTCGTTCAAGGGGATGGGAGGAGCAGGACGAGCTTGGACTGGCTTTGGTCTTTGGTTTCCTTTCTCTTCTTTACTGGCATCTTGTGTGTCAGTGACTCCATATACACAACCTCCTATCATGACATACCGGTATCTATGTACATACAACCTTGAATGAAACTGTCTGGGTCCTTCAAGTAGGTTTCTTTTCTTCCAAGGTTATACCAAAGACAAGCGTAGTGTGCAATGTGGGGAAGTCTGGAGACCCGCATACTTGAGATCTTGGGGCAACACCTGAACTACATAGAGAACGGAGCCTATGACCCCTTTTCAATAGTTAGTCTATTTGTGTGTTTATGTATTCCCAGCCCATAAAACAGCTCAAAGCTTCTGACAAAAAGGCAATATTCTCTTAATCTCACAATGTTCGAGTGTTGTCAAACCTTGGAGAAGTAGATAGGACAAACCCCCAGAACGTCGCAAGAGGGGCCAGCGAAAGCGTAATTGGAATGGATGCACCTTGCAAACCACCTACATGACCCCATTGAAATAACCATGCGAAGAAGAAGTAGACCGAAGGAGACAGGAAAGCGAGGCTATAAAGTGCCAGTCTGAATGCCGAACGTCTCTCTACAACATACAGACCCCAGAAATCCTCGCACGCAGGGACACCTTCTTCAAGGGATGTCTCTCGTTTGGGAATCTTCTCTTCGATTACAGACCTGCTACCCAGCGAGAAACACCTGCTTTTCGCCCGGTGCCGCTGTGTAGAAAGTAGTCGGGCTGTACGGGACCAAGATCTTTTATAGAACCAATGGTTGAACTCGTGTGATGCCATTGGCGGCCGAGGACGCATAGGCTTTGGCGCGTAATGGTAAAATGGTTGGTCCTCGTCTGGATATTCCGGTAGCAGGGGAGCGTACTCATACCCATCGAATCTTCGGAACTAATAATGGTTAGCTGGTTGTCAATTGGATGTGTTGTGAGTGACTCACCCGGGAGAATTCGCAGTGTGCATATCTGTATAGACCAAACCAGATGGCGAGAAATCCTCGATGGGAATAGTATGAATTCCGAATCCAGGTGAAAAAGTCATGATCACTCATATTATGAACGGTTGTCTGCGCAAGGCAGTGTGCACTACCAAAGATTGATGAATTCATGAGAACCAGGAAAGCATGGAGCTGATAGCTATCATTTCGAGGACTCTCTGAGCCTTGATATTTACCTGTTGACCTAGAAAGATCTGGATGGGAAACTGATTCGCCTGTTTGTGTTCTAGTCTTCATGCTAGAAAATTGACTTGGGGTACCTATCTCAGGAAGAGAACTGCCATTCCTGGATACGTTCTTTTGATTTACTTGTGCAGCATTAGTCCTAAAAGCGTGCACAATCATGAGCCCAAAGGTCTGGGGTACTGCCGCCCACCGCATATCACCGCAGGGCTGGAGACATTCACATCAGCAATATATTGACACCAATTGGACGAAGTATACATACGCACTCCCAGCACAACCTTACTTGGTCTTTGGTGAGGGGAGCCATATATGGCTGAAAGGGCTGCCAGTCAAGCACGCCGATGATTGTTTCAATTCTGCCCTTCAAAGTGTTCCAGAAGGATCTCCCATCCTCGGTTTTCACAGATACAAATTCTGGTTGAGTATTCTTCAATTCAGTAAGAACACGCTCGAGGGCTTGTATATCGTTGGGAGAATAAGCACCGTGAGAAGACGGCTCGAGGACCCAGTCTGCCAAAAAAGCTCTCAGTGATGAGGAGTCGACGGGACTAATGCCACTACGCTCGGGTCGAACTGAGGATGGGAAAGCTTTAGGTGAAGGAGAATGGTCACTATGTATGTCGTCCATGGGGTTATTAGGCGAGTTGGCTGAGCTAGTAGCAGCTCCTTGCCGGCGAATTAGCCCACGTACAAAATCATACATAACCGCATGCCTTGACATCCCGTGATCCCTACTGGATGATACGGTGCTGTCAGCTGTTTTTGGCGGGGTGGTATGTCTCTGCCATCTCATCTTGCCACCAGTTCTCTCGCGAGTATAGTATCTCAGGAGTTCTCTTCCAAGATCTTGCACAGGAGGTGTGTGTTCATCTGCCAAACCTGGTGACGTCGGCGATGTTGGCGGGATCGTATCGAATTTCTCGCATACGCATTGGGCGCAGCGACATTTTCCACACTGGATGCATTCATCATACAGTGATGAATTGTGAGGCCCGAAATTGCATCCGCAGCAGTACCAGAGACTGGCCATGGTGTCCCAAGTGGTGGGAGTTAACAGAGGAACAGCAGTGTCGTAGGAGTAATCAACGCCGAGATATAGGATCTGCAGGTTGGCACAAAGATACTGATATGCAGTAGAAAGTTCAAGAGAACAAGTTATTTGGCTTTGATTGTTCCTGATCTAGCCTGGTGTGAGTATCTGGTGTTTAGCGTGTTCCTATATTAATGTAAAGGGCTTTTGTTGCACTGCCTCACCCAGGCTAAGGCTGACTTGGCATAATAGCAAGATTTTCTGACCGTATAACTGCATTTTACAAGGCGCAGCTAATGCTTCACCCAGTACGGAGTAGTCAGATGAGAAGTGCGATATCAACGGATTCTCACCGTCCCCGCACTGTCTCAGCTGAACTCACATAGATCGCTGTATAACATTATTGGGCCGTTTTGATCCACCTAAGACCCTTGGTGTCTTCGCGATTCTAGCAGATCCAGGTCGTCAAGATTGGCATAAGTGCACTCAAGTCAATAGTTGCGCTAATTTCTGACGGTTGAGAGTTACAGCTTGACTCGTATTATAGTTCCGATATAGTGGATTACTTCAGACCGTGCTTTTAAGGTGGACCATTGGCAGATAGCACATTTGATATATTACGACAGTCCATACCTATTAACATAATGGCGAGTAATGTTCGGCAGTGCAGAGCTACAGTTATACATCTACAATTGGCGATCTAAGGTACAACTCATGATATAGAGTGTAGAGCCCAATATACAGTAGTCGCAGATACATTTAAACATTTAACACAAGAAAGCAGAAAATCAGAACATAAAACAGAGCACAAAGTCAAGCAAAGTGCCTTTTTTGTGCCAGATATCCGGAACTCCCTTAGCAGTATGCTGGTTGCTTTTTTTTAGAATGCTTTTGATCGTTGACAGGGTCGGGGCATTCCATCTTCTATCTGTCATCACGCGCAAGGAAAACAAGAATTCAACGCTGAGATATTAATCATCACCGTGAAATGCAAAAGAAAGAACAGGCAATGGTGGAAAGTAGGACGAGAAACGGGCCCAAAAGGCCACATTCAAATTTTGTCTTCTTCAAGAGGGGATCTGCATACTGATATAGTATGGAAAAAGAACCATATCATATCATCTGCAAATCGCACCTCACAACCCAACACCAGTCGAAAAAACAGTTAAGAAAAATGTCCATGTGGTTCGGTAGGGGAAGGGTGATATTGAAAAAAAGGGTTGTTTGGTATGTGACATTTTGAAGCCCGGTAGGAAGAGAGAAAGAGAGAAAGCCCAGTATATGGAACTGGGCTAGAATAGCAACTCTCTCCCCGAAACACCGAAAACCGAAGCCGAGACGATCAAAAAAAATGTAAGAGGTCAACCCCGGGTTTTGGTATTTTCATCCTAATTTCTCCATGCTAAATCTCTCTTTGACGTTTCAACCGGAACATAACAAGAAAAAAAAGTTTTTCATTCGTTTCTCGTTTACTTGCGGCGGAAAGAGCAGCCCTCGGTCAGACGGGCCTTGCCACCTGTGGGCTGGCAGAGGACGGTCGAGCAGCCGGCGCAGATGACGACGGTCTGGGCGTGCGAGAAGACGGTGGTGATGGTGAAGCAACCGGGGCACTTGACGTCCATGAAGAAGGAGCGGGGCTGGGGCACGAGGGTCTGTAGGCGAAGAAATTCGATAATCAGCCATCATTATTCTTCCACCACATTTCCGAAAGATTCCATATATCATCCTGTCGTTCGGTGCCTTTCCCCATTTGCTCCATGTCGAGCATCGGAGGTCCCGGGTCTAGGTCGAATATCCAGGTTTTCGTCCCTCGTCGGGTTGATATTTTCACATCTTTCGGTTTTTCGGAGTTCGGTTGTTTCATACCTTAAGCTTGTGCTTACGGGCCTCGGCCTGGGGGGTGGGGTTGAGGAGATCGACCGCGAGAACCTATCGACAGCATGTTAGCGTCGGGTGGCCGTTGAATTTTTGAATCGATTATCCGTATAGCTCTCCCATGTCCGTGTGTCATCGCTTCGAACATGGACCGAGCGGAAAATCAGGGCGAAAATGGGCTTACCATCTTGACGAGTGAAAGTCGATCAGCGAGATAGTTGATTAATGGCGCTGATGGCGATGGCCTTGTGTGATGCGGATGAGGTGGTCTTCCAAGAGAAGTCTGAAGGGATTTGGACCGGTTTGGGTGGAGGTAGGGCTTTGTGCCGCTTTGTGCCCTCGCTTGTCCTTATTCGGGAAGGCGGCGAACTTTCCACCAATCAAATCTTTATTAGGTAAGCTACTGAGGTAAGCACGAGCTCAATCGCTGGTTCCATGTGGAGTCGCGGATTCCGCTGCGGGCAGGCAGTCAGGTGCTTTGACTTCTTCTACAACAATCCCCAAAACAACGGCAAAATTACAACTCTCATATTCTATCGCTAAATAGCCACTCCGAGCTATTTGCTCTGTGTTGAAAGGAATCAAAATTATATACTGGAAAAACGTCATTAGCCAGGCATTTTGTCCAACGCTCTTTTCAAGTGTTCGACTGATTCCCGACTCTTCCACTCAGCTCAAATGAGCTGTCTCGCCTGTGGTGATCGAGGTTGAACTGCTGTTCATCCACAAGCCCACCAAAAAGTCCGGATTACACCAGTGATCCGTTTACTTGGTCTTCTTCGACACACCGCTCTTGCGCTCGGTCTCCTCGACGAATGGGTACTTGATTGTGAGGCACCAGATATCGAGGTAATCGCATATCGTGGTGATAATGTCAAACTGGAGGAAACAAAGATCAGCAAATTATCGCGCGCAAGGGAAACGACGAGGAGAAAACATACCACAAAGCTACCGTATACACCGATGGCCAGTCCCAGGCACCCGAAGACGAATGCCACCTGCCCAACGCCATACCCAAGCACGGGAGCGGACCATAGGCCGATCAGCGCACCCGCGCTGTCCAAAACACCCAGAGCGAGCGGGTACAGCAGGACATTTTGATAGGGGAAACTAGTCTGAGTGAGGTGGCCGATGATAATGCGGCCGACAGAGTAGGCAGTGATGAGACTCACAAACAGACCGAAGGGAATGGTGTAGTTTCTCAAAATCACCGGCTGAAGGTATAGGTAGGCGGGAATGAGAGTCCAGATAACCGCCAAGGGCAGGAGGCCATAGAGCGGCGAGAAGGGGTCCTGGCCTCGCTCGCGACGCACCTTCATGACGTGCATGATACTCGAGCCGATGGCGAAGCAGAGCATGATGGAGCCATACACGAGATACCACTGCGTGAATGGCATGTCGTACACCCATCTTGCGAGGAAGCTGGGCTTCGATACGCCGATGGTCTCCAGCATGCCCTGATTCCAGAAGCTGCCGCCGCCCATGTAGGCGGTGAAGAGGTAGACGACGCACAGCGTGAGGATGCCCTCGACAGGGCCAGAAACCACGCCCAATGTGAGGATTTGCGTGTAGTATTCATCCCAGGTTTGGACGTAGAAGGTCATCGTTGCTGCGATTGTCAGAGATGATTTATCCGTGGAAGCGCATAAGGTCGGTGGACTTACAGCCAAATAGAGCGATGAAGGTCATCCAGGACTGGCCCATGTTCATTGCCGCTGCGAAGACCAAGACGCTGAGACCGGTATTGCATGCATCGACACCTAGTCAAGTAGAAATAATTAGCAATCCATACACTTTAGCCTCTTTATGCTATCTTCGGGAACTCACTGTGATCAAAGAGTTCGCCCAGTGGGCCACTCTGTCTCGTCCTCCGTCTATAGCGCAGTCAACATCAGTAAAACGCCCTTTCATTTTCCAAGGGAAAAGTGTAGACATACGCTTGCATGCCATCTACGGCATCGAAGGTCTGGTATAGGAACAACCCAATCGCGCAACTGGCGTAGACCCAGGGCGGGCAGTCCGTATCCAAGTTCGGGTTGTACCACATAACGGTGAGGAAATTAATTACCACGAACATGAATCCGCTGAGGGTGATCTACCGAAGCGAGGGGATTAGAATTTTCTTCATATACTCCGGCAATTAAAACAGTGTCGCATGGGCAAAACTTACGGCATTGGGTCTTTAGACGCGCAAAGAGTAGAATAATAGAGTCAGCCATATTGCGCTGTAAAGAAATCATCTGGAATGAAGGCGAGAGAAAGAATAGTGTATCCGTCTTGTTATGCAAAAAAGCGCACCAATACGAGAATGTATATTAAATCACACAAAATCCGGGGAAGGAAAGCAAGGAGAGAAAGTATACTTACGCCATACCCATAGGGAAGCAGGGAATCACACATTTGTTGTAGAACGGCTTGAGAATAAACCGACTAACAGGCGAGTGGTCGACTCCAACATATTTGTAGTTCTTCAGATTCGCCAATTCATGTTGCCGAATGTAAACCATTCTCTGGTTTGTTTTGCGCGTCTATGAACGCGCGGGAGTTTATTGTCTGGGTACTCCGTTCTGAGCGCAACGCTTATGATTGATAGAGTTGTCGGGTTGTGGTGTTCGCATCTAAATACTCGTGATTAGGCGAGTTGTCGATGCGCAATTAGGGTCGAGGGATGATAGTCAAATGAAGGATATCGGAGAAGGTATCGCCGGGAAAGGGTAATTGAAAACAAAGGAAAACAAAGGAGTGTAAGAAATGAAGAAGAAAATCCTGTCGCCGCGAGGAAGAAAAAGCCGTAGATGCAGGTCTATAGGGGCTCGTTATTAAAGATCGGCGAATGAACAGACAAAAAGGCCACTTGGTCTCGATGTTTTGTTGACTTTGACTTTTTTTTTTCTGCCGGCGGAGAGAAATGATGAGGTCTTAGATTAGATCGGAGATATTTGTGTTTATAGATTGATATACGTATTATTATAGTTAGATATATAGATTTTACATGTAGGAATTCGACTACATGTGTATAAACTTATATTCTTTCCTCGCATTGACAATCATGTGCCGGTATTCAAACAACACCGAGCATAAGCGTTGCCAAATGCCCCAAAGTGTTGAGGCCAAGAAGTGGGGTTATCCGAGGGCGCTCGGGGCTGGCAGGAGACCCGAGCTTAATATGGGGATCGGTCTTTACTCCGTACCTAAAAGAGGGATAAAATTGAATGCTTAATGCCTAGGTACACAATACAGAATCGGATGCAAAGGGCTTAGTATCCTAATATGCACCCTGACAGAAAGGAAATAAGGGTATGGGGGCGAGGCTAATCTCGGTCACCTCGCAATATCCTGCTCAAATGAAGATTCACTGCACGCCAAGATCCAGGGAAATAGGTCAAGGGAAAACGTTTCAGATCTCGCAATTTAGCCGACAGGGCTCCAGGGCATCGGAACAAGAATCCGGCTCTGCATGGTCTGGATCAAGGGAACAGTTTTGTGAACCGTCTCGGCCCAACCTTCGACGCCCCAAGACTGCTCGCGGCAGATCTTACGCTCCTCCAGGTTGGCAAACTGCCACAAGTGGTGTACTGTGTTCAATTCGCCAATTTGCACAAACCATGCGCCTACACCCTCCATCACCTCGCGACGAGCTGTAAGGCCACGGCGCCAGTGTGTCTCCCACTCTAGGAGATTGCCCGGGTGCAGTGTGTATGACCGAAGTTCAAACAGCCCACCGAGACGGCGAGGCGGGGTTGTGGGCCAGAATGAGAACTCCTGCATCAATGAGGTCTTCTTGCTCTTGATCAGGCTCTTGAGCTTGCGATCAAACTCGGGGAACTCTGGGTGTTGCGAGATGTTGTGAAGGGAGGCATGGTAGCCTTCGTAGCGTTGGTATTCCCAGATGTGGACTATTCAAGCAAGGACAAGAGTTAGCTCACAGAAAATGGTTGGGTAATTTCATCGGGACTTACTAAAGGTGTCATTGTCGCCAACTTGTGTCCGCCAGCTGCCTACCAAGTTGACACGGTTCTCCTCGGTACCCGCCATACGGGGGTACCACTCGCCGACCAGCTCTACATATTCGTCGACCTTGTCGGGCTTAACATCGTGCATGACGATAGAATGGACGTATTTGCCGCGGGCAAGGACCTCTGAGAAGGAGCGCTCCATATCCTTGTCGAAATGTTGGCCCTCTTTGGTGCCATAGATAAGCGAGGACAAAGGGCCACGCTTGCCTGCAGCTTCTTGTTGCTGGTTATCCCCTAGATATCGGTGCGTTGAAAGTGAGCCCAGTGCCTTATGGTCAAGCGCCGTAGCAGCATCAAAAGTAGGGCGGATACGATCATGTCTGCTCGCATTGCTCACTTGTGGAGCAGTGGGAGCGTACTCACGGGAAGGGGGTGATGAAGTAGCAGAAGCATTGACAGACTGACTCTCTTGCTGTTCTCTTCTCAAACGAGCCTGTTCCAAGTTCTCGCGGAACTCCTTCTGTCGTCTGAGGTACTCCTCAGTTGACTGGACTGTGACATCTCGAATGGAGGGAGAGCGATAGGCCACGGCTGACGAGCTGAAGGGTCGCAAGAGTGAAGTCGCCGAGCGAGCTGAGCGAGCTGCGCGTGGACCCAACATGGTGGTTTGTGGAAAGAAGGGACAGAAATATGCTTCACAATGATAAATCCAAGGTGGACAATAGGTTGGGGAGGGATATAGAATCAAGGGGAGAAAAGGAGGGAGAGTGACAGGTGAAGATGGTAGAAACAAAGTGAAGAGGGGAAACCTTAGAGAGGAGAGTGGAGAGGTGCAGGGATCTGGAGTTGCAGGGCAGGGGAGTTGAAGAAGGGGGCGATGATCGGTGATATGTGTACCGATTGGATATGAGAATGTCCCAGTACAAAGTACTAGTAATAAATTTCAGGCAACAGACTGAATAGTAGAATTAATTCGAATTGATTACAGTATAGAATACTGAATACTTCAAATACAAAAAAGATTCAACTGTGTTGAAGCTCATGTGCGGGGAAAGGAGCTTCCCCGAGTTCTTGGTATGGAGTAATAGTGACGGGCTATGTTGGTACCACTTGCCCAAGTTTACAGCTGATCTACTAGTAAAATGTGGGTAATGATGACATCGGTGAGATGTACTCAATACACCTCCTAATATTGGCATCCGTATTTGGTGTAGCGTACTCCGTATATCGCCACTTACCATGGCGTACTATAGAGAGCTACATACGGAGTACGGAATAGAGACACGGCTGCTTGCTTGTAGTCGAGATGCAAATATCATGCAATATAAGATCCCACACAGCTATCATGACGTTGGTCTCCACGCTCTTGCACATCACTTCTGTGTATATCGTATGTTGTACTGACGCACTTAAAAGTACTGTGTCCACCGTATAATGAGTCTAAAATAACAATAATTGCCGTAGATCGGGGTATACCCTTGCAAGCTAGCCAAGTTGGAAATCCATAGACGAAACATGAAGTGATGACGTTACCGAACAAACAGCGGGCCCGCGATTGGGTGCCTAAACCCTTTGGGTAATGGGACACCGCCCCCGGGCAGATCTCGACCCTCTTCCCGAGGTCTTAACTTCATTATTACTGTTTTGGTTCTCAAATCTCAAAATGGCCGAATCAATCAACCCTCCGCTCTCTTATGAGGCATCTGCGACCACTACTCATCCCCATGTCGCTACCTCATTGCCATCCGAGGTCATCTCGTGTCTCAAGAACTCCCGCTTCGTAAGTACAACTCTATTAAACAGATAACCCACCAAACTGACCTTCTATCGCCCCAATCAAGCTGCACCTGGCAACATGCGATGATAAAACACCCCACATCTCACTGATGTCTTACACCTATCTTCCCTCGACCCCATTCGACCCGCACCCCACTATCATCATGACCACAAACCCCGCATCGCGCAAAACAAACCACCTGCTGTCCAACCCGCGAGTCTCACTGCTGGTCCACGACTGGGTCTCGCATCGCCCGCCAACCCGGGCCCCGACGCACGGTGATCGCGACGGCTCCCCACCACCCGCCGCTACCCGCTCGTCTCTTGCCAGCCTGTTGCTCAACCTGAACACCAGTGCGCTCTCCAGCATCTCAACTACTATTACGGGCGAGGCACGGTTCTTGGAGTCCGGCTCAGAGGAAGAGTCGTGGTGCAAGGCTCGTCATCTGGAGAATAATACTTTCGAGGAGGAGGAGATCAACTTCGGCCAACAGCAGCAACAGGATCCTAGCCAAAGACGGCCTAGCATCTCCATTGATACTGATGTGCGGGTTGTTACCGTAAGAGTCACTGAAGGTCGTATTGCAGATTGGAAGGGTGGTGTGCGTGACTGGGTTCTGCTTCCTGCTGAGCAGCAAGACTCTGGGCTGGTCAATGGCGTCGCCTCTTCATAGCTTGGGGGTCGATATGCTCTAATCTCCACTTGGAATGCAAAGACAGAGTGTATATCTGAATAGATGTACGCTCCCTGCCGCATTGGCACCGCGTCCACCAATTCGCATAGTATACTTCGAGCTGTTCAATTTAGAGAATCCTCCGCCAATGTATGATTCCCTTTGGCCTAATTTGTCTAGAATTGCAACTTGTCAATTGGTTTGGACCTGCACGAACGAATATGAATAATGGAAGCGAAAACAACGCAAATAGTTGTAAATATTTGACTCGAAGTAGCCAGTGTTCAATGCATCCAACATAGATCGCAGAGGGCCGCCACTTATCAAACCTTATCGGAGCGAGCTTGCAGCTTCTCCGCAACAACCGACTTCTACCGACTTCATACTCCGTGGAAAACTATAACCTCTCTCCCACAACCTTACAATGTGCTAGGAGCTCCAATTATTATACACCAAATATCCCAACCATCTCACCATCAACAAAACCACCCAAAATGAGGCTCGCGCACCTCCACCTCCCCCACACAACGCCCTTCAGCCACGTCTCGCACATCCAACAAGCCCTCACAACCCGCCTCCTCACGTACAAAAAGCTCGCCTCCCCAGGCTCACTATCCTCACAAGAGCCAACCAACTCAAGCGCCATACTATCCAAAACCCCACCACCACCCCCAGACCCAACAATCATCACCTTCACCCCAAACCCCGTCTACACCACCGGCCGCCGCGACCTCCCACCTTCAAACACAAGCCCACCCGACACCACAAACCCCAATCTCTCCCTCCCCCCACCCCTCGAACCAATCCGCTCAATCCTTACACCGCACGGCAACCAACCCCCAAAGGCAGAGTATCACCCGACTCTCCGCGGCGGACAGACAACCTACCACGGGCCGGGCCAGATGGTCGCATACACGATCTTAGATCTCAAGCGACTGGGCCTAACACCGCGGTGCCATATCCGTGTTCTAGAAAACAGCGTCATCGATCTACTAAAGAGCTACGGGGTGGATGGGTTTACGACGGAAGATCCGGGGGTGTGGGTGAAGGCTGGGTTTGGATCGCCGAGGAAGATCACGGCTGTGGGTGTTCATCTGCGACGTAATATCAGCAGCTTTGGAATTGGGCTTAATGTCACGGACGAGCCGATGTGGTTCTTTAAACAGATCGTGGCTTGTGGGCTGGAGGGTAAGGAGGCGACGAGTCTGCAGGGTGTTGGGGTACCGGGATTGGAGATTGGGGATGTTGCCGATGCGTTTGTGGAGAAGTTTGTTAGTCGGGTTAATGCTGATTTTGCTTGTGGGGAGGATTCGACTGGGGAGAAAATTGATGAGGTTTATCGGGTTAGAGAGGAGGATTTGTTGTAGTATCTATCGGGCTTGGATGTTCTGCTTGTATGATGCGGGGCTTTTGTTATCAGTGTCATACTTCTGTTGCTTGGTCGTTTCATGCGTTTGATATATGTACGATGTATGTAACTAGCTTGACTGGTAGCTTGGATACCCTGGTAGACAAGTGTGGTTAAAAACTTGACTAGACGGTTTGAATCACAATGCAGTGTAAGACACCCAATATGGAAGTGCATTTTAAACAGAGCTCCATCATAATGTCACGACGTAACTTAGCATATCAGGCGGACGAAAACGAAACATGGGGAAAGACAAAGCGTAGGTCCTTGAAAGTTATTGAACATGAATGAGCAAATATTGATAGCAGAAAAGCAACCCGATGTCAAGTATTTCCTCGGCAAACTTCAGTGTTAATGTACCCAGCCTGAAGTACCTCCAGGGTAGGCAGTGGGGCAAAGACGGTGAGAAGATAATCAAGAACTGTTTCACTGAAGAAGATATTAGAGAAAAATGTACATAAAAACACCTGCAAAATACAATGAAAATTATATTTGTATATCGTAATTTGGAGTCAAAAAAACCAACCTCGCTGAAATGCTCGGAGGAGATCCGGAGCTATGCAATCATGCAATCAACATAGACCGATTTATATGCGGTCTGAATGGAGCAAACGTAGTCTGCCCCGATGAAGAAGAAAAGTCGAAAGCAAGCTGAAAACAAAAGCAAGCTCAAAGTATCGAATGCATGGGGGAATCAATAAATCAACCGGAACGTGGGGAGTAGCAAAAATGAACAAGGGGCGAGGTGAATGGGAAATAGGGTGGATATCCGGCGGGTAAACGAAGGCCAATATGACAGGCATGTACCATGTGTGTCGAGAAAAGACCGCAAGGCATGACCTCACTGAATAACGCACTGCGAACCGGAGGATGAGCTCCCGCCCGCGTTAACCTCGAGGGCAACCTTAGCAGCCTCGTAGAAGCTTTCCCTAATGCCGCGATTTTGGACCGCAGAGCATTCTGGAAACTGTGAGCCGTGTGGTTAAGTATAGACGAATTGAAGAGCACTTACCCAGGTACTTCACGGCGCCGATCTCCTTTGCCTTGGCTAGACCCTGGTCGAAGGTAATGCAGTTGGGGTTGTCGTTCATATCTTCGTCCTTGCGCAAATCGCACTTCAGTGCTGTCAGGACCACACGCACGCCTGGGCAGTTCTCGTTAATCTCGGCGATCCATTTCGATGACACGTTCTCGAACGAGTCAGGGCTGTCGACCTATCGGACTTATTAGCTTGTTGCAACGTCGGAGAGAACATTGGTCGTACACTGAAGCAGAGCATGAGAACATGTGTGTCCTCGTAGGACAGTGCGCGCAGTCGGTCGAACTCTTCTTGGCCAGCGGTATCCCATAGCGAGAGCTCCACGTGTATGTTGTCGACGAAGATATCTAGGGTGCGTGTGAGTTTCGAGGATCGTTAGCGGGAGTGGGGTAATTATGTACCGTGCACGTAGTTTTCTATATTCCTCGTAAGTTAGCAATAGATTCAGGGAATTTAATTCGGGGAATGCGCGCATACCAAAGACCGTAGGTTCGCTAGTACGAATAACCAGAATCAGTAATTTGTAGTATGCTCTAAAGATAGTAGAATTTCTTACTAGACCGTCGGGAAGAATCTAGTCGGATTCCGTTAGCTATGCTGTCATCGGAGACGGGTGAGGGGGAGGATTGCGCACCCACGAGTAAACACATTCAGCGCAGATGTCTTGCCGCAGGCGCCATCGCCTCTGGGAGGAAGTTAGACCAATCGCTAATTAGTGGGGAAATTCTGATCAAAACTAACAGCAGCACCATCTTGCGCTGGACCACCTTCTGACGGCCGCACAGTGGCATTGCGCAAAGTGATTCAGGAGATTTGGAGTAAGAAGATTAGGGGGCAATGAGCAGGTATGTTCACGTATTATGTATTAATTTCGTGAGGTAGTGATCGTATCAAGGTTGTGGACAATTATGTGACAGTGGTAGAATGAGATTGTTGTCGGGGGAAGATTCCTGGACTGGTCGAGTCGATGACATCGCGGGCAGTGAAGGGCTGGAGGGATCGGCGAATAGCGTCAGCCCCTTTCTGGTCCACATAAGGGTTTTTTTTCTTACTTTGGATGGTTTGGTTAAATTCGGTCCATTTTAGAACAGTTTCATACTGTGGTTTTGTTTGTAGGTCCTGGATGTTTTAGTTCTTGGGGGCGTTATACTCCCGCCTTTCTATAAGGGGTTAACGTGAAGAGACTACTAGTTATCAGTTCGTATGAAGTTTATTTCTTTTTATATAATAAAGCTCATATCTCAGCTTTCAATATTCAACGAGTCTACTAGGATTACAGAGTACAGAGTACAGAGTACAAAAGTCAACATATGGACCAAGCCCCTGACAGGTAAAGCTTTACAACAGTACAGGATGCCAATATACAGGAACACTTAATGTCCTTTCCGCTACTCCGTAAAGGTAGCATAAATCCAGCCCAAGTTATAAACATAATGTCGGTCACATGCTTCGAATAATTCATGATGTTATAGTTAGGCGAACAGTCCCTAAGTACTCCATAGATAGGCTTACTTTTACGTGCAGTGGAACGATAATAGATCATTCAAGCATTTGAACAATAGGCCTACTGAATAATCATTATTCAAAGCGAAATTGCCATTGTTGGTATATAGATGTAAAATGTACGTAGTCGTAAGTACTCTCCTCACGATAGTCAAGGCGGAAGCTCGCAGCTGTTATCTGACCGAGCTTCTCCAACACTCCAACCCCACCACTTTGCGATCCTCTCTATCCTAACCACCCTTCTCTTTTCAACTTATTACACCCAAGATGTCTGATGATGATGATTTTATGCAAGACTCTGGGGATGAGGAGTATTGGTCCCTTGTCCCCTCTGCCTAGACTGAGCTGACCGCTGAAATCACAGTTACGACTTCGAATATGAGGACGCAGACGACGACGAATCTGGTGACATCGGAATCGAAAACAAATACTACAATGCCAAACAGATTAAAGTCGACAATCCGGAAGAGGCAGTTGATGAGTTCCTAGGCATACCGCCCATGGAACAAGACAAAAGCGACTGGTAATTGTTGACACCTAGGCTGATCGCAACTGGTCCTAACGATGAAACATAGGGGATTCAAAGGTCTCAAGCAGGCTATCAAGTTGGAATTCAAGCTCGGAAGATACAGCGATGTAAGCTCATGTCCCAAACTGATCTGTCTAAGTACTGACCCCGATCTCTTAGACTGTCGCACACTACCGGGAATTGCTCACATATGTCAAATCCGCTGTTACACGAAATTATTCAGAGAAATCGATCAACAATATGCTGGACTTTATCGAGAAAGGGTCCGACAACGCAGAGGCCTACCAATGCATGGAGGAATTTTACTCTCTGACCCTTGAATCATTCCAAAACACAAACAACGAGCGCCTTTGGCTGAAAACGAACATTAAACTGGCACGCCTGTGGCTGGAACGCAAGCAATATGGCCAGCTGAACAAAAAGATGCGGGAACTGCATCGGGCATGCCAACGAGAGGACGGATCGGACGATACCAGCAAAGGAACATACCTACTTGAACTCTACGCCCTTGAGATTCAGATGTACGCGGAAACGAGGAATAACAAACGATTGAAGGCCTTATACCAGCGGGCCCTTCGAGTGCGGTCGGCAGTGCCCCATCCCAAGATCATGGGCATTATCCGTGAATGTGGAGGCAAGATGCACATGAGCGAAGAGAATTGGAAGGAAGCACAAAGTGATTTCTTCGAATCATTCCGAAACTACGACGAAGCCGGTTCGATGCAGCGAATCCAAGTTCTCAAATACCTGGTCTTAACGACGATGCTCATGAAATCGGATATTAATCCGTTCGATTCTCAGGAAACCAAGCCATACAAGAATGATCCCCGTATTTCCGCCATGACCGACTTGGTGGACGCTTTCCAACGGGACGACATTCATGCATATGAGGACGTGCTGAGCAAACATCCGGATGTCTTGGCTGATCCTTTTATTGCGGAGAACATTGATGAGGTGAGCCGCAATATGCGCACCAAGGCGGTTCTGAAATTAATCGCCCCTTACACTCGGTTTTCTCTGCAATTTATTTCCAAACACATCAAAGTCTCTGTGCCAGAGGTGTTGGATATTCTCAGTTTCCTCATCCTGGACAAAAAGCTCAACGCCAAGATTGACCAGGATAATGGTACGGTGGTAGTGGAGAGTGCGAGTGACGTGGAGCGGCTGCGAGCTGTGGGTGAGTGGAGCTCAGCACTGCGCACTCTCTGGCAAACAACACTCAATGGTGAGGGGTTGCGTGCGAATGATACATCTACAATTTTCCTTGGAGATGAACGCCGTGTCCGTAAGGACCGAGGCAAAATGCCAGCCAAATGGTTATTCTAGGACTTTTTAAGCGCTGTTGCCCCACGTGTGCATATCCGGCTGAGCCGCCTAAAGGAAAACAAAATACGATCTCACACCGTTTCTTTGTGAGAATTCTGACCCGCTATTTAGAGTTGGTTTGACAGACGCTAAAATATGAATTTCCTACAATCTGAGTAGTAGTGTAGGTGTATCTCTTAATTCTTTACCTACTCTGTAGTAGTCTCTTATATAAGTGGAAGCTTAACCTTTCTACGGAGTATAGATACATTATGTTGTATATGTTGTATAGATAGAAAAGCAAATAGAAAAAGCAATATTGATCAGCATGTGAACATTTCCCAACAGGGACCTTATCTATACTATTTACATTATGCATCAGGTACGGAGCTCCGATTCGGAAATCCTCCGTATAAACTCGGATCCGATATTAAGATATTAAACTGCCGACTTCAAAGTTCTATATACGCGCCCTTGGAATCACAATCACAGAGGATATCCGAGCACCAGGTCGGGTGATTGACAACTTTATCGCCAACCAACATGCATGTACTAAGTAGAATGATAGGATCCAAAAAAAAAAGAAAAAAGAAAAAAAAAAAAAAAAAAAAAAACCAAGTTAAGCCACCAATGAAAGGATCCAAAAAAAAAAGAAAAAAAAAAAAAAAAAAAAAAAAAAAAAACCAAGTTATGCCACCATCGCCCCCAAAATAACGAAAAAAGGAAAATCACAAAAGCAAAGGCCGCATCAGATCGGGGGGCCACACCAATCATGGCGGGGGCCAGCGTAACGGAGTCCAAACGAAACATCCCAGACCCTCAGCCTTGGACTTTTCAAACCCCGCTTTTGGGGCCTTTTAACAGATGTCTTTTTGTTCTCTTTTCTTATTCTGTGCTTGTTTTTATATATATGGATACTATACCTATAGAGCTCCGATTAGTCGTCAATTGAAGTACTTATTAGTATAGGATGACAAGGGATTCCGATGCATACAATAGTACGTATAACAAAAACATATTTGATATACAAGAATCAATATCTTCATACAACATAACTCCTTATAAGTTGATTTGTGGGGTAAAGGAATACAAAGTGTACAACGTGAAGATGTACAACCTATGTACAACCTGTATATATTGGAAAAATCACTTATGATGTTTTCGATCAGCATCTTCAGATGAGAGTCGGGGCACGGTGCATCGTTACTTCATAGCTGGTTTTTTTTTTTTTTCCCTTTTTCTTTTTATTATTTTCTTTTCTTTTTATCTTTTCTTTTTATCTTTTCTTTTTCTTTTGACATTTTCCTTTTTTTTATCTTCTTTTTTATCTTTCGATTTCATAGAAGGGTTGAACTTGTTTTTCTTTTTCAAGCCCAACCCTTTTTTTTTATTTGTGCCTTTATTTCTCTCTCTTCTCCCCCGCAAAAAAAAAAATCCATTTCCCCCTCCAACTCCTCTTTTTAACTCTATCCTTTAAAAGAAACATTTTATACTCTTTTTTCTATCTGTACAAGGCCATATCAAGGTGAGCTTCCGACTTTTTTATTTTATATCTTCTCTTAAAGGAAACCCCCTCTTTACCTCACCATTCATAATTCTCCGGAATACATCTCCGTTTGAATTGAAAAAAAATCACACTCTCTATGATCCTTGCCATTCTCAGGTTCACCCCTCCATGAGAGGATCCCCTGAGCCGTTCCCAGCCGGCTTATAGCCTCTTGGGGGGCGGAGCTGACATCATTGAATCATTTTCAATGTGATTCTGATATTTCCCTTTGATCACTTTGAGACTCTTCACAAAACTTGTTTTACACATCCAATCAGACCGGGAGACCGGTTGGTCCTAGAGGCCTGTAGTACACCCTCCATCTACCCATCTTATTCCCTGTATCATCCTATTGGCCTCCTCGGGTGCTTATGGGCTTGAATTTACCTTCCCCATCAAATCCCTACACACATTTTGTGTCTGGACCCGTGCTGAGACTCTGATAGTAAAAGCTGATTGTGCTGGGCCACGCTTAAGTGTCGTACAAGGCAAAAAAGTGCGTATTTTCATCTTGATTCCCGGGAAATGTTCCTTCGATCTGTATGTCATATCTTTTTTTTCTATATTTTGCTCTTTCCTTTTCTTTCCTAACATCACCCAGACCTTGACATAACAACTACTGGAAATCTTCGACTTCGACAACCGCATGCGATGTCCTTATCAAAACCTACTTGGCATCATTTCGCTCCTCACCAGCACTTCCTGGAAAAGCAGCCTGTCGACTTTTATCGGGACGCCCTTTCCCCATCGTTTCTTTCTCCAGTAGCACTTTCATTATCAGCTGCCTTCTCCCATCCAATTTCTTCCAACTCCGCCAACATGAATGCTCTCTCCGCCGACGAGATGGAGCGCTTCCAGAAGCTTTCCAACAGCTATCAGCCGGAAGTTCAGGTAATTGGCTTCGAATATTCCGATCTGCGGCAATGGCTGACATCATGTGGACAGGGGCCCCTTGTGTCAACCAAACAGTCTAGTCACAGCATTGCATTGGATTACTCAAATGCCGATCCTACACTAGCTACGAAGACCAATGTAAGCTTCGGTGGCTTGAGCCTGTGTTACACATGGCACGCATCTTCTAACTTCTTACAGGCGCTTGCTATCACCCATCCAGATTGTCGTATCATGAAAGGCGATGGGAATTGTGGGTGGAGAGGTATGGTTCATGTGGATCCGATATGACGTGCATCGCATGCTAATCCTATGCAGCCGTCGCATTTGGTTATTTCGAGACCCTCTTCGCCCTCCGCGATACGCTTCGGATCGAGACGGAGATTCGGAGAATGAAGTCTCTCACTACGTTGCTGGAACGGGTCGGCCTGTCGGATTCCATCTACGAGATCTTTGTCGATGCCACAGAAGACGTCCTCAACAGAATCCATGCTGCTATCCAAAGCGGCGCGCAAGACGAGTCTTTCCTTGTTGAGGCCTTCAATGAGGGTTACTCCTCCGATGCGATCATTACCCACTTCCGAGTAAGTTTCTCTTGGATGATGCTCGCCCTTTCATTTCCTTGTTGAACGTAAACTAATTGTCTCGTCTTGCAGATTCTGACTAGCGCGTGGATGAAGCTCAATCCACACCGGTACCAAGCTTTCCTTCCCATGCCACTGGACCAGTACTGCAGTTCGCGGATAGACCCGGTGAAGACCGAAATCGATGAAGTTGGCCTACAGGCACTGATCGACGGTGTAATTGAAGGTTCCGGCTTTGGCGTTGAAATTCTCTACCTCGACCGAAGTGAAGGCGAGGTCGTGACACCTCACCTATTGTCCTCTAATCGTCCCAATGGGGCGACCATCCGTCTCCTATACCGACCGTGAGTTACTTTCGCGGTTAACGTGTGTCGTTCCGAGTCTAACATTCCCGCAGAGGCCATTATGATATTCTTTATCCAGTCGAAAATACGTTGAATATGGCCCCCATAGTTAACCTCCAATACGGAATGACGTCCGACTACTCCCCCTGGGATCAAACTCTCGGATTCGACGTCAATTCAAGCTTAATGGCAATTCCCAATTTGATGCAGGATACATCCTTCGGGATGGGCGCTCCCATGTCTCCCATGCCTTCTGTCTCGCCAACCCCCGCCAGTCCATTCCGCATGTCCCCGCAACAAGACATGTACCAATCGCCTATGCCGACACATGCACCTATTCCGTCAATTCCCGTCTCACCTTCTCCCCAAATGGCGCAATCCGCCGCCCCGCCACCGATGACTTCATTGCCTAGTCGATCATCAGACGGTCCGCAGATTCGCCTAAATCCATTAGTGATGAAACCGAATCTCAGTCGCTCGTTGCCAGTCACCACCCCTTTCAAAAAGTGAGTTCTTTCAAATTTACTTAGTCCGCATCGTTACTAACTTCTTTTCTAGTTCCCCATATAACCAAGCCCATTTCCAGAATTCCGACTTTGAACCCATCCATTGGGAACCACATGAACGACGATAAATCTTATGGACTGCATGATAAGAGCCATGGATCCCGTTTTCTTTCTCTCTTCATAATGATCATCGTGGGTCAATCGAGTCGACTTGTCAGCCGGAGGCCGGCATATCTCACAAGTCTCGATGAAACCCTCTTCCTTTGGGTTTTGGGGTTAGCCATGGCTCACATTTTCCTTCTTTTTTATGCCCTTCTCTTCTATGATTGTCCTCTTTAGCGTGCAGCGCGTTGCATGGTACGAGCGTTCTCGCCCAGATTGTTTCTTTTTCTATTTTTTTTAAGCCTCTCGGGGTCTTGTTTTTTTCGATTCTCGATTCTTTTTTTAGGCTCTGGAACTGCAAGAAATGCACTATTGATCCATATCTATGTCTTTCTTATGTAGATCGTAGTGTACTTACCTAGGTATTGTAGATCGTAGTGTGATCACAGGGACTACGTATTGTCTAAGTAGTGACCTAGTTGCGTGAACATTATGCCCGTCCTTCGGCCGAAACAATTCATACTTCCCAATGCATGACATTGCTTTTTCAATGTTTTCTTGCATAAAGAGGTCTTTACTTAGACACTGTAACTAATATTCTACTATGTCTTTTCAACCCTTTCAAATATCTTTTATCTTTCTAGATCCAGTGAATAACCTCGAGGGCACAGTTCCCCCGAAAAGCAAATATCAGCAAAAGCAGCAGTTGATATAATTTTTGTAAAAGTCAGTACAGAAATTCGCATCTTATTTTATCTTTCCAAAAAAAGCAACCTCCTCGATCTCGGCGCATGGAAATGACGTCGCATTACATGGAATATAACTTCTACCCCCAATCACTTCCCACCAAGCAACCGACCCAAAGCATTCGGGATTGCTCTAATAACCTGCCACAACACATACGCCGTATCACTCGTAGCAGAACTAGCATACTTCGCCGGTCGAACAGGAATATCCGCCGCAACGAGGATAGTATTCACCAGCGCGGCAGAATAATGTTCACGCAAGTACGCAATGACCAAATCATGTCCATTTGTAATTCCACCTGCTCAGTATTAACATCGAACCAAAATGAATACAAAATATAAATAATAATCTAAAAAAGAAAAGAAGAAGAAATAAACATACCACTAGTCCACAAATTCCCATCCCTAGCAACCCTAACCGAATCATCCCACACCTTCGCCTCCGGAAACTTCCTCTTCATCTCCGGAATTAAAAGTCGCGGCGCTGTAACTTCCCTCCCCCTCGTAATCCCTGCATACCCAATAACGAATGCACCAGTGCAGATACTCAGAATCGGCGTTCCGGCCGCGAAATGTCCCCGCACAAAATTCAGATATTCTTCTGCTGGTGGCATCGCTTTTGGCGGTGGACCGGGGATTACCACTATATCCAATTTTCCGGGGGAAACGGCGGAGTCCGTGGGGGAATTTGTCAATTGGACTGTCATTTGAGAGGTCGTGTTGACGGTGTTTTCTCCTTTAACTGTGTTTGCGATGTAATGTATCGAGCAGGGTCGTCCCATGTCTACTAGTGGTTGGGGGAGAGAGCATTCTTGAAGGTATTCGGGTGTTGTCATGTAGAGGAGGTCGATTGCGGCTAGGTCGAGGAGTTGGACGGTGTCTACTAGGAGGACGCCGATTCGGAGGGTCATTGTTATGGTTAGGTTTGGATCGGGAGGTTAACTTTGATTTGGAAGTTTGGGATCTGGAAGCTTGGGATCTTGGAGTTTGAGATTGAATTGACCAGAGAGCGGAATTTATTACATTGCGCGAGGGTCAGATGCTTTTTGCGGATGATTTCGTTTTGAGAAACCACCCGAGCCGGACAGCAGATGACATGCGTCTGATGTCCGGCTGGACTGGCTGGAAGGGTTGCTGCTCTGGTGCTGGAGATGGATTTGCATGGGATTTAGTTGTTTTGCTGGAAATATGCGCATAATCGCGCAGGTTGGGGCTTTTTGTAGAGATGTGTTTCACATGGGCTGTACAGAGTGATAAATTACCGTCGCAATTGTAGGAATTTGCTCATAATGAGTCATCTTGTGATCTATCCCACCTGGGCAGTTATAAGAAGTAGGATATATATCTCGTTTATAATGTCGAATTCCATCAGGTTTTGGTATATCGGAAATATGCCGAATGACAAGAAATCCCCTTTCCCCACAAAGGGGTTTCGGGTTCGGGATGACGATGCCGAAATTGTGGGGTTGGATTTTAGGAGAAATTATATAGAAAAGATGTATATGTATATATTAATATCTATCTATATATAAATAAATAAATCGGTGTTTAATTCTTCCCCAGAATGTTCCTTTTTTTCCAAATTCCCTGCAGACAGGGATTCCCCGCAATATCAAAAGTCCTCGGGCTCGGCCCACCAAATTCGGGGAAAAGCTCCCTACCCCAGTTTCGGGCCCCTTCGGCGGAGTAGACCACTCCGTCTTCTATCAGACCATCTGCCATCCTTCGGAGTACTGTCTTCCTATAACCCCAGACGGAGCACTGTCTTCCTACTTCTATACCCCAGACGGAGTACTGTGTTCCTGTTCTTCACCTGGAGTATATAAAGCCTAACGACAGGGCTATATCTCTTCTCATCGGCGAACTAAATACTAGCATATCATGGCTACCGTTACTAGCGCGCCAAAGAGCAGCTTTGCGCTCGTTCTAGAAAATCCCTTTCTATGTGGTGTAGCATCGGTAAGTGTCCCTCTTACACGAGATGCCATTCATTCCCTAACCTGGACAGTTCTCGACCCTAGGTGGTCTATTGTTTGGCTATGACCAAGGTGTTATTAGTGGTGTCATCACCATGGAGTCCTTTGGAGCTCGATACCCTCGTGTCTTTGCCGAAAGTGGTTTCAAGGGTTGGTTCGTATCAACCCTGTTGATTGCAGCTTGGGCTGGTTCCTTGATTAATGGACCGATCGCCGATCGATTTGGCCGGAAGATGTCCATAAATCTAGCAGTGGTGGTCTTCGTCATTGGTTCCATCCTCCAATGCGCTGCTATGAATGTCCCAATGCTGTTCGCCGGTCGAGCTATTGCTGGTTTGGCGGTTGGTCAACTGACCATGGTCGTGCCTCTGTACATTTCTGAAGTTTCCATTCCAGATATTCGCGGAGGTCTTGTGGTTCTACAGCAATGTAAGTTTGGCTTGTTGTGGGATATGTTCAATGTTCGTCCACTAATTTGCGATTAGTGTCCGTCACTATTGGAATCTTGATCAGCTACTGGATCGACTATGGAACCAACTACATTGGCGGAACTCGATGCGCTCCTGATATCCCTTACTCCGGTGGCACAAGCTCAAAGCCCGTCTTCGATCCCTACCATGATGTTCCTGCTGGTGGTTGCACTGGACAGTCTGAGGTGTCGTGGCGTCTTCCCCTAGCCCTACAGATCGTTCCGGCTGTCATCCTCGGTGTTGGAATGCTGTTCTTCCCAGACTCACCCCGTTGGTTGTTGATGAAGGAGCGTGATGACGATTCGCTGCACGCGCTTTCAAGACTGCGTCGTCAGGATCGTGATAGTCCTGTTCTCCTCAACGAGTACCTTGAAATCAAGGCCTCTATCATGTTGGAAAACTCATTCGCCAAGGACAACTTCCCTAATCTCTCTGGGTTCAAGTTGCACATTGCTCAGGTTTGTTACTCATTCCCCCTTTTGATTCGATTCATCTAACACGTTTCAGTACATGTCCTTCCTGACAAACTGGTCCCGCTTCAGACGGTTGGCTATTGGCTGCATCGTGATGTTCTTCCAGCAGTTTATGGGCTGTAATGGTATGTCATTTCCCAACTACACATTTAAACATAGCATCTAATCCATATAGCCATGATCTACTACGCACCTACGATATTCGCCCAGCTAGGTCTTGATGGCAACACCTCCTCTCTCCTTGCTACCGGTGTTTACGGTATTGTCAACTGCCTCAGCACCCTTCCTGCCCTCATCTTCATCGACAAAGTCGGTCGTAGACCCCTGCTCATGGCAGGCGCCGCGGGAACTTGCATCTCGCTAGTGATCGTAGGCGGCATCCTGGGTGGCTTTGGCTCCTCACTCGTGAGCAATAAAGCCGCCGGCTGGGTTGGTATTGCCTTTATCTACATCTACGATATCAACTTCTCCTACTCCTTCGGTAAGAGCATACCCCATATCCCTGTCTTCTCCAGCACTAACAAAATATTTCCGCTAGCCCCTATCGGTTGGGTTCTTCCTTCAGAGATATTCAACCTCTCCATTCGATCCAAGGCCATCTCCATCACAACCTCGGCAACATGGATGTGCAACTTGTAAGTGACGTATTCCACGGGCTATTCGATTCGAATCTAACTATGTCTTACAGCATCATCGGCCTTGTCACACCTGATATGCTCGAGTCCATCACATACGGCACATACATCTTCTTTGCAGCATTCTGTCTTCTCGCCTTTGCTTTCACCTTCTTCTGCATCCCCGAGACCCGTGGCAAGGTACGTTCTACACCGGCTATTTCCACATGAAAGATCGATGCTAACTATTCTCAGACCCTCGAAGACATGGATCTTATTTTCGGCGATACAGCCGCACACGAAGAAAAGATTCGCATCAAGCACATTGAAGCGGAGTTACGCGGAACACCATTCGAAGAGGATCTCATCAAGCCGGTCGATTCCCATGCGGAACAAGTATAAACGCCGTGAAAAAGAAAAGAAACATGAGAACACTATATAATAACTTATTGACAAAGTCACGAACTGTTGAATATCGAACTAAATAATGCAAAGTATTTGCTGATGACTATTTCCAATCCTAATTCCCATTTTTCCATATACCCATCCTACAATGCAAGCTACATACAGAAAGCAAAAATAATAAAACTTCATTCCGCTGCTGGGAAATTCACCCATTCGGAGAAATCCATGCCGCCCGTAGTGTGCATTTGCATATGCTGCTCGACTGGGAACAGACTTCCGCCGAATCCGGGGTCGCTGAAGAGCTGCTCGGGGAACGGCATCATGTTAGGCTGCGGTTGTGGGGGCATGTGCTGGTGCTGGTGTTGCTGCTGGGCTTCGTGTTGCTGGTCGTCTGGAATTCCCTGCGGGTGCATTGGCGGGCCGAGGAGTCTGTTGATGACTTCGAAGCAGCGGGTTGCGAAGCGGTTTGTGCCGAGGGAGGGATGTGTTAGGAGTGATTTTGTAGTTTCGATGTCCTGGAGCCAGGAGGCGGCTTCTGGGTTTGAGGGGTCGGTCATTAGGAAGACTATTGGGATGAGACCTGCTTGGAAGAGGAAGTAACTAATTTTTGTTAGATATCGTTCTGGAAGGAATAATAGGGAGGAAATACATACAGCATATACCATGCCCCAAGTCTGGTGCACATATAATTCCCCATATACTCCGAGATAGAGGAGATGGTCAGACGCGCGTTCTGGAGACAGCGCAATCGACACTCGGTCTCGAAGGGATCGTCACCTCCTGTATCCGGCGTGCCTGTACCGCTGCCGCTAAGTGGGGCCCAGCGTCTAGCGGCCCAGCGGAGGAGGATTGGTCTGTAGATCAGAATGGTGAGGTTCCAGTTTCGCCATAGCAGACGGTTGCGCACGAGTGCGAGGGAGTCCGGGTCTGGGTTGGTTGGCTGCATGGAGAGAGGCTGCGGGTGTTTGAGGTAGGATGGAAGACCGTTGTACCATTCTTCGATGGGTTTTTGCAGGTTCAGCGTGTCTTCTGGGGTGAGGCTGGGGCTTGAAATGAGGCGTTGGTAGACGCTATTGGTGAGGAGGTGGAAGCTGGCCTGCGCAATTAAGCCGGAGTAGATGGTTGGGCCGGGCGATTCGGCCGGCAGAGTTGTTGTTGTGGGAGTCAGGGCCTGTGATGTATTAGTTATGGCTGCTTTTTATGTTCCATGTTGGTTGACAGTACCTCTTCGTGGATATTTCGAACCTGCTTCGCATCCATGACATTGTCCTCTGGCAGTAGGATCGGTCTTCCGAAGGTTTTGGCTGCGCCGCTGTCGAAGATGAAAACTCCCCACCACAATCTTCTGCGAATTTCTCTTTGTAGGAGACTGATCTTCCAGCCAGGGAACTCCTTGTGAAGGCCCAAGCTCATGGCCATTCGAACTGCTAGGCCAAGGTAATTCCATCCAGTGTTGGGCTTGTTCCGTTTCTGCGCGTAGTTGCTCAGTAACAATAATGCTTGGACTAATGTCAGATTTCCGGTCTCAAACACAGATGCCTGCTGCAAGTATCCCCTAGCTTCTTGGTAGAAAGTGATATCGAGATCCGAGCTATCATCACCGATACACCAGGCCCCAAGAGCTAAGATCGTGTTTAGGAGGATATGCCAGGCCGTGCCATGCGGGCGTAGAGATGGGTCATTAAACTGCATCCGGAAGGTAGGCTCGTGGATAAATGGATAGCTGGTGTGATAATTGAGGAAGAAGGCGTCGATAAACGCTTGTTCAATCAGCCCAGATGGGGCACTTTCCAGAAGCTGCGCTTTGAGAGGCACGCCTCCTGACCTTGCTGAGCGTACAGGTATATTCAGGTCAAATCCATGATCAAAAAGTGCTCGTAATGGTACGACACTTGAAGACGCTCCTATAACGTATCTGTCAGCTCAGAATAGGAAAAGCATAATCCATAACGGATATTGATGGACTAACCAAA